ACTGTTTGAAGTTAAACCCTTATATATGGGAATCTTTTGAAGATCTTTCGAAAATGGGAGCGAACGTCAAAACAAAAACATTATTCAAAGCAAACCACACTATTCCTAATCTTAACAACAACAACAACAACAACAACAACAACAACAATAATAATAATAATAATAATAATAGCAAAAAGACTCTAATTAACTCTAAAAATGGGGGAAATAACATCAATAACACCAATAACATCAATATCAATCAAGGCCTAATCAACAACTCGTCGACCCCCAACAACTCCAATTTCTTGAACTTGGAAGATGATAATCTATTTTCGACCAAAACGAGATCAAAACCTTCAAATGCACAACCGATCAATTCAAGATCTTTTCTTCGAAGATCTTCCATTCCATATCAAGAATTTCGAACTCCCAACTCGAAAACTGCCACTGACAAATGTGCCGCTGGATCATTAAACAATACTGTTTCCAATTCCAATTCCAATTCCAATTCCAATTCCAACTCCAACTCCAACTCCAACTCCAACTCCAACTCCAATTCCAATTCTAATTTCATAAATAACGAAGGATTCAAAACTCCCAATATTCCATCCACATCGGACCTTTTGAGGAGATCATCGCGTTTATCAAATTCTAAATCCTCCATCAGGAAAATTCCTTCTTCTGCATCTGCCTGGATATCGAATCCTGCATCCAGCTCTGCTTCCAAAAACAGCAATTCCTTAATAAAAACACCGATACAAAGCTCCAATCATAGAAACCTAAACCTAAACCTGAACCTAAACTTGAGTGTGAATTTGAAAAAATCACAAAAAATCAACAACATTTTCCAATCTGGCTCATCTTCTCACTCCACCACTTTTAATCAAAATAATTCATCGATCGCTGTTGTCAACTCTATCAAAAAGGACCATTACAACCAAGCGCACGACCATTTGATGAATCTATATCTTGTTTTTGCAAAGGCATTGAAGGCAATGAATAGATACGATCTATTTAAATCAATCCGTTTGTTCAATTCTTTACCAGAGCACCATCTAAACTCTTGTTATGTGTTAGGCAAGTTGGGAAGACTAAATTTTGAAATTGTAAATTATTCCAAAGCTGAGAAGTACTTTTTGAAACTAAGAAACATAGATCGAACAAGACTAAGTGAAATGGAATACTACTCCACGCTTTTGTGGCATCTTCATAAAGAAGAAGAGTTGAGTTTTTTGGCGCATGAGTTGTACGATGTGAACAAGAATTCGCCAGAGGCATGGATAACAATTGGCAATCTATTTTCTCTCATGAAAGAACCCGATGAAGCAATCAAATGCTTTAAAAGAGCAACACAAATCGATCCTGGTTTTGCCTACGCCTATACCCTTCAGGGACATGAGCATGCAACCAACGATTCTTATGAAAACGCTTTGGACTGCTTTAGAACGGCTTTGTTATATGACCCCAGACACTACAATGCTCTCTACGGGATAGGCAAAGTGTATCTTAGTCTGGGAGACAATATTAGAGCAGAATATCATTTTCGAAAGGCTGTCAGCATCAATCCGTTGAATGTTATTTTGATCTGCTGTGTCGGAATGGTTTTGGAAAGAGAAGGTAAAAGAGAATTGGCATTGAAACAGTATGAGCTAGCCCATGAAATCCAGCCATTGGCCCCACTAGCTTTGTTCAAAAAGGCGCAATTGCTATTTGTTTTAGCCAAATATCAGGAATCTGTGGTGGAGTTTGAAAAACTAAAGGAGATTGCACCAGATGAAGCCACTGTCCATTTCCTTCTTGCCCAACTCTATAAAATATTGCATCGAAAAACAGAGGCAGTGAAGGAATTCACTATCGCACTCAATCTTGATCCCAAAGGATCGCATTTAATCAAAGAAGCAATGGAAAGCCTAAATGATTAAATTAGATACAGATTTAATATTGTGGTGTTTGGAAATTGTTCGGAACAGACAACTACATGGATTTTCAGCAACCATATCAGGCAAAAATATCGAGTTTAATCTGCAGCTCATTATATTAAATTGCTTTTTATTTCTATTGAAAAACTATGATGCGATTGATTGAAACTAGCTATTTATTGTCCAAAATTAAAGCGGATTTTTAAACCTTTTTAAACCTTTTTAAGCCTTTTTAAGCCTTTTTAAACCTTTTTTGACGTTTTCAATAGCTATGAACTAAATTTGAATGAAAATCAACAGATACTCCCTCCTCTCTCCCTCTCTCTATCCCACCCTCAAAATTGAAAAAGACAGCATATTCAAATAGTTGGATCATTAATGAATATAAAAATAAATTCCATTGAATTGAAATAAACTGAATTGAATCAAGGTAAGATGCAAAACAAAAACAAAAACAAAAACAAAAATCTATATAGAACAATGCCTTTAAATTATACTACTATCTTCTTCTTTACTGAAGTAGTTTCTAATTATCCATGGTTCAGGCCTTAGAACTTCCCCATTGAAACTTTCAAGTGTTTCTTGCATGTACTTTTCTTCGTATTTGATAATTCCACTATGGCCATCCCCATGATGGTGCTCGTTGCCATGAGTCGGAAATATTTTGGTTTCACTTGGTTTTTCAAGATTTAGTCTATTGTTTGCAATTCCAAAAAGCTTTTCAATTTCATAACTGTGTAACAAGAGATAGTCTTTAAATTGGGTAAATTCTCCCTGAACAAACTCATTTGTGATGTAACAGTTTTTGCCCAACTTTCTCTCAAAATTACTGATTTTGGATTCAAATTTTGTTTTATCACCTCCATCATATAGATCTATATTGTTATATTCAAATTCTATGATACTCTTCTTTTCAAGTGGTTGAAAATGCCCATTGTTTTTATGTCTTTTCCGGTATTGGAAATATGAGTATTCTTCTTTGGGAGGATTGACAAAGCCAACAGAATCCTCATCGATCTCAACTCCAGAAGTGTTATCTTGATCGTCATCTTCTTCTCCCAAATGCTCATCATCACCCATTCCTCCAACTTGTCCATCAACATTCATCATTTTGAAGTCACAGTCGCCTGAACTTATCCACAATTGCAAGTATTTGAAGAACTTGTAATCGTTGAATTCGAGTTTGTTAATTGATTTTGTATCATATTCAATCACTATATTTTTAAGAAAATTTGCAGGGAGATATGTAATTGTGTTTTCATAGTATGTTGGGATCAAGGGCGTCAATTCCTCGATTTTGTAATAATGATAATTTCGACAATGGACCATGTTGTGAAAAAAGTCTTCAAACAATCTGTTGGTTTTTTGGTAAACTTCAGAATTTCTCAAGTCTTCTGAAGGTGGAAAAACAGATCCAAATTTGAACAATTTTAGCTTTTTTTCCGACACTTCCAAGTTTTGGATTTTGTCATCATCATAATCTAAATAAGAATTGGAATATTCTTTTTCCTCTTGTGTCTCTGCCGAGTGTTTTCCAAAGATGTCTGAAGATTGGGACTCTGAAGATTGGGACTCTAAAGATTGGGACTCTGAAATTCGCCTTGATTCCACATCAACTAATATTTTTTTCATCGTGGATATGGAAAGCTTTATATTTTGAAGTTTTTCCAAAGTCTTATTAAATATCGACTTTTTTCTGGCAAATAGAGAATCCCGTAGTTCTTTTACTAGTCGAATGCCCTCGTAGTACTCGTTATAAAACTTGGCTTTTGATAGCTTGTTTAGCTCATTCTCGGTATAACTGTCTATTAGCAATAGTTTGGTAATCAATTCGTTATTCGTTTGAGATGTAAAATCGGTTAGTGCAGTTATATCAATGTAAACCCCACTTTCGATATCTATTAATCTGGCATCAATATTGTTCACATTGGGGTTTCCAATTTGATTTCGTAATAGAAAGTTTTCATTGACATCAAAGTAAAAACCCCGAAGTCCAAACTCTGCATTTGAGTCTAGTTTTTTTTCCTGGCTAAACACTTCAAATGTTCCGAAATCAGTGTAGTCGTATATGAGAGTATTGTTAATGGTTTTGCTGAGTTTGTATAGTGACTGAATCGGAACCTGAACATCAATATCAGCATCCCATGGCAACGATAGTCCATTGAAATACCAGCCAATGATGGATCCATGGTTGATCCAGGAGGGAATGTTGAATTGAAGACACAATCGAAACCATACACGCATTAAGCGATGCAATATAGCTAAATGATGGGCTTGGTCGTCTTTGGTTATGTCTTTGAAAAACCGAAAATCATAATGATCAAGGTTGTAGTCTTTAGTTGAAGCTAGACCAAAATATCGATTTTCCGGGATCCATATCTTGCCCAACCTTGCTTCCATTAGTGCTTTCAAATGATCGACTTGTTTATAGTCAATGTCATGTGTAGTATACAACGGTTCAGTGTTTTGAGATATGGCTTCTTGAATAGTGGGATCCTCGCAAGTTGTATTGTTCGTATGCGCTTTTTCGTTTGCAGATGCTGAGTAATGTGATTGCAAATGCTCATGTTCTTTTGATAAGTTCCATTGAAACAAAGAAAAATCGATATGTAACGGCTGATGACGATTTGTTGTGCCTGTGTTGGAATTTTTCAAAACATAGGGCTGAACAAATGAAAAATCATAATTTTCACAATCTTCCAGCAAATCTATTTGCTTTTGATTACCGTCTAGTGCACCCGGCTTTGAAAAAGCTGAAACGTTTTTGGCGCCATTGCTGATCTCGGAACGTTGATAAAAGGCATTCAACTTGGAAATTTCATTATAAGAATTAATACCATTTTCGATAATTTCATTGAGAGCATCTTCTTTTGACGAGTAATCGGTGGAATAGGATCTGATTTTAAGATTATTATTGATGAAAAAGGTGGACAACATATCAGTGTACAAGTTTTGCCTTGCCCTTCTGTTTCTGATGTTGTTGATTCCATCAGAAACAGAATAAGTTGGAATGACCAAGGAGCGTTTGCCGTATATTGGATATTGATTTGAAGTGCCATTTGAACCATTGGTGTGATGTGCAGTGTTGTTTTCATTGAGTATATTCAAAAAAATGATTCGTTGAGGAGCTTCTAATCCTGTAAGGCCATATATGAACCCGTACATTTTTCTAATCTCCAAATCGTTTAAATAGGTATCAACTTTTGAAACAAGTCGAAATGGCAAATTGTACAGATTGTGGAATGGCAAATTATACGGATTGTCAAATGGCTGGCAGATTGTGTTTTGGTTGTTGTTCTTTTGCAGTTCATCTGTTTCTGTTTTGTGCGAGTTGAGATATACAGACTGTAGTAGCTTGTCCTGAATCTGGCTGCTGGTGTATGATTGAGGATACACATTCTTATAGTTGGAGCAGACTTTTCCAAACTCTTTTAATGTGAATTCGTTGGATAACGCCAAATCCTGATATAAAAGGCTTTTGCAGTTTGAGCCTGACACAATCAAGGAATAATAGAAGGAGTTGTCTTTGAGCGAGTCGTAAAAATTCAATAGATCGTTCCAGTTGAAAGGGAGTTTGAAGTTGTTTGATATTTCAAATACATACTTGTTTTCAGTGTTGTTTGGAGACAACAAAGAAGCGCTGGGATTCGCTATCAAGTTGTTTAATATCAAATGCTGATTGATCAAATAGAGCCAAAAAGTAGGAAGAGTTCTCGGATCAAAATCAGGAGCAGAGGCTTCCCTTGCATTAAATAGTCTGATCACAGAGGACGAAAATTGGCCATATTCCAGCTTCAGATGCAAATTGATATTAATATTGTTGTAGGAGTTGTATGCGCCGATGGTCGTTTCGTTCACCAACAGTTGAAACTTGGATGCTAAATCGCTCGCTGTGAAATCAGCTTTTGGTATCTCTGGAGTGAAGCTGTTTTCAAGATAGTTGTGTTCAAACGAGCTGAGTGGGCAATGTGTATTGTCGTCGTTGGTGGCAATAGAAGCAACTAGCAAGGGCAAAGTTTCAAAAGCTCTTTTGGATTCCTCGCTCCACGATTGAAGCACAATAAAGATGGTGGTTGCGAGAAATAGAAAGGGAAATAGAACAAAGGAAACAAACCTCTTTGTCAATTTGCAACGAGCCCCCACAGAAGCAAAGAAGTTTGGCTTTGCTGGAGCATTGAGAGAAAGAGAAAGAAGCATTGAAGAAGCATGAAATATATTTCGGCTTGAGTGGTGAAGACTTAAAGGTTCTTTTCATTAAGCGCTTTGAAACCGGCTTTTGAGAGAAATAGGGTTCATGATCTGCATATCTGCGCATGGTCTCACTTCACATAGTTACCACCACGGTGGGTGCATGAATTCCTTATATATTTAATCGATATAATAGAAGAAACTAGTCTAATTTACCAGTTCTGGATAGTTGATTGAACACCAAATCAAGATTCTGTATATTTTGACATTGAACTAAATAATAATGTGAAATAATAATGTGGAATATTAATGTGGAATATTAATGTGGAATATTAAAAAGAGTCGCCCTACAAAACAGCTAACAAGAAGATTTATCAATTATTAATCTACCATTTACCCAAACCCTTGTGGTGTTTCGATCATCACCGTTAAATAACCATTTGGCTATTATATTTTCAAATAGTATTTTATCCTCCAGAACCAAATCCCCGTTTTCTAATAAATCATAATCAAGATCGTCATCATAATCATCATCAGAATTTATATTATTGGTATCATCAAGTTGTAATTTTTCACTTGCCGAGAGCTTTAAGTTATCACTGGAATCAATTATATCACTACTAGCTTGTTCCTTATCATTTCCAATAAATTCTCTTTCCAACTTATTATGGAAATATTTCGGTAATTGCCAGCTAAAGATATCTACCTGGGAATCCCTTTCTCGGAGATTAATCAATTGGCAATCCCATTTCTTACCAACGTGGAAATCTCCTATCAACTCTTCCAAACTCAACACTTTTGCTCCACCCAATGTAGCTAAATATAGGACATCGTTGACTGACAATTTATCGTGCTCTTCAAATGTTTTCATAGACAAATGCCTAGAAACCAATAAAGCGTGGCGAGCAGTCGAAAGAATCGAGGGAGCAAATCCACCAGACACATCGGTACCCAAACCCACATTAATTGAATCATCTAATAGCCAACGAATTCTGGCTTCGCCCGAAGTAATTGAGGAATTTGAAATTGGGCAATGAGATATTCCCGATTTTTTTAATTTAATTAATTTTTTTTCATCATTGTTTAAATGAATTGCATGAGCTAGAACTGTTTTTGAAGTTAATAAATTGTGGTCATCGTAAACTGACGTGTAATTTTTGGAGCTTGGGAATAATTGTTTAACCCATTGGATTTCATTCTTATTTTCCGAAATATGAGTTTGAATGTGTAGATCATTCTTTTTGGATAGATCACCAAGCCAGTTTAATAAATTTGAAGTGCAACTTGGAGCAAATCTTGGAGTTATAATTGGTAATACGATATTTTCCTCAATTTTATTAGTTCTTGAAATCGAGTTTTGAATTTTGTTTAAATGTTTGANATGATTCAAGACCTTTTCAGTTGATGATTTCGATTGATTTAGATCTTCAACATAATAATCAGGCGAATTATCATTCATGCAAACTCGGCCAATTAAACCTCTCTGACCATTTTGGAAACATAAGTTGGCTAATAAATTTGTTGCATTTGGATCGATTGTAGCAAAATATGAGGCAGTTGTTGTGCCATTGTATAATGTTTTTTTAATAACTTTCGAATAAATATCGTTTGCAATTTGAAGATTTTTAAATGAGGCCTCCAAGGGAAAAGTATAAGTAGTTAACCAGTCCAATAAAGTTGCGTTGCCAAATATACCACAGTTTGGATATTGTGGGGCATGGATATGAGTATCAACAAAACCTGGAAAAAAAAATGAATAAGGGTTTGAAGTTATATTAAATAAATCAATCTCCGAGACGCTTAAATTGGGATTGTAATCTAAAGCATCTTTAGTTGGATTAGATGAATTTTTATTAATAAAGACAATTACACCATCTAAATCAACTCCAACTGAGCAACTTGGTAATATTTCAATTTCACCTAATTGCGGAGTATGAACTAAAGTGCCATAGTAAACAGTGAAACGTAGGGGAGATAGAGCAGAAGATTTAATAGTATCCAATTGGGTATATGGAGAATATTTCAATGAGGAAATCGAGTTGCAATTTTTGGTTGAAGAATTTTGAGCTATAGTCATTTTGAAGTATCATATAACGTGGTAATCATACACACAATTATATCAATGGTTTCAAATCATCGAAGTTGCAAATACAATGCTTATTCTCCAAATACTCTATATAGTTGGTCCAGATACCCAAATTTCTCAAATGGTCAGAGTGTCCCAAAATGAACAATCCATGAGATGCTCGTGTCGTTGACACCACAAACCTACCAATATCATAGAAATATCCATTTTTTTTATTTTTTTCTAATTCATTGATATCTATTTCTCCCAGATTCAGTCTGGCAACTTCAGATTTAACTGTGGATAAAATGATATATTTTTTTTGTTTTCCTAAAAAATCGTGAATTGATGAAATTTCCAATCCATAAAATTCTTCAATAGGCGATTTTTGATTTTTTACCACTTTCTGGTAATATTTGATAAATAACTGCTCAAGGTTTTCGTGTTTGCTCGCCACCAATCCCCTAGAAATTCCTTTATACCTAGAACTTAATGTATAATCTTTGATTTTATTATACACTTTAATGATTTCATGAAATTTGTTGTATTTTTGAAAGTCATCAATTCCGTACGTTTCACAATACTTGTCTATTTCATCAAAATTTTTCAAACCCAATTTATAAAGAAATTCGTGAATTCTTGAATAATAGCCTAAAGCTAGCTTGTAATTCAATTCTTTATCATGGATTAGTTTATGCTTGATATAAAACTTTTGAGCCATATATGGCGTGATTATTCCAATATCTTCGGGATTAACTTTATTATCACTTATTAAAAAATTCACTAGTTTTACAATTTCATTTGCTTCTTCAGTATTGATAAAGCAGTTATCAACTACAATTGAGTCTTTATGATTGTTTATAAACATAACTCTTTCACTTTCAGATCTCCACGGAAACCCTGATTTATCTTTGAATTTTTCTTTGAATTTTTCTTTGGTTTGGATTTCATTAAAATTATCAATTGAAGGTTTATTACCATAGATGTATTTGTTGGAAAAATCAAGAATCGATGGATGCATTCGATACTGTTGATCTAGCTGAATAACATTTCTCTTATTTTTTCGAATACATTTGGAAAAAAATGAATTTTCATATCCTCTAGGACTCAATTGTTTATCGTCTCCAATTAGGATTAATCTTGAACATTTTTTGCTAATTAAACCAATTATTTCTGATTCTAAAAAAAGATTTGCATCATCGACAATAACTGTGTCAAAATTAAAAGCATCCATTAAATAGCTTAATGATGTTTTCTTTGTGCAAAAAATAACATTTGAGTTTCTAATTATTGAAATTGATTTATCATACATTTCTCTATTCAAGTCTTTGAGGTCGTTTGGAGTAAATTTTATAGCTTCATGCGATATAAATTTATTAAAATATAACTTTTTATATTCGGGACTTAATGACAGGTAAACTAATCTGTTAAGTGAATAATGGGTTAATTTATATTTTGGATGAAAAATGGAATAATCATTATTAAATTTTCTTAGCGAGACCTTCAAAGGTCTCATATATTCTTTAAATTTCCCATTATCATCATCACCATTATTATTATTATTATTATTATTATTATTATTATTATTATTATTATTATTAATACAATCTAGCATGACATCATCAACCGAGCTATTTGTTGGAGAACAAACTAATATTTTCGAATTCTGATAAAAATCATTTAAATTATTGTTTAAATTTTGTTTATTGAAATTATTTAGTAACTCATTTATAATTTCAGGTATCAATGATGATTTACCCGAACCTGGAGAACCGTTAATTATTGTCAAGTAACAATTTAAAGAGCTTAATAGAGCAACTTTTTGCAAATCATCCAACTTCTGATTACTTATGTGATCAAAACTATTAAAATCATTTATTGAATGTTTAATATTGTTAAATTTTTTGAATAATAATATCGATCTCATTTCACTAGAAACCGGATTAGAGAATTGATCTTCCTTGTTATTATTACTATTTTTTGCATTTTGATTTTCAGTAAATTTCGTTAAAAGTTTGAAGACTTTTGAATAATATACATCAAAGTCAGTTAAATAGAAATCAAAGGTTAAATCAGGATGATTGAAGTTGAAATGATGATTTAAATGATCATGGTTTATTGATAATAAGCATAATTGAGCTTTATTTTTCGAGTTTAGAATTAATTTTCTATTTGGATCAATTTTATTACATTTTCTAGTATGACTTGCAAATTTATAAAAAGAGAGAATATTTTTTCCCATAGTCCAATCCATTAATGTTCCTTCTAATGATAGAGTCGAATAGTCGATATTATTCAATTTAATCCAAATCGAATAGGCAAGATTGGAAGGAATTGAAACATCACTTTTTGTTTTAAGATTTGATAAACCATGTGGTATTATGATTAGAGGGAAATAAAGATAATTATCAGGTATTTTTTCGGAATTATTTTCATCAGTATTATTATTATTTTTGGAACGATCTTTATAAAACTCTGAAATCTTTTTAAATAAATTGATGGAAAAGTAAGACGAATTGAATGTAAGCTTGACTTGAATCAAATTTTGAAAATCTATATTTATGGGTGAATTGGACAAAGATTTCTGTTCTATCAATTGAATGTAATGATTAAGTGCTTTGGGATCGTTTTTCTTTTGAGTAAAGTTGATTTTAAAACCCCTGTCTTGAATGTAGTTGTAAGCATGAATGTTGTCTAAAAGTAAAGACCTTGTCAAGCTATTTTTAAGTTGATACAAGTAGAAGTAGAAATCGAAGTAGTCTTTACCTTTGCTTTTATTTTTGCTTTTATTTTTGAGAATATCATTTCGAGAATTGGTTTTCCTTATATTTTGATTATTTTGATTATTTTTATTGTTTTTATTGTTTTTATTGTTGTTGCTATTATTATTATTATTATTATTATTAATGGTGATATCTGTGGGTTGCCTTTTGTTTTTGTCAATCAAGAGATTTTTATTAACAGTAGCGATGCTGGTGATATTAGTGACTGCTTGGTACTGGTTTTGGTGGTGGATTGAGACTGAATACGATCGAATTACCAAGGAATTGTTTACACTCTTATACTTTAACTGGTTTTTGAAAACAAATTGAAAAAAACCTTGAAGCATCACCAGCAATTCATTCTAGCTCGTCTCAACACCATCAACGAATGATAACTGTCCTATAGTAATGCTGAAAAGAAAAGCCCAAAATGAAAAATAAGAAAAATCAGAAAAGCCGAAAGAGGTTCGAGAGACCACTGCTGGGGTTGATGCATTTGAATGTATGTATGTGCACTGTTGTACAATCCAGCATTTATGCACACAAAAATGCATGTAGCCGCATTGGAAAAAAGTGACGAATGAGAAGATTGCGATGGAGACTCGACATCTACACAGAGGAAAAAGGGAAAAGGGAGAAAAAGCATCAAAAGGGAGAATAACCATATTACCATATTAACAAAAATAAATTCCGATCCTGAAGGCTGGAGTCAATACAACGTGAAGTAGAGATTAAAACACCAATGAACAAATATAAGGGACGACAGTTCTAGTTGCTGAGTAAATATAAAAAAAAGGGAAAGGAAGATTAAAATTTAAAATTAAAAATAAAATTGAAATTAAAGTTGTGATTAAAAGTAGATAAATTGAAATAAAGTAATAATACTAAATAAATTATCAAAAAAAAAAAGTGGATAAAAAGTAAATAAGAAAATGCATTTAAGAAAAAATAAAAATAAGATAATCAATAAAATTAAATAAATAAATAAAATTTAATAAAAAAAATAAGTAAAAAAATAAGTAAAAATATAAAAATATAAAAATAAATATATATAAACAATATCAATCTTACCAATTAGTCATTACTGTTGAATTAATTAAACATGAATCGCAAGAAAATACTTTTGTTTTTGAGTAATATCAATGTGGTATTGAATGGTTATTATGATTTGTTATTGAAGAATTATTTTGAATATTATTTGATTGTAAATGAACTCGATGTAATGGGTTGATTAAATTAGTTTGAATATCATTTGGATCCAAAGTATGAGTGTGATCTTCAAGATTATGTGAATTATTACTGAGTTGATTAATTTGATTTTTGAAGTCGTCGTCATCGTCGCTCGAATCTTCATTTTCATCATCGTCATCAACATTACTTTCCAAATCAGTCACCGATCTGCAATTTGGACATAGAAACTGAGGATAGTTATTCAAAATGATTCTTCGAATACATTTGTAATGCCAGCAATGAGAACAGGCGGCAATAAAAATGGCTTGACAGGGTTTGCAGTCGTATAAACATATGGCACATTCAGTGTAATCATTGGTTTCCATTTTGTTGGTGTTGACACTTTTTACGCCATTGCTTTGTTTCATGTTATTTGATAGAGGATGGTTTAAGATTTTCAATTTTTCATGGGCTTTCTTATTGAAATTTGAGGATTTTAGTTTCCAGGATTTATTTAATTCGATTCTAATTTTGACACAGCGATAAATTTCTTCGGAACCGCCTCTGTAGTCCATACCCAACTGTAATAAATCGCCATCGTGAAGTTGAAAACTGATACTTTCTTCATTTGGAGAGGATAGTCTTCTTCTATTGAGAAAGGTTCCTGAGGATGATTTTAGATCTTTTATAAACCAGTTACCAAGGTCATCTACGAGAAGCTGAGCGTGGGTTCTTGACACGACTTTTGATTTGAATACTATTGAAGCAGAAGAGTTTGCATTTGCTAGTAAGGCATCTTTATTTCTTTCGGTATAACGACCTATTGGAATATGGTGGTTTGGTTTTAGTTTTCTCCTTATGGGAACAAAATAAAGAGAAGCCGTTGAGGCATTATCGATATACGACGTTAAACGTATTGAATAGGAGCCATCTTTCGACCTATGGTTTACGTGAGAGATTTGTTGAGAGGGAACACATGGAGAAGATGAGTTGTTGTTATTAGAGGCAGAGTTGCTGGAAGTGTTAATCATATTTGTATTATGGTTTGCAGGGTTCGTATTATTGGTGTGATTAATAGTTTGGTTTTCATTAGTTAGAGTGTTTTGAGATAAAATAGGGATATTTGATGGAGGGGATAATAAGTTTGGTTGAATGTTGTTGGTGTTTTGCTGGAGAGTTACAGGCATATTATTAAGATTTGGAAAATGATTGTTTGAAGGGCTGTTTTGATCTGAAGAGGATGAGGATGAGGAGGACTTTGAAGAAGATTTTGAGTTATTGTGACTTAAAGATATACAGCTTTTACTTTTGATGAGACTATGGTTAGTTTTGTTGGCAATATTGGTGTTGCTAGAGCTATTCGCTTTATTGGTTTTATTAGTACTAATATTAGTGTTAGTATTATAGAGAGTTGTTGTAGGAGGAGATCTTATGGATGAGGCAAATACTTGGAAGAAGTTAGCACCAAAATTAAAAGAGGATGAGTTTCTTTTTTTATTGAAAGGATTTATATTGTCAGATTGTCTTGAGATGTTCACAAGCCTTATATTATTAGTGTTGTTGTTGTTGTTGTTATGGTTTTGATTAAGAGTATGGTTATGGTTGTGACTGTGATTGTTGTTATCGTTGTTGTGAGGATGGTTATAGTAGTTTTGAAACGACATTAAAAAGAGAACTTAACAGGATGGAACATGCACACGATAATCGTACAACAGCACAGCACAGACGAGACCAAAAATGGGGGCAGCAAGACAACTCCAGCAAAGGCAGAAGCAGGAACAAAAGAAGAGGAATAAGAAGAAGAAGAAGAAGCAAAAGCAGCAGAAATAGAAGCAGAAGCAGAGACAAAAGCAGAAACAGAAGCAGGAAAGGCTCTTAAAGCGCTGGTAAAGAACATTTCGGGCCCCTTCGGCCGGCGCGCGTTGTTTGCTCCCGGTCGGGCGCGGCGCCGGCACGTGCCAACCCCTGAGTTGCGTGTGGATTGCGTATGGGCTGCGTGTGAGCTGCGTGTGAGCTGCGTGTGAGCTGCGTGTGAGCTGCGTGCTGTCTATGCTGCCTGTGCTTCCGGTATCAGATAAACTGCTCCCCGTCGAGTTGTTGGCAGAGCTCCTGGATCACCGTGTCGAGCTGCTTAATGTTCTCCCGCAAGATCTGCATGTCCTCGAACTTGCGCTGCTTGATGATGTTGCTGAGCTGGTGCTCCAACAAGTACTTTTGCTCCTTCATGATGATGAGCTTCTCCCGGTTTTCCTTGATTTCCTCCACTGTTTTGCTGTCCAACTCCTGATACTTGCTCGATTTTCGTCCATTTATATCGCCATTCCCAACCTTGCTCTTATTTTCCATCTCATCACATATCTCTTTGAACTCGTTCATTTTGGTATTCAAGTAGTTCAAACAGTAAACTCGGACGTTTTTCTGTATTTGTGCCATATTACTGCTTTTATTCTCCTCATCCTTGCCTTGATTTTTGCTCATTTTTTGTAGAATCATTTCATAATTGCGAAAATACTTGATAAACTTATTTTTAACCCTATTGACATTAGCATTGTCAACACTATCAGCACTATCACCATTAAAATTTCTTAACAAAATCAAATTATTACTGATTAATTTTTCGTAATTTTTAATCATTTTAAAATTTCGAAAAAATTCTTTATTTTCATTTTTCATTTTATTTTTAATAAAATTCTTCTTCAAAAAGAGTATTTCTTTACAATTCAAACAAACCCGTAACTTGTAATTACTATCATCTTTATCAATTTCCTTTTTCTCATTATAATTATCTTTATATTTACTCTTGTTATCTACTAGTAAACTTATCGGAACAACCATTGAACATCTCTCACTTATATTTTCCTTCTCTCCTTCTTTCTCTTTCTCTTTCTCTTTCTCAATATCATTACTATTACTCTGGTTTTTATCCTTTTTATTCTTAATATTGCTATTACTATGATCATTACTATCAAAAAGCTCACCTAATCCATCACAAACTATCTTTCCACACAACCTGCAGTGATGCTTTCGAATTAAAAAATTAAACCTGGTATTACAAATAAAACAATTCTTAACTGATTTATCTTCTTCCCAATTGATTAGATTTCTTTCATTCTGTTTAAATTTGTTCCGGTTTTTATTACTTTTGCTTTGTTCATAATTATCATTTAATAAATATATTCTTTTTCTTAATTTTATAACCTCAATCTCTTTTTCTTCTAAATATTTTTCACGACTTTTCTCAAATTCAAAGCTTAAATCTTTGATAATAATCTTATCTTTATTGAATATATTAACATTATTATCAGCCTCAGTATTATTAATGTTATTATTATTATTACTATTATCATTATTATTATTAAAGCCTGGAATATTTTCATTCTTATTACCATTTAAATGTTTGAGCTTCTTAGTTTTTTGATTATCATTCTCATTTAGAATTTTATTTAAATTGCCCAAGTCATTTTGTTTATTCTCACTCTCTGGAGCAGAAAAATGTAAATCATCTAAATGTTTATTCAATTGAGACAATGCTATCATGCTCTCTTCACATATAGGACACTTTAAATCCTGTTCAATTTTATTAGTCCGGTCAATATTATCAACACCATCAATACTATTACTATTACTATTATGGTCATTATGATCAATGCTGTTATTTTGGTTCTGATTAAATGTGATATCTTTCTTATTTTTGTCCTTATCAATACTCTTTCCTAGCACAATACCTTTATTGCTAGTTTCTCCATTTCTCACACTACCCAAAACTCTTCTGCTGATCATCTTACTTGAACTGATCTACTCTTTTTTCAATAAAAGCTTTTCTCTTATTTTTTCTCTTATTCTTATTCTTATTCTTAGATTAAGTTGAAGCACTCTTCGCATTTTCAAACCACTTTGACGGATCTCTCTTTCGTATTTTATTTTAACTGAAAAGTGGCAAAATGCACGCGAATTTATTTCTTCTGATACGATTTAACAATTGAATCCTTCTTTTGAGGGCAATAAATATATTAAAATTACAAGAGAAATAATATTGAAACAATATTTGTATGACTATGTTAGTAGATCAAGCTAGATATGATAGACAATTACGGTTATGGCAATTGGATGGTCAATTATTGATAGAAAATGCGAATATTTGCGTTATTAATCTTAATGCGTTAAGTTGCGAATTAATTAAAAATCTAATCTTGCCAGGAGTGAATAACATTACGATCATTGATGAATTGAAGGGGAATTTTAGCTCGATTGATATTTCTAATAATTTTTTTCTTACCAATGAAGATTTGAATCAACCAAAGAGAAAGAATTACACGTCTATAATCAATAATTTAAAGGAATTAAATTCCAATAATACGAAATTAAATATAAATGTCATAAGAGAGAAGTTTGATGAGCAGTTTATTGAAAAAAATCAGGGAAAAAACAACTTTTGGTTGAAATTTGATTTGGTTGTTGTAACTAATAATTACAATTATAAGAGTTTTAAAAAATTATTAAATGAAGTAATTGATTATAATTTACCTGTTTTGGAGATCAACTCTGTTGGGTTTTTTGGGTATTACAAGATTTATTTGAGAGAGAATTGTATAATTGAGACGAATTTGAATACGATTTTTGATTCCAGAATAAATGAGCCATTTGAGCAATTGAAAGAGTATACAGAGACATTTCAAGTTCTAAAAGATATTGATAATATTGATAGTGTTGATGGTATTGAAGATATTATTGAGAGTTTAAAGGATATTCCATATGTTGTATTGTTGATTAAATTTTACGGTGATTATTTGAAAATCAAGAACAATAAGATTGAAAACTCGTTAATTGAAAGAAAAAAATTCAAGAAATTTGTGAGGGAATCAATTGATAGAATCTATTTAAAGATATTTGAGAACAATGGAAATGATTATTTAGAATTTGAGAATTTCAACGAATGTATTAATAAATCAAATCAAGCGCTAATTAGTAGTGAGGTGTCTGAGGACATTCAAGAGATAATAGATTCGATCCCCAGTGAGATTGCTAATAGAACTAATAATAATAATAATAATAATAATAATAATAATGGTGATGATGATATGACTATTAAAGAAAATGTGATTAATGAGAACAACATTAATAATAAAGATTATAATGAACTATTTTGGAAATTAGTTTTAACGTTAAAATCCTTTGTTAAGAATAATATCAGGAAAAATGATGGCAAGAGATTATTGCCATTAAGTGGGATATTGCCTGATATGGAATCTAATTCGGTTAATTATATCAAGTTGAAGGGAATATATTATGACAAGTTTAAATCTGATAAAGAAGAATTTATTAACGAGTTTAAAAAATTGTTTCCTAGCGACTATGATAGTAGTAATAAGATCGACATTAATAACATGATTGAGAAATTTTGCAAAAATTGTAATTATTTGGTTGTTCAAAGAAATGGAAAGAATAGTTTAAGCACTAAAATTAATGAGCAAATTTTAAAGACATGCTTGGGCGAGTCGGTTAATTCCAAAGGAATCAATTTTGGAAATTATTATATTGCGTTGATTATCTTTTTCGAATATTTATCGCATAAGATGGATAGGGATATTGGGGGAGATGGGGCTCAGTGCAGGAGGACGTTGAAGCTAGAAGAAATTGTGAGACAAATCAAGTGGGAAGAGTACGATTATGCTGGTAACGAAGAAATCATCAATATCTTGAAGGAGTTGGTCAGAAGCGAAAATAACGAAATCCACAACATCAGCTCGTTGATGGGGGGAATTGGGTCGCAGGAGGTGATCAAGCTAATCACCAAGCAGTACACACCCATTGACAACACCATGATCTTCGATGGACTCACAAGCAGCATATACAAATGGAAGTTCTGAGCTAGGTCTGCATGTTTCTGTGGCGTATGCGACAGATGCAGGTGACGGCGTTTATGTATACACACGTGTATTGTGCATAACACGCACTGCATCCAGCTGCAGCATGTTTTGAACTATTGATTGGTCTTTCGGCGCGGGTAGCAAACGTGGGCGCGTGGCCAGTCCGAATGTTGCGTGTGTGCGGGGTTTACACGTGCATTCCTCTACAAAACCGAGTACTTAGCGTCTTTCCGGTGTCGGAGCGCTGCCGTCGGCGCAGGAGCAGAGGGCCGGCCGCGGGCAACGGCTGCTGTGTCGGGCGCACAGTGCGGAAAGCACAGAAAATTTTTCTGGGAGGGAGAAGGTCTTATCACTTGTTCTTGTCTTGAGCTTCTTCTCCAGACTCTTCTCCAGACTTTCTTCTCCAGACCTGAGAGCTCCAACCAGCAAAGCATCCCAGTCTTCGTGCCAAAATGGTTCTCATAAATGGTGTCAAGTACGCTTGTGAGGTATGTATATCGTGGTATGTTGCCACTGTTCTTTTGCCTGTTCTCGTTGCTGATGACTAACCTCTTATCTGCTGTCTCCAGAGATGTATTCGTGGTCACAGAGTAACCACCTGCACCCACACTGATCAACCCTTGGTGATGATTAAACCAAAGGGCAGACCTTCGACTCAATGTCCTCATTGCAAATCGTCCAGGAAATTGAAAAACCATCATGCTAATTGCACCTGTGCGAAGAAAAATAAGTCCTCGACGTCGTTGAAAAAGCTCGAAAAGTCTGCTCTTGAATCTTCTCTCATGGATTCGGATTGCTCCTGTGGCAAGGGTCTTAAATGTGTTTGCAAAGCCAGAAAGAACTCCTCTAAACCAAAGAAAAAAATCAAAAGTGCCACCATCAACTCGGTCAACTCAGTCAATTCTTTCACGTCTCTCAACTCGCTTAATAATCCCAACATCAACAATACCAATCCCAACACAAACTTGATCTCAAAAAATTCTTCGTCTTCCGCTAACCTATTATCCTTCAATAATAATAACTTCAACAATTTCAGTATTCAAAACAACGTCTCCCCCAACATCATCCCAAATAACAATGATTACTTCAGCTTGAATTTCAATAATTCAACCTCAATGTTTCCTTCAAATAGCTTGAACTTGCCTCTAACACCAACGTTTAATGATTGGGATTTGAACTTAAATCCTAGTGATTACTCCCAATCTTCAAACCTAAACCCTTTTAACGCCTCTATCTCTGCTTCAAATTCAATAGCTTCATCTTTAAACCAATTAGCTACAAACCCTTCTCTTTTATCCCCAGTAAACCACTCCCATTCCCACTCCCACTCTCATAATCATACCCATAACAATAGTATATCCAGCTTGCACAATAATTCCAATGCCAACACAAACAATACCAACACTAATTCAAATAACAATTCTTCAAACAGATATTCCTACAACTCTCAAAGACCGATGACCCCTGTGTCATTATCAAGTAACCAGATTATTCATAATACCAACAATCTAGCCAATATTGCCAGCATCTCCAATATTCATAACCTGAATAACCTTAACATGAACAATATTCACAATCCAAATAATCTCATGAGTATTAATAGCTTCTCTAACCCCAACAATAACAATAATAACAATAATAATAATAATAATCTTGCTAATAATATTCACAACAATATTAATAACAACCTCAACAATAACATCAACAATAATATTAACAACAAAAATTCCTCTCCAAAAACAAGAGTTGGTGAAGTCTCAATCCCGATTGACGAATTTATTACAAATGATAATGCTTTTATACTACCATCTCAAAGTATTTACGCCGATTTACCCTTACCTCTAGATCAAAATTATGGGTTTTTGGATCTAATAACCCCGTCTGTTCAAGACTCGAATTTTAACAATAATAATCATATATCCAATGTTAACAACAGCATTAACAATATTAATAATTTTAATAATATTTCCGCTGTCAATAACCTTCCCAACATTAATTCCACAAATGACAATAATAACAATAATAATAACAACAATAATACAAACGCAAATGTTTTCACTCTAAACAACTATAACAGTCTTAACAACCTAAATACTAACAATTTCAATAATGCTCTAGTTAATAACAGCACAAGTTCTATCAACCTATCTGGCCTAAATATTAACAACTCCTCTCAAAATTTAAACAATTTAATGCAATACCCTCAAAATATGCTACCATTGTTTCCCTTGACCGATTTGACTTCAAATCAAAGCCAATTTCATAATAAAAAAGATAAAAACCCGTAATCACTCAATCAATAATTTAATTTATCTATCTATCATTTTTGTTTTATAGAATAAATTTAATTAATCCAACCCACTTTTAATTCATCATACTATTATAGTTCTTTTCTAATCATTTAAACTCATCCCAACTTCTTATATCCTTTTTGGTTGTTTTGGTTTTGGTTTTTTTTCTTTCATTCCTTTGTTTATTTGGATTTTTCTAAATTTTTTTAAATTATATTTTTTTATTGTTTTTTTTGTTTTTTTTCTCTTATGTTTTTTTTCTCACACTCCTTATTTACCAATTAGTTTATTATTAAAATTATTTTTCTTTTCTTTCCTTCTGGTTTTATAAATTTCATCAATATTCATCAATCACTTCTCATCCACGAAAACCAAAAATCAAAAACCAAAATCAAAAATCAAAAATCAAAAATCAAAAATCAAAAATCAAAAAGATAAATAAATTTAAAAACAAATCAAAAAAATATTATTTATTATGCACTTATATACCACTATAAAGATTAAACTAAAATAGATTACAACATTTCCCTAACAGATTTATTAGAATTTTTTTCATTGCTCCTGGAATTTTTTAACCTTACTTTGATCTTTTTTTTATTTATTTATTTAGTCTTTTATATATCTATTCTTATATTTCTTCTTCTTCAAAACTAATAACATTTTATTTTAATGTATTATAAATAATAAAACTAAATAAACAACGGTTCTTTGTTCTTGCTCTTGCTCTTGCTCTTGTTCTTGTTCTTTATTGTTCTTTCTTGTTTCTTAAAATTATTGCTCCCCTTCGAATTTCTTCATTTTTTTGTGGTGCAACGGATATCATTCTTAAATTTTGCTACAACTGTGTTGCGTTCGATCCTCTCAAAATACAAGTTCTTGTTTTCTTGCAGCATTTTATTTTGTTGACTTTTCATATAAATATATTTGAATATTATCTTTCTATAAAGAAAAATAATATTAAGTAAAATTATCTCCTTTCTTGATACTTTTCAAATAACGATTTTTACTTTTTTAGTTTTTTAGTTGCCTCTTTTCAAACAAATTCCCAAATTATCTCAGGTCAATTTCGCATTATTGAGTTTGGTACAGAAAGTGAAGAGTATACAATAACTATAAAAGAATGCATTGGGCTAAATTCTTTTTTTTTAAAAAAAAAACATATAAAATAGTATTCAATGCGTGTATTTTCTTTGTGAGATATAAAAAACTGTTTTTAATTGCATTTTTATTAGAATATTCGCTGAAATCTTTTGATGGTTTAGAATGTATTTTCCAGGGCAAAAAATGAACTCGACTTCTGTTTAGACAGGTGTATAAATTCAAGGGTTTCCGTTTTAGGGTTTATATCCTGGAATAGAAATACATCCTTTCAATTTGATATTTGTCTTTGATATCTAATTGAAAATGCCATTTTTTCTAACAGGCATCAAAATTTGGCTTTATAATAATTTTGGTTTATGCTTTTTGAATTTTTGCAAACGGAAAAGATAATCCGTTACTTGTTTTCAAGATTAATGATTTAAGAAAAGCTAAAAAGCAAATAGAAAATTCTATTTGCTTTATTATTTAGAGAAATTTTATTTAGTTGTGACTTGAACCAATTTCAATGTTTTTTTTATCTATTAGCATAATTGATTGCTTTTCTTTCTATATCGTTTTTTTTTTTAGTTTCTAAAGTTCTTTCGTATTTGATATTTTATAGCTTTATGTTTTAACGGGTTTCTCAATCTACCCGTTTGTTTTTGAGATTAAATTTAAAAGAACAATTTTATAATACAAAATTTCAAATGAGATCATAAATAACTAGCTTTAAAAAACCTTTTAATATCAAAATCAATAAGAAATCAAAAGCCAGTAGCAGTTTACGGAGCAATCAAAATGACTAATTACACTCCATTTCAATACCAGATAAATATATATAAAAAAAGTTCTTTTATTTTCATCACATTTAATTCAATTTAAAAGCTAAACAAACAAATTCAAAATTTGAATTAAATAAAATTTACCACAATTTCACATTTAAAAACATAATATTATAAAGATTTAGTTACAAAATGAATTTTCGATCAACAAAATGTTGAATGTTTTATGATTTACCTCACCTCTACCAGAAAACCTGAATAAAAGAAAGTAATTGTAATTCAAATATCCAAAACTATTCTGATTTATAAATTATATTATATTAAATTAATCTAAACTAATTATTGTATAATTTGATTTTATATGTTACCAAGAGAAAAAATCACACCAGAAAATTATAAAAGCAAATTGTTATTCAACCATGCGAAAAATATCTTTTTAAGGTTTGTTTCAATAATTATAGAAATATTAAAATTAATATGTTGACCTTATAATTAAATATTTAATCAAACTCGATAAAATATAACAGCATACAAATTTTTTAATTGGTAATGTCTATCAATATCGTTCCATGACCAATTTGATTATGTCTTGAATCGCATAGTATAATATCTAACACAACCTTGACATTCGATTTCATATCAATTTTATTTCATTTCTGGTTTTCTTGATCATTCAATATATTAATCTATTTTGTTGAATTTGACTCAATTATGAAAACATTTTTAATCTTCTATTCTATCCTCACATCACTTTTGTGAAAGCCGGAAATGGGATTGAATGGAGAAAGAAAGGCCCAAAAAGATAGTTTTAACATGCATATATGCATGCAAGAACTATATTGTGTATGAGCAATTCAAGCCTCTACTAGCGGGATAAAACCAACTGTGAGGAACCGAGAGATCTGCGGCTTCAGATATGCAAGGTTCTGTTACTCAAATAGGAAAGCAGACTCTTGGAGCATAAAACCTCTTCTAAACAACCACCTTAAAGTAATGGAATGGAATCTTTGATGATTGATTTAGACCTTCGAACCATGGAATGATCTTCATGAACTGTTTCTCATGCTATAAAATAAAATGAAATACTTACTTTGCTGCCTTGAAACTACTGAAAATGGCTATTTTGCGGTTCAAGTCTTCACTCCTCATCTAATTCGTGAGGAATCTTGTTAGGAAACACTAGAATAGTCGCAAATCGTAAAATAATAAATGATAGCTGTTCAATCACTTGGTTTCGGTATAAGTATCCTTGTAAAATTAATTTTTTTTGTTGTGATTTTCAAGTCAAGTATATGAGCTCAACATTCAAAACAAAAATTCTAGACACTATGCCCCAAACCTGTGAAAACGAAAATAGATAGAGAGTAGGAAAATTTGGGAATGAAACCAAAAAGAATTGTTCTGGCTATTTCTTGGTAGATTTTTGACTAAATGTTGATGAATAATTGAGCGTTTACAATAAACCAATAATATAAATTTTATTGTTAAATTAAATTTTTTGCTCACGAGTATCTGGCGAGTTTTGTTGGCAACATTAAAGTATAATATTAAGCTGATTCGTTTCTTTTTAGATAACACAACAATAACTATCTGTAATTATTTTGAATAGCTTGATATATAATTTATTAATATTGTTTAGGTTTTACTTATTGAAGAGTCAATAAATAAGATGAAAAAAATTAAAAGTAATAATAATAAAAATAGAAATAGAAATAGAAATAGAAATAGAAATAGAAAAGGAAAAGGAAAAGGAAAAGGAAATAAACGATACAAACTTTGTGATGATTAACCTTTAATTTGCCTTATAATTAGCAGGAGATCTATTTTTGCTTTTATATTCATTGCAGATTGATGATAATTTAAAACGTATTTGTTTTCACAGCTTGTTTTCATTTTCAATATGGGAATAAACTGAATCAAATAATACACAACTTTTGTCTTTGACATAGAAAAATCACTTTTTATGGTGAGGATAGGCTTAGTAAGACTTGTATACATTGTTAGTACCAATAAATGTTTAGGATGTACCATAAACAATAGATCACTTTAAATTGTTTCTACACATATAGGAAAATGAAAGAAAATGCAGATTTAAATTGCAATATAATATATATAGTAATCATAAAATGAAAAAAATAAAATAAAATAAATCAAAATATAATAAAAAAATAAAAAAAAAAACATCACAAACGAGAGCCTTCTTCATCAGGTAAAAATAATATAGGGTTTTTTAAAATAAAAACATTATAATAAACATTTATTTGACTTATTAGCATGAATCGATTTCTTTTGAAATAAAAAATCTGATGAAACGATAATTAAAAGCTTATAAAACAACAAAAAAAATACTGTAATTATATTATAACACAATTTACTTCTAGTATCCTTTTCACCATTGGATTCATTATTTCTTTTTCACATTTTAATCTTTTAAAGATTTTAATGTTGTAGTAGTCTTGTTGGTAAATACAAATTGAAAACAAAAACAAAAACAAAAACAATAAATTTTAATGAAATGAATCAAATCATAATAAAATACAGTATAATATAGAAAACTAACAACTTTTTTCTGTTTAATATTATCTGCAAATTATAATTACTGTTCTGACATAGCCAAAAATTCATACAGATCAATACCATTGTTTGTTTGTTTGACAATTTCATTTATTTCACAATACTGGCAGAATCTATGATTGCATTGGGTACAAATAATATCGAAATATGTATCTTCAATAGACTCTTCGGTGACTAAAACTTCTTGATGTTCATTGCAACATTCCCAGAATGTCAAGTATCTGATGCTACCAAATGGAATAGATTCGTATTGAGGTTGACACATTTTGACCTTAGTATAAAAAATACGTTGAATTTGATAGTTATATAGCTTCTTGTTTGATGAACTGAGTTTAGGAGTGATTATTATGGTTGAAAATATTACTATTCTGTGTGATTATTTTATGATGGTTGAAAAAAATACAGCATAAAAACAAGTGGATTATTATCTCTATTTATATTTATCTGGCATTGTATCAATAGAAAATTATTGGAGAATTGGTGTTAACAACTAATTAAAAAACTCAAATCAAAAACTGTTTCTCTGTATCAATAGAAAATTTTTTAAACAAAGATTTGGTATAAAAGCTCAATCAACTAGGACAATTTACCATCCTGCTAAAAAAATTTCAAAAATTTTGCACCATAAAAAGACAAACTAAAAAAAAGATAAATAGAGTCATAAAGAGCGAGATTGATAATGCTTCTGTACAGAAACAAACACGCATATGCATTCAAATGCAAACTGATAGCAGACCATAATGTGTATACATACGCATGAACTGCAAATCAACCGTAAGCCTATCATATTAGGACAATAAATACCGAATTTTGGTGCCAGATAGCGTCCGGACAGCGTCCATATCTCCAAACGCTGTCGCAAAATGTACCATGTCGCTGGATTCTCTATGAAACGAAGGATTATCCATTGGTTTTCAGCACTTTGCAAAGCACCATTCTTTTGTTTTACTTTGGTCTCTGAATAGAGTGGGTTGTGTTCCTTCAGTTCCAGTAAAGACTCAGCAAAAGCAAATGCTGTGTCATTATTTGGAGCTCTGCAGCGTTGTTGGCAGTGCCGGAGAGGGATTTTGCTCTGAAATCACCAAAGACAAGGTGCTGGATGAAGGAAAGCAGCCCATTACGTAAGCACAAGATTCTCACGACCCAAACCTCCAGCTTTGATTGATATCTTTTCTACCCTGGTTTTAAATGAGCTTGTGGATAGCAGGGATTTGATATATCATCTTCCACTTTATGATGAACGATCCTTTGACCATCTCCAGTTTGTTCAGTGCAGATGTGGTGAACAATCAAATGGAATTGCTTCCAACTGAGACTCTCTCATTGGAATCTTCCTCCGTATCTCGAGTCTCTCAAATAACTTCTGCTTCTAATGATTACTTCTTAAAGAATTCGACCTTTGTTCCAAACATTTTAACATCGTTGGCTAACGCTATCATAGCTCAAAACAATCAAAATGATTTTCCTCTAAGAAATATGAATTCCTATATAACATACCTAATATCCCCTTATGTTGCTGTTTGTATGTCAATGGCTATAATCTTGAACAGAACTGTTGTTTTTGCTTCATCAAGAAACATCATTAACGCAAACCGAAACCGAAATCCAAACCAAAATCATTTCAATAATCACTTCAGAAATAGGAATAGAAGCGAAGGACATCATGTGTATGATCTCTTTTACAATTACATTGTTTCGAATCCTGCCAAAATAGCATTAAGATTGATTGCTTGTTTCTATCTTTTGAAGCAAGTTCGGATAATATTGATGACTCTTAACTCCTATTCGCCATTTTTCAATTTAATTTTGCCAAATAAATACTTTAACTACGATCCAAAGGCTTATAAGGACTCATACTATTATCAGCCCGCAAAACTTTTACAACAAGATGAGCTTGGTTTATCACCTAAGATATTTTGGCCATTATATTTGACCCTATGTTTTAGTCAGTTTATAGAAACCTTAGTGTCTGTAACAAGTTCTGTCTCCCCATTTAATGGCGTTGGTTTAACTTTGTTTGAACACTCATTTGCCTTTCAAGAAGCTCAGTTTGCAAGACGACCATCAGTTGAGATCTTAGTTTTGACTTTATCATCATTATGTTCTCAATTAATCATCCACATTTTGGCTTTATTCAATTTAAGAAAATACAAATTGATACCCACTTCAATTCTTGGATTTTCATTTCTCGTTTATATTGCAAAAACTTTATTCACTGGAAGAATAATATATTTTCCTTCAATTTGTGTTTTATCATTTTTTCCACAACTAATTGTTTCGTTTATTATCTCAATATCACTATTGATATATTTTTTAGCCATTCTTTGCCATAATTTCAAACTTGATGAATTGACTTTTACATCAAATAATGGCACTTTTAATGAATTTTTAAACTTTGATTTATCCGAAGATTTCAATTCTGCATTGATGCGATGGGGTGATTTAGCTCTAACTGCTGCTGCAAAAGCAAGCTATGTAAAAGAGTTGCCCAATGTCAACTTTCCAAAAACCACATGGTTATTCAATGAAAAATACAATAAAAATGGTAAAAACTATTTAAATCATTACTCTGAACTGCTTCAAAGAAAGCTTATTAAGGGAATATCTCCGTATTATAATCAGGTTGAATATCCTTCTCAATTACTAAATGAACAAGTATCTGGAAACGCAGAGCTCGATGAATTTGATAAAGGTCTCAAAAATAACTCATCATCAATTTTAAAGAGAAATTTTGATTCATCAATGAAATTGGTTAGTTATTTCTTAAACTTATGTATTTCCCTAGTATTAAGAAGAAAGAGATTACCCAAAATTTTATTGAATAAAGGAAATAACGTCAAGGATAATACCAATGAAGAGTATGTTAAAAGTAGTCTATTACCTGATGGATCAAGTAAAAAAATTCAAAACGAAAATAAAAATACAGGTGAAATTCCGATTTTTGATTTTGACATTGATTATAAACATATATTGGGAGAAATAGAATTTCCTGATTATGATATATCAGAGGACTTTGAGATTGGAAATGAGTCAAATGAGTCAAATGAAGATGATTTCGAGCCATTGGAATATGATTCAGAATATGAAAGTGGAAATGAACTTTATAACAATAGTAACGATAGTATTAACAGTTTTCAGGAAATTCCGTTGTTAAATTCTGGTATTTTAGGTAGAAGGTCCAATTTGTCAAATGCTGCATATAAGAGACAGTCAATTTTGCAAAATAGATCATCAGTGGTGTCTTTATCCCCATCATTTTCTCAAGGAGTTCTACAAAATCAATTGCAAAACAAGATAAAGCAAGGTAATAATGAAAAAAATATATTAGGGGAGTTGATTGATTCAAAAGAATTTCAAAATATATTAGCCCCTAATAGCATTGAAAATATCTCGTTCCAAAGGGTTTTAATGGCGCATTTAAATGATAAAAATAAAAGAGTATTAACTAGATCTAAATTTAATCAAATGGATAAATACCACATGAACGCATTAATGGAGTTAATGTTAGAAAAAAATAGTAATCTAATGAAAAATAGTAACCATGATCATCGTGATAACCGTAATAATTTCTCTGAAGACTATTATAATATACATGAAGATGGGAGACTGGATGTCAACTGTGTTGTGTGCCAAACAGATTCAAGGGAAGTTATATTATGGCCATGCAAATGCTTTGCTGTTTGTGAGAGCTGTAGAGTATCACTAGGTATCAGAGGGTTTGAAAGTTGTATTTGTTGCAGAAAAAAGGTGACAGGATATAGTAGAATTTATGTTCCATGATTTTTTTTCAAAGTACTAAGAACTTTTAAATTTTTAGTTACTATTTTTTATTTTAATTCTTATTATTTACACAATTACTTTTAATTTTTTTATAATTTTTTAATGGTTTAGTTAACACATCATGAGATATTAAGTATTGATGATTTCAGTTCTGTTGGTATTAACTTTTTGTTTAGTTTTCAATATAATTTTTTGGTTTTAAAGTAAAGCAATTTTAGATCTATTAAAAATATAGTAAAATGAAAATCAATATTGCATTAATTTCAGTAGTGTAAGCAAATTAAAAATTCTACTGCCAATCAAATTGGTTATCGAATTGAAACCATTATCGAAAAGATTGATGTATGTGATTATACTAAAAAAAACATGAAGGTGCAGTGTATTGCATTGTTCCAAAATGGTAGATAAAATAATATCTAACATCCTAACAAATTAAGTTAAAATAAAAACGCAAAAATTATAACCTAGGGCCGAGCTGGGAATTGAACCCAGGGCCTCTCGCACCCAAAGCGAGAATCATACCACTAGACCACACGGCCAAATTATGCATGTTTTTTTTGCAAATTTAAATTAAGCTAATATCTTTATTGGTATTTGGTTTATAAAAGGCATATTAAAAATATTACCAAACTTCTCAAAACCGACGATAACTCATTATATTTTCCAATGTCCAATAGACTCACAGGCTAGAGTCCATTCAGAGATCCCAACGATTCTCTCTGACGAAGTGGACCCAGAAATCATTCACACATATCTAGGGACGAAATGGAGCATAAGCAAACTCATCATATTTATCTCCCATGCATGGCAATTCATAAAGTAAATTGACACCAGCACATATCTTCTTAGATTTCACACTCCTGTCTTTGATGTGAATTCTCTTCCTAATTACTAGGTTTCCTCACATCTATGGTAGAATTACAAAGATAGCATTCACTCTTTTATATATAGATATAATAAACACCGTGCAAGAACCCCGATAAAGTGGGCTCTTAGCAACTATTTAAAGAAAAAACTAAAAAACATTACCAAATAATTTGACTTCCCACGATCAGTTACATATTTCAATGCCCACTTAACATTGAAGCAAGAAAAAAAGCAAAAATTCCTACAGTATTAACCATTCCTGTTGACGCTGCAATCACACACAATTACCTAGGAACAAAAGAGGGCCTACAGAAACTATATGTTTTTGTCACCCATGCATGGCAATTCATAAAATAATGTGATATAACATCAATTTTTATTTATGTTCATTCGTCCTTGATGTGAGTTTTCTTTCCTCCAGGGTTTTCTCACATCCATGGTAAAATTACAGGGACAGTTTTTGTAGTTTATATACCGACTAATAAACAGCACCGTGCAAGAACCCCAATAGGTGTGTTCTTAGCAGTTATTTTTAAAAAAAAATAAAAAAAAAATAACTTGACTATATCTTGGCCTGATATTTTTTAAGCAGTTTTTTTACATCTATAATAAATATTTTGTGATTGTTTCTAAAGCATCTTTATTAACTCTCTCTTTTTTTCTTTTCCTTTAATAACAGCTACTGGTAATTACAATCTGTTACCAAAGATGTCTTTACACAACATGTTATAAACCCAACTCAATTGTTTAATTTAATTCCAAACCTTAAAACATCATCGAATATCCTACTTATAAAAAAAAGTCCACAAAAATATGTTTAAACATTTAGATTTTCAATTTCATTTTATCTTAAACAGTTTTTTTGAGATAGGATCACTGAATGTTAATTTTTATAAAGATTAAATAAATATATGGGACCAACGAAAAAAGCTTTAAAAAGAGATAAAAGGCGGTAACATACACTACTTTCCACCTTTTCTAGTTTGTTACTTTATAAAACCAAATATTTTTTGGTTGAATTACTGATCTAAGCAACTTCTAAGAATAATTATAATTTTTTCAATTTCAATTAGAAAACATTTGTATCTGTAAGCCCAATAAACCCTTAAGAGATTTTTATTCCTACCTCATCAAATTTTATTTTCATTTCTTGTTGAATTTTGCTAATTATTTTCTCCCATTCTTCTAATTTTTTTTGGTCATCCAAACAACTAGGTTCTGGATAGTGGTCTTTTTGATTCTCAATAAACTCTAAGTTTTTCAAAATCCTAATAACAATTGAGTAATTTTTTTCATCGAAAAACTCATTTATTGCTTTAACAAAATAAGCAACATCATGAGGATCAGGCCCTGAATAACTCTTGTGAATCCATTTTTTTAATACTAATGACTTTTCCAAATTACTAGAAATCCTTTTACAATCAGCTCTTAAAAATCCCCGACTAATACCTTTATTTCCTTCGACTTTGCCAGACTTTATGGATTTACCAGTTAAACCATTTGAACTAAAAGTGTCATTATTCTCAAAACGAGTACTTCTGAACTTTGAAAGTAAATTTTTATTTGTAATATCCGTTGTAAAACCCTTCTGGTTCTCACCAATGGATCTATTAGGAGAAATCCTTTCAATTATTCTCAGATATTCAGGCTCAGAGGCATTCTTAGAACCGCTTTTCGGCAATAGCTGTTGTCGAAACACTTTTGTTGTTTTTGACTTGGGAGACTGGTACTGATACGGGATCTTAGACTCTATTAAAAGATTCTGCATTTGCTTTCCAATACTTTTTAAATTATCCGAATGTTCATCATTAATATCAGTATTTTTTATTTTGCAATCAATTCTCAATGGCTGTTTTTGTTGTTCGGAAATTTGATTTAAAATGTTCCCAAATTTATACAATGTATTTCCACTCATCTCATTAGATTCAGGTATAAGATTTTTCATTTGAATTCCAACGCCTCTTATTTCAATAGGATTGCAATTTATAAGCCTCAATAAACACTTTGCTTCTGTTGATATTATTCCAACATCATTTGTGGGCAATCCAATTTTTGAACTTTTGGATAATTGTACACATTCACCCATTCCCAAAAATTTTGGTGGAACAACTGGCGCATTTGGTGCTCTTTTCATGATTTTTAACACCAATGTTGAACCAACTTTTTTAATTTTTTTCATACGATTAACTAGCTCCTGAGATAATGAAGTTAGAAAAGTCTCCACTTGTTTCCAATGATCAAACCGAACACCCCAATTAACATCTATAGACACCGATTTATTTGCATCAAAACGGATCTTATTGATTTCTTTAGAAATTGAAAAATGATCAACGCCTCTTGTGTAATCATAAAATTTCGACCCAGTTTTATTCCCGAAAATTGATATAAACCTGCCTTTGTTGATTTTTTTAATATTTCCTATCTTGATAGGATTTAAGCAATTAGAACCTAGTTCTTTCTGAAATCTCTCGATTGTCGACCTACCTACTCCCGGTAAATCTCTGACTAATGTGTTGTTGAGAAATGTTTCTAGGAACAAATGGTCTTCGGAATTTAAAAAAAAGTATCCATTTGGTTTAGCTTTTTTCAAGGACAATTTGGCCAAAAGTACATTTGTTGAAGCACCAACAGAAATGGTACATTTAGTTAATTGTAAAATATCATTTCTAATTTTTTCTGCAAGTATATCAATATCACTCTTTGATTCGCAATTCACATCTAGTAAGACCTCGTCAATACTTACAGGTAAAATACTATTAAACTGAATGTTTTGAAGTAGGTAATCATAAAATGTTCTTGAAATCTTCTCATAATTGACAAAATTATATTTTAAACAAATCAAATTTGGACATATTTTTTTAGCATTTTGAACCCACATGCCATTTTTAATACCAAATTTTCTGCAAACGTAATTGCAAGAGGAAATATCAGAAGTGCCAGAACCATGAGAAACACAAACAGGAAATTTCTCAAAATCAATATTTGGATAATTTAAAGAAGAAACTTTTGCAAAAAAACAATCAAAGTCAATATGAAGTACAATGGAATTACTGGTAGAGACAGAAGTTTTCATTTTTAATAAATTATTTTGTTGAAGATTTACTTCAATTGCTTTTTCTACAAACTCTGATTTAAGATCGGATTTCCAAGTGCTCAAGTGATGTAATCTAGAATTTGAAAAGTAGTACTTAAGAAATTCTGGGTCCTTTGAGTCAATATTTTTAGAAATGGTAGAATCCTTTTGCACTTGGTGTTCTTGGTTACAAGTTTTTTCTTTATCAAAATATTTTTTTTGATTAGGAACGTTATTATGAACAGGTATTTTATCAGTAACTTTTGTTCCACTGAAAGTTTTCTTGGTATTCAAAACCTCATTTTTGCTGGAAATATCAATTTCGTTGGAACTTCCACTTTTTTTATTGTGGTCAAAACCTTCTTCTTTATTTAATGTTATTTTATTGTCTTTTTCAGTATTTAGTTTGAAATTATTATTATTATTATTATTATTATTATTATTATGATTATTATTATTATTATTATTATTATTATTATCATTATTATTGGTAAATTCGTTTTCTCGAATTACGGTATTTTGAGTTTGAATTTTAAGATTTAATAATTTCAGTTGATCACATTCAGTAACTGAATTTAATAGACTATAGATTCTCCAATTCATTAAATTTTGATTTTTTATACTATCAACAATCCATTCTGGTTTAACAACTTTACGATATTTTAGTAGAGTTAGTTTTCTCGGAGTTAATTTAGTTGCAATTATATGAGTAACCATAGGATTCTCAGTAGAAGAGTATTTTCCTCCGTATAGGGTTACTAATTTACGAAGTGTTTGAGAGTTTGGATTAGTATAGCCATTGATATACACAATACAATTTTTGAAAATGGGAATGTAATTTTTGTTATTTGGGTTTCTCTTTTGTTCCCATTTAACAAACTCTTGGTCAGCCTTTTGTTGTTTTAATTGTTTATTGACAAAGTAGGATTTGTAGTCGCCAAATTCTCTTTCGTTACCATTCAACTCATCGCTTGAAATTGCCACTAAGTTGTCAGATGAACTATCATCTATATCAATAAAATCATCGATCTCACCAATCTCTCCAATCTCATTAATTTCATTAATTTTATTAAATTTTGGTTTGTGATTAGTTTGACTTGCTTTAGTAGAGTCATTATTTACGATGTTATCAAGGTGGCTAAGATTGTGGGGATTTGGGTTATTAATTAAATGATGATTTATAATCTCATCAATGTCATCATTAAAGTCTTTAGTTAAGTCGTCGTCACTTGAATTATTTAAATTTGAATTTGAATTTGAATTTGAATTTGAATTTTGGGTTTTCTCTGATTTTTGATGATGATTATTTATTAGGTGATTTACAATTTTGTTGTTAGATGTTTTGATTATCCGATTATTAGTTGAAGGAGGGCTACTATTAAGAATCCCATTTGAGTTTTTTATATTATCATTGATTTTGTGATTTGTTAGGCCATTTGAAACGAGGACAGTATTATTTTCAACTGCAAAAGAATGTGAATCAGAGTCGCTAGTTGAATCATCATAAGAGTTATTTATGATTTGATTGATCATCTCATCAATTGAAATAGTTTCAATGGTTTTAATTTGATTTTGTGGATTAATTTGGATTGAGTCATCAAGAATGCTTTCTAGCTTAGCTAAATTTGTTTTAAAGTTTTCAGATTTATTCAGTGTATTTGAATTATTTGAATTATTTTGAATTGTTATCTTTTTCAGTCTTTTTAACTTTTTAGGAGGTTTCAGTTTTTTTTTTAGATTTAAAAGTTGAAGATTACCAATAGCATTACTATTATCATATGCATTGATTTCATACTTATTTGAATTTTCATTTCTACTAATGCTGGTAAAAGACACTGTTTTTTTATTTCTTATTTTTCTTTTGCTTCTGTTTCTGTTTCTGCTTCTGCTTCTGTTTTTGCTTTTGCTTTTGCTTTTGCTTATGTTATCATTATCATTATCATTATCATTATCAGTATCAGTATCGATATCGATACAGCTATCATTATCAGTATCAGTATCGATATCGATACAGCTATCATTTGAGGATTCAATTGAAGGAAATTTCAGTGAGATTGATCTTATTTGGTTCAGTCGTATTTTGTTCTGTTTTTTAATCTTATTTATCCTGTGTTTTTTGACTATGCTGTGTCTGTGTTTAAAATCATTATCATTGTCCAGAGTGTCAGTATCGTCACTTATATCGATGAAGGGCTCATCCAGGGAAGCATGCTTTCTTTTGCGATTAATCCGAGAGATTAGAAACTGTACTCTTTTGCTATTTCTTGTTCTTGAGCTTGGAGTGTTCAAATCCGAACTGAGACTCTCTGGAAAAGTGCTAGTGAATTTACTGGCAGAAGCAGTATCGGTGTCACTGTCATCGCTGATATCAATGACTTGCTCGTTATAATACCCCAGGTTTGAGGACAGGTTTCTCATGGAAGAACAACTGCTTTCCAGAACAAAATCGTATCAGTGGTCGAAAAGAAAAAGCCCAGTCGAAAAGCAATAAAAAGCCGTTTTTGCAAACGTCAAACGGAAAATCAAAGCACAGAAAACTCGGCCCCGCACCAGTAGGATTATCGGCGCTTGTGCGCTCCGTCACAGACAAATACACCCTCGAAAAAGAGACAATGCTGGGCTTGCTCTCAGCCAGCACAAAACGCCCTTTGCCGACCAGAGCAGTGGGTCTGAAGAAGATAAATGCTGCTTTTATAAAGAAACAAAATCGCTCCTCAATCCGAATTCAACACAGCAACTTTTTCATTGCCTCTCTTCAACAACGCTGCAGCGCTTATCTCGTCGAACACAATGAAATTCTCAAACACCTTACTCTCATCTGCCTTGTTATTTGCTGCTTTCTCCAGTGCTTCCAAAGAGTCCTGTGAGAATCTTAAAACTGCTCAGTTGCAGCGCTGTGGTGGTCTTCAAGACACTTATTCCTGTGTCTGCAGTTTATCCAGTGAGCAATATTGGGACTATTACTACGACTGTGTGATTAATGGTGGCGCTAGTGTTACTGTTGCCTATTTGGACAATCTCAAAGTTCAAATTTGTGGTGGATCATACTAAAGATCAGTCAGTTTCTTAAAACTACATAATGGGAACCAGTCTAAAATAGAAACACAAACCTATCATATTAGCATATTGCATACTTTCATATTAAATACTATCGATTCATAACCTTCTATTCCAAAAACAAATACACATATCATCAAATGGCATAAATTTTATATCACTTTAATGTAGATCCTCCTACCACTGATTCCAACATATCGAAAAACTAGACAAATTAAAAGATAAATCAAAATCAATATCAAAATCAGAATATTTAGTATAAAGACTTTGATTTTTTATTGGGGTTCATTTTTTTTTTCATCCTAAAATGAAATTAAAAAGAAAAATTAGTTTCTTTTCTCTGAAAATCTTTCTTGAAACTTATTTTGACTCCTGAATCTGTTAAATGGTCTGACCCGTATCCAAACCACTAGACTTTAGATCTTAAAAAGCAACTGTCAAAGATTCTATCTACAAACAAAGAGAAATGAAAAACAATTGTGATCAAAGCAAAAAATATTTCAAATAATAACAATTTCAAAAACTTGAAAGTTTTCCATCACTTTTTGGCAAAAGATATTTTTAGATCAATTTTTCGAAGCTCATCAAAAAAGATGAGGAAAAACGTTACATGCAGTGATCTGCAGATATATGTAGAAATTCATCGCTTTTTTAAAAACTTGAAAAAGAACAAATCAAAGAATTACATATCTATAAATTATTAATTTCATAACAGGCCAATAATCTAAATTAATTCCAGCTAGAAAAAAATAATTAAACATTTTTTTTGACAATCCAAAATGAAAATGCTTGGTGATCCACTAATTGGGAAAGAGAATTCCATTGGTTTATCAAGAAGCATTCAGACATTATCTTGGTCAAATTATAATTAATAGATATTAAATCAAATCAGCGAATGAAAAAAAATAGAAAAATAAAAATAGAAAAACAACCATAAGTAAATGAAAAATATCTCCTCAAATAAATAAGTAGTGATAACTCACCAGTATTTGTACTGATACTAACACACTCAAATACTAAAAACACAATTACAATTTCTCCAATTGGAACGGTAAACCACACTTTTGTTATTCCAAATGAGGAAATTTAAATGAAAAAATTGGTTTATTTTAAGTCAATTTAAAGGTTTAAAGACAATTGTTGATAACGCTTACTTTCGGTTGTTTCACGTGCTGGGTGCAGGAAAATTGTAGCCATCGCTCAAAACAAAATTGGCTTATCCTTTTTCTTTATCATTATCGTTATCATTTGTAATCTTGTTAGTGATTACAATCACAACTGCAATCAAAGATACAAAATATGATTCTGTTTTATTTTTTTTTTCTCCTTACTCTATTCATCAATACTATAGATTCATTTCCAGCGAACCATGTTTTCAAATTAGATTATCAAAGGCAAAATGGGTTACTTGAACATCAGGTAATGCAGCAAAAGAGCACACCAAATCAAGATAAAGACGATAGAAAATGGGATTCAGTCATAAAGACCAATCAATTTAATGATTATTCATTAAGAATCAAGAAAAATAATCCAGCAATACTTGGAATCGATCCTGATGTCAATCAATACTCTGGTTATTTAGATATACAATCAGTAGATAAGCACTTTTTTTATTGGTTTTTCGAGAGCAGAAATGATCCAGTTAATGACCCATTAATACTATGGCTAAATGGTGGGCCAGGGTGCAGTTCAATGACGGGGTTGTTTTTTGAACTAGGACCGTCATCTATTGATTCCAATTTAAATCCAGTTTATAACAAATACTCATGGAATAATAATGCGAGCGTTATATTTCTTGAACAGCCTATTGGCGTTGGATATTCGTATTCCAAGTCATCAAATCTTGTATCGAGTACAGATGCTGCCTCATTGGATGTATTTGTCTTTTTAGAATTGTTCTTTCAAAAATTTCCAAATTTTCTCAACAATAAATTTCATTTGGCTGGAGAATCATATGGAGGACATTATCTACCAAGGTTTGGATCTGAGATAATCAATAGAGAAGACCGCAGTTTTAATTTAAGCTCTATAATGATTGGAAATGGATTTACAGATGCATTGGTTCAATACAATTTCTATGAGCCAATGGCATGTGGATTAGGAGGGTATAAGCAAGTATTGACGGATAAAGAATGCGATGATATGACCAATTCATATCCATTTTGCGCCAAGTTAGTTCGAAATTGTTATAAAAACTTAAATGCATTTTCATGTGTTCCTGCACAGTTTTATTGTGAAGGCAAATTTAACGATGCGTATAATAAGAAAAATTTGAATCCATATGATATAAGGAAATACTGCGATGAAGGTGAAAATAATGATGAGTGTTATAAGGAATTTTCGTACATTGAGGATTATTTAAATTTGGATTATGTCAAGGAGGCATTGGGATCGGAGGTTGATAAGTTTGTGTCATGTTCGAATTCAGTATTTCAAGCGTTTACATTTACGGGAGATTTGATTAAACCTCATCAGCAATATGTTGCAGAGTTGCTAGACCGCGATATTCCAGTATTATTATATGCTGGGGATAAGGATTATATTTGTAATTGGTTAGGCAATGAGGCATGGTCATTAGATTTGGATTATAAAGATCATGATAAATTTTTAAAAGAGCAGTTTAGAGATTATTATCTTTTACTGGATAAGAATGGTGATAATAACAGTGAGAATGAGAAGGAATATGGAGGATCATTTAGGAACTATGGAAATTTCACATTTCTAAGAATTTTCGATGCTGGACATATGGTTCCATTTGATCAACCCAAGGTTTCGTTAGATATGGTTAATAGGTGGATTAGTGGTGATTATTCCTTTGAGGAAAACTAATTTAGTTAATAAAAAGATACATATGAATAAAATTTTATACAAAAAAGTATACATAATCATATAATCATATAATCATATAGTCAATTTTTACTAATTTATTCATAACTACTTTAGAACACTTGAGGTTGCATCGATAACCTCAAGAGTGATAAATTAATGGGAAAAAGAACAAATGTTGTACAGATCCAAATAACCACACAATATTGCACCAGAAGGCCCACCCTGTGGGAATATGAGCTTGAATAGCCCACCTCTAAAAAGGGACCTATGTGTAAGCTTTGTGAGAAAAAAAATACCAAGTCAAAAAGCGATGAGCTGATCATTGAAATGAAACAAAGGGTTCTACTTAATCAATGTGAAGCAGTTCAAGGAAGCCGAAACTCAATTGGCTAGCAAGTGGTAGCCATTTTGTAGTCGTTTTGTAACCAAGTGTTGGGCTGTTGATTAGTAGATAATTACTGCTTTTGATTACAAATTAATTATTTAACGATTGGATATATACTGCAATTGTGCTCAAGTGTGTTAACAATGCTACAAAGCGTCCAAAAGATATTAGAAAGGCTGCTTCGGAGTTTCTCTATTAGGCATGCGTTGGGGTTGGTCCAAATGCCTGAGATAAGGCCAGTGAGACTGTTGAAAACAAACAAAGTGTTGGTTGTCTGCTGTGGTTTTGAAGAAAGTGCCAGTGTTTTCGGGCTAAAGATAAAATATATCCCCCATCTCACTAGCCATCCGCAATGTATGGAGGATAGTGCAGCATTGAAACAGTATCTCCAGCACAGCCAGGCAAGATTACCAACTTTTGCAAATGAGAATGCACCCGCACCAAAAGAGTAGGAAGAATTCCTTTTTGTGCAATCAGTTGAGTTGCAACAAAAATGAATAATAAGGTTACAGCCATAACCACAGGCCCATAACCACTCCCTCACTGTAACCATTTTAAAATCCTCTTGAAAAACAAGCGAAGTTCCAGTCTAGGGTGTGTATGCCGATTTTTCTTTTTTTTCTCCTTTGATTCTGCTCTGATCCAGTTTTGTGAAAAGCTCGGAATGGAGTTTTTCTTAGTTTTATCGAGCTGTTGAGCTAGTGGTGGATGTAGGATTTGAGTTTCAAGCCAAAAGGCCAGCAAAAACTCCGTTCTGTAGTCCGAAATCAGAGTTCCAGAGGGGTCGAGAGAGGTAACAGGCCTCGTAAGAAAAGCACATACTAGGGGAACACATATGTTCCCCAACAGTCCCAGCCCCTCGCTCTGCGCTAAGTTTGTTACTCCGGGAAGCTGCGGAGTCCTTGTGCAGGTTTGTTTACCCCAGTTTTCCACAAGCACGTGCTCGTGCTCGCAACCACCTCCAGCGAGCGCCAACGGGCCAATCAGCGTCGAGCGTGCAAGCTGCTGATTTGGGGTCTGATGTGCTGCTTCACCTCCAAAGTACTCGACCTTGGGCAAATCTCAACAACCTCAACAACCTTAACACCACTGGTCTTTTGTCTGGGGCCTTTTGGCTCATCTGCTGAATTGTTGTGCTGCGACTGTTTACAATTACTCTCAGCTGTGAAAAAGTGGGGTTGTGTCTTCATTTCGACCACTTCTACCCAGTTTCCTTTTTCTCGAATCCCCTTTCCTTCAATATAAAACCTTTCCAATTCCCTTTGTTTTTTTTATTTTCAGCTTCGTTTTTACTTCTTCATCAGATCCGTAATCTCATACTTTTCAATTATAGTACACTTTCACTACTATTCCTTTTATATTCTATTTCATCTCGATATCTATATTCAATCACAATGGGCTTACCTCTATCTACCAAAATTACCTTGCCAAATGGTATTGTTTACGACCAACCAACCGGTTTATTCATCAACGGTGAATTTGTTCCATCCAAATCCGGAAAGGTTTTCGAGGTCATTGATCCATCAACCGAAGAAAAGATCACTGATGTCTATGAAGGTTTTGCTGAAGATGTTGACATCGCTGTCGACGTTGCTGAACATGTTTTCAAAAAGACTAACTGGGCCACCCAAGACCCAGCTGTCAGAGGCAAGCTATTAAGCAAATTAGCCGACTTGATTGAAAGAGACTTGGAAATCTTAGCATCAATTGAATCCGTAGATAACGGTAAGGCTATTGTCTTAGCCAGAGGTGACATTGGTTTAGTGGCCAATTACATCAGATCTTGTGCTGGTTGGGCTGACAAAGTTTTCGGTAAGGTTGTTGAATCTGGCGACTCTCACTTTTCCTACTCCAGAAGAGAACCTCTAGGTGTCTGTGGTCAAATCATCCCATGGAACTTCCCATTACTCATGTGGTCCTGGAAAATTGGTCCAGCTCTTGCTACTGGTAACACTTGTGTTATGAAAACCGCCGAATCCACTCCATTGTCTGCCTTATACGCTTGCAAATTACTTAACGAAGCTGGTTTCCCACCTGGTGTCTTAAACATCATCAACGGTTTTGGTCCAACTGCTGGTTCTGCCATTGCCACTCACCCAAAGATTAAGAAAATCGCTTTCACTGGTTCAACCAACACTGGTAGAATTATAATGAAAGCCGCTGCCGACTCAAACTTGAAAAAGGTCACTTTAGAACTAGGTGGTAAATCTCCAAACATTGTCTTTGCTGATGCTGACATTGAACAAGCTGTTGCCAACATCTCTTTGGGTATTTTCTACAACTCTGGTGAAGTCTGTTGTGCAGGTTCAAGAGTTTATGTTCAAGACTCTGTTTACGACAAAGTTTTGGCCGAATTTGCTAAAGATGCTGCCAAAGTTAAAGTTGGTAACCCATTTGACGAAGAAGTTTTCCAAGGTGCTCAAACCTCTCAAATGCAAGTTGACAAGATTTTATCCTATGTTAAAGTTGGTAAAGAAGAAGGTGCTAGATTAATTTGTGGTGGTGAAAGATTAGGTACCAAGGGTTACTTTATCAAACCAACCATCTTTGCTGATGTTAAAGAAAACATGAGAATTGTTAGAGAAGAAATCTTCGGTCCTGTTGTCACTATAACAAAATTCTCTTCTATCAATGATTTGATTGAAATGGCCAACAACTCTGAATACGGTTTAGCTGCTGGTATCCACACCACAGATATTAACAAAGCTATTGATGTTTCTAACAGAATATCTTCTGGTACCGTCTGGATTAACACTTATAACGATTTCCACCCAATGGTTCCCTTTGGTGGTTACAACCAATCTGGTATTGGTAGAGAAATGGGTGCTGAAGCTTTGGACAACTATACCCAAACCAAAGCTGTTAGAATTAAGCTCACCAGAAAAGATGCTTAAATTTATTTTAATCAAAATCAAAATAAATATTAATGTTTTCTTTCACAATTCTTTTTTTTAGTTGTTTCACGTCTTTTTTTTTTCTGTTTCTCCATGTATATGGTTTGGATTTTGTTATGAAAATTTTTTATGAATGAACATATTTTACTATTTAAAATAATTATTTTCTTTTTTGTAGTCTTTGTAATAACAATAAGATAATACATTTTATTTATCTATCTATCTATCTTTATTTATTTATGAATTGTCCTATCTATCTATCTACCTATCTATCTATAACACAAAGGAAAAATTAATAAAAACCCAGCTTATGTACGTCTGTCTAAATACCTAATCAGTGTGAAATGTATTGAAATGCAAAGCTTATATCATTGAAATTGAACTCATTTCTCAAGAGAGAATCTTGGATATTATTTAGTCCCTCATGATTAATATGATTCCATGTTGTTGAATCACCATAAAGCATCGCTGGCGATTTAATAAATTGTTTTCCATTCTTACATCTTTTGCAATTATAGGTAGTGTGTGTATCACAAACAAGATTGGGTGAAAATTCAAACAATTGTTTCAAATTATCTGCCGAGAATAATCTCTCAACATCCTGAGCTTCATCAACAACACATGAGGATAACGACAATTTCATTGATTGCCTCTGGAATATTTTTTCTTCAATTGTTCCTGTTGAAATAAATCGGTAAACATAGCAGTTCTTTTTTTGCCCATCTCTCCAAACTCTGGCCAAAGCTTGTTGATCTGAAGCTGGATTCCAATCTGGGTCAATTAGAACCAATCTATTTGCCCCGATTAAATTGATACCACACCCACCTGCTTTTGAACTTAGCAAAAAAACAAATTCTTTACCTTCAGGATTGTTAAATTTATCAACAAGTTTTTGTCTCTTATTAACATTCATTGTTCCATCTAATCGCAAAACACCATATCTATTAATTCTGCACATTTTTTCGATCAAATCCAAAGTTTGGGTATAGTTGGATATTAAAACAATTTTATCATCAGTTTCTCTTTTAATTTTGTATAAAAATCTTTCTAATATTGAAAATTTCCCTGAATATTGAGTTTGGACTTCTCTATTTCTGCCATTATTTGCAGTTGAACTGACGTAGTCATCAGGGATTAAGTGATCGCAACCTTCAATATCTTCGGTTAGATTTAGTAAATCTGGATGGTTGCATAGTTTTTTTAGTATACCAATAGCTTTTAAGGGCTGAGAACCAACACCTCTTAGCAATTTTTTGATTTCAGGAGAAGTGACAAAATAGTTGTAAATTTTTTTTTGCATTGGAGATAGAGTACAAAAAACCACATGCTCATATTTAACAGGTAAATATTTTGACAAAATATCGTTTGTTCTTCTTATTATAAACTTTGATACAATTTGTGTTAATTCATTCAACTTTTTTTGCCCCTTTTCGACTTCTTTTTCAGTAGCGTCAGCATCTCTTCCTCTTAAAATTATGTTTTCAAAGAGTTTCTTAAATTCGATTTTTGTTCCAAGTAAACCAGGATTGGAAAAACTTAATAGAGAAAAATACTCGGATAAATCATTTTGAATTGGAGTACCAGATAATATTACTCTTCTCTTACAGTTCAAAGAGTTTAAAGAAGTAAAAGTTAACGATTCACCGTTTTTCAAACGATGGCCTTCATCAGCCAATATCAAACCAATCTCTGTGTTTTGAAATTTGTCAACGTTTCTTCTTAGAGTTTCGTAGGATATGATTAGAACGGGTCTAACTATATTTCTTCCGGTTGCAAGAGCCCATTGGCTTATAACAGTTGCAACATCTGAACCCTTGGTTGATTTACCATCGATTGGCAATGGAGTTAGAGTGTTTTCACCCAACCATTTCACGATTTCATTTGCCCAATTTTTGACTAAAGATGAGGGACAAACGATTATGGCTTTTTCTATTGTTTTCTTGCCTCTTGGGCCTTGCTTAAGTAAAGTCCACATCAACGCTATGCACTGTAGAGTTTTACCTAAACCCATTTCATCTGCCATTATACAGCCTCGAGCTCGAGGATCTATTAAACCAGCAGTACAACGATAGAGAAATTTGACACCGGATATTTGATGTGGACGCAATATTTTTGATAGTTTGGGGTCTATTATTACAGGGACATTGGGGGCATTTTTGATGACATCTTCAGGGTTCTTGTTTATGCCTAAAATTTCAGCAAGGCTTTTATGAACCTTTCTTCTTTTTGAAGGTCTTTCAAGGACAGAATTGTTCTCATTTTCACTGACAGATTGGTTTTCATCGATTAGCTCTATCGAAGAAGAGGATTCAGACGAAGAAGCTTCTGAAGCAGGCGGTGGTATGGTGGGAAATACATCGATGGTTGGATCGTATAGAACTATTGCAAATTCATCATTGGGATCAAACAAAGGCCTTGGTAGTAATATTGGCTTTCGCCTTGTGCCCAAGGGAGGAGGAGGTTGGTTTAGACTGAAGGTGTTGATATTTTTTTTTGTTTGGTTAGTGAAAGGCACCGTGAAAGACTTTTTGAAGGTTATTTGAATGTTGCTATTGAAATCGGCATTTATAAGAATTCTTCTTGGATGCAAAGCATTGATCTTCTTGACAGATCTGCTGAACTCGTTGATTGAGAATGAGTCGTCATTTCTGCCATTTACGGTTTCCTGGCCTTCAGAGTAGTTTATTAGCTTTGTTCGCGCTTTTCGTAAGGGCAAGTTTGAGTGGATATTCGAAGACCTCAACTTTATTGGAATATGGAAGGGCTTTAGCAAGGTAGAAAGAGGATCTTTGATAGACCTTGGTCGTTTTCCAGCAGGCAATCCAGCACCAGTTCCTAGCTCAGCAGTGGGCTTGTTTGGCAATCTTCTTCCCATTGTTGTGTTATGAGTGGTTAGTAGGTGAAGTGGCAATATGGAAATGCAAATGTGCAAAAGTAGCAAGACCTTGCAGCGTATTCAAAAGAGCGATTGTGAACTGTCGAGAGCTGTGTAGCGTGTCCAGCAGAAGCACTTCTTCCTCTGATTACTGATTATCCTCTGATCATCTCTGATCCTCTCTGATCCTCTCTGATTATCTTCTCTTATATTTCGATCCACAGGGCTTTCCACCCGTGCAGCTGGAACTTTCCGGCTTCCGGATCGGGGAAAACGCGAAACTGCTTTTGTGGAGAGTGCTTTTAAGATTTATTCAGTGGAATTTCTACGTGTTTCTACAGCTGCCGGTGCTGCTTTTGCTGTCCGTGCTGCTTCAGCTGCGTCGTTTCTTACCAAAGGCATCCGAGTCACTGGAGAAGAGCTTCCTCTTCTTGCCGCTGTTGGCAAAGAAATCCTTCTTGCGTTCCTTCTGCTTCTCGTCGATCATCGCATTCTTCTTTTCAAGTCGTTTGAGTCTGTCCTTGTTCTTCTCTGATCTTTTGGCCTTTCTCTTCTCGTCTTTGTTTTTTCTGATAGTCGACACCTTGTGGATGATGTCCCTGGCCTTTCGCTCATCTCCATTCAACACCACAGCTCTTTTCTGCATGTACGTTTTGTTCTTTTGTGGTTTCATTTGGACTATTTGTGATTTGAAGGGCAACTCTTTTTGTAACGACTTGGGCACTCTCAACGGATTGAATCTTCTCTCTTCTCTAGCCACTTTTTCATAACTTGAATTGGGGTTCATTTCAATGCTCTGATTCAAATCAGCTCTCAACTTGCCCACTAACCTCATTCCCTTCCATTCTTTTTTATCTCTTATCAACAATGATGTCACTGGATTATAAAACTTTTTAATCTTCACCGGATACCATGTCCTCAAAAATACTATATCGCTCATCAATATTTTGTCCTCAAACGTAGCCCTAAAATACCCATCAGGTTTCGACAATGCTCTTTTAATTTCTCCACGGATTCCTGATACTGTTTTGATTGAAGCTCCTTCGAATTTCGCAACCTCCAACGACGTCGAAAACATGTCTTTTATAAATGCCGTATTTCGATATATCTTATAAGGATACCCAACTAGTTTCAACTTTTTGACAATTTCCACTGAACTATCGATTTCCTCAATAATTCCAGTTGCCGCAATTCTAAACGATCCCGTAGTATCACTATTAGCCAAAATCTGCATTCCACAGAATGTTGTATTGGGTGCTATCAATGGTCCATAAAACGACACATTACAATACGCGTGCTCTGGTGTGTATTTCAACATTCTGGTTCTGGTTCTGGAATCTGATGTTGTGTATATCGGTAGCGTTTGAAATCTTCTCCATCCTAACGATAAAATCAATGGATCGCTGGTTTTCAAAATTTTTTTATGCCATCTGTGTCTTCGTATTCTGGCATTTAAAATCCCAAATCTTTCTTCCGTTTGCAATAATCCCCCAATTATAATAGGATAAACTGGGTCAAAATTCTCGATAAACTCATATGGCAATCTCTCAAATGTCAACTTAACATACGACCCTGCTGTGTATCCTTCAATTTTGGTTCTGGTTTCAACGTCCATTTTTGTTAATTCAGCTTTATTAATTTCCAACTGTTTAGCCATCTTGGCCTTTTGGATATCATACCATGTTTCATCGTTACCTTCAGGATCATCAATTCCAAACTCTCCACCACCTTCTTCTGCTTCAAACTGCAATCTTAGCTGTTCTTTCTTTTTAGCTGTTAATGCTCGTTTTTCTTCGACTGTCAAATTTTTAAAATCTTCATCCATATTTGGTTCTTCTTCTTCACCATTTTCATCTTTTCGTTCTTCTGCATCAAAATCAGCAAAATCATCATTATCATCATCACTATCACGTAATTTTTTGTTTAGAGGCCTCTTCTTATCATCAGAACCAAACTTTTCCTCTGTCTCTAAATCTTCAAAATCACCATATAATTCCTCATCCGAATCATCACCTACCTCTTGGTTATCACCGCTATCATCTTCTCCAATCATTTTTTTCGACAAAATAAATCTTCTCGATATTAACGCAAATGGTGAATTCCCCGCACTATCCTCCTTATCTATATTACTGTTATTATTATCAAAAATCCATTTATTTTTCAACATCTCAATGTCTGAAAAATGAGGCTTGTACGAATCAAATTCATTGCTTGGCTCTTTATAAATTTTTTTCTTGAAAAAATCCTCCTCTTCAATATCTTCTTCTTCGCTTTCATCACCACCACGATTATAAACTCTATCTATCACATCTTCGGGTTCAATATTATTGGCGTATAAAAGCTTGTTTATATCCCATTTTCTAGTTACAGTTCCTTGCAATTTCCTTGCTTGTTTTTTCCAGTTATTACCATCAGAATCATAGCTATCATCAGATAATCCAATATCAGAATCTTCTTCAAATTCTAGTTTTTCCTTTTCATTGGATTCGTAAATTTCAGTTCGAATCCTTTGAAATCGTTTTCTTTCAAAGTCTTCTTCTTCTTCATCAATTCCTTGTTCCAAAATATCTTTATTTTCATCCAACTCATCACTATTATAATCATCATCATCATCATCATCATCATCATCACCTCTGATTTTGCTCGCTGAAGTAGGTTTTCTTAAGGTTTTTCTGCCAGTATTATTTATCTGTTCTTCTGAGTCTAATTCATCCAATAATCCTTGCGGCTCATCATCTAAATTATCTGAATCCAAGTCCTCAACTCCATTTATTTCTTTAGAATTTGAAAATAACCTGAAGCTAGGAGAACTTCTGATTTCATCATCAAGTGTTTTGTTTGCTTCTTGAAGACTGGCTACAAGTTTTTCTGTTTCTGCATCTTTTTTTCTAGATTTATTTTCCCCAACATCAATATAAACAGCATCTTTGTCCACAAGAACACCACCAACATCTGACATTGGAGCATATATGATCTTTTGTCGATCATTCAATCTTTTTCTTCTTGTTTTTCTTTTGGTGGTGGTGCTTGAATCGTCTTCATTTTTTTGAGCTTCTCTTTGAAGCTCATCTAGTTTTTCTTCAAAATGTGGAGTTGGACATGGATCAACTAACTTTTCAATCGATTGAATCGTGACATCTCCACATCCAGCAATGTGCACTCTCGGGTTGCTTGAGGATAATGGAGTTCCATGTAAATAGCCATATATGGCAATCTTTCTGTCACATTTTTTATTTTTCTCAATTAGTGTTGGATGAGTCAAATCTGTTACTCGATCTGCCAATAGATATGGATGTTCATTTCTCCATTTTAATGGCCTGAACTTCATGGTAGAAATAAATCTAGATAAGTTAAAAACCTCACGATCAGGATACCTGCCATTCAAAACACCTGATAAATAAAAGAGCTTAGCACCTTTGTATACTTCAGTCCAAAGACGAGTCTTTAAACGCTTTTTCGAAGTTCTCAAGGTTGATTGAGATTTGAACAAGTCCAAATGTGTTGCAATGGCTAACACTCTGGGCATTCCATGATGCTGGGCAATATTCAAAAATTCCATTGTTTCCATTTCAAATCCAAAATTCCCATCAATCAATAGTAGCACCAAATCAGCAATCTTGGCAATATCAACCATTGATGATAAATCATTGGAAACTTCAATAAATGTCAATCTTCTTCTTTTACCACTAACAAGAGTAATTGGCCCTCTTATGTCTGTCAAAGTGGTTTTGGCCAATATTCTCACCAAAGACCTTATCAATGTTGTCTTTCCTGTTCCTGGTGGCCCAACTACTGCCACTATTACCGGAGGAGGATCAACATCAGGAGTTCTGTCTATCATTGGAACATGAAGCTTTTTTTCCTTCACATCATGGGCCCTTAAAGCCAATTTGTGAGCTTTATTTGGGGCAGCAACAGCAAACCCCTTATGGCCCGCACCTGAAGCTAAATTCTTCCCCATTTTGGCAGTATATATATAAATTTGATTCTGAATTAATTAGATGTGTTTCAATAGAGTTTTTCACTTTTGAGATTGAAAAATATTTCAAAAAAAATATCTGCACGTGAATCGAAAAAAATTTTGAAATTTCTTTCTTGTTCCAAACCGTTGGCGACGTTCTTAAATTGCTCGATCAGGAAATTCTCTTCAATATATTTTTTGGTGATTTGGGTTCTATTGAAGTTACAATGTAATTACAACAAAAGAAGACAACAAATGTAACGGAGATGAGAAATATTTTTGTTCGTATAAAGTGATTCTCTAACTAATCTTGAAAGTGTTATCATGTCTGGGTAAAAAAAACATCTGTTTCTTCGGGGCCTCCAAGTGTTAACATGTTTCACATTTACTGGTTTGTTATGTAAATACGAGGAATTACTATTATTCATATAGCTCCTGATAATAGATCGTGATCAAACAAAATAAGCAATAATTGAATCTAAAACTGAAATAAACTAAAATTAAAAACTGATGTATCTAACAAAAACATAAAAAAAAATAAAACATGTAGAAAAAAAAATTCAAGTAGTAATTAAATTGGATAAACAGAAAAACCATGACAAGAAAAAAATATCAAAAAGTAATATAAATTTATGAAATAAAAAATTCAAATCTAAAGAAGTTTTCATTTTATTGTGTGGTACATTTATAACCCTTTTAATGCATAAAAACATAAATTCTTATCAGAAAAGGCAACAAAATTCATTTAAACTAAACTAATTAATTTTATATTAAACCAACGAAAATAATAAAATTAGAAACCAAATGGGTTATCTGGAGTGGCTGCAGACAAGTTGGCCCTTCTGCCAGTTTGTTGGTTTTGTAAAGGTTGAGCTTGCATTCCTCCAAAACTAACATTTGGCATTTCTGTGGGTGCGTTGCCAAAACCAAGACCGGTTGGCTGATATTGAAGAGGTGCTTGTTGTTGAACTTGTTGTTGTTGAAATGATGTAGGTTGCATTGAAGAAAACTGGTTCATTTGTGTAGGAAACATTGACTGTTGTGTTTGTTGTGGTTGAAACATTGTGTTGAAACTGGTAGTTGGTTGAGAATTAAAACCAATAGGAGTTTGGCCAATTGAATTATTAGAGAAAGTATTCTGAGGAATTCCAGTCTGATTAAACCCTGTTTGGTTGAATCCGGTTTGACTAATATTAGGTTGGTTAAATGTAGTTGGAAATTGATTGAAGCCAGTTTGATTATTTATATTCATATTTGCAAACATATTCTCAAATCCGGTTTGAGGTTGCGGGTTCACTGGTTGACTTGGAGCAATAAAACTACTTCCAGCAAATGAAGTGGTGGGGAAAGTCACCCCTGAACTGGCGGTAGATCCAGTGAAAGAGCTAGTTGGCATAGAAGTTACAAAGCTAGTCTGTGGCATTCCAGTAACCGTTCCACCTGTTTTTTGCAATGGTATCAATCCACCTGTTGTCATTTGAACAAAGCCACCCGTCCTTTGAACAGGAACAAGTGTGGTAGCTGAGGTACCAAATGTAGTTTGTGGGATAATAAATGATGTCTGAGGCATTCCTCCGCCAGTTTTTTGGATTGCAAAAGTTGTTGTAGTTTGAGGAATCAATACAGGTTGCATGGGCATCATCATACCAGTTTGTAAGGGGAGAATCATTGCTGCACCTCCAGTTGCAAATGGAACCAAATTTCCTCCAGTCTTGAATGGATCCAATGGTATCAAATTTCCTGTTCTCTGGGATCTGATAGAAGAGCTTGTCTTTTGAGATTTCAATGAGGACCCTGTTTTGGATGGTTGTAATACTGGAACAATTGGTTTGGTTGACTTTATTGGAGAAATAGCAGAAGCGGTACTGTTTCCATTGGTAGCTTCCAAAGGTTTAAGATCAACAAGATCTTGCAAAGAACCGGTGAAATCTGGCTGAGAGTGTGGAGCAGCTAAATTGGTTTTGTTATCCTTGGCCAAGTTGACAGTATTATTGTTATTCTGTATCTGTGAATTTGATTTTGATGCTGGCTTGACAGTCCAAGCGTCATCATCAAATCCTCCAACCGATTTGGAGGTTGAACTTTCTGTGGAGACAGAAGGTTGATTTTGTTGTTTAATCGCTTGCAAAGCAGAGGCGTCAATTGCCACATTAGAGGTAGAACGTGTACGATTATTTTTCAACTCACCTCCTGAGCCAACAAACAATGCTTCGCTTGTGTTAGAACCAGCCGAGTTAGGTTTTTGTCTGTTAAATTTTTTATCCAAGAACTTTAATACTCTTATATTGTCACCTTCTTTGAAACCTAATGTTCTCAATAAGGAAGGGGTGATATCTTCTAGAGAATTTTCATCCATCTGTTCTCTTTCAAAACTTAAAGCGTAACGTTGACAAATATTAACATCCACACCACATTCAAGGAAAAATTCAAACCAGTCATAACTTGGGCTTTTCTTTTGATTTGCAGAGAGATTTTTAGCAGCAGTGATAACGGATTTTGAACGCTCGTATTCTTCTCTTTCACGTTTTTCTCTTTGTCTTTTTTCAATCTCTTTTCGTCTTTTTTCATCATCTTTATCTCTTTGTCTTTCTTTATCAGGCTTGTAAGCATCCAAAGAAGTTCCAGTTACTCTTTCAACGTATTCAATATCGGCCAATGCCAATTTCTCTGCAGCCACAGCAATTTTAACACCATTGACTTTGTGTAGATGAACTTTACCCTGAGAAATGCCTAAAAATTCAGCATCAACATTAAAAGAACCAGTTTTATCAACCCAAGTTCTAACTTTATTTGAGTTTGGTTTGGTTTTTTCTTTAGCTTCTTTTTCTTTTTTTCTTTTTTCATAATCTCTTTGTTTTTTTTCTCTTTCTCTTTCTCTTTCATTGTCTCTTTGTTTTCGTTCTCTTTCTTCTCTTTCTCTTAGTTTAAATTCTTTTTCTTTATTTCTTTTGTTTGATTTTGATTTGACCAAGTTTCTAGTTTTATCAGCTACAGAACCTAGGGAAAAGTTTGAAGAGTTGATTTCTATGTAGGATGCAGGAACCACACCTTCTTTATTGTTGTCGATGTTTTTAACTAACCACCAATCTTTTGATTTTTTATCGTTTATAATGAATACTAGGTCATTTTCTTTAACATTTAGTTCATTTAGATCTTGAGCTTTAAAGTCGTAGAGGACTTTACCGACTTTGTAGCCGTTAGCAGTTGGTTTTGAAGCAGCTTTAACTTCTTTTAAGCCCTTTGAAGAGACAGCACCTCTGATATCGGCTAATAGTTCCAATATTTCATCGGCTATTTCTCTTGAGCCAGCGTGGATTTCGATGGAAGCGCTTGGGTTTTTAAAGTCTAGGAAGACGTGTTTCTTTTCTGTGGAGAAGTTGACCAAGTTTAGAGCATTCCATTTTTGAGGAAGATCGCCAGTGGAGGGATCAGGTCTGAAGTAAATTACACCATTACCGATACCCAACTGGGCTTTCTTTTTTTTTCTGCCTTCAACTTCAGCTACATTCCATGTGAAAAATTCGTCAGATTCTTTGGAATTGTCATCAGAGTCACTGTTCTGCATTCTTCTCGGGTTGTAGTTTAAACGTTCCTTGTCTTTTTTATTGTTAGAAGAAGAAGTGGCAGTGGACAGTTTTTTAATGGGTCTAGAAGTAGAAGTGGAAGGAGATGGAGACCTCAAGATATCAGGATTAGTTGGCCTTTTGGGAGTTGGGGGAGGCTGATCATTTTCATCGTCGTCATCGTCGTCGTCGGATATGTGTTGGTATTGTTTTTTAGAAGGTTGAATTTCTTGAGGTTGAGGTTGACGCGTTGGGTGAGTTGGAGGGGCAGGGAAGCTTGCAGCGGAAGCTTGAGGAGGATCGTAGGTGTAATTGTTTGCACTGTTTGTGGATGGTATGTTAGTGGGAGTAGTGGTGGTAGTTAGGCTAGAGGTGGTATTACTAGTCGTGGCAATGTTGGTGTTTTTATTATTTGGAGATTCGTTAGTTAGTTGAATGTAATTGGAAGGAATGAAGCCATACTCCAGACGAGAAGGATTAGAAGTCTTGGTAGAAACCAAGTACCAATCTATGTCAGAGGTATCATAGACATTAAAAGTGTCGTTTTCCTTAAACGACAATTCTTCACTAGTTTGTTTATCGTAATCATAGAGAGCGACGCAGGAGTTTATTATATCAGCAGGTTCAATATAGGTTTTAGGGACTAGACCAATTGGTTCATCTAGATCCGAACCCACGACTCTCTTTTTTACTTTCCACCACTCATCAATATCGGACGTTTCCAAAAGATATAGAATGTCGTCTTCCTTGATTGATAGCTCTTCAGGTGATTGAGAGGTGTAAGCGTAGATGGCCTTGTAGACACCAAGAAAGGACATTTTTCCTTGAGCAGAAGCAGAAAAAGAAGACAAAAAAAACAGCAGCAGAGAGTGATAAGGCGAGAAGTGCCCTGTTCTAGCTAACAATAGAAGATTCCTAAAGGTCTGGTCGAAAGAGGTGCCAATGATGAAATATCAGAGAATGAAAAGCTCGCTTGAGATCAGAGGTCTTTATGCATCACATTTTTCAGGCTTTCTTCTGAGCTGGTGTCCTTTTTTACAAAAACCCCGAAATGTGCAGGGGCCAGACACAAGAGAAGGGAGTTCGGCGGTGTATCATCCTGTTTGTGCGGGGCAAAAAAGGAGAAAGCAACCGAAAACAGTGAAAAACGTGTGGCAGCTTCCGCAAAGGGCAGGTGCTTGCCAAAGCAGGCGCGAGACCACGGAGCCGGGAGTGCTGGAGGACAGTGGTACGAACTCCCTGCAGGTCCACTTGGCTGCAACCTGATTTCCGTTGCTTTCTGCGGTGTTGCGCAGAGAATTAGAGTTCCAAGCTGCAGGGCGGCTTCAGAAAACCAGTTCATTGTGAAGGGGAAAGGAGAAAGCGGTTTTGTTGAGAGATTATCGATCCACCTTTCTGCTTCGGTCAACCAAGCTCTCTTCACAATGCCATTCTTTTCGCTGTCTCTGCTTTTATTTCCTTCGTATTTATATCAGTGCTCTTCCTCTGTCCTTCCTCTTCTTGTCCACAACGCTCTGATTCTTTGGGTTTACTCCATTTTGTTTCTTCTGCGCTTGTGCTATCTCCTGCAGTTTTCCGTTCCCTCGTCTTTTCTCGCCCGACTCTTTGGCTGCATCAATTCATCTTCTAAAAATGAAGGACAAACACGACAAACCATCTTTTCAAAGGCTCATTAACTTGAAGATCAAACGACTCAGGATACTCAAGAGCAAGAGACTCAATTACTTGCTTCTTGCTTTAATTTTCATTGCTTTGTATTTGTTCAAAGACAGTATCCATCTCGATGATAGCGCCCACCCGCCGGCACCAGATGAAAGTCTAGATCTCAATGAGCATTCCAATGCTGCTGAAATTTCAGATCCAATTCAAAATCCAATTCAAAAAAGTTTCAACACCAATGAAATCAGCTACAGTAAAGAAATCAGACTCGACGAAAACGATAACCAAATTCAATTGATCAATATCAAAAAAAATTATTTCACCTATCAGAAGCAGTTGCAAAATCTTCAATCAAGTACCGGAATTTCAAGTTCAAATGATCCCATAATCGATCACTCTGATTCATCTCAAGTCAATGAAAAAGATATCAAAGACGCTGAAGACATTCAAGGCATTGAAGATATTAAAGATATTAAAAACACTAAAAATAATATTGATCCCGACCATTCTAATGATGAAAAATTTGATGATTCTGATTTGAGTCAATCAGAAACTAACGATCCCCAAAATATTCCTCAAAACAACCTTCAAAATCTCAATACTGTTGAAAACCAACCGGAAAACCAAAAAATCAATGACATAAGTTTTGAAAAATTAAAACTCGCAACCATACTATCCGATTTTGACAAATCTGGATCAAGATTACTCTCCTTGCAAAATCTATTCACCAAAGTCTTTCAATTGCTATACGATTCCAACCCCAAGATTCCTGCCTTGAACAACTATAAATCTGAAGAACGAATATATCACGCTGGGTATGACTCTCCACTAATTGATACAAAGACTCCAATATTAACTGAAGACTATCTATCAAGTTTTCTACAGCTAAATGACAACGAACTATCCGCTCTAACCAACTCTCACAGATTCATCGTTGATAATTTGCCAAATAAAATCGACTCAAATCTTTACAAAGGTAATGGAATTGTCTTTGTTGGCGGTGGAAAATTCAACTGGTTAGCCTTATTATCCATAAAATCTCTAAGAAGCGTCGGCTCGACTCTACCCATAGAAGTCGTCATCCCAACTATCGAAGAATACGAAATCGATCTCTGTGCAAGAATTTTTCCTGCTTTAAACGCCAAATGTATCCTATTACCTCATGTCTTGGGAACAAACGTCACCTCAAAATTCCAATTTTTTGGCTACCAATATAAAGCCTTAGCGCTACTAGTTTCATCTTTTGAAAACGTCTTACTATTAGACTCTGATAATATTCCTGTTCACTCTCCGGACTACTTGTTCGAAACTGAACCCTTTTTATCAAATGGCTTAATCTGCTGGCCTGACTTCTGGAAAAGAGCAACTTCTCCTCTCTATTATAAAATTGCTGGAATCGACATATCCCCCAAAAGAGTTCGCTACGGTTATCATAACTACGGTATCTACGAAGCTGGAATGATAAATGAAGCTAATGAACCAGATAAAATCCCTCTCCACGATAGATTAGGCACTATCCCTGATCCAACAACAGAATCGGGTCAACTCATGATCTCCAAAAAGACTCACATCAAGTCCCTATTCCTTGCTTTATACTACAATCTATACGGTCCAAAATACTACTACCCTTTATTTTCTCAAGGCTCTGATGGTGAAGGTGATAAAGAAACCTTCTTAGCTGCCGCGGTTGTTTTGAAAAAACCTTACTACCAAGTAAACAAATTCCTAAATGCCTTTGGTTATTTCAACAATCAAAGAGAATTCATCGGCACAGGTATGGGCCAATTTGATCCTCTTGAGGATTATAATATATTAAACTCAAACTTGAATATCTTGAAAAATAGTAAAAAATTGTTTAAAAACTTTGAAGAAGCAAATAATGAACTATACAAAATAATTCCCGTTTCAAATCAATTCAAAGAAGATACAAATGTCTTGCCAATTGAAAATAAACAACCAAGAATCTTGTTTGTCCACGCAAATTTCCCCAAATTAAATCCAATCGAATTAAAAGAGACTGGCAAAATTATCGATGAAAATGGTAACAGAATTCGAATCTATGGTCCGGGAATGGCTAAAAGAATCGGCTACGATTTTGAATTAATTCAATGGAAAAATATGCATTTCCTAGTTTGCGAATTAAAAATTGAAATCGAAATTTTTAAAAACTACAAAATCTCTCAAGTTTGTAACGAAATCTTACAGCAATTGATGTTCTTAGAATCAACAGTTGATTTATTGGAAAAAGATTGAAAAAAAAATATAAATATATATACAGATATAGTTATTAGCTACTATTTTTATTTCTTTTGCTTTCTTTTTTTACTTTTTATTTTGTCTTTCATTTGTATTTTTTACATTTTAGTTTCTTTATTTTTATTTTTATTTTTATTTTTATTTTTATTTTTATTTTTATTTTTATTTTTATTTTTATTATCACTTTGATTTTCATTTTCATTTTCATTTTCATTTTCATTTTCATTATTTCATTAGCTTATTAGTTTATTGTTTTATTTTAGATGTTATTCCTCATTTTTTTTTCTTTTCTTATAGCTCATTTCTCATCGATTTAGACCTTTTTTTTCGCTTTGTTGTTCAACATGTCTTGAAATAAATAAGTTTCAACTATTATTAATATTCAATAGTAAAACAATATCTAAACAAAATTGCAATTTGTTAAATGCAACTTTCTAAATTATTCTGCCAGTGTAATGAGATCAAAACTATAGTAGGAAAATGAGTATAGTTGATCAATGTAAGCTGGGGTGTTTCAAAAGCGAAATCCGAATTGCAAAAAAAAATAGGCAAAGAAAAGAAAAAAAATAGGTTAATAATAAAAAGTACAGAAAGTAAATAAATTAAGTAAATAAATAAATAATCAAATAAATTATATTAATAGTTTATACAATTATATACCGATATAATAGTTTCTTTTGGAAGATATTGTTTGTTTGGAGTATTTACATTGCTAAATCTAATGAATAAATAAAACAATAAAACATAAATAAACCAAATTACAAAAATATAACTTGTTCTACCAGCTTAGAGAGACAAATTAACCATTAACATAACAACGCCATTGTAGCATCCTTATGTTTATTAGTGAGTCAAAGAGACTGGAGTTAATGATGAGTTAACAAAAATGAAACAGAACGAAAAATTTTAGTTTTTTATACAAAAAAAAGCAACCCAAATAAACAAAGTCATTGGTACGGGTTCCGTTTTAGGACGCTTGTAAATGCACACACATGCAAGTGTCTATTTCCGGTAATTTTGTGTGCGAGCGGTGGATGATAAAGGGATGAGCATCTCATTGGAACAATAAAAACATAAAAGCTACACATGAACAATTGGTCTCCACAAACAGTTGTTTGTTGAATCATACACATCACATTACTATATATAAACTAAAATAGAATATTGAACTTAAAGAGAACAAAGAGAACAAAGAGAACAAAGAAAACAAAGAAAACTGCATTTAGAACCGAGTTTAAAAGTGAGTTTGCTTGTTAAAAATGTTTAGGAAAAAAATAAATTATTAACAATAGAGACAATAGATAGTCTATTTAGGACCTATCATGTTTTCTGGAACAACCCATTGATGGAATTCTTCCTCAGTTAAGTAACCTAATTCTAAAACGGATTCCTTTAATGTTATACCCTTTTTATGAGCATTTTTGGCTACTTTGGAAGCCTTATCGTAACCGATTTTTGGATTTAAAGCAGTAACCAACATAAGAGACTCGTGTAATAATTTGTCAATTTTTTCCTTGTTGGCTTTAATACCATCGAGACAGTTTAATCTGAAAGATCTCAAGCCATCACTCAATAATTGAATGGAGTTTAACAAGTTGTAGATCATGACTGGTTTGAAAACATTTAATTCAAATTGACCGGATGCACCAGCAAAAGTGATGGCAGCATTGTTACCAAAGACTTGAGTACAGATCATGGTCAAGGCTTCATTTTGAGTTGGGTTGACTTTACCAGGCATAATTGAGGAACCTGGTTCATTTTCTGGAAGAGATAATTCGCCATAACCACATCTTGGACCAGAACCCAAGTATCTAATATCTTGAGCAATTTTGAATAAAGAAACTGCCAAAGTATTCAAAGCACCGGAGGCTTCAACAATAGCGTCATGAGCAGCTAAAGCTTCAAATTTGTTTGGAGCGGGTTTAAAATCAATACCAGTAAGTTCACCAACAGTGTTGGCAACATCAGAATCCCAACCTTTTCTGGTATTTAAACCGGTACCAACAGCAGTACCACCTTGAGCTAAATATTTCAAGTTTGGCAAGGTGGATTCAACTCTGGCAATACCATTAATAACTTGTTGCAAGTAACCAGAAAACTCTTGACCTAAAGTTAATGGAGTAGCGTCTTGTAAATGGGTTCTACCAATTTTGACAATGTCTTTGAATTCGTCAACTTTCTTAGCTAATGAGTCCTTGAACAAGTTCAATTCTGGAATCAAAGTGTTTGTAATTTCCAAGACAGCTGCGATGTGCATGACAGTTGGGAAAGTATCGTTGGAAGATTGGGACATGTTGACATGGTCATTTGGGTGAACAGGGCTTTTGGAACCTTTTTTACCACCTAAGATTTCAATAGCTCTGTTACTGATAACTTCATTGGCGTTCATGTTTGACTGAGTACCAGAACCGGTTTGGAAGACGACTAATGGGAAGTGGTCAGTTAATTTACCTTCCACAACCTCAGTTGCAGCTTGTTGAATAGCTTTGGCAATTTCAGGTTTTAAAGTACCGTATTTTTCGTTTATAATTGAGGTTGATTTTTTCAAGATACCAAAAGACTTGATAACCGGAACTGGCATTCTAGCAGTTGGTTGACCAATATCGAAGTTTTGTAAAGATCTTTGGGTTTGGGCACCCCAGTACTTGGAGTCTTCAACCTCGATTTCACCAAAAGCATCAGTTTCAATTCTCTTACTTAAAGCGAAAGATGAATAATGAAACGCTCTTTTGGAAACCAATGAAGGTTTGATAGTAGATTTTGATAAAAGTCTGGCACTGATCATTTTGTTGCTTTAGGCGATGTGGTTAATGGGATTAAGAAGAGACGAAAAAGACCAGAAAACTAGAGAAATATAAGGCAAGTTAAACAAAACGATCGAATGGCTACTAAACAAACAGTGTTCAGGAAGTGGATAGTTACTCTTCCAATGGTTTTTGAACCAGCTCCAACAGCCAATCAAAACTCCCCAAAGCGTGTGGAGGAAACAGCGAAATCTCACCCTAATGCTTCGCTTCCGGCGGCGTTTTGTCGCCGCCCGCGGCGCTGGAGCCGACTCGGCGATTTCCGCGTGATGGATGCGTGATAAGCACGTGCCTGAACACTGTAATAAGCCTTTCTATATTAGCTACGATAGAACACGAGTCTTTGGTTATTACTGGGTTCTGTCTATATATTATTGGTGAATAATATGTATTTAGCTATTTATATTAAAACTTATTCCTTGATTCCTTTTTTCTTATAATTATTCTTGTCTTCTGTCTCTTTTATATTGTCAAATAGATACTCGATTTGGGGCAATTAGTACTTGTGGCTAACGCACGATTTGGGACTGAAACCTGTTGAACTGAGACAAAGTGTATTACCTAACAAAGTCATGTGTTAGTGGAATAACACAACGCTCAACATGGCAGTGGAAGAAGAAGCAAAAAAAGCAGAGGAAGCAGAGGAAGCAGAGGAAACAAGCTGAAATGGACAGAGGCGATAACGATGCTGATTTCGAAGCCGAGAGGAATCTATTGTTACACGATGTTAACCAGAAGATGAACTCTGTTCTCAACCGACTCAACTCGCTAAACAGGTCGATGGAACACTCCATCACCATTGGCAATCAGTTCAACAGCATTGCCAATATCTGGAAAGGATTTTACGACGGTGTCACTGAAGAGAAGTCAGCAAAAGTGTCTCGATTTTTTCAATCAAATCAACGTTTAGATGGTGAATCAAAATCTGATTTTGTGACTGACAATCTGAGCCAGAAGCAGAGTGAGAACAATAGAAAATCTACTACCGAACAAGATAGTAGCTTCCAAAAAGCTGCAGATTCATCATAAAGAAATTGCTCTATTATAGTATATATCATTTTCGGTTTAATATCACTATACTACATAACTACACATTCCGTTTTATGTTTCGAAAATGGGTTGCTGGAATTTTCTCCATTATAATCACCTAAAGCTCTGACTTTTTTTATGTTGCCTTTCCTCATCGAAACTCTAACTATTGATCCTGGTCTTGATCTGGCTCTAGACCTGACTCTTGATCTGGCTCCGGCATTTGGTCTTGACTTTGACCTTGATTTTCTGGTTCTATGATCTCTCATCGATCGAAACGAACTGAAACTTTGATTATTTACCGATCTTAATGAATTCTTTCTTAATGAATTCTTTCTAATTGATGATTGTCTCTCAATTGCAGGTTGTGGTTGTGTGTTTTTTGGTGATTGTGGTTTATTATAAAATTGACTTGATGATGGTGAACTTTGAATTACATTCATCAATTTACAACTTGTGTTATAATTTTGATTTTCCTCTTCATCTTCATTTTCATTTTTATCCTTATTTTTATTTTTTATTTTTAATGGTTTAATTGACATTCCTGATGTTTTTCTGAACATACTTATATGCCTTGTTTTATTCCTCTTTTTCTTTATCTCATTACTTTCATCAATACCAACACTACTAAACTTTTTAAAACTACTAAAATTGTCCAACTTGTCTGAAATTTTTAGATTTTTAAGATCTTCAACACTATCAAATGTTTGATCAATGTTTGTTATTATTGACCTATTGTTTGTATAACTGTCATCAATACTAAACTTACTGAACTTATCATATATTTCATTAACATTGCTTTTAATCTCATAACTTGCTTCCTTGCCCAATGATTTTATTGATCTCAAACTTCTTTCTATTTCACGATTTAAAAATTCTTGAACGTTATGAACTCTGCTTTTGGGACTGGTGTTTTTTTTTTCTATATTTTTATTCTTTTCTTCTTGAAGATATGAATTTGAGTGTGATTTAGATTCTTCTTCTTTTATCAATTTTTCAAATTCTTTTTCATTCTGAAGGAAATCAACATTAACATCTCTATCAACATTTAAAAATGGATATTCTTTGCTAATTATTATTTTAGCTACTAGATCAAAAATCTTATGAATATGATACATCTCTTTTGCCGAACATTCAATGTAAAACTTGCTATTGATTTGTTTACTTAATTCAATGCATTTTTCATATTCAATTAATCTATCTCCCTGTTTATTATTATTGATATAAGGATCACTATCATAATCACTATTGGTTTTCCTCAAATCGGATTTTAAGCCTAATAAAATAATCGGTATATTTGGACAATAGTTTTCAATTTCTGGGATCCATTTTTCCAAGATACTATTAAAACTATTTGTATTGTTAATAGCAAAGCATATCAAAATAATTTGAACATCAGCATATATTAATGGTCTCATTCTATCAAAATCCTCATGACCTGAAACATCCCAAAATTTGAAATTTATTGCCAGTTTTTGCAAAGGTTCTTTAAAAAATATTTTTTTGTTGTAATTTTCAAAAATAGAATAACTTGAAAACTTATTTGAAAACTCATTGTTAATAAAAGTATTAATCAATGAGGTTTTACCGCATTTATTATCTCCAATTGTTACTATATTTATGCTATTTATTTTAATTAGATGATGATTGAAGTCTAATTTGATGTTATTGTCTATTTGACTGAGTTTATTGATTAAATTATCTGTTTTAACGGTTTTCATAGGAGATTTGCAAGTCAAATACACAGAGTTGTCCTTATTTTCATATTTAGTTGGGATTCTATTAAGATCATTATCCGGATTATAATTTTTGTTTATTGACCTCATAGAGTTGATAGATTTTATTGTTCTAATGGATTTCATTGATTTTACCGATCTCATCGATTTTACTGAACAAATAGAGGATAAAGATCTTAGTGAGTTTGATCTACTTTTAATTTTATTATTATTAGTTATATTGCTATTAAAAGTATTGCTCATATTATTTCTATCCTGGCAGTTTATCTCCCCAATATTGTCAAAATTTAATACTGAGATATCTCTTAGTTTGGTGTCCATAAAACATTTGCTAGTAGCAGCTCTTGCAGCAGGAATAGCTAAATCATCTATGTTGAATTTAAAACTTTTTTGTTTTTGGTCATTCTGAGAGTTTCTATGATGATGATTTAGATTACTTTGATATTGATTATTAAGTTTATTCCAATTTTCATTATTATGAATATTATTGTTTGTATTATTTGACATTTGTTGATTTTCATCATTGTATTTTATACTAAGGGTTTTTTTCATCATTTTATAATGTTGATAGTTATTTTTTAGCAACAAACCTATATTTTCAATTGGTCTGTTTAAAGCTAGGTTATTTTCACTTTTAAACGATCTCAAAGGCTGAGGTTGAGTGAATAATTGGAAGTGAGCCAAGTTTTTTTTATATTTGTTTAAATTTTCTTTAAATTTATACAAATTTGTATTTCTTAATATTTTAGAGAATCTAACGATGGGACATCTATCTTTGTAATAGATTGTAAGTAATTTGTATTTAAGAAAATAGAAAACGCTAAATAGGAGCAGTATTGTGAAATCAAAGAAATCTAGCTGATATTTAACAATGATTTTGATAAATCTTTTCAATTCCTTATATTCAATCATAGCTGGATTCAAAGAGCTAGGATTCAGAAAGGACTAAAAAAGTCAATGGGTCATAAAAATTAATAGAAAAAGAGCAAAAATGACCATTGTTTGGCATTTTTTGTCAAGCAATATGTCTTTTTGTGGCACTTCCTTTTATTCTTCAAAATTACAAAGAATTTTTTGTCTCTGTTGCATTTTTTTCTTGTTCTTCTGCTGCTTTTTCTGCTTCTTTTTCTGTGTCGAAGAACTTTGGGCTCGAAATACCAACTTTGTGGATTTGTATCAAGCAAAAAACCTTAAATGGCAAAAGCTTGTTTCGTGCATTTTCTGGATTTCAAAAGTGCTCAACAATAGATTTTTTGTTTTGGAAATAAGAAACTTCCTCTCAATTGATGGCGTATAATGGTGGAAGAATTTAGATTATTTTTTATTCTCTGCTTTTTCTCCATTTTGGGGAGCTTATCTAGGCTTGGAGTAGGTCATTTAGCATGCTACAACAATTCATATATTTCTGGAATAATTTGGTCCAACTTCCTGTCTTGTTTTTTGATGGGTTTGTTTAAATTTATAAAAACAGATATAAAAGTCGATAAAGTTGATAAAAACGATAAAACAAATAATCACTGTAATAATGTGAAACAAAAGCACATTAATCTTTTGAGATTAGGTATGACAACAGGGTACTGTGGATCGTTTTCATCATTTTCCTCCTTGATTTTAGAAGCAGTATTGCTTACTTTGTCAATGACAAACAAGGAAAATAACTTGATCTTCAATGACAATGCTTATAACTCGTATCCCAATAAAGCCTATGGTCTATTGAATCTAGTTTTATTCATTATAGCTCAATTTTCACTATCGTTTTCTGGGTATTTATTTGGTTTAAGTATAGCGAATGAAATTAATAATCGTTTATCCAAACGTAATGATTTAAGTGGTAATAAATCAAGCAACAAGCAAAGAAGATTGGCTCCATTTCTTATAGTTTTAGAATTATTTGGTATAATCTTTTGGATAGTATTCATTTTTCTATCAATTTTCGAAAAAAGCTGGAGACACGTTACAGTTGCTAATTGTTTTGCGCCACTTGCATGTTACTTGAGATATATTTTATCATTTTATTTTAATAATAAATTTGCCCATGTGAAATTCTTGGGAACTTTTTTGGCAAACCTGATTGCTACAATTTTAATTTCAATTTTCATAGTGTTGAATCGTTCCTCGGGTTTTAATTTAATTGGAAAATCCTTTATAAATTGTCAAATGTTGGTTGCATTGTCTGATGGATTTTGTGCAGTTTTATCAACTGTTTCAACATTCATTCTGGAATTACATTCTCAAACATTCCTAGATGCACTCACATATGGATCTATTAGTATAATTGTATGCTTTCTTTTGTCCTTTGCAATCATCGGCTCTTATAACTGGACGATTGGGCTAAGTTCTCATATTTTATGTTAGATATAATTTTTTTTTTTTGCTTTCTAATTATGTATTTTTTGTTTCCTTTTTTAAATACTCATGTAAGTGATCTATTTTAACTCTTTTTGACAACCCTACTCTATAAGGCCTAAAATTGGTTTTAGAACACAATTCACCAAGAGATTTTTCTCTTTTTTTCTTGTTTGAAGTTTTCTTTGCAATTGTTCTTTGCTGTAGGACTTTATTACTATCAGACAATATACTTGTTACAATCTCAGAAAATTTTTCCTTTGGAGGATCTTTTGTTTTATTTCCCTGCTTGGTTTTTTCATTATTATCATTATTGTTATTATCATTATTATTTTTATTATCATTATCATTATCATTATTATTGACTTGAAGATGGCCAGTTTTGATTTTTAAATGAGAACTTGGTTTATCTTTCATTTCAATATCCTTTGATTTAATCCTTTTATTGATTTTGTCAAGTTTTTTTGAGGGTTTTTTATGTTTTTCTTGATTTGGTTCATTCAATTGTAACAGATTATCTTGGGTATCAGTAGTATTTTTTGCAGCCAAGTTGGTTAATTTTTTTGAATTGATTTGAATTTTTACAAGTAGCTTTGATTTTTTATTTTTCTCAACCTCAACTAAATTTTTCGGTACATCTATTTCAATTCCATTTTTATTATTTAGTTCTGTAATGTCTTTCTTTTTTTCATTAGATTTTTCAAGATCTAGTGTTATATCTTCATCTCCAAAATAACTAAAATTGCCATCGCTCTCAGAATTCAGAATAATATTTCTGGAGTTTCTTTTCTTAGCTCTTTTTATTCCATCACTATTGTGGTCTCTTGGAGAACTATTTATTTCAATAATAAGATTGTTTTCTTTTTTTCTTTTTTTACCTTGATATTCGACAGTATCAACTTCAATATCGTCCCCATCACTTAATTCTATTATTCCGGCGTGAATTTTTGAAGGCAAAGAATCATTTACTAATCTCTGTGACGAACTGTGATTTATTAGATTTTTTAAATTAATATCAGTGATTTTATTAGTAAAAGATGAACTTTGAGAATTGGTAGATGAAGAAGTGGGGATATTTTTGGATTCATGATAGTTATCATCATCTGAGATATCAATAAATTGATTAGATATATATGATTTTTTTTTGTTTTTTTGTTTTTTTGGTGGGGATTTTGATGGAAGATTATCTTTTCTATTTTTATTCTTTTTGCTTGCTGTTTTTGTTTTTGTTTTTTGTTTCGTTTTTACTTTTGTTTTTGAATTATTATTTGGTGAATTTATTTCAATTAAAAGATTGTCATTTTGATTGAAATAGGATATTTTCTTTTTTGCAGATCTTTTCAATCTTTCAGATACGTTTTCCACAAAGAAAGATTGATCAGTAGTAGAATTTGGAGAATGAAAGTTATTTTTTTGATTAATGTTTTCGATTTTGATTTGATTTGAATTTTGGATAATGAGGGAATCAGCGTTATTTGTATGATCAAAGTTTATGGGAATGGAACTTGATATTGGATCATTTTGGTTTATTATTTTTGTATCATTTAGTATGGCTAATAATTTTAAGTTTTCAGAATGTAATTTTGAGATTGAGGATTCTTGGTGATTGAGGTTGTTATTTTGTTTATCGTTTTCGTTTTCGTTATTGTTATCGTTATCGTTATCGTTATCTTTGATATTCTTAATATTTGCACTCTTTTGGCTGATGAACTTTGGATCATTATAATTTTCATTAAATTCTCTACGCAAGTCTTCGATTTCTTTGATTAAATCTTTAGCATTGTTTGATCGATCATCATTCAATAAATAGTTTAAATCCATTTATAAAAGAGAAAGGATGTAAACTATAGAGTAGGTTAGAGTAGGTATGATATATATATATTGAAGATGATTCGTGAAAGTGTTTATTTGTATTTATAGTATTTTGCACTATTTATGTTGAAAAAATAATATGTAATTGATTAGATCGGTTTTGGGTTTAGGTTTGGCTTTGGAGAGGATTTTGGAGGATAAGTGAGAAGGAAAGAAAAAAATGAATTACGAGCTCTAGATGGTTGTGTGTTATTGTTTTGGTTATATATGTATAAGCTGATTATATAGGAGTTTTTTAAAAAGTGAAAAGAAAAAAAAAAGAGTATATTAGTTTGATTCGCCTGTTGATTAAGTCTCGTTGGGCAGATTTAAGCTTTGGATATAATTATGGAGCAATTCTAACAATAGTCCAATCATCGTCTTCTGAGTCTCTTCTGTAAGATATTCTGTCGTGCAATCGACTTGTTCTGCCTTGCCAAAACTCGATTTCTAGAGGAACTATTCTTATGCCTCCCCAGTAGTCAGGACAGGGAATATCGTTGTCGTCAAGATCTTTGAACTTTTCAGCATTTTGTTGGACTAAATTCTCCAAGACCTCTCTATTGGCAATGACTTGAGATTGTGGAGAGGACCAAGCACCGATTTTGGAGCCCCTTGGTCTTGTTTGGAAATAATTTTGGTTCAATTCTTTAGAGATGAACTCAGCTTTTCCCTCGATTCTGATTTGTCTTTGCAAATTCTTGTGGAAAAAAGTCAAGGCAGCATATGGATTGGAGACAATGTCTCTTTTTTTCTTTGAGTTTTCCCAATTTGAGAAAACGATAAAACCTTTGTGGTCCAACTGCTTGAACAAAACGATTCTGTTGGAGACTCTTCCTGAGGGCAAAGAAGCAGTGGAGAAACTAACAGCATCTGGGGTATCTTCCTCTGGGGAATCAATGGCGTCTTGGAACCATTTTTCAAACTGGACTATGGGACTGGGGTTGACGTCCTCGATATCCAAGGCAAACTTGTTGTATTGGTATGTCTTTGGAGCAAAAATTAGTGGCTCTTCTTCCTTGGTGAGAGATTCTTTGGTCATGATGAGTCTTTTCAGCTTGGTGGAAGCAATTGCAAATGTTTTGGTTGTGAGTAAAGCAGGGCGTCTGAATAGAAAAGAGACAGGAACAGCTATCATAAACAACAAGCAGAAGAACAGCAGCAGGTTATGGTGCACAGAGTTATACGTTATGTTTTCGATATTCTACTAATTCTATTCTAATTCTATTCTACTAGCTCAACTCTATATATAGCTCTATTCCATGCTCTTCCACACATTTGCTCATCGAGAGCATTGCTGTTTTGGGCAGTATGCGCTGTTTCCAGAAACAGAAGTATCCGTCTTCTGTTTCTCTGGAATATTTCACTTCAGTTGAAGGATTATTGAATATTGTTGAATATTGTTGAATATTGTTGAATATCTTCGATTCTTGAACTGTTCTGGTGCTAATTGTCGCTCAGCAATGGTCCAGCAGTTGAGCTTGTATGGAACAATCCCCGTCGACCAGTTCATCTTGGTTATCAACACCTTGATCGCCTTGACTGGCATCAACGAGCCCCAGATCTTGTTAAACTACAACATCATTCTCGATCCGTTGATCAACTTGAAAGCCTTGCAACAGACCAACAAAAACAACGTCAATCACAACCAAATCGAACAGTTTCTCATCAAGCTATCCACAGACTGGGACGTCTTTGAGGAGCCAGCTGCCTCCTCCCAAAACTACAATCGCATACTCAATCTCATCTTGAAGAACGAAAACTCCTTGCGCAACCGGGCTCAGTTGAAGTTCAAAAGTGTTTTCAAACACACATCCTCAACTATCAAACAGAACGACTTAAATAACCAGTCAACTCTACTATACAAAAACAACTGGAATCTACAAATCACTGATATTCCCATTGCCTCTTCCAAGGATGTCATATCTCAAACTTTTTTTGAGACCTTTGTGAATCAGCTATCCACAGATTATCTCACTAATTGCAACTTGATCAACTTCTTTTATGAGTTTGGTTACATGCCTAAAAATGAGTACTGGCTAAAGGGGTTGAGATTTTATTACTCGATCAACGGCAGCAACAACAACAATAACGACGACGACAACTTTGATGATGATCAAATGTCAGCTCAAAATAAAACCACTTCCTTGGACAATCACAACGACCCCAAGGCCGAAAACTCAAACCAGAACAATAGCAATGCTCCATCGAATATTGAAAACGATAACAACAATCTTGACTACTCTGATAATACAAACGCAAGCCTAAATTCCAACATTATCATTGATATATTTCAAATTTACATCTACGACTTTGAAACAAAAAAGTTAAAGTTACTTGATGAAAACAACGTTGAAAACAGCTGGTTCATGAAATCCTTCATAAACATCAACCAAATCAGCGACATCGATCTCATTAACAGCGGCAACAAAGACTTGCTATTCCTTCAAAAACAGTTATCTGATTTAATTCATTTAAAAGTAATTGAAAGAAATTTAATGGATTCAAGAGTCAAAAGCTGACCCCCAATTTTGGTCTCTTTATTTTATCTTTTATATCAGCTTTTTCCTTTCTTATCTTTTATTTATTTTTTATTTATCTTTTATTCATCTTTTATTTATTTTTTGTTTATTTTTTATTTATCCATTAACTCACTCCATTCAAATGCATACTGAAACGTTTCTAATATACCTCTCCTTCTGCTTGTTTGGTTTGACAAATAACATCCTCTATGTCGTAATTCTAAGTGCTGCTGCTGATTTAGTGGGCCCTGCTGCCCCCAAATCTATCGTCCTCCTATTTGATATTTTCCCTTCATTTATAATAAAACTATCTTGTCCCTTATTCATTCACCTTATTTCTTACGACATGAGAATTGTCTTATTGGTATCTTTCAGTTTCACCGGCATTTTCATCATTTCCTTTTTCTCCTCGGCTGGATCATACCAAAGTCATTTATACTTGAAATTATTTGGAATTGCTTTATCTTCAGTAAGCTCAGGATTGGGCGAAGTGACTTTTTTGCAACTAACTCATTTTTACCAAAATAATTCCCTAGTGGGTTTTAGCAGTGGAACCGGAGCTGCTGGTTTAATTGGAAGCTTCTTGTACTTGCTAATGACTGTTCATTTACGTTTATCTCCTAGATCTGCTTTGTTTTCTTTCTCCATTACTCCCTTTATTTACCTTATCATTTATTGCTTTATCTTACCAAGAAAGGATCTCTACATTAATTACTCAAAACTTGATAATACCAATGATGTCGATAATCATTCAACAAATCCAATTTATAATTCACATAATAACCCTTTACAATATACCGAACAAGATACTTTGTTGCCCTCAAACTCAAGATTAAACGGCAACTCTTTTAATTCCAAATATCAACAATCATTGAATTCTTTAAAATATTTCAAAAAAAATTTTAAAAAACACTTCAAGACAACAATCCAAAAAATTAAAATCTTAATAATGCCCTACATGTTCCCATTATCTTCCGTTTACTTTTTCGAGTATTTGATTAATCAAAGTATAGCTCCAACTTTATTGTTTGATATTTATGATTCTCACAAAGACCATAAATTCTCCTTTCCCTATTCTGTCATATTTAAATTTGAAAAATTTAGAGACATTTACGTCACTTATTCAACATTATACCAAATCGGTGTCTTCATTTCAAGAACGTTTTCATGTTATTATCAAATAGATAATTTATATATCCCTTTCTTATTACAGGTTTTAAATTTTCTATTTTGTATCTCACAATCCATATTTTTTTTCATTAAAATCGAAAAACAATTTGCTTTAATTTTTTTACTAATCTTTTATGAAGGATTAATCGGGGGATCCGCTTATTATAATACTTATAATAAAGCATCAAAAGAGATTGAAATCAGTAAAAGAGAATTTTCAATTGGTGCAATTTCCATAAGTGACTCAATTGGAATAGCATTTGCAGCATTGATCGGGTTGTGGTTAGAGAAAGCCCTTTGTAATTATCAAATAAATGATGGCAGAGATTGGTGTAGTTTAGAATAAAAAAGCGGATGATGAGTGATGAAACTATAAAATTTGAACATTACAAATTGTTTTTTTTAATGACAATAATACTAGTACAAGCTGTAATTGTAGGCTAATGGAATATTTATTTAAACTACGATTAGATTTAGGTTTTGGTTTTTTTTCAGAACAATTGTTGTTTTTTTTGTCTATAATTTTTTCTGCATGATTAACATAACAAATGTTTTATAAAATAAATTAAAGGTATTCTGCCAATTTTTTTAGTCTTTCAACTGCTTGTTCTAAAACACAGTCTTCTTTACAGACAGCAAACCTCAAACAGTCTTCAGCAACATGTTCATGCTCTTTTATATAAAATTCCGTTGGTGGGATAGCAACAACACCAATTTCTCTGATCAACCAGTATGCAGCTTTGAAGTCCTTGGCTTTGTCTGATAATTCCTCTGGGAACTTGTAATCACTTGGAATTTTTACTTTATTGAAATTGACCAAGATATAATATGATCCTTCAGCTCTTGTATAAGGTAAACCTAAATCATCAAAAACTTTGGTAAAAATTTCATATTTCTTCTTAAATTCAGATCTGGTTTTTTCAAAATAATCAGAATTTGAAGCATAATCTATAGCTTTTGAGACAGCGACTTGCAAGGGACTATTGGTAGTAAAACAGATTCTGGTATGAGCCAAACCACAATATTTAATATAATAAGGATCAGCAATCAACCAGCCAATTCTCCAGCCTGTTGCAGCAAAGGATTTTCCAGCGGAGCCTACTGTAATTGTTTGCTTTGCAATTTCTGGAGTCAAAGTTGCGAATCTTGGGAAATTATCACCATAGTATAAATTTTCGTAAACCTCATCAGATAAGATGATTATATTGTATTTCACAGCCAAATTTCCTATTTTAGTCAATTCCTCTTCAGTAAACACTTTGCCCACCGGATTTTGAGGGGTATTGACTACAATCATTTTTGTCTTTTTGGTGATGGCCTTCTCCAATTGATCATAGTCAATTTTCCAGTCTGAACCGTCAATTGTTTTGTCTTTAAAACTTTCCGGTGGATGTAAAGGAACATAGACAACTTTGCCGCCTGGCATCTCAATATTTGAAATATATTGGTCAAAGAAAGGCTCAAATACTATAACTTCATCTCCAGGGTTCAAAAAGCCTGTAAAAGCTGTTAGCATTCCCTCGTTTGCCCCAGCAGTAACCAAAATTTCGTCAATAGGAACATTTCTATTAAATTTTTTGGAATAGTATTTGGACAAACTATTTAATAAAACAGGTCTTCCCTTGGTGTGAGAGTATTGGTTTGCCATGGGGTCGAGCAAGGCCTCTTGAGCAGCTTTGATTGCAAACTCTGGAGGAGAGTAAGAGAAAAAGCCTTGACCCAAGTTGATGACTTTTTTACCAGTTTCTTGCTCAGCAGCAGCAGCAGTTTCGTTGATCAACGACCAAACATCCTTTGGAGTGTTTCCAAAGTATTTGTTGTGAATGGGCAATGTCATTTCGTCTGAGGAGGAATTTAGGAAAAGAGATGAAAAGTGAAAATTTCGATTGAATCGTGAAAATTTGAAACTTATAATTTTCGAGGAACTGGGCCTTTTGGTGAAGAGCATGAAAAACAAGAAAAAACAAGAATTAGTAATACCAACTGCAATGTTGAAACCAATCCAATTGAGTCATAGAAGATTGGCTTGCAATCTGAGTTTTCGATAGGAAACTCATCAATCCAAATCCAGCATCTGTAACGAAATGCTCCTGGAAAAGAGCCGACCACAGTTGTGGATACATCATGCACGGCACTGCGGCCGTTATCAGCATTCTTTCAGCAGGGTGGGCGGTCGGTTCGACTCCCGGTGTGGGAAAACAGCGCGTGCTATTGCGCCATGGCCAGCAGCAGGGTGCTAATGCACAGGAAGCATTGGCCGCATATACTACAGAAACATGCATGTTATCGCAGCCCTACTGGTTGCCGAAGAGGGTGGTAATTTCCTGCTGGATTGCCACGCATTTCTCGTACTGGAGATTTGCCTCGTAGACAGCGCCATTTTTGTAATAGTTGTGGTAGAGGTAGAGGCTGCTGAGGTAGTTCAAGACCTTGTTGCGAGAGATGGTGGAGAAGTGGATGCATTGAAGGAGAAATCTGCATTTGGTCAACGAGTCTAGAAACTGCTCGCTGACCATGAGCACTGCAATGGAGTATAACTCGGGTGAGATGTTTTGAAAGTAGTTGGACTCTTGGATAATGTTGCTGAGAATAGTATTGCTATCTTCCTGAGAAATATCGTTGAACAAGATGTTAAACAATTTTTTGGTTTCATTTAGCAAAAAGTCGCTTTTTATAAAGTCCTCATTAGTTTGAATCTTGTGATTATTTGTAATTTTATCGATTTCTTCTTTATTTTCTTCTTCAAAATAGGTATTTATTTCTTGTAAATAGGTATTTCTTTCATTTGTCAATCTTTCAATTTCAATACTGTTATTGCTCAGGTCTTTGAGAAAATTCAAGTTATTTTCCACAATTAAGATCAAATTAAATGTGCTGAAGATGTACAATTGAGAATGGTTTTCCTTACCTTCAATTCTTTCTCCACCCAAATTATTTACAAAAGAAAAGAAATTTAATTGATAACTCTCAATGGTGTCGTTTTTGGTATTGTTATCGTTATTATCACTTAGTAATTCTCGCACTTTTAAGTATAAGGATTTGGCCAATCTCAAGTCACCTTCGTTTTGTAGAATCAAAGCCAAGATAAAATAGAATTTTTTATAAAAGTTTTTATAATGATTTCTTTCAAATATGGTTAGCTTATTCAATTCATTAATCAATTCATTGATTTTCAATTTAAGTTCGTCAAAGGACTTTAAATTTTCGTTCACCATATACTCATAATAAATAAGATAGAATTTGATTTGAAATTTTATAAAATTCAACCGAATGAGTTTTAAATTAAATACGTTTAAATCCCCGGAATTATCTCCAATATAGTCTCCATAATATTGTTTAATTTCACCACCAGTATTCTTGGTATCATTTTGTAAATGAACCTCGTCATTCAATCCAATACTGATGAATTTTTTGATTTGTTTTTGGCATGCTATTAGAGCACTTTTAAAGTATAACATTGCTTTATTCTTTTCAAAATACTTGGATAAATACATCAATCCAGCAAATAGTTTATTGATTATATATAACTCGTCTAATGTTAGCCAGTTGATCTTAAATGGAACCGAAGCATGATGGTTATTAATTTGGCAAAGCATTTTAAAAGACCCATCGGGGTTCCAATTGTTCCAATTATTTTGTCTTTGATCAGTTATAAACTCACTTAGTTTCCGAATTGATTTCTTGCCTTGTCGAAATTGGTACTGCACTAAAGCAAGATTAATCTCATTTAGAATATAAACCGAGTGCAATTGGGGTATCTCACACAATTCTAGTTCAGTTTTATTTTTGTTATCCAATTGTTTTATAAAATAGTCTCTCATTAAAATCATTGCCATCTTGGGAGATCCTCGATAAATATTTAAATTGATCTCAAATAGTATACTTAATTGTCGCAAGTTTTTATCATAAATTTCATTGTTAGATTCGTTGAATTTCCTTAGCAAATTTAACCCAAACTTAGGATCCAAATTCAATAACAAATTTATCTTATAAAACTCAAACACCTTAAGCCACTGGGTTTCCTTTAGTATTTTCAAGTCTCTCATCTTTGAATTTATGTATTTGATAGCAACTTTGGGATTATTAATACTAATGACATTGCTCGCTAGGTACTCACTAATATACTTCAAGTTCAAATTGTTTACTCTTGAGGATATTGTAATAGCTTTGTTGACATAATTTTCTGCAATATCGTAATTTTCAGTCTCATTAAAATAAATTTGAGATAATTTCAAGTAAATGGAGGCTTCAAGATTTGGTGATAAGTTCTTGGACGTATTTAATATTGCGGTCAAGCAATTTATTGCCATATAAATTAATTTGAAGTATGATTTTAAACCAGCTTCATCTCTGATGGCATGGTGAATATTATTATGTGCAATGTCAAAATACTCCCTGGATAACGATAAAAGAATATGGTTCATCACCTGGGGAGGATAGCTATTAATCAGGGGCCGAAGATAATCGTACAGCACCTCTTTTTGATCATTTTCCATTTGCAAGCAAGTTTCTTTCCAAGCAGGTAGTTGGTTATTTGAAGATGTAAAGGAAACTGAAAAGAGAAGACTTTGGTAACCCTTTCGATCGCCAACCGTGAACGCTCTGTTCGAAGCTCAACTTCGAAAAATTCCGTTTTGCGGTAACTCCGGATCATACGAATGGTGCAGATTACTGCCTATGAAATTACCACATGATATCATTAGCTAATCAGCTCAAACTAAAACTACCACGAATTGGTATAACGAATCCATGATATATTAAGGTATCAAGGGACTAAAGACAGAACGAGATGAACCCCTAACCTTCTTTTAGAGGGGTCTGGGTTTGATCTGTAGACGTCACGGGGAAAGATCGAGCCATGTGACAGTCGGTGTTAAGCAACCGAATCGGGAGATCCGGTTACTTTACACATAGTTGGAAATCGTTTTGAGTTTTAAATTTATTGTTGTTTTTTTTTTATTATTTTTATTTATATTCTAATTCTTATTTTTATTCAAAAGTTTATCCAAAATTTTATTTTTGTTTTAGTTTTTATCGAAATGTTATTCAAAAATTTCAAATTTTAATTTTTATTTTTATTCTTCTTTTTTTTTTAAAATTAAAGGGTGAAATGACAAAATCAAAAAATTAGATATCACAAAAATTTTCTTCTCTGTCACTTATTATATCTGTCAAATAGTTTTATTGTCGAATCTCGTTGGTATTTTTTTACAATTTTTATGTATTAAATTAAGCTCAACTACTGGATTGGATTTAACAAAAGCTTGTTGTGAATATTTACCAAAATAGTTAACTTTAATCTTATATTTCTCTGCTGGGTCTGCTATTATCGCAACAAATATAGCTGAACTAAAAGACTCTACTATTGCCTCAAATGTTTTGCCAAAGATCCCCTTATATGCTAATGTTATGAAAATAGTTGTTGAAGTATTGGTTGTCTTGTTAGCCTGTAGACCAGGCTCATTTTCAAATTTTATGAAGATATTTCAATCTACTGTTGCTTCATTGGTGATTGGAGTTGTGGTCTGCTTTTCTGTTGAATTAGGTTATATTTCTGCTACTGACATTGGCACACTATTTAGAGGATAGTTACCTTCAAGTAAAATTTTGCGAAATAAAGGTATCTTTATTGCAACTGTTATGCCTCATTCTCTTTTTTCTGGAATCAGCTTTAGTCCAACCTAGATTAAGAGAAAGTGATATGAATAACAGCAATGTTCCATTACTTTCCTGAAGTAATTCTTCTCTGTCTTTACATGACAGTAACTCCGATTTTGAAGAATAATACTATAAATATGGGTCGACCTCAAACGCTATCAAGTATACCTATAGGTACTCAGTGATTAAATTGGCTATAACGTTATTGACCTTTGCATTATTTGTCAACTCTGCTATCTTAATTGTAACTGGTGCAACTTTGTACGAAAATGAAGAAGTCCTTGGTGCTGGTTTGTATATTATCAGTGCCTTTATATCAAAATCTTTGGCTCCTGTTGCTGGCACTATCTTCATGTTGGCTCTTCATTTCAGGGGTCAAAGTGATGGTATTTTTTGCACAATTTCTGGTTAAATTGTTTCTGAGAGCCTTTTAAATTGAAAGGTCAAACCATGGGTTAGAAGAATTATCACAAAATGTATTGCAATTATTCCATGTTTAGCTATAGTTTTGCCAACTGGACAAGATGGTTTATCCTTAGCTTTGACTGCTTCTCAAGTTTTTTTATCAATTTTGTTGCCACTATTAACTGCTCCTTTAATTTATTTCACCTGTTTAAAAAGTATGACGGTTGTTAAAGATGGTATATTATCAGCTGAAAATGAATTCAACAATGATCACAGTGAAGCACAAAAAAGACAACCACCTCCAATGATATTCAGCTACAGAATCTCAGCCCAGCATCTTCGGTTGATAATAGTAACAAAAATATCAACAACGGTACCAATAACAACACTAATGTAGAAAACAATAAAAGCTCCAGTTTTGTTATGCCTAATAACTGAATCACAACATTGACCTACTACTTTGGATATTCATCACTCTTGTGAATGTTTATAATATCGTTAATATGGGTATCAATGGTGTGAGAACTTGATCGAATTGAAAGCATAAATAGCTCATTGTTGTACATGATTGCATTAGATTAATTTCTATTACATCCGATTTCTTTTTCAGAATTTTTCAGCACGCTCATTTATTATCTTACATTGTTTCATATTATTTCATATGATTGCATATATACTATCATGTTAAAAACAATGAAAAAATAAATCCACTTATTTTGTTCATTTGCAATGAACCATAATATATCAATAAGTTGTTGTATAGCTTGGTTATATTTTTATAATGTATAATAAACAAAAACACACAATTACAAAAAAAAACAACACAAAACATAACAAGAGCACGCAAAAATAAAAAACTACAAAAGCACAAATATAAAAGTAAACAAAGTAGAAAAAAAATAAAGTCTAAAAATACAGATAATCATTAAATTTTTTGGTATTTTTGGGAATATTTCAATTTTTGGTTTGTTATAGGTATCATTTGATAAACTTTAATCATGTATGAACAGGAGTTAAATTGGGTAAATTTGAATTTGGGTTATTTGAACCATTTTGATTACTTTGATTGTTTTGGTTATTTTGATTGCTTTGAGTATTTTTATTTCTTTTAGCATTCGACCTAGAGTTTCTAGCCCCACCTCTGCCATTACCCCTTCCTCTTTTGGTATTGGAAGTGGAATTTGAATTTGAATTTGCATTTTCAGATTTGTTTTCAGATTGGGAATCTTGAACCAATGGGCCCCAATAGACAAAAAAGCCATCGACAGTGGAAGCTCTTTGCTCCTCATAAAATAGTTCTGAGTCATCAATAAATGGATCATTTACATCGTACTTTCCAATTTTTCTATTAACTGAAGCTGCTTTCTTTTTTTGGGATTTTCTCTTTTTTGAAGTTTCAGAATCTTCTAAGGTGGAATCATTATTATTACCGTTTCTATTGCTACTGCTATTATCAATAAATTCATTCATCTCAACATCATCAGGATCGTCATCATCGAGATCATTTAGAAGATCCATAGCATATTTGGCATTAGGATGAATTCTTTTAAAGCCGTATTTATCCTCGCACATTTTCATAACATTTATAACTACTTTAGAAGAGCCTGGAGGATCGTTCGGAGCTCTTAATGGAACATCAAGAACGATAATTGGCGGGCCTTGGTCGATATCTTCTTGTTCATCATCAATGGCAACATCAGTATCGTTTTCATTAATTGTATTATTATTGTTGTTATCAGCGTTAGAGTTTTGATATTGATATTGATATTGATTTTGGTTTTGGTTTTGGTTTTGGTTTTGGTTTTGGTTTTGGTTTTGGTTTTGGTTTTGATTTTGGTTTTGGTTTTGGTTTTGGTTTTGGTTTTGATTTTGGTTTTGGTTTTGGTTTTGATTTTGATTTTGAAGTTGTATTTGATCATCATTTTTTTTGCCCTTGATCAATAAATCCTTTTCGGAGGGAATATCTAAGATTCTCGGTGGAGGTAACTTATTTAAAGAATCATTTGATAGTTTTAGTGGTTTTTTCATTGCCATAACATTATTGAATTCAATTTGTTCAGGAGATAAGTGGATCGTTGATGCCATTAAGACTGATTGATTCTTTTTTTGTTGGTCATTAACATCATGATTAATTTTATTTGAGTAGGAAGCGTTGCCATTACTAGTAGTGTTATTGTTGTTGTTATTGATATTGAGTGAAATCGGTTTATTTGGTTGGAATGAGTTAATAATTTGGATTGGCACGTCCCTTTTAAGGTCCTTTTTGATTGCTAATTTTTTCAAAGGTTTTGTGTCGATATTTGTATCTTTTGAGTAAGGGCGGCCTCTTTTTTTCGGTTGTTTGTTATCAGAGATGATAATGTTATTAGTAAAATTTGAAGGGATTGATGACATGTTGTTTGTGTTCCCATTGATATTTATTGCCAGGTTTTTGATTTTATTATCATTATAATTGTCGTTAATATTGCTATCTGAATTTGTAGTGAGAGGATTATTAGCATTCAAAATTGAGTTGTTTTTTGTGTTTGGTAAGATATAATGTTGACTATTTTTTACCGAATAAGATTGGATTAGTCTTTGAGTCTTTAATAAATCTTCTGGGGTTAAATTTTTGTTGTTACTAGTTTTAGAAATTGTTGAAGAGGAAGGATGAGGCGGAGTAGCAATAGTATTAGTATTAGTATTAGTATTAGTATTATTATTGGCGGTATTATTGGAATTATTTATTGTAGATTTTTGTTTTTTGATATAGGGACTTGATTTGATTGATTCATTAGTTTCATTGACGATGGTAATTTCCTTGTTACTATAGTTTGGTAAATTTGAAATGTTGTTTGGCATTTTCATATTGTTTTTAGTGAATTTGAATTCTTTAATTTCCTTTTGGGGCTTTGATTCTTTTGAGTTAATTGGGATGATGGGAATATTAGAGGAGGTTAGAAGTTTATTTGAAGTCTTTGGAGAGGTTTTTTTTTTATCTTTTTTCAAGGGTTTTGAGTCCCTCGACTGAATAAATTGCGACTGGATTTGGGATTGAGGCTGGGGTTGGGATGCAGTTTTTCGTACTCTTTGTTTTCTTTTTTTTGATTCTACCAGTTTTATGGACACTAGTGTTGGAGAGTTGTTGTTTGAGTTTGGGGTTGAAGAATTATTTTGCATTTGAGTAGGAGCTTGAGTCAAAGGAGTGTTTGATTTTTCATTGTTTGAATGATTTAGTATTGAGTTTGATGGGTATTTGTTATTTATGAAATTGATTGCGTTTTTGTTATTGTTTTTATTTTTAATGTTTTTATTTGCGTCGTTGTTGTTTAGGTTAATTGGGATGTTGGTTGAAGAATTTATGATACTACTGATACTAGTTTTGTTAGTGTTTGAATTTGGTGAGGAAGAAGAATTGGAGGAAGAATTAGAAGAGGGAGAATCATTATTGACCAAAGAGGCGATGGTTGGCTTTTTAACAGGAAACTGGACCTGACCATTAAGATTAGTGTTGTTATTTTTGATATTGTTTGGGGATACAGAGGTGTAAGTTGTTCTGTCGGTTATTGGGTTGTAGTAGCGATGCACAGTTCTTGAAGCGCTACCATCAGCATTAGCGCTATTACTATCCAGAGCGATATTGTTGATGTTATTGATATTACTGGATTTATTATTATCGTCGTTGTTACTAGTATTATTAAGATTATTAGTATTATCAGTATTATTAGGATTATTAGGATTATTAGGATTATTAGTATTGGCAGTGTTGTTATTTACATAACGATCAGATTGGTTGGGGGAGAGTAACGAGGGTATAGAAAAACCTTCTTAAAATAGACAAATCAACGAGAAAAAAAGCATGGAAAGGGCAAGAAAGAAATGTTAGTGAATCTGAAAAGTTTGGTGTGTCTCGAGTAGCTCTTCATTATCTAGAGCATACTAGAGAGAATAAGCTATGGGAGTGTTGCGATAAGATAAAGAAGATAAAGAAGATAAGGGATAGCAAGGCCAGAGATGGCAGAGGAAGGAGTAGAAAAGGTGGTAACTTACTCTTGCTCATGATGGAAAGAGCCGAACAGCAGGCAGAGAAAGAAAGGGCAGCAAGAAAGCTGGAGCTGGAGCAGAAGAAGCAGAGGAAGCAGGACCAGCAGAAACAGCGGCGGAAGAAGAAGGAGAGAAGCTGAGAAGTAGCCACTCAGCAAGTCGCCCGATCGGGCAAGGCCTTAGCATCCTGTCCTAACAAAAAGCTCCACAAAAGCTCGTTCTGGCGCTTGCTCAAAAACGCAGCTGGGCAGCGAAAATCAGAGCTCTGAGTTTCGAGCTGAGGCTGCTCTTAAGCAACCCACCCGGCAAAAAGTGAGTGATACGGGAATCGAACCCATGTCACCTGCTTGGAAGGCAAATATGATAACCACTACACTAATCACCCGCTTTTATGTGCATTTTTTTAGCCTCGGCTAAATCCAGATGTTTCAGAAACTAGCTTTGAAACAACAGGGTAACACAGAAAGTTTTGGAACGTAAAAATATCTTACCTATGACACGGACAGGAATTGAACCTGCAGCCCTTCGATCGCTGCTCAGAGAACTGGAGTCGAAAGCTCTACCATTGAGCCACCGCATCTTTCTACAAAAACTAGGTTTCGGCATTAACTTACAATAGTATTCCCTTTTTAATCTCTAATGATGAAAAATTTTTAGCACATAAAAAGCTCAAAATTTTTATTATCACCGATTCCTAATTACTATCATATCCACTCGATTATAGCACAGACAATAACTGCACTATTCTAATTAATATCATCTGGTGTGTTTATATCTTTTGTATTTATTTTTTAATAATGATTATACCTGTTCGTTGTTTTTCTTGTGGCAAAGTCGTTGGTGATAAATGGGAACAGTATATCAAGTATCTCGAAGATGGTTTAAAAGAGAAAGATGCCTTGGACAAGTTGGGTTTGAAAAGATATTGCTGTAGAAGAATGGTGTTGACTCATGTTGATTTAATTGAAAAGTTCCTACAATACAATCCTCTAGAGAAGAAAAAAAATGGTTCACAATCCATTTAGCATTCTAATTCTACAACGAAATTATTAAATGTTTTCATTAAAAGTGTTTATCAACTATTTATCTACTGGTCACTAAATGTTAACTAAATTTTCACTAAATTTGTTTTGTATCATATTATATTTTTATTGAATTTTATTCTACCTAAATATTTATTTTATTTTTTTGTTTTATCTGGTGTTTTTTTTTTTGTTTTTTTGCTCATTAAATTGATCAATTCATATCAATCGATTAAAACTTTTTATCCATGATTTTATCCATTGTCCAATAAATTTCATTTTCCATAATCATAAATAGAAAAAAAAAAAAAGAAAGAAAAAGACAAATTATTATCATGTTATAATTACTCTGTTTAATCAACCTCGTTTCATTATTAATCCCAATGTTTTATTACCACACATCTTTATCACTTTATCTTACCTGGTTTAATTTTAAATTTGTTTCAAATGAATTTTAATTTATTCCATTTGATTCCATTTACTTCTATTTTATTCAAATCAAGTAATTCTTAAGCAATTCTGAAGCTATTCTTGAGCAGATTGAAATTGATTACCGTTAAATTGAATTATTTTTCACTTTCTTGATCCTTTTGACTGGGTTTAAATTTCATTATAAAACTTTCATTGATTCGATTGGCAATCTTTGGAATTGTTGAGATTGTTGAGATCGTTGAAATCGTTGAAACCTTAAAGGAGTTAATTTGTTTCAAAGAAGAAAAAAGAAATAAGTAAACACAAAGTAAGTACTAGGAAAAGCGTATTTTGTTGATTCAATTCACCAATTGAAAAAAAAATGTAAATAATTGTGAAATTAATTGTAAAATTAATTGTAAAAGAATAAAGCTAGTTATCGAGAAGTGCAAATTTGCGATTGTTAATTAATCTGAGATTATCATCATTATAACGATTATTATCAAAATTATCAAAATTATCAATTGATTATTTCAAGCCTTAAAAAGAGTGATTTGTTAATTAGATACAAAATAGGTAACAAAAGGAGAAAAAAAAAGTTTTCCAAAAACATATAATCTAAAAAAAACATTCAAATACTATAAAATAAGACAAGACAAAATAAAATAAAACATAGAAAAAACATCTCTAAACACTCAAGCAAAGTAACTAAACTAGTGTAAAACAACAAAACTGTAAGAAAAGGCTATTCAGTAAGAGAGAGAAAGAGAAAAAAAAGGAGGGAAAAATAGAATAGAACAAAACGAAAGAGAAGGCTAAATAAAATAAATGAATAAAACAAAAAAAAACTAAAACTAAATCAAGTGTAAAACAAAACGAAACAAAATAAGTAGAGAATAAAATAATATATGTATAATAAAAAAAATAGTCAAACTATACCATTGTACCATTTTACCATTGCAGCATTGTACCATTTTAGCATTTCAGTATATTTTATAAATTTTATATCTTTTTATATTTTTTATTTTTTTTTTTTTTAATTCAGTATTTTTCTTTAATAAAAAAAAGTATTTTTTTTCAGATCTAATAACAAAAAACGATATAATAAAACTTAAAAAAAAGGATAAAAAAAACTCTTAACTTTAATAATTTTCAATTTTAATCATTAATAAGAATGATAATAATCATAATAAAAAAAAATGATGATGATATTGATGATGATGATGATAATGATAATATTAATTTTTTATTTAATTAAAATTGATTTCGTAGTAATTAAATTAAGTTAAATTAATTGTAAAGACGGAATTTGGCAGAGCCTTTAGTGACACCAACAGTACAACCATCGGTTCCGTCATTAAAAACACCATCAACATAAGCACATTCTCCAGAAATAACAGCGTCAGAAGTGTATTTGACGATTTCGACATTAAAGTTAGCAGCATTTTTGTTGTTTGGGTTTGGAATTAAAGACAAGTAAGAAACACCACTTGAAGCACCAGCACCGAAATTCAATGGAGCCCAGTTACCATAGGTGGTACCGTAATCACCCCAAGAACAACCAGTTTCCCAATCAACACCGGCGTCGTTGACATAATATTGAGCAGAAGTAGAACCGCCTCTCCATGTGTAGTAGGAATCTTGATCAACAACAGTTAAGGGCAATTTTGAGTTAGAAGTGACAATAGTTGGAATAACCATATTTTCAGTACCTGGATAATCAGTTCTACAAATGGCTACGGTATCGTCCAATTCAGAGACAACATAAGCAGAATCAACACCCCATTCACACAAGTAATCTGATCTTGAATTTGTTTTGTAGAGATAACCATTTTTACATAACAAACCACCGATTGAAACACCACTAGCAGGTTGTTCAGAGGGCCATTGAGTCTTTGACATACCAGGTTGACAGGCGTAGGAACAGTAAGCGCCTTCTCTACATTCACCACCGACTTCAATATCATCAGCAGAATGGATCAATTCGATTCCAGACCAACCGCCAGAACCAACATGAGTAAGAGCAATAACACCATTACCTGAGGGGAAATCGGAACAAGGAACAACACCATCTTCGAATTTTTCAGATGGACCAGAGAACGATGACAAGTCACCAAAAGTGGATTGAATGGATGTTGAGCCAGTTGGAGACGAGGTTGAAGTTTTTTTGGTTGATGAAGCAACAGAGACAGAAGATGAGGAGGTGGATGAGGATGAAGGTGAAGAGTAAGAAGTGGTAGAAGCGGATGATCTGTAATAGGATTTTGACTCAGACTTAGACTTAGATTCTGCTTCAGATGAGTATGAGGAAGGAGATGAGGTGTAGGAGGAAGCGCCTAAAGTTGTTGTAGTTCCAATTGAATAGTCGATGCTAGTGTCACTTTCACCAGTTTTGTAGGTTGAGGTAGTTTGTGAAGTGGCCAAAATGGTTTCGCCATCTCTGTTGACAGTGACAGTGACATATTCGTATTCGATTGCGACAGCTCTTTTATGGAGGTTATGGGAGTGAGCAGGAGCAGCGCTTGAGGAGAAGATCAAAGCCGAGAGGGATAATAAGACTGAATTTGAGAATTTCATGATATAAGGCGAGATGAATATAAGGAGTGAATGAAAGTTGGTTAATCCGTAGATTAGTTGGATAAATTTTGGTTATATTTTGGATTGATTTTGATGTGATCTTGATGTGATCTTGATTTAAAAGAAAGAACTTTATTAGATAAGAGATGAACCGATAGTTAAAGAAGGAATGAATAACAGTTGGTAGTTCACTTTAATAAAGTAAAAAGGATGTAGATACTAAAACAATTTATTTTTTGATTTTATTTTATATTTACTAACGAGATTTGATTTGAAGTAATGAAGGATAGTAAAAACCAAAAAAAAGTAGTAAATATATAGTAAAAAAGAAACAAGAAGCTAGAGTAAGAAATGAATGAATGAATAGATAAACTGATCTGGATTGATGTGAACTAGTATGAACAGAAAGAGAAAAATAGAGAAAGAGAAAAAGAAGAGAAGAGATAGAGAAGTGAGATTAAGAAGAAAAGACAATTTATTTAAGTCTGGCTGGAACATGTTCTTTTTTTTGCAAGAAACAAGAATTCCGCAAAATGTAAACACAGCGCATCGCATGGTAACGCACGCCAAGACGTCAGATAACAATTACATGCACTTATTACCAGACAAAAACGCGGCTGTTTGGCAGAAGGCACGTGCAAACACGATCGAGAGGGCTGGAAAAAGAAACGAGGGGGCTGTTTCTGGGATGTGCAATCGGTGATGGTGGTCTTGGAAGCGATTAGAGGCGATTGAGATAGGTTGGAATCAACTGGAATAAGCTGCGAAGCTTGGCCAATTGAGCGGCAGAGCGTTTCACAAAATGGGAAGCGAGACGAGGATGGAGTGAATGAAGAGCAAATGAAGAGCAGGGCAAAGGGTTGGAAGAGCGTGAAAGGCCTGGGAGCTGGAAGACCTGGGCTGGAAGGGCCTGTGTGGCTATAGGAAGATGAAAAAGTGAAACCAAAACGAAGGAAAGAAAGGATGGTGCAGGTGAGATGCAGTGGCAAGAAAATGAAAAAAAGCGTGAAACAGATATGATGCAGGGCTACGTCATGAGAGGTGACGGAGGAGAGCGTTACGTAATAGGCAGCACGTATTTGTCGGGTGAGATATGTAGTCCGATTAGGAGTGAGATAGAAGGATCAGTAGATTATGCAATGTATTAGCTAAGCGTTGACAGGAGAAAGCCCGTTTCCGTCGTTTAGAACAATGTCGATGATGTTATCCTGACATAATTTGTAACTTTGAAGAACCTGGTCGTAGGTGGAAGAACCAATGTGGGGAGTTAACGAGACGTTGTAACGTTGGTTATTTTTTTTATCGAAGATGAGTCTCTTATTGATGTTATTTTCGTCGTGAAAGACGTCGAGGGATAAGTAACCGATTTTTCCCTGGTCAAGAAAGTCTATGACATCCTGTTCATTTATGATTTTGCCCCTGGAGATGTTGATGATTTTGACGTTTTCTTTGCAGAGAGATAGGTTGTCTTTATTGATGAGATTTAGGGAGTTGTTGTTTAGAGGGAGAGCGAGGATGATTATATCAGATATCTTTAATAGGGAGGATAGGTCTTGGTGATAGGTTAAGGGGAGGGAGTTGTTATTGGTCGGAATAAATTTTTTGATTAGGAGTGAATAATTTGAGGGGGATAGTTTATTTCGCTGATGGTAATGGAGAGACATGCCTAATGAGTTTAATCTTATAGCGATTTGTTTACCAATTTGACCCAACCCAACGATTCCAGCGATTTTATTTTTAGGAGAGTGGACTAATTGAGAGTAGCACTGATCACCCAAAGCAAAGTATTTGTTATTGCTTTTGCTACTATTGTTGTCGTTATCAATGGACATGATTAGTCTTGAATCAATTGTGTTTTTGTATAGCCTTAGGTTTTTTTCAAAAATTGGAAAGAATCTAAAGGCAGATAAAGTGTGGTATAAAGTTAAATCTGCGACGTCATTGCTACCCAAATTTGAACGATTGCAGAGAATTATATTTTTCTTTTTTAATAGATTTAAGTCGTAGCGATCATAGCCTATTGAACATAAGACGATGCATTTGAGATCTTTAGGAAGGGAGTTGTATAGATCCAAATCGAATTCTTCGTAGCCATTTTCAGAGATCAAACCGCCGTGAGATAACCAAAGAGCAGATATATTGGTGGTTTTGTAGATGGTATTAAAATCATGGATTAAAAGTGATTTAGATTTAAAATTGTAAAGAATGATGTTGAACAAATTAGAGAATCGAATGAATGATTCTTCATTTTGATCAACTTTTCCAATTATTAAGACGCCAGGTTTCATATTTAGTTTTAATCTTTTCAATCTTCTTTGATAATCTGGATATGACTTAACTAGGGTTTGGCTAGGGTTCAACTAGGAATTAGTTATTTACTAAAATCAACCAAAAATCAACTAGGAAGCAACTAGGAAATAGTTTGGATAGCAAAAGTGTAAAATATGAAATAAATGACCAGGCGGATTAGATTTGATAGCTATAAATTTATGACTGTACTCTAAAAATTGATTATATCTTTAGAAACGATTATATCTTTAGATATACAATACTTAAAGTTATAAATGGAAGTTCCGCTTCATTTGGAGCCCTAATATATATATATATAGATTACACATATAGATATAGATATAGATATTGATATAGATATAGAGCCCTAGTGATATTAGGTAATTGCTTTGTAAATTCGTAAATGAGGTTTGTTTTACCGATGCAGACCGACCAGAACGGAAAATAACTGGAAATAGCTGGAAATAACAGTTGAAAACTGAAAATAGCTGGTAACAACTGGAAATGACTGAGGTTGGCAGAGATTGACCTTGGATCAACAGAGTTTGCGCGGGTCGAGCAGCCTCCAACAGCGGTTCATATCCAGCTCAAAATCAAGCGCTTAGAATTTGATTTTGAGGTAATGCAGATTAAGTTAGTAAAATAATTTCTCTGTACAGAATTTTTGGAATTGTCTGAGACTTGTCTGACTCAACTATATTGGATTGTGTTAGATGGAATTAAATGTTGCAAAAATGTTTAAAAATAATTATGTTTTAAAAGTGTTTAAAAAATGTTTGAGAAATGATTAATAATGTTTTAAAAAAGTTGAAAACATGTATTGAAAAGTTGTGTAAATAGTAGAGTGGTGGATTATAGTTTGCTGTTCAATACAGTTAATGGGAGATTTGAAATGTTTTAAAAAATGTGAGAAATAATATAGAAAATTATGAAATTTTTGAAAAATATGCAACATCTGAAATGTTTTGAAATGATTAGAAGTGTTGAGTTGTGTTTGGAGATGATTGGAAGTGTCTGGAAGTGTCTAGAAATGATTGGAAGCGATTGGAACAAGAAAGAAAGCAAACACGGTGGTCGAAAGTGCCAATGGGAACGGAAGATGGCACGAGAACAGTAGAGCTGAGAGAGTGGAGGCTGTTACTTGCTGGAATTGCTCATCGGCAGACGAGGATTAGTCACCGCGGTCATGGGAAGAACGAGGTGGAAGAGGGAAAGTGGGCTGGTCCCGCAAATAACACCACACCATAGCAAAGCGCGGGCGCGAGCGCTGCCTAGGCCGCTCCGCTGGCGTGCTCCGCTTGCTGCAGACGGGGTTCTGCTAAGCGGTGCCCCGTCACGCTCGCGCTCGGAGACGGTTGACTCCCAGCGGATGTGGCAGAAACCCCCAGTCGCACCAGTGGGTCTCACGTGCGCGCACGCCAGCCCAACGTGAACAACGTGAGAAACGTGAGCCACCACCACAGCACGTGAGGGACAGCGCCATAACCACCAGTGTAACCGCCAATGCAACCACCAACGCCATAGGAGTCGCGATAACTGACAGAATCACCACCACAATCACCATCTCAGCAGTGAAATCACTGCCATAACCACCACCGTAACCACCATAACCGGGATAACCACCAGAATCCGCACCGCTGAGACCCAACGGAAGCCCCCAGCGCTGACAGATCCGAATAAGGTTTGCTCGCAGTGTGCATAATTCTAAATTCTATTCGCATTGCTCTTTTTCTCTTCAAATTGTCTAATTTTATTAATTTTATTAATCTTATTAATCTTATTTATTGTAAATTAGCTTTTTACATTTGTTCAAAGCTAAATTCAATTGCAACTCACCTCCATTCATTTATATACACTTACGATTTTTAGATTGCAAATTCTGAAGCTAATTTTGCAATTGTCATTTTGTCTGATTGTCATTTTGACTAATTTCTCCTTGACTAATTTTAAGGAAAATTAACTCGTCCTAACTTTTCACCTTGTCATAATCGCTTAATCTTTTATTCTCTCAACATCTTTTTTTTTAATATAAATTGTTATATTTTCCTCTTTTCGTTTCACTTGTCTGTTTTTCTTTTCTACTTCCTCTAATATTCTTTAATATTATTCTCTAATATTTATATTCACTGCTAGTATTACTACTATTGATACCTACCTATTCCATCCTATCCTATCTTATCCTATCCTTACATATATCTCTCACAAATGGATTCTGCCTTTGAAGAATACTGCATTGTTTGCGAAAACAAATTGTCTTCCTTCAACTCCCTCTACTGCTGTGAATCTTGTAAATTAATCGACCAAAAGAACCAATTTAACGACAATACTAGTAATACTGACGTCAATAACATTACAATCAATAACAATATCCTCAACTCTCCTTCTCTCATACCTACCGACTACCAGGATAACTACTCATACAACTATAGCTATAATAACGACTACAACTATAATTATAACTATGGCTATAACTACAATGACGAGTTTGATAACGAATTCGACATAGATTACTATCCTCAAGACCAAAGTGCCTCCAACAACCAAAATATCAACTACAATACCTTTAACAACTATAACAGTTCAGATTTCAATTCCAATTCCAATTCCAATTCCAATTACACAGATCTTGAAGATTTAGATAATGATGCCTCTAGCTTCAACTCTTCTTCATCTTCATCTTTTTCAAACAACCAATCCTCTTCTCCAATATTTTACTCAGATAACAAAAGCCAATCAATATACAATAACCAAGTAATAGCCTCTTCTTTGTTAACTATTGGCAACTCAAACTACACAAGATGGTTAAGCTCCCAATAATTCTCTTCATTTCTAAAAATCCAATTAATTATTCACTTGTCTAATTAATTTAATGCATTTATTTATATTATTACTTACTATTACTATAATTACTATTACTATTACTATTATTACTATTACTATTACTATTTCCATTATGATTTGTTATTTATCTACTTATTATCTACTTATTTACTTCTACTTCGTTTCTCTTCAAAAGTCGCTTATTACTTTATTGTATATCTTTTTTTCATTATCATTTTAACGGTTGGGTCTTTTTTTTTTCTTTTTTATATATAAATATTTAATCTTATAAATATTAATATTATCTATTTACTATACGTTCATACTATTTAATGTAGTCCATTTCTATTGAATTTCATTTCACTTTACCTCAAATTTCATTCATTTGACTAAAAAAAATAAATAAAAAAAAAAATTTTATTTTACTTTAATTTAAACCTGATATTTTACTTAATATAGAAAACTCATTTCCTTTTGCTTTAACCAACCTTTCATTTACTTATTCACTCACCTAACCAGTTTTTATTTTCTTTTACTCTCTCTCTCTCTCTCTCTCTCATTCAATCTCAATTTAAAAAGAAAAACATCAAGTTTATCCACTGTGGAGTTTATTTCTTTCAATTTGAGGAAATTATTTTATCTTCAATTAATTTATTGAATTTCAAATGAAATGAATTTTTAAAATTTCATTTCCAAGACATTGTTTAACACTTTATTCCCTAGTCTATGCTAATTTTTTACAAAATTTTTAAAAATCTTTTTATCCAACTCTTATAAAAAATTCTATACAATTTTTAGTTAATTTACACTAAATTCACACTAAACTCACACTAACTCTTAACTTATTATCTATAATCCAGTTTTCTTTACACCACTCGCTCTCTTAATCTTCATCCAATCTAATTCAAATCTGTAATCGATAACTTGCTAATCCAATTTCACTCTATTCCTATTACCTCTGTTCCTCTTCTACTTATCTCTCAACACTCCCTTTCCTTATTCCACTTATCTCTCAATATCTCTCCAACTTACATACCGTTCTTCGAACTTTCGTAACAACACCCGCTGTATTTTCGTAAAGCCACGTGCATACTTACTTTTATTTGCTTTTCCATACTGAAATCCTCTTCGGCCTGCTCATTGCCGAAACCCTCTATCTACGGGGCACTATATCGACTGCATCTCCTCGAACACGGCTCTCTACCAAGACTTTTTTTCTTATTGTTTGAAATTCTTTTCTACCAATTTTTCGTTCTCTTTTTTCGTCCTCTCTTTTCGTCCTCTCTTTTCGTCCTCTTTGTGATCTGCATCAAGAAAAAAAAAAATTGTCCAAAAAATAATTCAATAATTCAAAAAAAAAATAAATAATCCACAATCGTTCAGATTTATTTATTTCGTTCAACTTCATTTCTTATCAACTCTATTTTTCTACACTTCTTTACTTCATTCCAATATGAATTATCAACGATTAATCAATTATGAGGTTATCATTTATTCCCCATGCTTCCTTAACTATCGTGATCAAATAAATTTATCACCATAACATTATCCTAAATAATTTATCAAACAAATTTATTTTATTATATTATAATGTGATATAATATAATGTTCTGCATTACTGTATTATTGTATTATATTTATTATGAATTCATGTAAATACACATTTTTCACTCAAAATTTTAATTTTGTTTTTTTCACCCTTCATTAAATTCCCATTAAAGTCTCATTAAATTTTTCATTCAATTTTCTTCATTTTCCCACTTTTATAAACTTATATAAATTTTTTTTGAAAATTCTTTAAAATTCTTTGAAATTCTATTAAATTTCTATGATAATTCTATTAAACGTCTTTGTCTCCCCCACAAATAATAACAATTCATCGTTTATTCTTGATTTACAACTTAATCATTTAATTCAATTCTATTCCTGTCCTTATATCAACTTAATATTTGTTTGTGTGTGTGGTTTGGGTGCGGTTCTTCGCTCGTTTTTTTTTAAATTAATTTATTAGAAATTTAATGCTAATTCAAACCGCTTGACTATTATCCCAATATCCTCCTACTATCATATTATTTAAATGAATAATTGGCCAAATTAGGATTAATTAACCTTTTTCTTTTTCTGTTATCATTTTGCCTTTATTTAAATTAATAATGATGATAGTAATAATAATATTATTATTATTATCATCACTGCTGATACAATTTAATTGAACAATTCTTGATGAAAAATGGAAATTCACAACAATTTCGAAGTTTCTCTTTAATTTTAGAAATCAATTCTCTCATAATGGAATCATTTTAAGATTAGACTTTTCTCATAGGAATGAGCCAACAATTTTCCTCCATATTAATTAAATATTTGCCCAACCATATTCATTCATTTAATCATTCAAAACTCATTCAATTATTCAAGTTTAATTCAATTTTACTCCAATCTTAATTCAATTTCGATTAAAGACTCATTAAAAATTCATAAAAGATTCATGAAAAATTCAAACACCTATTCATCCACTTACTAATCCACTTGTTTACTCGAAATTTCCCTTATTTGCCGATTCAATCATTCAACTCCAATCAGTAAACAAATTAAAACAAAAGAAAAAAAGCATTTGAAAAAAACAAAAATGCAGCCAAAAAAACAAATAGAGTCAATTTAAGGTAAAAAAAACAGACTAATTTACTGATTCATTCATTTGACGATGTTACAATAAGTTAACTTTTTAGATATTTTCTATTAAATTTCCATTTAAATTTTCAATTAAAATTCACTATAAATTTTCATTCAAATTTAAAGTAAAATTCGTTTTAAAATTCTTTTTAAGATTCTTTTCAAAAATTGACTTGACCTGTTTGCTAATCTTTTTTTTATTGAAACAAAAGCAAAAAAAACCAACTGATTATGAGTTGTTTTCTTTGTTGAATTCTTTTTTTTTTGATTGACATAATTTAATATAACCACATTTTTTGACAATAAACGATCTGATCTGTTGTGATCAATCAACTGTTTAACGAAATATTCGTTTTATTCAACAATTTTTTATTAAAATTAAAATTTATTTAATTTATTCTTTTAATAAATTATTTGGTTTCATCTTATTGTAATTTTAATCTGCAAATTCATTAATAAATATAATCATCAAATAAAGAAACTATGTCCTGGTGATGAGATTTAAATTTGTTCTCTGAGCAAACAAAACTCGAAAATGACCTTAAAAAGATAATAAACAAACTTGACAAAAACTTCAAAGACTCCAAAAACTGCAAAGACTTCAAAAACTCCAAAACTTCCTTTTTGGCAAGTTGCAAAAATTTTTATTTTCACTGATACGAATTTTCAAAAATGCTTTTAAAGATATTTCAGGATATTTAAATTTTTGTATGTTGTTATGTAGCAAAATTTCAATCATTTTTTCTTAAAAAGTTTAAAGGCAGTGATTGTAAAATTAACAGATTTAAAAGCAAACGTATCAATGTATCATTACATTTTTATAAGTTAAAACCTTAAATTGGAAAAGTGAGACTAAACCTATAGATAAGTAAGTTGAAGGTGAGCGAAAAGTTAATAGAAGGGAAAAAGAGCTGTGTTATCACTCTAATTGATAACAAATTTAAATGAGACTCACTTGTATTTATGATATCAACAGTGTTATTAATGTTGTTATCATTGCAAAATTTTCAATTTGTAGTTTTGTATTTTTGTAGTTTTTTAATTTCTCACTATCTTTATCAAAGTTATTGTTCAATTTATTATCAAAATTATTATCAAAATTATTATCAAAATTATTATTGAAATAACATCATATCAATATTATTTAGGTATTTGAGAAATTGTGTGTTTTAATTCTGCAACCCATAATATTTTATTATTTAACAAAATTTAAACCAAAGTTAATGGACTATTTTTTGAATCAGATACAAAGATTCTTATCTCTCATTTTTTTTTTATTTTCGTAAAACCAGATGATGATAATAATAATAATAATAAAAGTAATAACAATAACAATTAGAAGGAAAAAAAATGAGAGATAACCAAGTTAACAGTTAATTCAGTTTAACTGTTTCAATTTATTGGGATATAAAGCGAATTTTCAACTGTCAATAAAATGTCAACAAATCAAATTAAAGTATTAAAACTGACGATATTTACATAATAAAAACAAAAAAAAAAAATGGGTAAGAGTTGAAGAATCGTGATTGAAATTAAGAAAACTATTGGGAAAGAAGTGATTAAACTTCAGTTTTAACACCACTTTTAATACTTTTTTTTTTTTTTTTTTGGTTTTTTTTTTTTNTAAATATCGCAAATACTTGGTATTAGATTAGATTTTTTATTTTTTTTTTTGGTTTTTTTTTTTTGGTTTTTGGTTTTTGGTTTTTGGTTTTTGGTTTTTGTTTGTTTATTTGTTTGTTTGTATTGGTTTGTATTTGTTTGTTATGTGTTGTTGGTTGACTTTACAACATCAGGATAAAATTGAGTTATATTATTCAGGAAAAACATATTGATAAGTTTCTCCTCACAAGTATAAATATTAGCTGCAATTAATAATCGACCATCAATAATGGTGCAAACAAATAAAAATTTTAAAAGATCATCAGATCTATATAAATTATTTTTAATTGGAGAAACGAAAAATTATTTAATTTACAAATAATTTGAAAATGAAAGAAAATAAATAAATTTTTTCAGAAAAATAATAAATTTCTTTGTTCTATTATTGACTCTGATGGAAAAATTTCGATAAAAATGGAAAAAATAACAGAGATGAAATTCTCAAAAGAGTTTCAAATAATTTCAAAAAGACTGAAAAAGTAAAAAAAAACACAGAGAAATTCAAAGAAATCGAAATATATCCGGACAAATTCAAATTGATTTACGCAATTCCTAATAAATTGAAAATGGTTCAAGAAAAAAAGTAAAGCAACCCCATTGAAACTGAAGAAACTAAAGAAACCGAAGACAACTGAAAAAACAAATTTCACAAAACGATGTTTCAACTTCACCAAATTTCAGAATTTTTATTATTTGACTGAATAAATGGAAATCGAAGCAAAAAAAAAATTAAAGACAAAATCAACTACTAGAGTGGTGAAGTTTTTGGAATTAATTAAATGGTCATTCAAGATAGTGTTTGAGAAATTGAAATTGTCTGATGAATAACTCAGTCTAAGTGGAAACCGGCAAGGCTCTGATATGTGCAATCGATCTCGTTGCTCTGATAGCTTTTACAATTTTCGTAATTCTGAAGGTTGCAATTTCGAGTGTGTTGAAATGAGCTCAAGTGCTGTTTGGAAATTTCGAAATGTTTTTGTGTTGACACTTGGAAATAATTTTTTATTGTTCGATTTAAAGTTTGAAAAAAACCACAACGATGGTTCAAAACCAGAACAATGGACGAAAACCGCAGCGGTGGTGTGAAAGAAACCGTCTTACATCAGCGCTTATGTAACACGGCTAACCTAATCCTGTGCGTATCCGCCTCTGCACTGCACGTTGATCTCACGCGCACAACACGTGAATACATATGGCCCCAGATATACACGGCTGTGTGTAGGCTTGTGCACGTGCCGCCGCGGCCAGAACAACGAAACCTAATTTCTGCTGGTTTTTCTGATTTGTTTCTGTTTTCTCCAACGTCGCTGTTTTCTGCTGCCTCAACGACTGCTTCTTTTCGTGCCTCTGCTGCTGCTTCTTCCTCGAGTCAACTGCTTCTTCCTTGTCTGTTTCCTTGTTCTGTTCTCTGCTTCGTGCTACTGCTGTTTCTTCTGCTCCAATTCCCCTTCTCCCATCTTTGTCCTGCCTCTTATTCAAAAAGGAGCCACTTTAAAGTCAAAAAGGGCTACTTTTGATACAACAACCAACCCAATCTCGCCCACTCATCTTTACTCAGTGTCTCTCTCGTCCTATCTTATAGTATCACTCTTGATCTGCCTATTTAATTTCTATTATCCCCCAATTACTACTGCCAATTAGCGAATTTCAATCTAAAGCGTTGTTATTGCTCAAAGTTTTTTAATTTTGCTAAATTTTAAAACTTTCTTACCAATAGCTGATTTCCATTAGTTAATCACATTTCTCCATTCTATCACATCTTTCTCTACTGAATTTTAACATCTTCACACCTATTATTAATTTATACCAATTCTAATTAATAATAATACCACTTGTTATTACTTGACAGAATCCTTATTCTGTTACTCTTATTACTCTCGATAATCTCAACAACCTTAATCCCTCTTTATTTCCCTCACTCACTAACATTCCATCTTCCTCTCTCTCCTCCTCTCTTTCCCTCTTCCTCTCTCTCTGTCTCATCTGCTATTCCCTTTATCATCAATCTATTCTCTTCCTAACAATGTCAAGGACCGCAACTGATAGTACTGACTTGAACCAAGTTTGGAAATTCTCCCAATGTTTTGGTGACAAAGCTGAAGTAGAAAATATCACTGAAGCCGATATCATCTCAGCTGTTGAATTTGATCACACCGGTGACTACCTAGCCACCGGTGATAGAGGTGGTAGAGTTGTTCTATTTGAAAGAAACTTCTCTAAAAAAAACTGCGAATATAAATTTCATACTGAATTTCAAAGTCATGATGCTGAATTTGATTACTTGAAATCTTTGGAAATTGAAGAAAAAATCAACAGAATCAGATGGTGCAAAAGATCTAACCAAGCTCACTTCTTACTATCAACTAACGATAAAACCATAAAATTATGGAAAATTTATGAAAAAAATATTAAAGTAGTATCAACAAATAACTTGACAGGTGCAAACTTCCAAAATTACAATAAACTCTTTTCAAATTATGATATCGAAAAACTAAATCACACTCTTTTTAACTCAAATGGTTTCAATTCAATAATATCAAACTATTATAAACTTCATAACACCTCAAACCTTAATTCCCACACAAACCTTGATAACGATGATAATAATAATAATACCGATTTCACAAATAGTACGGGGAATAATAACAACCAAGAAAATATCGACATCAACAACAATAACAATAACACAACTAAAATCGATATTAGTCTCAATAGCCTACACCTCCCAAAACTAGAAATCCAAGATAAAATTATAGCTGCTTCTCCCAAAAGAATATTTGCAAATGCTCATTCTTATCACATTAATTCCATCACTCTCAACTCCGATGGCGAGACTTTTATCTCTTGCGATGATTTAAGAGTCAATTTATGGAATCTAGGTATTGCTAATCAATGTTTTAACATCATCGATATCAAACCAGTGAATATGGAAGAATTAACAGAAGTCTTGACTTCAGCTGCTTTCCATCCAACTTCTTGCAATATATTCATGTACTCTTCCTCAAAGGGTATTGTGAAGTTAGCAGATATGAGAGAAAACGCCTTTTGTGATTCAAAGACTAAAGTATTTGAAGAACACATCAATCCTCAATCTCACAACTTTTTCACTGAAATTACAAGCTCAATCTCCGATGTAAAATTCTCAAATGATGGTCAATATATCGCTAGCAGAGACTACATGACTGCTAAAATTTGGGATGTCAGAATGGAAAATAAACCAGTAAGAACTATCAATGTCCACAATCACTTGAGAGAAAAATTATGTGATGTTTACGAAGTTGATGCAATATTCGATAAATTCCAATGTGTATTCTCGGGTGACAGTAAATCAATCTTAACTGGTTCTTATAATAACAATTTCATGATTTATCCAAATGTCGTATCAGAGACTCCAACGAATCCAAATAAAAAATTCCCTTCAAATACTAACAATGGTAATGTAATCTCTCTTAATACAAACAACTTTTCAAATAGGACAAATGATTTCCTTGATGAAAGTTATTACAATGAAGATGACGATGATGATGAAAATGAAATTCCAGAAATTGTGTTGACAGCGGATAAACCTGCTTTTAAAGCTAAAAGAGTTGGAGTACCCAGTTTCAAAAAACATAGATTCAATGAGAAAAATCCCGTTGATTTCACAAAAGGTATATTACATTATTCATGGCATCCAAGAGAAAATTCTGTTGCAATTGCTGCAACTAATAATTTATATATATTTTCAACATTATAAAATTCATTAAAAACTCAAAATTAAAAAAAACAAAACATAAATTCATTATAATAAAATTCAATATAATAAAATAAAATTTATAAAATTTATAATCAATATCATAATATAATTTGAAATTACAATTTAAATGAAGTATTAGTTCTAATTTTTATTTTTTTATAATTCACCCTTTTTTATATTTTTCTTTCTTTTATGTTTCTTAATGGTCTCATATTTTTTATAAACTGTTATTATTAATAATAAATCTCTTTATTTATTTAGATCATTCGGTTGGAATCAAAAGCTTAAAGGACCAATTTAAATGAAAGAAATACAAATAATAACCAAACTGAAAATCTGAGATTACAATTATAATTTCAAATAAAATATAAAATATAACATAACTATTAAGAATAAAAATAAATTACAATATTAATTAATTTGAATATCTGTTGAAATAGTAAAAAAATGTCAATTATTAACTGTCAAAACAATAAAAAAATAAACTAAAAATACAAAAATAAAATTATAAACTTAAAAATTATAAAAATATATTTCTTTTATAAATAAATTTCTCCCCTTTTTTTCTCTACTTTCTAATTTCACTTTAAATTTTTTGATTTTTTTTTTGATTTTTTGATATTTTTTGTTTTGTTCTCATTTAATGTTTTTTTAATAGTTTGCTTTTTTAAATCACTTATCATGTCATCATGTTTTCAAATATTATCATTAGTTTTTATTTTACTTTTATCATTTATCATAAATTTTAATTAAATTCAACAATTAATTTAAATTGTTTATTACTTTATGGTTTATATTTTATATTTTATTTTATTATATAATTGTAATAACTTTTTTGATTTCTTCATCAACTTCTCATTTCAGCTTTAATAAGAATGGAAATAATGAATAAAATAATTTCAATTAATTTCAGTTAATTTCAAAATTATAAATTAAATATAAAAATTTATATATGGGACGAAATTAAGAGAAAGGCATACAATGATGAAAAATCATTTAAAAAAATTATAATAAGTGTAAATTAAAACTAAGTTAATAAAAAGTTTAGTGAAATAAAACAAAATATCGGTTAAGCAGATGGATCAAAACAGTGAAGGACCAATAATAGTAGTTATAGTAAAGTGTGTAAATTTTTTTAATATTGAATAATTTAACGAATATAAAATTTAATAGAATTCTAATTTGAAGACCTATAGATCAAACCATTTATTCTCTTTTAACGTTTCTGTTGATTTTGTCATTCCAGAAAAATGTTTTGTCACCATCACCCCAGAAGAAAGGTTTTGATCTTATATTTTGGTATTCGTATTGTTGAGGCCATTCTTCATCAGGAATCTTAGCCTTTTCTGCAATGTGGTGGAAATGTTCTTTTTCAACAAAATAGGTGTTGACAGTGGCTGCAATAAGAGCTGGGACAGCAACAAACCAGGTAATTTTCATCCATAAGTCACTGGTCTTACCAGCATGGTCTTCAGTAGCTCTCAAGCTATCAGAAAACTCTTTGGCAATTTTTTTATCAGGTTTGAGCATTTGTTCGTAGGCCCATTTTGGTATGGTGGAGTTATAACGAACTATTTGACGAGAAGCAGAAGCAGCAGCTTTTTTGGATGATTGGGAAACTGAAAACATTTTTGGTGCAGTGGATAAGTTGTTATGGTTCTTGGTTCCTCTACCTTTGATGGATAGAAAGCTGAAAGATGGAGACAAATATGAGCTGGAAATAGCTTTATTAACAAGAATCAAGTGAGAAAGCTGTTATTGGAATATTGGTGTTGTGCGTGATCTGATTGGTCAAAAGCAGCTTTGGCAACGAAAACGAAATCAGCTGATTATTTTCAACAAGATGAGTTTTTTTGGAGATAATTATTATCGCAATTTTCGAAAATAACTAGTCACAAAACAGCTTAGCCACACGCCACAACATCCGCTTTTGAAAAATATCCACAAATCTGGTTTGGAAACACAAATCACAATTTCACCTACAGATCAAAAGGAAATTAGCAATGTTTATTGTGCTTGATAAAAAATAATGCAGGTAAGAAAAATTATAGTATAGCAAATGATAGTAAAAAACAAAAGTAACGAGCTCTATGATGATAGCTTATAGTCTATGAGCGATACTGGCTTGATTTCGACTGCGAATTCGACATCTTTTTCATGTACAACGCGTATTTTCTGGCAACATCTTCTTCATAAATGTAGTTTCCATTCAATTGATTTCCAATTGCTAAAATAAATAAAGGCAGAGCATTAAGTTAGTAAACAGTTGTCTTTTTTTTTAAAAAAATAAGGCTTTATTTATAGCCCGATCAAGTTAAACTTACTAAACCATCCTTCTCTTGTATTGTGATCTCTCCCGAATATCTCTAGTTTTCTGCTAGCCTTTCCAACTAATCTTTCAACAATTCCATAAACCTATGATTTTAGTGATTTTAAGGTTGGTTAGTAATCAAATTTTATGAAAATCTCAACTTTCTCTTATAGAAAATGCTAATCTAACTTTAACATCCAAACTTTATTTGCTTTAATTCATTTGATTTTTGAAAAAATGGGATTGAATTTTTTTTGATAGATTCCTATATTTTCCATTTTAGATTGTAATCAATCTTTTTTTGTTCTTATTTTTTCTTTTTCTAAATATTTCTAAAATTTATTGATATTTCTTTTAGGACCTTTTTTTGCCTTTTTTTTTTTGATTTTTTTCCCTTTTTATAATATAAACACTTGATTTCTTCTCTGTTTTTATTTTTATTATTTTCTTTTCTGATCCCAGTAGTTTTATCTCATTGAATTAACACAATTTCTTATCAAAATTCCCCTGAATTTATTATCATCAATCATGTCAGACATATCACATTAATTCAAAATTAATCAAACCAAATCAAATAAAGTTAATAATAAAATGAAAATAATTTAATAATTAAATGATTTATATCATAAAATTTCTTAAAATAAAAACTTACTTCGTCTGGTTTTCTGCTAGTTTCTCTTGTTGATGATGCGATAACATCTGTATCAATTCCTCTATTTAACCATTTGGGATTTCCTTTAATTCCAACTAATAAATGCTCCTTTGAATGATTCAACCAATGTCCTGTTCTACCAGTACAAATAGTTCGATTTAGTTGATTGGTTTTAACCCAAATAATTTCATTAATATTTTTATATCCCCAACTTTCTAATGATGATCTACCAATTTCAATAGCCCTGCCTGTTACCCATAATAGCATTATCCCTTCATCTTGCAAAATGTGCATTGGTAGATTTAATAACTCCCCATCATCACAAGTCCCATATGGTAACTAATTTTCTTATTAGTAAATATATAAAAAAAAAGAAAATAAAAATAAATAGAATATGTTTTGAATTTAATTTTATTCAAAACATACTTACATTCATATGAATAAGCCAAGCAGCTATTAAAATATTTCCAAAATTGGTTAATATCATCAAAAAAAAATAGTTAGAATTGAATGGAAATAATTATACCAATAATGGTATAATTATTATACTTACGGTCAGCAATAACAGCAGCAAATTTTCCCAAGATATTAAAATCAAATTTTCTAATATCACAATTAATCCATTGAGAAGGCAATACGTCTCTTGAATAGAAACTAATAGGTAAACCCCAATAATAATCATAAATCTTTTCAATTTTTTTAATTTCTTTTTCTTGCCTTTTTTGATCTTCAAATTGTTTAAATAATTTCTCCATTGGTAATAATTTATAATAATGTAAATATCTACAAGTATTCAATTTGTGACAAGTGTCAAGATAAGAACAATCTCCTAAACTGACGTCAGTTTGTTGTTGACCATAACAATTTGAAATTTTACTTAAATCAACATTTGGAATAGTATTTAAAAAATTTTGATTTTTTTGGGTTTGATTATACAAAGAAGTTGAATTTAAATAATTATTTGAAAACAGATTATTATTATTATTATTATTATTATTATTATTATTATGAAAAGATTGTCTTTTATCATTTTTATTTGAAATTGCAGCTTTTATAATCGGGATAAAATGAATTTTTTCAAGTAAACAAGCTCTAATTGATTCCGGAATATGAACATTATTTGGAATGTTTATTGTGCATTTTGAAAAAGCAGTTACAATATTCTTATTGTTATTATTATTATTATTATTGTTCATTGATTTATTATCAGTGTTGATGAAAGTACAAATTGAGGCAATATAATTTGAATGAGAATGATCATTACAGACAACCACAAAGGGTTTTTTTATAGTTGTTAATTTATATCTTTCAGTGGATAATTTATGCCTTGCGGTTTCATAATTTAATAAATTTTCAAGGTTAGATAAAGTTGGTTTATAAGAATTTTCAAAATTGATTAAGTGATTATTAATTCTATTACAATTGTCTAAATCGTTGTCGAAATTTAAATTAATGTTCAAGTTAGGGATTTTGTTTAGTGTATTTTCATTATCAATAATAACGGTATTGTAATCATAAGTTGAATGATGGTTATTATTATTATCAAAAATAGAGATATTTTTGTTTAAATTTAAAGAGGGGTTTCTTGAGGAAGCAACAGATAAGGGAGAAGAAGTGAATTGAGCAGAAGAAGCAGTTAGCAAAGAAGCAGAAGGTAATGAAGAGCTTGGAGAAACCGGAGATTTTGGAGACCTAGAGGTGTTATTACTAGTACCATTATTAATCAAGGAATTATTGGAGGTGATTATTTGAGGAATCATTGATTTTTTTGGTTTTTCTCCTAATAAGTACATTAATTCATCTAATGGGTCTGGTTTATTAGTGTTATTAAAATTATTAAAGTTATTAATTATATTTGTAGGATTATCAATTTTAGAAGACAAGTTTTTGTTAGAATGAAATTGGAATAAATTTTTTTTTAATAGCATTAATTGGAATTTATCAATGAAAGTCAATTTGATTGAATGAAAATTAGAATCATTTGAGGAGATTAAGAATTGTAATAGAAGCTGATTATTATTAATATCATTGTTTGTGATTTTGTTATTGAAATTATCGGGGATAATGTTGTTGATATTATTAAGATATAAGAAATTTGAATTGTGATTAAAAAAATTAGAATAATTGAAATTTAAGATGTTGTTTGATATCTTTATTAGAGTTAATAAGAGATTTAGAAAAATTAAATAGGATAGATTTGTCTTTGTCTTTGTCTTTGTATTGGTGAAATTTTTATTGATGAATTTTTTAAAGATATTATAGATGTTATTTAAATCGCCATTAATTGGGTCAATTAACAAGTAATTTTGGTTAATTAAAAAAGTGGTTAAATAGTTTAATAAGAGATTATCTATATCTATATCTATATTTTTGTTATTTTTATTTTTAATTTTAATTTTATCATTATCATTATCATTGTCATTATCGTTATTGTTAACATTATTAGAATAATTATCATTAATATTGATATTAATATCATTATTTATATTTGAACAAGCCATTTTTGTTGATAAGAAAGAGAGAAAGAGAGAAAAAAAAGAAAAAAGAAAGATTATAAAAAGAGATTCAATATTCCTATTGAATCTACAGACTAATAGAATAGAGAATTATTATATTAAGATAAAAGGATTCTTCAAGATATTTCAATTAAAAACGAGATTAAATTAAATTAAATTAAATTTAATAAATAAATTAATTAGTTTTTATGTTTGTTTTTGTTTTTATTTTTTTATAAGATTTCGGGTAGAAAAATTGAATTTTTGGAAAATTCATGTCAAGTGGAAAATAAACGATACGTCGAATAATCAGAGAATAAAAGAAGAGAAGAATAAGGCGATGAAGTGCCATCAATTAATAGAAGAGGATAACCATATAAGAAATATATACACATATGAATATAAAAGATAGATATAGATATAGATATTGATATAAGTATAAAGGTATATAAATTCATAAGACATAAGACATGAGACATAAGATTCATAGGACTAATTAGATAAATGTGAATTAACAAAATAAATAAAGAATAAAGAATAAAAAATAGATAATGAAAATATAAATTGAATATTAGTTAGTAAATGTGCTATAACAGGTGTTATTATATCGAAATTATGAGTTAATAAGCCTTCTTTTGGTTGTTTGGATACAAGATTCTATCGACTCTTTTGTCCATTTTATGCTTCAACTCTAATCTAAAGCCTGCAAAAAACATCAACTCGAAAAAAATAAAAAATGGGGCCAATACTAAAGCCTGAACTAAATTGGAGAATAAAGCTGGTGCTCTTTTCTCAAAGACTCCATGACCAATGAACTGAATGATCCAGCTGAGAACAAACAAGAGAATAGCCAACTTATTCAAGTCGTTCATGGGAATTAACAAGTTATTATGGCTGTTGAGCCCAATAATGCCATGGGAGATCATGTAGTGGTTGATGGAGATGGTGAATGAAGAGATGATGGCAGAGAAGATGAAACCATAGACGCTGTCGAGAAGAAGGTAGAAGAGAGAGAAACAGACAGTGAGCAAGGAGCCGAGGTTGGCGTAGGAGAGCCATTCACAATCACCATTGAGAGCATTGAAGCTGTTGAAGTTGGTGAAGCTGGCGAGCTTGCTGAAGCTGCTCAAGGGTAAGGGAATATTGGACAAAAGAACAATGGAGGTGAAGAGAATGGTGGGCACACCCACAATGTGGACAAAAACGTTGGTGGAGTTGCGGTGGTATGCTCTGTAGAAGCACAATTGGTCTTCAAGATTCAAGACAGCCATGGCAAGAGATTGGTTTGGTTACAGTGGTCGATGATAACGATAATAACATTGATCAATAGTGGCCATAATAATAATAAGCAATGCTGGAATGGCGACCCCACAGCGGTGGAAAGAAGACAAAACCACTGCTGAGGGTGAATGCAAGATGCACCTGCACCTGCACTCACCCGCATCTACCGTGGAACATTCGAGAAGGTTTCCGGTTTCTCGCTTTTTGCACAAAAGGCCAGCGAAGGGCCAGCGGTGCGGTACCGCTGAAAGCTGATTTCGACACCTCATCAACTACTGGTTAAGGTTCTTCTTTCCCACTGAATTTCAGTATATATACTGCTGCTCTATCACTCTTTCGCTGTGCTGGATCTTCTCGTCAATTGTACCTATTACACTCCTCCTTTGGTTGACAGTTCACAATGCTTCTTTCTCAACGACCCTCCAACAGGTTTTGGATTCTTCTCTTGTCTTTTGCATATGCGATACTACTAATCGCTATCGTATCCGACTCCAATCCTATATTGAAAGCTGTTCACGCAGCTGATTCCTCTGAAAACTCCACCTCCAATTCCAATCACAACTATGGAACTGTTATAGGCATCGATTTGGGTACCACCTACTCCTGTGTTGGTGTCATGAAATCTGGTCGTGTCGAAATATTGGCCAATGACCAAGGTAACAGAATTACTCCATCCTATGTCGCCTTTACTGATGAAGAAAGATTGGTTGGTGATGCAGCAAAAAACCAAGCTGCTTCAAATGTTCACAACACCATTTTTTCTATCAAGAGATTAATTGGTTTAAAATATAACGATCCAACTGTCAAAAAGGATATCAAAACTTTGCCTTACAGTATAGTAAACAAAGATGGAAACCCTGCTGTAAAAGTCTCCTATAAAAACGAAGAAAAGACTTTTACTCCCGAAGAAATCTCCTCAATGGTCTTGGGTAAAATGAAATCAATCGCTGAAGACTATTTAGGTCACAAAGTCACCCACGCTGTTGTAACTGTTCCAGCTTATTTCAATGACGCTCAAAGACAAGCTACTAAAGACGCTGGAATCATTGCAGGCTTAAATGTTCTAAGAATCGTTAATGAGCCAACCGCTGCTGCAATTGCCTACGGTTTAGACAAAACTGAAGGTGAAAGACAAATCATCGTTTACGATTTAGGTGGTGGTACTTTCGATGTCTCCTTATTATCTATTGAATCTGGTGTTTTTGAAGTCCTTGCTACCGCTGGTGATACTCATTTGGGTGGGGAAGATTTCGATTTTAGAACCGTTAGATATTTCACTAAATTAATCAAAAAGAAGTACAACGTCGATATCTCTAAAAACTTAAAGGCCATCGGTAAATTAAAGAGAGAGGTCGAAAAGGCTAAAAGAACTTTATCCTCTCAAATGTCCACCAGAATTGAAATCGACTCTCTTATTGATGGTCAGGATTTCTCTGAAACTTTAACTAGAGCCAAATTCGAAGAAATTAACATTGAATTATTCAGAAAGACTTTAAAACCAGTTGAAAAAGTTCTTAAAGACGCTGGTGTCTCAAAAGCTGATATTGATGATATCGTCCTAGTCGGTGGTTCAACTAGAATCCCAAAAGTTCAAGAATTATTAGAAAAGTACTTTGATGGTAAACAAGCTTCAAAGGGTATCAATCCAGATGAAGCCGTTGCTTATGGTGCTGCTGTTCAAGCTGGTGTTCTTAGTGGTCAAAAGGGTACCGAAGATATCATCTTGTTAGATGTTAACCCATTGACTCTTGGTATTGAAACCACTGGTGGTGTTATGACAAAATTAATTGGCAGAAATACCGCTATCCCAACCAAAAAATCTCAAATTTTCTCAACCGCTGCTGATAATCAGCCAACTGTTTTGATCCAAGTCTATGAAGGTGAAAGAGCTTTGGCTAAGGACAATAACTTACTTGGTAAATTCGAATTATCTGGAATTCCACCAGCTCCAAGAGGTGTTCCTCAAATCGAAGTCACCTTCAATTTGGATGCAAATGGTATCTTGAAGGTGTCTGCTACCGATAAAGGTACCGGAAAATCAGAATCAATCACCATTACAAATGATAATGGTAGATTATCAAAGGAAGAAATCGAAAAAATGGTTGATGAAGCTGCTAAATACGCTGCTGAAGATGAAGAAGTTAGAGCCAAGATTGAATCGAGAAACTCTTTAGAAAACTATGCTACATCTTTGAAAAATCAAATTAATGATGATACCGAAACTGGTTTAGGTAGCAAATTATCTGAAGATGATAAGGAAACCTTAACTGAAGCCGTTAAAGACACTTTAGAATGGTTAGATGATAACTCTAATACTGCTACAAAGGAAGAATTTGAGGAAGGAAAAGAGAAATTATCTAAAATCGCTTACCCAATAACATCCAAATTATACGGTGGTGCTGGTGGCCCAGGTGGTGGCGCTCCGGGTAGTGGTGATCCTTATGGTGATGATGATGACGAGGATGATGATTACTTTGATCATGATGAATTGTAGTCATAACTACTTGATACTAATTTTTATTTGGGTTTTTCAATTTAAAAAAGGAAAAAGAAAAAGAATGTAACGAAAAAAGAACTTATCGAAAAAGGGAAAGAAAAAAAAGGCATACAATACATAAAAGTAAAATGGTCTGGTTGTGAATGTAACAACAATATTTTGGTTGGTTTTTTTTAATTTTTTTTTTTTGGTCGATTATTATAATTGTTATTCTAATCGTTATCTATTGATAAAATTATAAACTGTATTTTATTAGTGCTGATTAATTATTATTCATTGAAAATCTTATCATGTTTTCAACTCGGTTTTTTGTTTTTGTTTCTAGATGTAAAAAAAATTTATACTCTCGGTAATTATATAATATTTAAATAAATACATATCAAAAAAAAAAGTTCAATTGCTTGAGTTACTGCTCCTTTTTGATTGTAGTCGCCTCTTTTTGAAAACCCAAGTTCTCTGTGCTTTTGCTGCTTCTTTTGCTGCTTTTGGTGGCAAAACTGTACAATCCTGCGCCGGTGAAGACGAAAAAACTGCCGGCCAAACACAAACGATGAAGCAGATTTCCGAAGATCAACACACTTAACAACAAACTGACGAATTTTCTGATCAACAACACAATTGAAACTGTTAGGGCGTTTGTGATGCTGGCGAGTTTGTTAACGCCGGTGATGCACACGTTCTGGGTGAAGCAGTTCAAGAGCAAGTAACAGAGCGACTTCGAGATTCTCAATTGCACGAAATCTTGACTAAACATCACTGGTATTTTGAAAGCAAACGTCTCTTTCTGATACATCATTTGCTTGTATTCTTCGACCAATTGCCTCTGGAAGATGATGAATATTGGTAGTCCCAAAAAGTGTTGATAAAAGAGACTCTCCTGCCAATATTTCCCATATATCTTGTATGTTCTCTCAGTGAATAGCCCATTAAACGCTATTATTATTGAGGAAGACATCAACAAGAAAACACCAATATAAAAACTCTTCAAATGATCATGGTCTATTAGAGAGTCGATGGAGGTCTTTTTTTTGTTGTTCAAATAGTTACCAATGGTCGCTAGTATTATGCCAAATGTCAAGATTAAAGCAGACACTATCTGTTTGAAATTGTATCTTTTATTTGCAAAGAGATACCCAATGATCATGGTAATAACAGTCGAGGAAGATCTGAAAATGATATGGATTGGGACAGATATGTTATAGGTTAAAGCCATATTATTTAAATTTGATGAAACGAAAAACATTAAAACATTTATGAAATTTCTTGATAATGGAATATGATTTTGTTTCAAATATAGTCGTTTGATTCCAGCGTTGTTATCATAGTTATCAAAATAACCTAGAACTGCAATAAATAAAAATTGGGAAAACGTTATCAAGTGGCTTGAGTTTGGGAGCTCATGGTAAACTTTTTCTAATGAAAAGACATTTGAACAACAACCACCAAAGATAAGACTAGTAATGGGAAGCCATTGAGATACAAGTATCAAGAGAGATGAAAAACAGATTGATCCTGTTGAAGGAGTGGTTTTATTCAGTTTCAGCATTTGTCCTTGAATTTTCGTTGACACGATTTATTGCTATTGGTATTATTATTAATCTTTATAATAGTATTCTTATTAATTGTGTTTTTTTTTGTTTGAAACCTTTCTTTTGCGGTCAAATCTTTTCAAATCGAAATTTGAAGATTGAAAAAAAAAGTTGGATTAATTGCATTTTATTAAAGTTTGAGCTAATTAAAAAAAACGATGGGAAGAAGTCAAAAATGGGATGAAAGAGTAAATAAATGAAAAAGTAAACAAATTTATCAGTAAAATGAAATTAGAAGGAATTCTCCAATAAATTCATATAATTTTATTTTATTTTATATAATTTATAAAATAAAATAAAATTATATGAAATGAAATAGGAATTTTCAGTTGGGACAAGCCACGTAAATGTAGAAAAATAAGACCAGTTACGATTAGTAAATTATGAATTAGTTGTAACAATAAGGAGCTACAAAATAAAGTGAGACAATAATAAAATCAAGCGAGAAAATAATCAAGTAAGAATAAAATTAAGCGAGAATTACAGATAATAATAGATTTAGTTTAAAGGATTGTTTATTTTTATATATGAACCTGTAAATGCGTTTTTTCCAAAAATAAGTAATTAAGTATATCGTTAAAAAAGAAAATTTTGCTAAAATTCGACCAAGTTTGTTTTTTTTCTAAAAAGAAAAATAATTTTCAATAAATATATTAAAAATGCAAAATGAAGAGTCGAATAATAGTAGATTGTATTATAATACCAGAAAACCAAGTCAAAAATGTAATTGAAAACCAAATATCAACATAAACAAAGAAAAGTAATAAAAGAAAATGAAAACAAAAATTAATTCCAGTGAATTTTTTTTTACCAAATGGAAATTTCGTAAAGTCATAATATATGGCTATGCTTTGAATAATAAAATAAAATAAAGGAGAGATGCTAAAGAAAAAAAAGAAGTTTTTCGACCTATTGACCAATATTGTAAATAGCTTTTTTTTTTTAGTTTTTAAGATTTTTTTTAAATTTTTTTTTAGTTTTTATTATGTTGTTTTCAATTTCACAACAAACGGATATGAATGATTAAGGGGGAAAAAGAAAGAAGAAGGAATAAAATTAAGAGTAAAAGTGTAAGAATAAAAAGAGAAGTATCAATTGATTAATTGAATGATTAGTTGAATGATTAATTGAATTAGGTTGATGAAGCAGTCAATGGAGCTGGTCTGTCAGCGATCAATAAGTTTTGAATGACTTCAATGGCAGACATTTGTTCACCTAAACCGTACCAGCCATCCCAAGAATTCATGGTCCAGTCAATACCACAAGTAACACCATCACTTCCACCAGAACAGGAGGCAGCAGCACCTTTAGCAGAAGCTTCGATTAAAGATTCAATGGTGGAACGAGTTGAAGGAGCTAAGACGGAGGTTAAACCTAGACATCTTGAGAATAAGGATTTGAAGGATCTTTGATCATTGTTGCAGACAGATTTTGAGTCAGCTCTTTGACATTGTTGTTCGTACATGACATTGTTGTTGAAGAAGATTTCATTGGATCTGTGCAATAATTTGTTGGTACGGTCTAACCATCTTTGTTCACCAGTGTAGTTGTAGAGATAAGCAGAACCAACCATGTAGAGACCATAGTTGTAAGTCCATTCCTTGTCGGTGATATCTTCACAGTTGGCGTATGTGTGGGCACCATCATGGAGAATAATAGTGTCGTCGTACTCGGTTAAGAAGTCAACATCAGTGGTCCATTCCCAGACGTAGTCAGCAATGTAGGTGTATTTTGGATCATTGTGGTATTTGGCTAATCTGGCAGCTAATTGGAAAAGACAACCGTTGGAGACAGAGTTCTTGTAATCAAAACCAACGTTGGTGTCATAAATTTGCCATCTAAGACCACCACCACATTCGTCATCCCACCTACCGAACATGGAATTGAAGATGTTTTCAGCTAATTCAACCCATTCGTAAGGAACGCCGCTGTTTTTTGGAGAGGGAAAGCCCTTTTCAGCTGCAGACATGATTGCAAATGACCAGACACCTTGATCATCATTACCTTCGGTTTCGGTTTGGTTTAAAGGAACGTAGTCGTAATTGTCACCGGTTTGAGAGACTAAAGCGTCGTAAAGAAGTTGTTCGTTGGTTTTGTCTTCGCAGAGATACCATTGGTCTAATAAGGAACCAAAGGCTTCACCTGCTTGCCACCAATAATACGGCTGTTGAAACATACCAACGTTACCACCATATCTGGTACCTAAGTAGTAGTCGAGGATACCATCGGAGATGGTGGAGACTGCAGAACAGATGGAGTCTTTGCTGGAGGTATCAAGATCAATAGCATAAGCAGCTAAGATTGAGAAGGAGGATAATAAGAACTTTGACAACATTCTGAGAGTGAGACCAATTAGGAAAAGATATTGGACCTAATTAAGTTTTGATTGAGTTTATTCAGATGAAATAAAAACCGGAAAGAAAGAAAAAAAAGCAGACGATAAAACAGGAGAAGGAAGAGAAATTTAAATAAGAGTAATTAGATTAAGCAGAAGAAATAGTTTATTAGTGTTGTATATAAACGACCGATTGAAGAGAGTAACTGTTTATAAACGATTGATATGTGGATATATAAGCTTGATGAAGCACAATAAGGAAAGAAGAAAAATGGAGAAATAGGACGAGAAGTGAAAGTATTTATATTGATAATTAACTAAGGGTCTGTTTTGGTTGGGATTTGGAAGTCGAAAGCCATGCCTGCTTTTGGAAGTTATTATTAAACAGAAAATTTTATTAATAAAGGTGATATTGGAATTTGAGAAGTAAAAAAAGAAAAATAGTGATTGATGATATAATAGAAGAGGGCATTAATGCATAACAACTCTGAAAAACTTATTTTTAGAGAGACAAATGATGGAGTGGACAATTAGGGAATAAGGTAAATAAAACAGGTGCTGCTAATTATATTCTGGGTTATCAACTTAGTTTAGCTTGTAGATATTATTGGGATTTTGCATTTCTTTTCGTTTTTTGCAGTTTCTTCTGAGAGATAGCAGTATTTCAGATTATGTTCCAGTTATACTCAAATTATGCTCAAATTGTGCCCAAATTATTCGCAGTGTTCAGAAAAAAAATCTACAGGCGTAGACGAATCATAGACGGCCAGGCCATTTACAAGCAGACAGCCCTCCCGGTGGCACGGGGCCAGTGCGCCGTTGGCCGAGACACAGCGCAAGTTTGTCCCGCTGCTTCGGGCACATGCAGTCACATCCCAGAAACGCTCGATCGGGGACGAAGACAGAGATCCCCGGTGCGAGCGCTTTATTTCCGATATTTTTTTCGCGTTGGTGAAGAAAGCTCGAGAAACTGCCATTTCGAAGCAACCAGAAGAGACACTATTATCCAGCGCAGGTCTCTGGGGGTTTTCTTTTTCTCGAGCTCGCACCGACCCCCTCAGGCTTTTTGTTGGGCTTCCTGCGCTCTTTCCTTGCCTGAGAAAAGGCAAGGTGAAATTGTAAAACTGTAATCCTGAAACTGACTTTCTTTTACTAGTTTTCGACATCGAGCAATCCGCAGCTTCATAAACACAGAGAGCTAAGCAAGTGCTGAACAAATGGCAATACCAATTTCAATTTCCCCCATCACTATCGGTTCAGCTGCTCTCATTTTGTTTCTTTTAAAATCTCTTATGATTTCTTGGGTTGTCTTGAGGCTTCTTTTTTTGTCCTGCAACTTTGACCTGGTCTGCTCCTCACTACTAGCACCGGCACTGGACTTATTGTGCGGTCCTATTCATTTCCATCAGATTATCTCGATTTGTGCCCGTCTCATCCAATTCGATCGCAACCAAGCACGTACATTTGATATTTCTTTTATTGCATTTCTCTCCTTGCTTCCTATAATTAGCGCAGAAAAATGTTTTTATTGGTATTTGTATGTGTAATTATAGAACCCACCACGGAAACTAAGCTATTAATACTTCCCTTGTCACTCTTTGTCTCGGCAGCAGAACCGTTTTTCGCTTCATTATGGCTCCGTGCTTGTGTCATGTTCAGGCGGGCCACTCTCATGCAATGCACATGTGCACATATACTGAAACATGTGTGCAGGCGCATATTCTGCATTCGATCCTCACTGCTGTTCCGGTTAATATTTTTGTTGAATCACGTGTTTTACTTTTTTTCTCTCTGGCTATTTTTTCATTTTTTTTTTCGCTAGGCAAATCGAATCAAACCTTCATCGAAAGTCTTTTAAGAACGTATCGTATCGTATCTCCTCTTGCTGACCTGATTTTCATAATGTTATATATCAAAAGACTACCTCTTCAGAGAACAAGAACTTCTCTTAACTTACTTACCAACCATCGCTTTTTGTCCTCTCACCCACTACGACTTTCCAAATCCGATTTTGATTTCCTCTTCAACGATCTTGATAAATTTGAAAAAAAAAACAGTAATTTAAACGCCAATAAACTTGATAATGCCATTGATAACACCATTGAAAATACTGCCAATCATACTCAAAATCTAAAATCAAATCAAAATCAAAATCAAAATCAAAATCAAAATCAAAATCAAAATCAAAATCAAAATCAAAATCAAAATCAAAATCAAAATCAAAATCAAAACGAAAGCTTAGACCTTGACGACATATTCTCTCAATTATCAAATGATTTAAAATCTTCAAAAAATAATAACTATAAAGCTTCTAAACATACCGCCACCAACAAACCGAACCACGATGACGACGAATACGACCCCTTGTCAATGCTAGACAAAATCTCAAATTTTCACAACAAGTCTACTTCAAAAAATACCGATTTCCCACAACCTTTATCCTACAAAAATTTCAAATACGACAATGATGAAAATGTCTCCTTCAAAGAAAGAAACCCCTTCAAATCCTCAAAGATATCAAACATAACTGACTTTTTCGAAAAAAACTTATTCGATAACGTCTTCTCAAACTCAGACTTCGATCCCTTATCTCCTTCTTTATCTCCCGATTCTTCATCTTTATCCCAATCTTCTTCACAAAAGACAACCGATAATAAAAAAATTAACGAAGAATTTCAAGCCTTATTCCAAAAGGCTTTCATCGACAGTAAAATAGCCCCTGCTTCTTCTCCCACTTCTATCCTAAAAAGCGATGAAGACTACAAATTCCATTCCCTAAAGAAAAAATTAAAAGTCAGAAAAACTTATTTAAAAACTTTGAAATCTCAACTCCGGAAAATTGCTGCTCTAAATTCAGAAATAAATACCACCCTATCCCCTTCCTTAAACTACATTAATACAAAAATCATTTCAAACTACGACATGGTCGACTTCATCCACAATTACATAATAAAATCTTATAATGAAAACATCTCAAATACTGAAATTCAAAATCTAGATCTTGAAACAATACACAAAAAATCAATTGAAAACCCTTCATCTCCAATTGTCAACAATAAAACCTTATCCTGTCTACTAATCCAGTCCTTTAACTCCTTATACCTAAATTTCCCAAACAAATACTCAAACTTTAATGATATCATATCCATTTACCAAAACTTGAAAAAGGACAAAAAATACCTATACCTATTATTAAATGGCTGCTCAATAGATTTTTATAATTTGTTACTTCAAATCTCCTGGGACACCTCAAAGGACATCACCCTAATTGAATCCTTAATTTGTGATGTATCCTTTAGCGGTTTATCATTCAACCAAAATTCTTTATCAATCTTGAAAAAAATTTACAATGAATCAAAATCTATATTATACACAAATGAAATTGATATAACAGACACTAATCTAAAAAGAATCGACATTGATTACTATAACTATGAAGCAAATTTTGAAACTAAAGATGGCCAAAGAATCTTTCATCAACCAAAAAACCAATCCATATTTTGGAATCCCTCTGATTCAAGTGTTACCTATGAACTTTTAAAAATGATAAGGAAACTTCAAACAGTCTTTGATGCCATTGATGCAGTTAAACCAGATACTATAACCAATGAAACACAACAACTAACTATTTAAAAAAAAAACAAAAAAAACAATCAATTATTTAATGAGAATCAACAGCTATTGATTTTCTTTTTCTTTTTCTTTTTTTGATTCTACATTATATTTTTAAATCTTTTACTCTACAATAATCATGTATATATGAAAAAAAGATATGAAAAAAAGAAGTTGTTAAATTAATATAAATAAAATAAAATAAAAAAAATAAACAAATACTATCGTAAAAAAAATCAAATATAAATCATAAACTATCTAAAATAAATATAAAATCTTAGTATCTTCTGTTACCATATGAACCTTCTTCATTATTATTATTGTTTCCATATTCATTGCTATTGTTTTTCTTGTATGATGAGCCATAAGAATTATCATTGTCATTATCGTTTATATTTTCATTATAATCGTAACTATTCTTGTTAGAATCAGTTTTTCTACCACCGAAAGATGAAGAACCATATGAATCATTGTCATTTTTTTTACCATAAGATGAAGAACCATATGAGTTATTATTGGTATCTTCATTATCATTATTATAAGAGGATGATCCGTAAGAGGAATTGTTTTTCTTTTCATATGAAGAACCATATGAGTCCTCATTGTCATTCTTCTTTTTGTTGTATGAAGAACCATAAGAAGTTTTATTTTCATTCTCATTGTCATTATCATTATTATAAGATGAAGAACCGTAAGAACTATTTTTCTTACCATAAGAATTGTCGTCATCATTATTACTTGTTTTTCCATAAGAGGAGCCATAAGAGTTGTCATCGTTCTTCTTTGAATAAGAGGATCCATATGAGTTATCGTTATTGTTATCATTGCTAGTATTTGTATTGTATGAGGAAGAACCGTAAGAGTTGTTATTATTATCATCATTCTTTTTTCCATAGGATGATGATCCGTATGAACCATCCTTTTTACCATAGGAGTTATCATTGTCATTATTGTCATTATCATTATCATTATCATTGTTACCATAAGATGAAGAACCATATGAACTCTTATTCTGTTTTTGATAACTGGAAGAACCATATGAGTTTTCATCTTCATTTGCGTTGTTTTTTCCGTATGAAGATGATCCGTAAGAATCTTCTTCACCACGATTGTTACTACCCCAACCACTCATTGCTAACTGTAATTGTAATAAAAATGTAAATAAACTTTTTTAGATAACTGAATCAAGGAAAAAAATAAATTGTAAAATAATTGAACGATTAAATAACAATTGACTATAAGAATCACAAAAAGTATCTCTCATAATGAAATATTTAGAGAAGTTGCGATATTTATATCAAAAGAAAAAATTATATTAAATCATTCTTTGCTCAAATGATAATATTGCAAATATTGTGGTGAAATCACTTGAAATTTTGGGATATTTTAAGTGAATTGAGCAATTTTACAATATCAAATGGAGTTCCGTCAGCATGTTTTTATCAAATCGATGCTAATGAAAGGGAAACGAGGAAGTAATTGAAATATAACTGGTCAAGTTTAATCCATCTGAATATCATGGTATAAGGTGTGCTTTAAGGAAAATGATTCAAATGAAATGAAATTGAATTGAATTAGCACCATGTGCTTATCGCTGCTTCACTTAGTTCAGCAAGCAGCCGAAATGGAATATAAACATGTTTCGATTTTGTAGAAATGGTAGTTTAGTCTTTAGAGTTAACTATTAAGCAGAATAGCTCTGAATTTGGAGGTAGAGAGTTTTGAGAATCTTGAAACCAGACTTGAAGATGGTTCAGAGATAGTTTGGCTGGGGATGTTGGAGACAAATTTCAGGAAGATGGTGCAAAAGAAGAAGAACCTTGTTAACAGGACGCCAAAAGCCTAAAACCCCTCACTTTGGAAGCACGGTATCTGGTTTATTGCCAAATTTAGATATTGCCTAAAATAGTAATTGTGTGTTATTTTAGTGGCGCAAGTAGAAGAACATTCGATTTTCAGACAGCCCGAAAAAAAGCACAAAGGGTTCTGTGTTCGAACTACGCTCAGGAGCACATTATTTGACTATAACAAAAATCATTTCCTAATTGGGTCGAGTAATATATTTTGGGTTGGTGCAAGTGGATGAGTTGAACAATAAATAATTTTTCGCACTGTTTCACAGAGGTAATAAGTCCAAATCATCTAAAAGAAATTGTACTACTATTAAAAGTGGCTTAAAAACACACTATCTATTACAAATTCTTAGTTTTGACTATTTTACCGAGGTTCAAATCAGTTGATTGTCTTAAACATGTACTTTTGCTGATTCGAAATGAGGTAAAACGCATTTTGATTTTGATTTTGATTTTGCCCAGAAATATTGCTTCAGACACAAGTAATTAAAATATAGTATTACTTTCAACAATATAAATAAAGGAAATCCAAGGTTTTTAACAAGAATCAAGCCATAAACAAAATTTTATTTTGCTGTTGCTTCTATCTTTTTTTTGTTGCAAAGCTAATAATCAATTTTATTTTATATTAGTTAGTTAATACGAAATTACTTCCAATTTATTTCTATTAAGCCAAGCACTGTAATTTAGTTTTTTGTATGAAAATCTAAAACTGCTTGTTTAATTCTAAAATTTCCTTACTATAAATTGCTGCTAGTTTCATCAGATTCCATCCTAACATGATTCCAAGATTTTCACTCATATTGTTTTGTTAATTGACTTAGTTTTAGTCTAAAAACACAACAAAAGAAAAAGTCAATTAAAAAATATCTTGTAAAACAAATACTGAAAAATATAAATCAAAAAATTGCTATTTTTTTTTAATATAACACATCTAAAAAAGACATACCAGCCCTTCGTTGGCATTGTTATTTTAATTTGTGCAGTTTAGTTCCATCTTGTTTATTTTCAATTAATATTAACCAAGATTTAATGCGTTGTTAAATTTTAAACATAAAAATTTTTAGATTTAGCTTTTCTTCCAGTGTTTGAACGTTTTGATCAGCTTTGTGCTTTCAAACCCATCAATATTGTTAAATTTATAGATCCATTGCGCTTTTTTTGTATTTAGATTTACTTTCAAAAGTTTTATAAAAGTTTTTATTACTTTTTAGATTTATAGGAATTTGAAACCAGTCGTAATGTGTGTATTTATAAGACTGATTATTAAAACCATGTATATCTGATGTCATGATGGTATTATATTCACTTTCTAAAATTGGAAATGTTGCATTAACTTAAATTTTATTTTTTTTCATTTTTTTTTAAAATGTTCACAGATATAGAGATGTTCCAAAAATATTTATGATAGAATTACAAAGTTTTGAGCTATATCTTTTAAGCTAAAAATAATTTAACCATTAATCTTATCTGCAAGTTTGAATAAAAAAAATAGCAAAAAATTAAACAAAAATATTAAATAGGAATCTTAAATCAAATTTATAAATATAAACTCTAATTTTTTTAAAAGACATAATTGATAAATGTTTATGGGGTTGTTTTTTTCTAATTTAAAGATAAACCTAAAGCTTCTCTTTGGGATTTAGATTTTGGATCAAAAAATGGAACTTCAGCCAACGAGGTAACTCTAGTTCCATGTCTTGGTTCCAAACCTTCATAATCCCACACTGTGCTATGATTGGATATTCTGTTGTCCCAAATAGCAGAAGTACCATAACCTGGTTTTGTTGGTTTCCAATTGAATCTGACTTGTATATCAGCATTTTTTTCAATAACACTGAATAAATAATTCAAAATAAGATCAGATTCTGGTGGTTCTAAACCAACAATGCTCTTTGTCATACTTCTATTAACAAATAAGAATTTCCAGCCGGTTGCAGGATGAGTTCTAACAATAGGATGTCTTCTTTCAATATTTTTAGGACCACTAAATGGATCATTTCTATCAAGGTAACCATGAGCTGAGACAAACACAGCTTCTTTCCCATCCAAAAACTCTTGTAAAGCAGGAGATAGTTTATCATAGGCTGCATAAGTTGAAGACCAAATAGTATCACCACCAAGATCTGGAATGGAATCATTATGCAAATGGGTAATACCGGCTGGTTGGAATTCGTGAACTAAATCAGCATGCCATGTTCTATTACCATAGCCAGTAAATTTTCTATCAAAGTTACCAAAATTGTTATTTTTAAAAGTCAAATGACCACTTTTGTAATTTGGCCAGATAACAGTAACACCATCCAAATCTGGAACTCTTGCAGCTTGAGCGTGAACCTCAACTTGACCCCAATAGTGTCCTAATTCCAATTGCTTTTGAGGAGATAGTTTTTGATCTCTGAAGAAAACAACAACTCTTTCAGTGATCAATAAAGCCAATTCATCTTTTTGCTGATCAGTTAAATCAGATAATTGCAATCCAACAATTTCGGTACCAATTTTTTGAGTAAGATTAATAACTTTCTCGGCAGCACCAAACAAAGCTTTCTTTTCTGGGTCAGCATTTGCAGCTCTTTCAATGTATGGAAATTCTTTATTTCTAATTTGAATAGCTTCATCAAGAAAAACCGGCACTTTTTCTTTATCTGGGACTTGTGGATAGCCTCTTGATAGATCAATACCAGCATCTTTGAATCTTTTAATGGCAGACTCAGGTAGAGCCTTAAGACCTTCTAAATCTCCACCAGAAGGAACGTCTTTTGAAACAGCAGATTTGTTATGAATGTAAGCAGTTTTCAGCTGCTTCTTAATAATATTTTCGATTTGTTCATCAACTGATAGGGTTGAGGGCTTGGAAGCGTTTTGTAAGGTGATTGTTTGAGACATATTAAAAATTCAAAAGAAATTGCATCGATAGAGCAAATATGATTGAATACGACCTAGACGGAGAAAAAACATCTCAAAAAATCGAATAAAACCACACTCTTATATATGGTTCTGGTTGGAAGATACCCCAGAGCTGCAGCTTATTAGTATCTCTCTGAATTAATAAGCAAAACCCGGATCATTGCAGCTCTTTATTACTTGGTTGGTCTACAGGAAAAGCTTAATCAAAGCGTTGCACCACAGTCCACAGTATTTCAATACAGCAGCAAATCCCATGGCTGCAAGACCTTGCGATTCGCTAGCCGAGCTGAGGTTCTCCACATCTAGCAAACAGCTTCTTTTCAGCACCTAAACAAGAAGGTCCGCTAGCTCTTCTCCAACACACCTTCTCGATCACTAGCAGCACCTGGCGATGTTGCAATACACCAAGATAGCAACTCTTTGTGCAGAAGCCCGTGACATTTACCCTCAGAAATGCCAAACAAATGATTACAAATTGTCTGCGTGGGTCTTAATCATGTCTCATTACTTCAAAGTAGAGTGTTTCATTCTCAATTAAAAATCACAATATAATAAATACATAGTAAAACAGTAATGACCAAATTGTACGATTCAGGAATTCAAGAGAAGTGGTCGTCCCTATGATTCTGTGTATCAGAGAGGGTCACATGACCGCATAAGTGTTTTTTCGGGATTCTGGTGCACAAACGGTTTGTAACTCATTGAAGATAGCAATTTCCTTTTTGGGCGGCAGATATAATCACCTTCTCCTCCTCTCCCATACGGGGTTTGAGAATTTGGACCCCTAACTCAGGGTCTGGCTTGGGTCACAAAACAACAAAAGTACTGCAATGAAAAGGCTCGTTCGAAAAGCAGTAGATGGTGGAAATGAGACAAGTAGATTATTTTGTTGGATATCCTCCTCATGTTGTGAAGAGCATTTCCCAGAAGCTCCCCTTTGATATTCTCTGGCTATTAACTCTTGCCGACTGTTCGATTCGAAACGAGGCCTACAAGATCCTCTTCAGCTCACTCTTTATTAGAAATGTTGATGCTGAACATGTGCCTTTAACTCAATCCAAAGTCAAGAAGTCGTCAAAGAAATCGAGAAACCGATTTTTATTTAGACTATACATTGATTCTTTGAGTAAATTCAAAATTCCAATCTCTTTTTTCACTATTTGCTTAGTCATTGACGTTAATTTTACAAAAGATTTGAAAGAAAATCTACTTATTTTTAAACAACAAATTAATAATTTCAATAATTTGCAGTTTCTTCATTTCAAATTCAATCGTTTTAGAAACTTGGTTAATGAAGAGGAATTCCACCATCTAATTAAACTATATGATGATCTTGTCACTGATTTATTTTCGTCAAACAAAGACTCGTTGATTAAAGTAGTCTTTCAATTCAATAACTCAAGAAACTATAACTTGGACATCAACAATCTAAATTTTATAAAACAAATTAAAAATTTAAAAAAAATAAGATCCTTTTTAGTTAATGGATTAAATGCCGAAAATACAAGTAATATTATTAATGATAACGTTGATAAGAATGCTGATGATAACACCAATGTCAATATAATTCCAAATTCCAAATATTTGGTTAAAGTCTGCTTTTCAAATTGCAAAAAAATATCTCAAATAATGAATTTCAAAAATAAAGGAATCTATAATTTTGCAAATTTGAAATATTTATCTCTATATAGAAACAAGATTGAATCAATTGATAATTTATCCAACTTGTATAATTTAAAAAAATTGTTTTTGGATTCAAATATCATCAAAAAAATTGATAATTTATCAAACTTTTTAAATTTAAAACAACTTCATCTAAATCACAATCGAATTAGTAAAATTCAAAACTTATCAAATTTAATCAATCTATCTCAATTACATTTATCTGAAAATTTAATCACAAAAATTGAAAACTTACATAATTTAACAAATCTAAGATACATAGATCTATCTCACAATAACATTCATAAAATTGAAAATTTAGATAACTTGAAAAAATTAACTTATTTAAATCTTTCTTTCAATACAATATTTAAGATTGATAACATGGAAAATTTATCAAATTTGAAAAATTTAAAATTAGCATCAAATTTAATAAAAAAATTTGAAAATTTAGATAACTTAACTTCACTTGAAAATTTATCATTAAACTTTAACAAATTGAAAATCGTTCAGTTCACTGAAAACTTGAATTTATTAAAATCACTTTATTTATCAAGTAATGAAATTGAATCCTTATCAAATGTCAATTTTTTGACAAATCTTGTTGAATTAAAAATAAATTCAAACATGTTGAACGAATTTTCAAATGATTTTAAAAATTTAAAACATTTAAAAAAATTAGAAATAAATTCAAATCGAATTCAAGAAATCGATTCTAATAAATTAAATGGGTTTAATAATTTATCAGTACTCAATTTAGGACACAATAAATTAACTAAATTCCAAATCGATAATCATAGTTTAAAATCAATTGAATCACTAGCTTTAGATTGTAACTTAATTAATGAAATTTCTACTATTAATAAAAACCAATTCAATTTACTACCTAATTTAAAAATATTATTTCTAAGTAATAATCAAATACACAATATTGAATGGTTAAATCGTTTGTCGTCTAAACTTGCTACTGTTTATTTAAATGTAAATAATATCACCAATATTCCATCATTAGAAAACTTAAAGAACTTAGAACAGTTAAATTTAAGATATAATCAAATACACAAAATTGAAAATTTGGACAAAAATTTAAAATTAACACATATAGATTTAACTAAAAACTTGATTGAAAATATTAATGGAATTGAAGAGTTGGAAAATTTAAAACTTTTATTACTAATTCAAAATAAGATCAAAAGTATTAAAAAATTTAAATTTAAATCCAAGAGTACTCTTTCTATTGTTATTAATGAAAACAAAATTGAAGAAATACTCGATGGTAATTATTTTAAGAATTTGCAACCTGGATCATTAGAATTTGAACTCAATTTCTTAAATGATTTAAAAGGAGTCGAAAGAGATGATAATTATTCTTCGATAGAACCTTATTTAGTTGATTCTTTTCTTTTACATTAAACTTCTGAAAATAATAAATCTGTTAATAAATATTATCTTAGATTAGAGAAAAGTTAATAGACTGCCTAGTAAAATATTCAATTCCCCCCAAAAATACTGTTTATTTCAAACTATATTATTATATAAAAATAATAAGACTAGTTGAAATTCTATTAAAAAAGAAAAAAAATAAAATCAGGAATTTTTTCTGAGAACAATTCCTATGAGAAAAAAAAAAATTTTGACCAATTTTTATATTTGCATTATAATAAAAACTTATTAAGAGAGTGAAAAAATTACAATTTTCCTGATTTTGTTTTGTATTATCAAGATACATTATAATATAAACCAAATTTTATTTCAACGCCAAACAAATCACTTATTACTATAATTGCTATACTTTTTTAGTCTTTGTTTTTTAGGTTTTTTAGATTGTTTTTTTTTTCAATAATCTTTTTAAAAGATTTGATTAAAAAAATAGCGTCAATGAATGAAAATTAAATATTGATGATCCCATAATCTGGTACCTTTCCTTGAGTTGAAGAGATTACTAGAACCTATACCAATAATATTCAATTATTGGGAAGGTTGTTTAAATCAACCATTCCTTTTTTAATCCAGGCAGGATCAACTAATTTCTCCCTTTCAATGTATAAGAATCTATAAATATTCTTAATAGTATTATCACTTACCCCAGTTTTATCAGAAATTTGTATTGGTTGTACATGAGCCTTAAAAATTATAACTGCCATATAAATGACAGCAGCTGCAATTGTAATTGGTGATCTACCACTGAGAACTCCGGTTTCGTTAGCTTTTCTAGCTATATACTCAGCACCATTTGTAACTTCAACAGATAATCCAAGATTTGAGCAAAATCTTCTAATAATATCCGAAGCAGTTGTTTGAGTGGATTGCAATTGATCACCAGGAACAATAGTGGTACCGTCCTTTAGGGCCTTTTCATCAATAATTTTTTTAATTATTTTTGAAACTTTACCAATTTCTTTTTTTGGAACCTTTGTCAAGGCCCAAATCTCTTTGAAAGTTCTGGCTACATTAGCCTTACGACAACCCAAGAAAATGGCAGCAGCCATGATTGATTCCTGGGACTTACCTTTCAAGGTCTTTTCTTCATAAGATAGCTTGTAGATTTCCTTTGCAGCATCTTGAACGATTTTGGGTAAGGAGTAACCATCGCACATCTGGGATATTCTCGCATAGGCAGATTCAAGGACGTTTTCCTTCTTAAGAACGTTTTTCCTTTGAGTCTTTGACAACGATAAAAAGGACTTGTTGTCGCGAGAATCGTAGCCAATAACAGTGGAGAGCTGGTCACCATCCAACAATGGGTTGCTGGCATCTCCCACACGAGAAGGATCGTCACCATTCTGGTCGTCGTTGGAAAAGGTTCTCCATTCAGATCTTGTATCGACCAAACGATCAGAGAGCACCAATCCACACAATCCACAGACAATATCGCCCTCGCTGAACCTCTCAACCAACTCAGGAGGAAAGCGCTTGCACTCTGGACATGTCAAAATCACATTCAAATTGGGACCTTCGTACACTTCTTCGTCGAGCATGGACATGACTGGTATGAGAGATAGACACTGCTGGTTCTTCAAGTCCCTCACCAAGAAGAAGAAGCAAAGCTACTTGATTTAAAATCAGAGGTAAACGTTACCCGGCCGCGGAAGCAGCTTTCTGTGCTTCTTCCTCTGAAGGAGCTTCTGCTGGAGAAGTGGAGATGCTGGATGATAGTTTCCTGCGAAACTAGATGTATTATGTGAATTATATAATAGTATATCGGGAAATAATAAATAATTAGTAGAAAAGACAATCAAAAAAACTAGTAATAACTTTGTTTTATACAATGAAAACACAATAATTAAGTGAAACAAAACCATTGGATGAATTGATTTATAAAAACAAAAAAAAGAAGGGAATTTGGAAATTAAAATGAAAGTATTTGACAAAAATAATTAAAAACAAAAACTTTTTTTGATAAACAGCATTTGTAATTCAACAAAATATAAAATATGATATCAACAAGACAAAAACAGCATTTGACAATGGACATAAAAACATAACAAAAACAAATTATCAACAATAATCAAAAAATTCAAAGATAAACAAATGAAATATTTAACAGAAAGTAAAAATAAAAGTGATGGTAAAAAGAAAAAACTATAAGAATAGAATAATGTAAAAAAATAAACAGTTAGAAGAAATTTTTTTTAGAAGCATGAGAAATTTCAACAAACAAAAAACAAAAAAAATGAACTATTGCCTTTTTTTGTTTAGATAAATAACAGATTTCTTTTTTTTTTCTTTTTTTTTCTTTTTCTTTTCTTGAAATTTTTCAAAAATTTTTTTGGGATTTTTTTCTTTCTTTTTTTTTAAAAGAATAAATTTTTTTTAACAAGAAACACTAGAAACTTATTTCTCTTCCATGTTTAGAAATAGAAAACAAAAACAAACAATATAAGATAAAATAAAATAAAATAAATATTTTAAAATATGACAGTTAAAGATATTGATGAATAAATAAGAAAAAGCACAAGCACACTCACACACACAAACAGATAAGAAAATAAAAAAAATATTAAGAAATAATTTAAAAAGAAAAAAAAATGACGAAAAAACTTAAGCATAAATAAAGCCATTATTACCCTCAACTCTATCTAATCTCGCATCTCTTGATAACCCATATAATTCATTTAATTGAAATTGAGAGCTGGAGCCTGAACCATTTAATGAATTGTTGATCATGAGATTCATATCAAACCCTCCATTATTGATATTGTTGTTGTTATCGTTAACATTATTATTTGAGATCAAAATGGAGTTATCAACAAGATTGCCAGAGTTGTTTTGTAATTGATCAGAGTTTGAAATCGAATTAGAAATAAATGAAATTGAATTTGGATCTGTATTCAACATACTAACATTAGAATTATTAGCAACATTTTTGTTATTGTTGTTATTATTTAAACCATAAGGGGCATAAATTGAAGGAGCTTGAGGTTGAGAAACATATCTATTATTACTACCAGCAGCAATATTTGGATTATTATTTAAAGCATTAATGTTACTTAGATAATTTTGTAGGTTTTGGTTATTAATGCTTGAGCTTCTGCCCCAGCTCAATCTGATTCTGGTGTTACCAATTGGGTAGCCTTGCATTTTTTGAATGGCCAGTTCAGCAGATGAGCGCAAAACGTATTGGACAAAGCCACAATTCTTATTTTGTAGGACTTTGACATAAATAATTTCACCAAAAGTCAGAAAGTGAGATCTCAATAGTTGTTCAGAAACGGATGAATTTAAACCACCTATAAAGACTGTTGTGTTATTGGGATCAGTTGATTGGTTTAAAGGAGGTTGAGATTGGGGAGCTGAATAAGGTTGAGCTAAGGAAGAATTTAAGGAGTTAGAGCTTCCTAACAAGCTATTAGTAGAGGCCGAGTTTCTGAGTATGTTATTGTTGCTGTTGTTGTTATTTCCGGAAGAGATAGCAGAACCACCAATGCTATTATTAGATAGGGAAAGGTTTAAATTTGGATTTGAGGAGGAATTTTTAGGGACAGCGGTTGAGACTCTAATGGGTCTTCCATGAATTAAGCAGCCATTCATTTCCAATAGAGATCTTTTTTGTTCGTAGTCGTTTCCAAATCTAACAAAACCATAGCCCTTTGAGGAACCAGTAAGTGGGTCCATCATAATTTTAACGCCGACAACAGAGGAATATTTAGCTCTAAAGGCTTCAAATAGTTCAGATTCCTTAACGTCTGCGGCCAAATCACCAACAAACACAGATATTTCTTGCTGTTGTTGTTGTTGTTGTTGGATTTGGTTTTGAAAGATATTGTTGGGGCTAGCATTTGAAGTGTTGGCGGTATTGTTACTTGAGTTAGAATTGGGGTTTGGGTTGGTGTTAGAATTGGAGTTATTTGAGTAGATTGATGATTGGTTTGTTGGTGTTGAAGTGCCACCGGAAGCCCAGTTTAGTTTGAAGACTCGATCAGTATTTGGGATGTTCAAGCCATTGTGCATTATAGCTCTTGAAGCATTTAGATTTGAACCGAAATCAACAAAACAGTAACCGGCGTTTAAGGCGGTGAAGGAGGGATTACCAGACTGGTCTAGGGATGTGTTGCGATCTTTGATTAGTTTGATGGCGGTTGGGATTTCACCGACAGAGTTCCAGATGGATTGGATGGTGTTTTCATCCCATCTAGTATCTAGTTCGCCCATCCATAGCTGAGATTTCTCGCGAACATTTGAGATGTTTTGGATGGGTTGAGCGTTTTGTATGGATTGTAGGGATTGTAGGTTTTGGATGTTTTGCATATTTTGAACGTTTTGAACATTTTGGGCACCTTGAATGTTTTGAATGTTTTGGAAATTCTGTAGATTTTGAAGGTTCTGGAGACTTTGAAGGTTTTGGATTTCGCGGATTTGGATTGGAGTAATGTTTTGTTGAGGAGGATTGAATTGAAGATTTAAAGGGGAATTTTGAGAAACTGGAGAAATTGGTTGAATTGGAGAATATTGTTGGAAGTTGTTTGAGTTTGAGGTGGCGGAGAATTCTGGAGATAAGGAGACTAGTGAGGATTGTTGTTGGTGTTGTTGTTGTTGGTTTTGGTTTTGTTGGTTTTGTTGGTTTTGTTGGTTTTGTTGGTTTTGTTGTTGGTTTTGTGTTGATTGAGAAGATTGGCTGTTTTGAGTTGATTGGCTGTTTTGGCTGAGTTGGATTTGGTGGTTCAGCTGGTTTTGGGAGGATGAGTAAGAGTACATGTTGTTTGAATTTTTATTAAAAGTAGACATGATATGAATGAGATGAGATGAGATGAAATGGATGAATTTAGTAGAGATGAAGAAGATTGATTGATTGATTAATATAATATTTATAGTATAATTTAATTTTTAAATTGGAATAAATTAGAATTAAATTAAATTAATTATTTAATTATTTAATTGATTGATTAATTGATTAATTGATTGATTGATTAATTGATTGATTGGTTGATTGAATTGAAATACTTTTGATATATTATATTGAATAACTTTAGGGTGATTAATCGAATGAGAGAAAGAAAAGAAAGAGAAAGAGAAAACAAGAGAAAACAATGAGACCAAGATATAAATCAGCTAAAGAGGTAGATAGATAGATAGATAGACAGATAGATAGATAGATAGATGGATAAAGAGAAAGAGAGTAGGAAGGATGATTGATATGAATAGTATAATTAGGATGGGATGGATAATAGTATAAAGATAGTATAAAGATAGTTTAGTTTAGTTAAGAACAAGAAACAGGAAACAATAAAATAGAGTAGAAGAATAGAATTAACTGGAAAGAGAAAGAGAAAGAAAACGTAATTTTTTTTAAAACAAAAAAATACTATCAGAAGGAAAAAAAACAACTGGGAAAATTGGAAAGTGAAATGAAATAAAATAAAATAAAATGAAAAGAAGTGAAATAAAATTGAATGAAATAAGTTAAATGAATAATAAAAAAACTGGTGTGCTGTAGTATGAGAATATATGGAAAATAGTGTATTAATAAAATAAGTAAGAATGGAATTAATGGAGTAATTGGAATTGGAGTTGGAGTTGGAGTTGAAATTGAGACTGAAATTAGAATTGGAATTGGAATTGAGCAGTTCAACAAAAGGATTTAATGGGTATTGTTAGATATTGGATATTGGATGTTGGATATTGGATGGATACTGAATATACTAAATATTAGAGAGAAAATATTGAATAGTGCAAAGATTGCTAAATAATCGATAGAGATGGAAGTTGAATGGTGAGAAATTTTTGAGATTGACGATTGAGAGAGAATTGTTTGGGTATATATAGAGGAGGGAGAGAGAGCTTTGAGTTTTTTTAGGTTTTTTTTCTCAAACAAAATTATTGCCTAAATCTTGGATTGAAGGTGAGAAAAACCAAATACCAAGGGAAAAAGCGAGGTAATCGAGGTGGATGAGCGTGAGTATCCGAGATATGGACAGAGAGGAAAAAGAGAGAGAAGGACGAGAAGGACGAGGGTCTGCGCAGTGCTTCTGTGGTGCTTCTAGGGGGTTTCTGGGAGATTCTGTGGTGGATCTGGCGACAGAGAGGAAGTAACAGTGAGGGAACAAGAGCAAAAGAAGAACAAGAGTGGAAGCAAAGCAGCAGGGAAAGCGCACATTTATAAGTGGCCTCCAGAGCAGAGAAGATGGACAGCTCAGGCACAAAAGCAGTGATTGCTAGTGCACCTCTCCATTATCACCTACTGGGCCATTACTCTGAGAACAAGCTCAAGCCAGATGCAAAAATCCACCTTTTGGATCTGAGCAAAAGCGCTGCAGCTGCTCTGGCCTTCACTCGCAGGCGTCTGAAGCCTTGTCCAAGACCATTTCCAACAGCACCACCACCATCACCAACAGCAGCAACAGCACCACCACTACCAACTCCTTCTCCCTTCCTCTGCCTCTCCTGCTACCTTTGCCTCCCTGGTGCGCTCCCGCCCATCTTGCTGCTCCCTTACCGAACAGCACCCGCTTTCAGCACGCCGTTTCACTTCGCTTTGCACAGACCGCCTTGCTATCAGGACATAGGTCCGCCAGGTTCCCGCCCCTGTGCAACCGCAATAATGTCTGCTGCTGCAACTCCACACAGCGCAGTCGCACCCAGAAAACACCTGCCTCTTCAGCTCTGCTGTGATTTCGAATCCGCAGTAAAATAGTACCGCCAGCAAGAACACCATGGAATGCTCTGCTGCCATTAGCAGAACGCTCACTGCGACTGCCTGGTGAGCAACTGCAGCTGTCTGGATTGAATCTGTTTAGTCTGCTGAATCCTTTGAGTCAGCTGTCTCCTGTGTTTCATTTCACTCACATCCACTCCCTCCAATGGTGAGCACATCGAAACACTCTGTTTCTGGCCTTTTATCGCTGTGGTTATCCTCAACCACTGCAATGGTACGGCCAGAAACTCTGCTTCCAAGAGTGCCTATTTTTAAACCTTCTCAAGCAACACGATCAGAAGGAAAATCGACCAAGTGGTAACCTTCTGCAGTTGATCTTTTACCAGGAATTTCCCAGATGATGGATCCAAAATAGCAAAATCACATGACACATAATCTGCAGCTCTTCAAAAGCTGTTCAATGCGCTTTTCTTCTCCCTTATGTTCTTCTCGTTCTTATTTTCTTATTTTCTCTTTTCTCTTTTTTTCTCTGTTTCTTTTAGCTTGTTTTTGTTTTCCAAGTAACTATTCTGACCGTCCCCTATTTGATATCGGTATATGTGTCAACATCAGAATCATCAAAAGCAATACCATCACCATCGCATTACTTGTCATAATACTCTATACAATTTCAACCACACATTGAAAAATAAATTAGTTTTCTTCTTGGATACTCATAATTATTATTAGCGATTATTATCCATTATTTCCCTTTTGTTGTTTTCTGTGCTTGTTTATCAATGTTACTTATTGAAAGACAGGATTAAGGATTCTTTGTGACATTTGAACACAGTAACTTTAAACAGCGGGTGACAAGCTTATTTTCAAACTTCATTGCAATCGATGCCATTTTGGCTTAGTTCCAAAATAAGGTTCCGATTTATACTGCAACCCTAGACAGGCAAACGCTGCTTTGAAAAGTCAAGTCCTATTTCATATCATCATATCACCCCAATTTCTGGATCGATCTTAGACCCGTGTTATCGGGAGCCTCTTGCTATTACACCGCAAATAGCTCTGCAAATATAGGAATATACCATAATAATATACATCCCAACTAATATGACTAATATATACGAATTTAATCAATACACTCCATAATATATTCAATACAATCAACACAATCAACACAACCAATTCAGCTAATCCAATCCTTTATTTATCAATCTTCATTCTACTTCACCTTGTTATCGTGTTTTATCGTGTTTTATCTTTATCTTTCTTCACTAAAGAATAAACCTTTTTTAAGTCCAAATAATTATTTATTTATCATTCAATTTTATACGCAATTAAATTTCATTCAAAATTTTATTATTATAATATTATTATATATTATATTTAATCCAATTGAATCCAATTGAATCCAATTTAATTAAATTAAATTGGATTCATCTAATTAATTTAATAATTTACAATATTTCATGTCATTTCATAATATAAAATAATATAATAATATAAAATATTTAAATTAATAAGATATTTAAATTAATAAAATAATTTCATAATATTTCATATTCAATAATCTCATGCAATTTTTCATGCAATTTTTCATACAAATTTTATCTTGTTACAATCTCAATCGCTATTAGCATGTTTCTAATTTAATCCTGCACTCCTAGTAGAATATGTACTTTATTTTTTTATTTTTGTTTTTTTTCTTCCATTTTTTTTTAATTTGTTTTAATTTTTAATCTCAATTTCCAATTTCCACTTTCCAGTTTCAAGTTCCCTTTTCTAAATTCAATAATCCACAAGCTAAAAAGTTAATTAAATAAAAAAAAAACACGAATTCACGTGCCTCGACTTTTTTAGATACTCCATACTCTCATATTCTCATATTCTTTTCATATTTCCACTTTTCTTGTGCTTCTCTCTGCTCTTTCCAAAATCCTCTAAAATCTTATCATATCCGCCTTTAGCGGATCCACATAACCCTCCGATCTCACTCCTACCATTTCAGCCTCCACCTTGCACCTCCCCAACACCATCCTTTGTCTCCCACTGTCTCGTGCCCAGCACCCGCTCTATTGCGCCACTCTCTTCTAGTCCACTACCACAAAGACACGTTGCTACCTCGTTCCCCATCCCACAGGTCTCTCCCAGACCTCTCGCTCCTCATTAATCTCGCAAAAATATTCTCCTTTCTCTCCAAACCTTGCTTGCGCTACTCTTGACCTCACCCAACGTTGCAGCTTCATCTCTTGTCCACCCTCAACTATGGTCTGTGCTGTCTGCAGCCCCGCTTTATTGAAACATATTCCCGCAGACCTCGTTCACCTTTTTTGCGGGTCATCTTCTACGGCCACCACCGTTCTGTTACACACAGTTTACTATCCACCACCCGTTTCCTGTTTGGGATCTGCTCTTGCTTCTGGAAAAGGGAAACAATAAAAGACCAAACAATAAGACAATAAGATCAAAAATCAATTAGTCCATTAATACCATTGAAAAAAAAAATTTAAATTAAAACAATCCTACTTCCCCTTGTTTTCCATTAATATCAAACCACCTTAACTGCTCCCTTCCTGTTCCATATTTCCCATATTTCCCATATTTCTCACGTTTCTCGCATTTCCTTTTTTCTTCTTCAAACAAGCACCAACATGAATAACAAAATGACTTTTAAAATTCCAAAGTTACAACTAAATTCAAACATTAGCTCCAACATTAATTTCAGCATCAACACAGACATTCATGATAAGATTGACAACAACACCAACACCGACTTTATTATCAACAATCCTACTCCTACTCCCAATTCTACTCCCAATTCTACTCCCAATCCCAACCCCAATCCTAATAATAACAATTTACAAAAAACACAATCGGTCTATAATTTCATTAACCTCAATAACTTCAGCTCGAAATCCGCTTTAAAACACTACAAAAAAAATCCAACCTCAATCAATAATCAATTTCATTCAAATATCTTCCAAAAAGGTAATTCACTAAAAACCTCTTCTGATTCAAATTTTCCAATCTCTCACAACAACAATAACAACAATAACAACAATAACAACTCTAATAATCACAAAAATTTCCCAATTTCAATTTCTTCAATGAGTGTTAAATCTTCCACTCCACCCAATGAATCCATTATATCCACAGCTCCCAAAATGATCCCCCATAAAGAATCAACCTATAACTACACTTCTGCTATGCCAATATCCACAAAACCTCTGTTCAACGTCTCCCTTAAAAAGACTAAAAACAACAATCTTAAAAAGTTTAAAGATCAAAAGAAAAACGAGTATTCCCACTTGAATTTAATTGATACTAATGTCAATAATAGCCTCATCTTTAATCAAATCAATAACATTAATAACCATAATAACCATAATCATGCTAATACCAATACCAATACCAATACCAATACCAATAGTAACAATTCTAATAATAACAATAGCAATAATAACATTAACAATAATAATAGTGATAAAAATAATAATGATAAAAATAAAACTACCAATTCAATTCAAAGTCATAATAATGATGATGATATAGATAGTTTGAACGAATCAAATTTTAACAACAATTCAATTGGCATCAATGAGAGAAATGCACATCGACACAGTGTTGGTGATTTGATGAAAAACTTTATCGATCAATTGTCTTCAAGATCTTATAACAACTCACAGTCATTAAATCCATCATCCCAATCAAATTTCCAATTGAAGCAACCTTCAAAGAAATCCTTGAAAACCATTATCAACATTAACGATAATAATAATAACAAAGAAAAACCAAAACCCAAAGATAACGACAATGACAATGAAAATGACAATGACAATGAGAATGACAATGACAATGACAATGCTACTGAAAATGATAAAATTACAACTACTAAAATTACCGGTAACAATAAAAATAGCAAAAACAATAGAAATAGTAGTAAAAGTAATAATAATAAAAATAAAATAATAAAACCTACAAAAATCACTAAAATACCCAAAATTCGAAAGAAACCAAATGATTCCAAAAACTCAGTTATAATAAAATTACATTACAATAATAAAAAAAATCAATTTAATAAATTTATCACCGATACCAAAGACATTCAAATTGCAAAAAATTTCAATAACACTAATATCAATACCAATACCAATGCCAAGACTAATAATACAAATAATGTTGGAATTAAAAAAGATAACGAAAAGAATGATAATATTATAGACAATAGTGGTAGTAATCAGAATAATAAAATTGATGTAAATCATTTTGAAAATGTTGAAAATGTTGGAAATAGTGAAAATAGCGAAAACGAAAACGAAAACGAAAACGAAAATGAAAATGAAAATGTTAATATAAGCAAAAACTCTAACGATTTCGATCTTAATATCGATCTTGATATTAGTCATAATGATTCTCAAGAGATTTTAGATGAGAATTACGACCAAAAGGAATTTTCATTTACTAAAAATTACCCAATACTTACCAACAATAAAAATAAATATGAAAATAAATATAAGAATAACAAATTCTTAAATAATCTTAATGTTCATCCTTCAATTTATTTAAATAAACTAAATAATTTCATTCCTAAAAGTGGATATATCACAGAAATGTCTGATGAAACGTCTGATGATAAATCTGTTGATAATGTGGAAGAGTTCCAATTAAATGAGTCAAATTTTATAGAAAACTCACAAAACATTATCAACACCTTGGTCTTCTATAAAAAAATCAACAAATTGTTGAACAAAAAAATCAGAAAACAAAATAAAATCTTGAACAATACCAGTTTATCCGAATTTTCCAAAAGCTCGCCATTAAAAAAAAGCTCTCCCTTGAAAACCAGATTCCCTGGAAGAAGATTAGGAATCAAGAAAAACAGATCGACTTCCACACTATTGAAAAAACTTTCCTCAACCTTAGTCAATTCCGATTCCAGCAAAATCAATATTGACAACATCACCGACATCAATGCCACAGGAAGAGTGCTACGAAACCGTAAAAGAAGCAACAGCCCTGCTGTGAATTACACCTTCCATGAGGACGATAGTGATGGTGAACATGTACCACCTCCAGGCGAGAACAAAGTGCTCCTCAGCTTGAGGAACGAGGTGTACATCGACTGCGACGAGAACAGGTATTTTGTTTATTTCAAATACCCTAAGGACCACAGTTCTCACCTGTGATACAATTCTTGCTGTAATATTAACAGCATCTCTGTGCTGGTTATGCTCTTGATGTCTCATGCCTTTAATACCTCTTTTATAGACCAATACACGCCAAATCGGACTCTTTTTCTGGGGAACAAAAGAACCCATCTCGATATCCTCCAGCACTCTCAGAAGCAATATGGGTTTCCTCTCAACCAACAGCTCGAGGGCATTGGCAAGTGTGCACAGAATCTCTCTGGCCCTTGCCAGAAGACACTTCAGTTACAGCTCCCTCCTCGCCAACTCAGCAGCTTCGTTTTGCTCCCAAAGACCACAGCAAACCATCGTCTCAGGCCAACCACTCCATGAAACTCGTCCAGCAATGCTCAAGTCTGGTGAGTTAACTCCAGGCATCACAGCTATGGAGTACTTTGAAAGGAGACTCGCCTTGTCGTTGTCGATGGAGAATGACTCGATTGCTATTGTGCCAGGAAACACAGTCAAATATGCCTCTGGAGCTGTTTTCTACGAGTTTCAACAGGACACACAGCTCTACTACCTCACTGGCTGGAACGAGCCAGACTCTCTAGCAATTCTTGAGAAGAACGACAGCAACGCAAACGATGACAGTGTAGTGTTTCACTTGTTGGTACCTCCTAAAAACGAGTACATTGAGAAATGGGAAGGCCATCGAACTGGCGTTATTGGTGCCAAAGACATATTCAATGCTGATGAATCGACCTCCATCACTGAGATACAGACATATTTGGATCTTTTGATCTCCAGAAACAAACACATTTATTGCGATTATCCTGCAACAAGGCTGAAATCTTCGTTTTTAGGCAACTTTTTTGGTTCTTCATTGGCTTCAAACAAAATCAAAAAATCAAAAAATGCTTGTGAAACTATTGATGACTTGATCTCCAAGTTCAGGTCCTCCAAAAAAATTCACACTTTAAGCCCCTTGGTTGATAAATTAAGAGCAATCAAATCACCCAGCGAAATTAAGCTCATGAGACAGGCTGGAAAGATATCTGGGAGAGCATTCAACCAGGCATACCACAAGAGATTCAAAAATGAAAGAACTTTGGCCTCGTTCCTTGAATACAAATTTATTCTGGGTGGATGTTCAGGAAACGCCTATATTCCTGTAGTTGCAGGAGGCCCCAATGCCTTATCAATTCATTACACAAGAAATGACGACGTATTGTATGACAACGAGATGGTTCTTGTTGATGCTGCTGGTCAGTTGGGTGGTTATCGCTCTGATATCTCAAGAACATGGCCAGTTAATGGGAGGTTTACAGGTTTTCAAGGCGAGCTTTATGAGGTGGTGCTAAATGTAAATAGAGAATGCATAAAATTATGTTCAGAAAGCAACAACTTATCTCTATCTGATATCCACAGAACAAGTTCAGACATGCTCTACAAAACCCTTTCTAAACTTACAGGCTTTCAAAATTTGACCAGAAACGAGTTTACCAACAAGATATATCCACATTCAATTGGCCATAATTTGGGTCTCGATGTTCATGATGTGCCAAACTACTCCTCGTCGAGAATATTGAGGGAAAACCAGGTTGTAACTATAGAGCCTGGCATTTATATCCCAGACGACCCAAGCTACCCATCGTATGCTAGAAATGTTGGAATCAGAATCGAGGACAATGTTGTTGTTGGTAAGAGCGACTATACAGTATTAACAATTGAGGCAGTTAAGGAAATTGCCGATATAGAAAACATAGCTAAGAATGGAGTTACTACTGTTTATGAAGATGATGTTATTAATATTCGGGGATGAGTCTGTGCTTTTGTTTTTAGATTTTTTACCTGCTCTCTTTTTTTCTTGTTTGCTTGGGTTTATCTATGCCCATGTTTTTATACTGAACGTAACTCTCCTCAATTAAATAACTTGTAAATATGCTGCTAAAAAAGAAAAAGAAATAAAAAACCAATTATCATATAATTGAATTAAAAAAATAAATAAGATGTATAAAAAAATAAAGCAAAATAAAGTAAAAAAAAAAGCAAAAGATTCAAAGGATTTATGATAATTCTAAATCAGGAAAATGATCAATTGCTAAACTTTGGATTTTGACAGCACTTTTATAAATTTTATCTGTTTCAGATATTTCATTTATTTGATCATCTAGCTTCTTAAGCTCGGTCATACTGATGTAGTTCTTATCCCCAATGAATTCAACGGTTTGATCTTCTGCATTGTACTTTAAATTGATATTCAAAATATATATTAAATTTCCAAGTTCTTTCAAGATCAAGTTCTGGTCGATACCACCAAGTCTTTCACTGAAATCGGATATCTTAATTTTTTTAATGAAAGAAAGATATGAAAGATAAGTGCGATATCGAACAAATAATTTAAACCGATCAAACTCGCTGGTATTTAAAAGAATAGAGCAAGTTGAAAGCATGTAATTTTTGAGTTTACTAAGAGATTTGTCATTATCAGATTTGATTGTAATGGTGAAATTGTTGAAATTAGAATTTGGTATCATAAAATTTTTTTCCAATTGATTCAAACTTTTAGGGATCTGTGATATTTTTGTAAGAGAAAGTAAAGATTGAAAAAAACTTGCTATTAATGGATTTTCAAAAAAGAAAGCTTCAAACAAGTCTGTATCCAAATATTTAATTGTAAATTCTGCAGGAGTTGTTGTCTGATAAAGAGAGATTAAAACAGCCAATAAAATATCTCTCTTGGTTAAAAAATTGAAATTTGTTTGAAAATCATCATTTGAAGTAAGGATTACATTTCGATTCAAATCAAATTCTGAGTTTAAAACATCCAAAGCCGTTAAACCATTTAATTGAGCATAAACTTCTTTGCTTCTTTCGGGATTCCTGCAATATTCATATTTTTCAGGGTTGGATAGTTTTAAAAAACCAGATTTAACACCATTGTAGTTTCCCACTTTAAATTTTGCAAATAAGATAATCCAATTGATTTTCCAAAAGGATTTTTGTTCTTCAACTGACCCAAAAATTTGGATTTTGGTATCAGTTTTTATAAGATTGGACGCAACTTTTTTAACTACAATATTCTTGACAAAAAAACGAGTAATCACAGCTTGAATTGAGTCATACTTGGAGGCCATTGAATGAAAGTTCAGTCTCATGTATTGCTTATAAAGATCAAACTCAATGTTTCTAAAACTAAAATCAGTATTAGGAATTTTCTCGTATGCCGCCATTAAGGACTGAGCCTTTGAATATTCTTGCAAAAATAAGTGATTCATTATAGTGCCGAACTCGATAAAACGCCTAACGCTTTCAAGCTTATCTAGTTCCTTTTCCTCTTTAACCTCCTGGAGCTGGTTATTAATTGATTGCAAGTAATCTGAAGCGTCTTTTGTTTTTGTTGTAACATCAGTTACGAGATTTCGAAAGAACTTATCAGTGGTTAAAGTGCTGATAGAATCAATGTTGTAGGAGCTCAAGTCATCCGTAGAGGATAATTTTTGGAGTATTGTTGATTTGAAGTAGCTATAATAAACTGAGGGAACACCAAATTCCCTCATCAATTCAAGAGCTTTAACAGAAGCTTCCAAAGCATGTGTGGGAAGTGCTGAAGTAATGTAAAACAATTTCTGGAACACAATTGGGCCTGGAAACACACTGTCAGTAACAATTGCTGCAAAACAAGTCTAAATAACCAAAAACAATCAGAAAGAGAGAGCCACATACCTTGATATCCTCTGAGATAGTTGTCGAGATCAAACGCAATATCTGAGCTGAGGTTAGTAACAGGAACAAAACAAGCCAAAAAAAACAGTCAGCCATCAGAGCTAAGCACATCATCGTCCAGAGCCAGTGCAAACATACCCATCTTCTGCTATTGCGAAACAACCAGTGTTGGTGAGCAGTTGGTGAACAGTGTTGGTTGGGTTGAGTTGAAGAAGAAACCACTTTATGGTTCTATGGGGCTTTATGGTTTGGAAGCGGTGAGAAAAAGTTTCTTTACTTTTCAGCTGGAGCTGATGAAAAGAAGCTGCTGTTGCTCACAAACTGCTCAGCACTGCTACTATGTTGAAACTCATATCCCCCAGTGGGGCTGCTTCATTCAATGGCACAAGATTGATACACACTGCTGCCTCAGTCTACGAGAGACAGGCCTTGAGCTCTCTCAAATCTCGGTTGGGTTATTTCAAAAAGTCTGACAAAATCATCAAGCACAGCAAGTATGAAGATGAAGTGAAAAATAGGAGGATCAAGAGCAAAATAATACAGACTGGCCTTCAGCCCTACTCCAGACAAAAGACAAGTTATTTGTTGAAAAATGACTTTGGTTACAACGACACCCTCGAACAGCTACGAGAAAGCGATATCAACAACCCTAAAATTGTTAGAATCTTGCAATCAAACGACCAGAGGTTGATTTACTCGTATCTTGGTATCAGTGGATCGAAGTTGACAGACTCAGTGATTGTTCAAACAAAGGTTGGCAAGCTTCTTGCAAAAGACCAGGTCGCAAAGGCATTGTTTTTTTGCAAATTGGCTAAAAAAAGAGGTATCGTTGGGATGAATGATGTGATGAAATATTATTTGGAAAAAGGCAATGTGAAATTGGCTTTAGATGTTTATACGTGGAGAAGAAGATGGAATATACCATCAAATGAGCATACCTTTACTATTTTGTTCAAAGGATTTTCAGATGTAAAAGGTGGTTTGACTGAAAATCAGTTGAAAAAAATCGATAGGTTATACACCAACTTGGTTGATGATTACCGAAATATTTCAAGCATAGACAAGACAAGTATGTCTCAGAGACAGAGAGATATTGAAAATAGTGAAGATGACGGGTTGCTTGACCAACTAAAAGGTTATGAAGCACTAGAAGAAGAATATGAAACCCCAAATAATGAAGATTTAAAAGATTCAGAAGATTCAGAAGGTAAAGATAAGAAAATCTCAGCTAGTCATACAACCAAAATACAACTATCCAACATTCATATAAACTCTGCTTTATCAGCAATGATGAATACAACATCAATCGAACTCCAAGAAAAATATGCATGGACAATTTTTGATTCACTACCAAAATATGGACCACATTCCTTTGACAATTTTACATTATCTGCCATGTTCACTGGTTTATTGAATATAGAGATCAAGGGCAAAACAGAAGAGGAATACATTTTAGAAAAAACACAAAAACTATGGGATTTGATCAACGATAAGCTTGAGCAATCTGAAAAGAGAAAATTAAGTGAAAAAACACCTAGTGGTGCTTTTAAACTTGAAAAATTTGTATTATTGTCATATTTAACGCTAATGACAAAGTTTAAACATGATCTTGAACCATTCATAATGCTACAATTTTTGGACGAATGGTTTAATTTTGAGTCAAAATTATTAAGAAAATTTATTGTCTCAAAGAAAATCCAAAATAAAGATTTATTAATTAAAGTTCCAGAAAAACATATTGTGTTCAAGCCTTCATCAAAAGTTTTAACGCTCTTATTGAATTATTTGTCAAAATGTGAGAATAATAATTTGATTTCTCAAAACGATTTAACAGAAATATATCATGAAGTCATGTTCAAATTTCCATTTTTTGTTGATGAATATGGCTTAAAAGAATGGTTGGAAACATTTTATAAAATGAACAGTTTTAATTGGAAAATTGCACCTGTTTTCAAAAAAGAAATAGATAAAATTTCCGAGAATATTTTTGATAAAGTTAAGAAGAATGATATCTTTAATGATCCAAACAACAAGTTTAGAATAACTGTAAATAAATATATTGTGAAAGCATTTCGAAAAGGATTGGAATATGAACCAAGAAGATATAACGAACGAAGAATTATCAATGATTTGAAAGAGTTTCGAAAATTAAAAGAACGTCAATTAATAGATTTCAATAATAATAAGAAAAGTGAAGACTTGATAAAAAGATATATTGAAGATAAAAAATTATCTCAAACAAGTAAATTGTTTAAAGGGTTGGATGAATTATCGTCAAAATTTTTCTTTTTAAAGAGTTTTAATGAACAAGAAACAAAAATGTTTTATTCTTATATGGAATTGATTGACTTATTTGATGAAAATAAATTGGAAATAAAATTCAAAATTGAAGTTTTAAATAATTTTTTTCAAGAAACTGAAATTTGCAAACTAAAAATAAAGGATATAATAAAAGAGTATTATAATTCTAAAAATTCTGAAAAAAAACAATTTATGACATTTGGTTCTAGCAAGGCTGAAGAAGTTTTTGTTAAAGAATTATTGTGTTTCGACAAACTAGATATGTTAAGAATAATTTATTTGGATATTATTCCTATTGTAATGGGGTTAGCTGAAGATATCAGCAAGAAAAATGTTCAAATTGAGAAAAAAAAAGAGCTTCTTGATAATTTACACGAGTTTAAATTACAGCTTTTTGAAGAAATCAAATTTATTGAAGATTTGATATTTAGGACTTATAAAGAAGCTAAAGAAAAGAATTACAAACTCAAGGGACTTCAGAAAATTTCAAATTTGAAAGCAGACGAGTTTATTAAATATGGCAGTAAATATAAGAAGTACACTGGGTTTTCTATTCCATTGGAATACAAAAAACTTACACAAACAGAAAAATTGAGTTTTGGTGACAATAAAACATTGATGAAAATAGCAGTGGAAATTGAAGATTTCAGTTCAAAAATTCGAAATAATATTAAAAACATGATCAAAAATGATTTGAAAATCGAGTATAGAAAAAGAAGCCCTGAATATGAGGAACTACACAAGTTTTTGACAAACAATTATGTTTTTTAAATATAAAAACTTTCTTAAGATATTCTTATTTGTAAATATTGTACATTATTCTTGAGTATATGTGATTACTTTAATATATGTGATTACTTTAATATATAGTATTTTTTTAAACAGAAAAATCAATAATTTGTTTACTAGTAATCAGGAGTAAGTTTGGAAATATCAAAGCTAAACAAATGGTTATTTTTAATAACTAGGATTATAATTAGGACTATAATTAGAACAATATTTTAACTTAAATTCATCCCACTTATTAACAGCAATCCCCAAGTGTTTACAGCATCTGGATAAGGCACTAGCTTCACAATGAATAATGGTTGAGAAAATAGCTTCTTCAAAGTAAAATTTTCCCACGCCAAAACACCTAGATACCAGATTATTATCACAAATTAGGCTATATTTCCTCAGAACCAAACATTTATAAATTTGCAAAAGACATTTGAAAGCTAAAAGCCAATTTCCTGGCCCAAATATACAATTCAATATTTTGATACAAACACTCTCATTTAAAATAACCACACCACCGTTTGTAATAGAAAAGTCGCGGAAATTAACATAAGAGTTAGTTGTCTTTTGACAAGTTACAGAATCAAATTTTTTATGAAATTTTTCTTGATTCTGATTAGCTGCATTGCTCTGATTAATAAAAACACTTGAATTCATTTTCAATTTTAGTTTGAATAAAACAAATCAGTTTTGCAAATCGAAAGAAGATCCATTTGCATTTATACTTATTCTTTGGTTTTTTTAGTACTATTTCAAGCTTTGATAAAACCAAAATAAATCGAGAATTAAATTGAACATGCTTAGAATCTGTTTGGACAATTCCTGATTCCACGGGTCTGATGTTGGAACAAATTTATGTCTCAGATGATGCATGTAAAAACATAATGTCGCATAAAAATATTAAACTTTACGGGGCACATCCAAATTTCGGGGTCGAAAAGAAATTCACCTACGTAAAGTCACGTGAAACAAAATTTAAAAAAGAATTATACCAACTTTTATATTGCTTTACTCAAAAAATAGCATAAATGTTAATGATTTTGCAAGAGTCATACGCTTTCTACTCTTCGAAATTTGAGTAAGTTACCAGCCCGGAAATCTATAATAACTTTAAATGTCAAAACTGTTTTTTTTGAAACCATTCTACCCATAAAACCTGCCAATTAAGGTCGACAGACCTATGTGGCGGAGAGCTAAATATCAATTTAATGTGTATAAAACCAAATGCTCATTCTGAGAAGCTGAGTGAAAACCTACAGAGCATCAAAAATATTTAAAAATGGGAAAAAGAAACTCCGATGCCGGGAATCGAACCCGGATCTGCACGGTGAGAGCGAACTGTGATAACCATTACACTACATCGGACTTTTGATGCTGTAGCTTTCATTCCAGTTATTTACTCATATTTACCTATATTTTATTATCTTATTATTTCAACAGTTTTACTTTATTATTTTTTATTTGTGTTTTTACTGTTTTTACTGTTTTTATCGCTACGTTCAAAGTATCTCATTAATTTCATCAATTCGCATTGTTATATAACGAAATACTGCTTACTTCTATCAGGTGTCAGCAGAGGCTCTACTGTTTTTTTATTTTTCGTCTGTTCTTACTGATCTTATTCAACGCATTGATATCAACTATGATAGCTTGGTTTTTTCTGATTCCCTTATGTCCTCTTCCAGGCCCAGGCCCCCTGCCTTTCTTTTTAACTGGTTTACTCATACCACTATCGTTTACTCCAGTCATTGATGCCTTCAACAAACTATCATTAGAAGCATCCGTATTTTGAATATTAGAAGAATTGTGCTGCGATATCTCTTTATTCTTTTCAATCTTATTATTTTCACTGACTCTCTCATTGGTGTTAATGACTTGATTATTTGCAGATTTGGTTTCCTGAATTTCCTCTTGTTCATCAACTATTAAATTTTCTTTCGCTTTTTCTTTTCTCTTTTTCTTTTGATCTCGATTGTGAATTTTTTTTTCGTTCATCTCAATTGTCAAGAGTTGTAGATCATTGGTCAAAACTGAGGTGTTTGAGGTTTTAGGACACTTTTCAACACCACATAATGACTCGTTAGATTTTTCTATGGTCTCCATTTCAATATCCTCACTTAAATTCGGTCTCTTATTACTTTTATCATTAATTTCATTAATTTCATTATACTCATTATCATTATTTTCGTTACTCTCATTGTTTTCATCATTATTGTGAATATTATTTTGAGATCGCTTGCCACTACCATTATTCTCATTGTTTGCAATGTCCTCATAGTCCTCTTCTTCATCTAGTATGATTATTTTCTTTTTTTTCACTGTTTTATCCTTTGATTGATTATTACCCTTTTTTCTAAGCGAAGAGTTATTTTTCTCACTATTAATATTACTATTGATATCGTTATCCATTCCTGGGTAACACCTCACAAATCTGCTATATGCAATTCTATCTTGATCAATCTCATAATGCTTAATTAACTGGTTAATTTTTTCTTCATCTTTTTCTGACTCAATTTGGCTCAAATTAAGGTTTTCAATGGTTTCAGCATTACTAAAGCCATTGCTATTTGTTGTACTATTGACATTAGAATTTGAATCAATATTAATACTATTAGAAATAGTGGATATATTTGTTAAAAACGCCTCATCATCCTCATCAATTATTCTTTCATTTTTAATTTTAATCAATTTTTCAATTGTCGAGATTCTTGAATTTAACTCATCAATTGATTGTTTTTCAAATGTCCTGGAATCTTCAATGTCATCCTTAAGAAAATTGATTAAAAATGATATGTTATTTACAGCTCCAACACTATTATTATTACTACCAGAATTTAAGTTACTCAGATTTATATTATGAATATTGATAGGAACTTTTGATGGAATCCCACCTGTGCTTCCATATAATATTGGTTTCCATAATAATAAGTCTGGATTTAATTTTAAATAATTTTTTTTTTCCCATTTCTCAATATTTTGTTCAATTGTCTCAACATCAATGTATATTGCATATTTTCCTGTCACTGGATCTCTGATCAAACCATTGAGTTCTTCTAGTCCCACAACAACATCTGACGGTATCATGCCACTTAAATTGCATAAATCAATTATAGAAATTCGGATATATTCATTTTCGTATAATTCATCATTGTTATTTTCGTATTCATCAGTGCTTATTTGTCTTTTTTGAGGGGTTTTTTCAGATGTTAATAATACTCTCAATGGAGATTTGAGTGAATTTTTTCTTTTTCTAGGACTTAATCTTAAATTAGGACTCCCATTTTTTCTTAATGGGCTTACTTTCAAAGGACTTGGTGTTGATAACAATTTCAAAGGACTTTTCTTTCTTATTGAAGGCGAATTTGTGCTGCTATTTTCAATGCTGGTATTTTTAGTATTATTATTGTCATCAGAGTTATTATTTTTTTTCCTCTTATTATTATTATTATTGTTATGATTGTTATTATTATTATTATTAGTTTTATTGTTTTTCGAATCATTTTTTGGATTGGACAAATACAATTGTCTTAGAATGTCCCGAATTATAAAAGATAGTTTAACTTTCCAATAATTTCTATAACTTAATAAACCTAAGTCACTTAAGGGTTTTTCTGGAGTTCCATACTTAAATTCTCTTCTTGTTAATAGGTAACTAAAATCTATCAAAAAATTTCCATAACCTTTTCTTTGATATATAGGCAAAGTCAAAATACAACTAACGTTATAATCACTAACCATTTTCTCTTTTGAAAAATAACCAATAAATTTAAAAGAATTTGTCTTTAAATCAATCTCCGTTAAAACATAAAACATAAATGGCTGAACATCAAAATATAAAGTTTTTGAATTTAAGAAAAATTTGGCTAATAGACACAAATTTTGACAATAATTCATATGTTTTCTACCGTCAACTTCAAAGATGGAAATTTTATTTTCGAAATCTCTGTAAATCTCATCTCCTGGTGGATGGTTTAAAGTACATTTTAATTTATGCCTCGACATTGAATAACTTGAGTTTGTATATTTTAAGCAGTATTCACAAATATGTAAAACTTTAAATTTATTATATTCCTCAGGATACGGAGAGCTATACCAAGTATCTATTTCATAATTATTAATATGAATTGATTCGATTTTTGGGATATCCTTCTTAAGATTTATTTTATATTCTGAAACAGCATTTCGATTTATATTTTTTGATTTCGATTTAACGGCTGATTTTGTCTTCACTTTTGACTTGGTTTTTGTATTGATTTTAACATTAGATTTTAGTGTTGGACTCAAACTTGAAAGTTGTGAAGTGCTATTAGTATTATCATTGTTGTCATTGATATTGTTATTATTGTTATTAAAATTGCTAGAAGAAGGATTATTTACAGCATTATCGTTATTATTGGAGCTACTATTGATTGAATTTGACACAAGCACTTGGGATCTTTTTCTAATTTGAGAACCATTCGTGTTTGAAAGTCTTGAAGCCTCAGATTTTTGATAAGATTTTGTAAAGGTAATTCTATCTGATTTATTTGGAGCAGTTTTAGAAGTGCTAGCATCATCTAAATCCAATGCACCTCGGTAGGGAATTTCATAGATGTCAAAATCATACTCTGAATCTGAGTCATAATTAGCATCATCATTGTTATTGCCCTTACCATTATTTTCGTTGTTTGAGCTTGATGTAAAAGTATTTTCGTTAGGTCTCTTATTATTATTGAATATGTTTTGATTATCGGTGCGATTATAACTATTATCTATTTTTTCATTAGCATTAGGATTAGTAATACTACTAGAGTTAATTGGAGTAGCCAGATTTTCATCCTTGTCTTTCCGAAGCTTTGCTTGTTTTCTAGGTTTTAATTTCACAAATTGCAAATATTTGGCTTTATTTAGTTTTATTTTGACAATAAAACTATCAGCAGTATTTTCCAAGATCGTTATCATTTCTCTTTTTCTTAAATTTCTGCTATCATTAAAAGCGAAATCCTTATTACGGATATTTAGAACATCGTTTCTCGTGTTACTGTTTGCTCCACTATTAGCAGCATTATTAATGCTGGAATTATTTGGCAGCTCATGGTCTTTGGAAGTAGTGTTTATCACAAATTGTTTTGTTATCGTTTCATATTCTTTATTGTCAGGTATGGTTAGGTTATTGATCAAGTTGCGTAGTTTTTTTTTTCTCTTCAATTCTTTATCATTGTAATCTTTTGCAGAACTAGTTGGCATTCTAAATTGCTACTAAAGATATCAGATTTCTATCTCAGGTCTCATCAAATCTCATTCGACTACAATTTTCTGTTTGGTTTGGATCTATTTTTGAATCTGTTTGGTTTTTTGGAGAAAAGAAAATTGAAGCGGATATGCGAAAAACGCACCTCAACTCGAAATGATGCATTTGAACGCGGGCTTGGACAATAAGCAACCTAAAATGGCATTTTCCAAATATGTACATCCAAACTTGGTAATACCATATCAGGCAATTATGCTGTTATCTGATCGGACAGTGCCGTACTTCCCAATTGGGCTGCTACAGCTTTTATGGCTCAAAAATTAACAGTTTATTAAAACAATCTATGGCAAAATAAAAAACTAAAAAAAACATTATCTTTTTTTTTCATAAGTATCATCTCATATCATCAAGCAGCTTTGAAAAAAATACATCATTATCAAATCAGAATGCATGAATATATAAATAAAGTTGAAACAGTTGCTAACATACCAATAAATTTGCAGTATATGTAGAAGTATAAATATATCTCTTATTAAAAAAAATCATTATCATTTATCATGATTCATAAAGAAAAGGTAAAATCAAAAATTAAAAACCAAAAAAAAATCAAAGAAAAATCAAAAAAAATAAACTCAGTAAAATTAAATGTTAACAGGCCTAGTAGGTCCCCAAATATCTCGCTTAGAACTATTATTTAAAGAAAGATTATTATTGCTATTTGAATTACTCATTGTACTTCCTCCAGTTAAATTTAGACTTAAACCCCCTAAGGAATCCATTAATCCAACAAGATTAATGTTGCTTCCAGCATTACTAGCTGTCGACATCATTGAACTGTTCATCAATCCTCCATTATTGCCTCCACCTAAACTCAAATTAGCATAGTTTTGTAATGTTGGTGATGTAGAACAAGTAGAACCGGCTTTATTGGGATTGTTTAATCCAAGGCCCATTCCCATACCAAGTCCTAAATTGTTACTATTGCTGTTGTTATTATTAAGTGTTTGAAAATTCAATTCATCTAGAAAACTGTTATTTGAGGGTTGATTTGATTGCTGAAATGATGAATATTGGTTTAATCTTTGTTGATTAGAAATTGAGGGCAAATTTTGTTGTAATTGAAACTGTTGAAGACTGGTAGTAGATCCCCCAATCCCTCCAAGCGAATTAATGTTGTTTTGATTTAAAGTCGCAACTGATGATTGATGCGATAATTGGTTGGATTGCTGCCCAATATTTTGATTTGATAATGATAATGTGGAACCAAAATTGTTCATAGTACTGATATTACTATTAAGGTTATTGTTATTATTGCCATTATTATTAACATTATTGTTGCTAGTAGTGATTTGATTAATATACAAACTGCTGTCATTTTGGTGCATATCAAATGGTAAATTAGTAGCGGATAAATTATTAAAAGTTAGATTATTAAGACCACCAATATTACTATTATTGTTTATATTGGCACTGGCATTTGTATTATTATTATTATTATTATTATTATTAGTAGTAGTAGTAGTAGTATTACCGCTATTACTATTACTATTATTATTACCATTATTGCTATTATACCTTGAACTAATTTCAATTCCGGGAGTTGGAGGTTGAGAAATGTTTTGATATGGAGAAATTTGTAAATGTTGTTGACTATTATTTTGTTGTGGGTAAGATGGTATATTACGGAAATCAGCATATGATCTTGTACCTCTTGATAGGGCGGCTGAGGACAAGAATGAGCTACCTTGGTTAGAATTTGCATTATTATTGATAATATTAAATCCAATTTGGGATCTTGACTGAGGCAATGGTGAAATGATATTGTTAACATATTGACTGGATTGTTGATTATTGCTTTGTTGTTGCTTATATCTTTGTTGGTTGACAAGTAGATTGCTTGAAATATTGGGACTTTTATTAATTGGATTGTTGTTATTAGAAACTGGACTAATATTAATATTCGAGATTATATTGTTATTGTTATTGTTATTGTTATTAGAAGTATTATTATTAGCACTGTTATTCATTAAAGCCAATGCAGAATGGGATTGAGATCTTGAGATATAATTTGTATGTTGATCAAACAAGTTGGAATGTGATTGATTGTTTAATGTTCTTTTTACCACAATCAAGCCGTTTTCATAGGATTCTATTAAATTCAAACAAATACATAAGGTTTTAATAATTTTTCTGTGATTTTGAGAGATTGAAGTTGGATAAGCTAATTCGGAATAATAAGTACTTTTGTCTTCCTTGAATATAACGAATTGAGTATAATATTGTAATGTTTCAGGATCATTGAAATCTAATATATTGGGTGGAATAGATAGACTATTAGGTGATGGAATTGAGGGAAAAAATCTGTCATTAATATTGGAATTATTATAAGTTTTAGTACTATTGTTGAAATTATTATTAAAATTATTCATAGTATTATTATTATTGTTGTTGTTGTTGTTGCTAGAGGTTGAATTTTTGTTGTTACTATTGGTATTATTAATTTTATTAAGATTTAAATTTGAGTTGATATTGTTCATGCTATTCACACGATTATTATTGAAATTTGAGTTATTATTATTATTATTATTATTATTATTATTATTATTATTATTGTTATTATTATTATTATTACTGTTATTGTTATTGTTATTATTAGTATTGGTATTATTATTATTAGTATTGTTATTATTAGTAGTAGTGCTATTAGTAGTGCTATTAATGTTGTTGTTAATGTTATTATTCGGGATAGAATTGACATTTAGATTATTTAGATTATTTGGATTATTTGAAGAATTTAAGAAATTTGAATTTAATTTAGCAGGGGGGGCACTGGATACAGATAATAGAGAGGTTAAAGAAGCCGTAGAAGTGGATCTATGTTGTTCTTCTAATTGGCCTCTTTTTTCCCTTTTTTCTCTTTCTATTCTTTCTCTTTCAGCTAAAGGCAACATTTTTTTGTATTCGACTCTTAATTTTCTTCCACCAATTTCTCTGTTGTTTAAGTTTTTGACGACTAATGATGTTTCTTCGGTTGTAGTGAAATTGGCAAAGGCTAAACCTCTAAACACACCGTTATCAAAATGGTAATTAAAGGCATATGGTAGCGGTAAATTTAATTTTGTCATATCATCCAATAGTTGTTCCTTTTTTATTGAAAAAGGAATATTTTTGATAACAATAGCAGTTGGGATCAATTCGTCATCTTCATTATTTGAGTTGTAGCTTTGGTTATTTAAGTTATTCAAGTTAGATAGATTATTGAAATTATTCAAGTTATTTAAATTCGTTAGGTTATTAAAATTATTTAGATTATTTAGGCCGTTTATATTATTCAAATTGTTTAAGTTATTTAAACTATTAAAGCTGTTTAAGTTGTTCAAGCTGTTCAAGTTGTTCAAGTTATTTAAATTGTTCAGACTATTCAAGTTATTTAAATTATTAAAATTGTTTAAATTGTTTAAATTGTTTAAATTGTTTAAATTGTTTAAATTGTTTAAATTGTTTAGATTGTTTAAATTATGAATATTTTTGGAATCTTGATGATTTTTCGAGTTGAAATTGTTATTAAAATTTGGTAATGGATGATAATTGGATATGTTATTATTGATAGAAGTAATAGAAGAGTTTGAGGCATTGGAAGTATTGGAAGTAATAGAAATATTGTGATTTATGTTAGAGTTGTTGATTGTGGAAGTGGTGTTGTTATGAAAATTTGGATTTGAGTTTATAGAAGTTGTGTTGATAATAACAGGAGATAAAGTTGTTCTGGTTTGGTTGTCAGTTGAAGTTTCTGTGATTATTGGAGTTGATTGCAAGTCATTTTTAATATCCGAGATTATGTTTGAGGAAGAGTTTAAGGTGCTTGATTGAGAGAGAGAATGGGAATGTAAATGAGATTTAGATGGGGTTGAAGTTTGAGATTTTGATACTGTGAGAATGATTTCATTATTATTTGTTTCACCATTGGTGGTAGATTGAGATTTGAGTAAATCTTTGTTAGGAATGTTGATTGATGTGTCGATTTGTGATTGATTAGTGTTTTTGTTATTGTTATTACTGTCATTATTTGTAAGTGTATTGTTTTTAGGATAAGATTGATTTGTCGTCCAATTTGATAAGTTTAAGTCTATGTTATTATTGTTATTATTGTTATTATTGTTATTATTGTTATTATTGTTATTATTGTTATTGTTATTGTTATTACTATTAGTAGCAGTAGCAGTAGCAGTAGCAGTAGCAGTAGCAGTAGCAGTAGCAGTAGCAGGAATGTTTGTGATAATATTGTTCTTTAGTGTTGGAGATAAGTTGCTTTTTGCATTTGAGATAATTGGGGTATTGGCAAAAGAGGAGGAATAACCGGATGCAGAAGATAAGGAGGATAACGAAGGACGACGTTGATTTGAATCCAAATTGTTTAAATTGTTTAATTGAGATAAATCCATTTTAATTGAAATGGAAGTTGTAATCGAGTGGAAATTAATTGGTAGAAGAATTAATTGATTAGGGGGGATAAATGATTAGGCGTGTAAAGATTTTACTTTTTCTAATCTTTTTTAATCTCTATACTTTTCTGATAATTGTTATTTTTTGATTAATTTGCTGCTCAAATAATTAAATAGTCAAAAAACAAATAAAAACCCAGAAAAAAGTGGTTTAAAGGAAAAGAAATTGGAAATTGAGAAAATAAAATTAAATAACAAAAAAAACGTCCTTGTTTTGATGTTTATTTAACACTGTATTTAACCGCTGAGGATTCAAACCGGAAAGTGAAAAAAAGATAAGCAACAAAAGAGCAACAAAAGAGAGATTATGCTGGCAAGAAGCTGTGAAGCCAGAGAAGAGAGCCAAAGGTACGTCGAAAAGCTTTGGATTGAAGCAGCAAAAGAAAGAAAAGAGGCTCTTAAGACCACAGGCAGTTGAGATGAGTGAAAAAAGGGATGAAAAGCAGATTTGCTTGGAGAGATTTAGTGGGAGCTGAGCGAGATCTGAATTGTGAGAGAGTGATGTGGGATTTCTCTGGGAGGCACAACGAACAAAGCTCTGCTGAATTGGGCAACAAAGAAGAGAAAGAAGCAGAAGAAGCAGAAACAGCAGAAGAGACTCCGAGAAGAACAGCAAGGAAAAGTTTGCTCTTTTCCTGCTTTTGCTGCTTCTGCTGTTTAAATACCCCCGCCCGGCGTACATTGCAGGCCGGTTCCGAGCATGCGTAAATATGGACACGCTAGCGCCGCTGCTGCGCCGGTTCTGCGCGCGAGCTTTGCTGGGTGCAGGGTGTGTGGATGTTGGATGCAGGGTGCCTCTGTTGCTTTTGCTGATTTTGCTGCCTCTCATTCTATCACCAAAGGGTCGTCTGCTGCACCAGACTGAGGAAACGCGTTGGAACCGTCACCGACAGTCTTAAAGACGTCGTTTTCAAATGACGAGTCCTCGTCCGAGAAAAAAGACGTCGAGAAGTTGCAATCGTCTATAAAATCGTCAACAACGATGGGCTGGTCAGAATTACCACCCATTCTACTGTAGTAATTGTTCTCGATGTCCTTCAAAACATTGTCGTCTGTCAAGTCTAACCAAGAAACTGCTTCCTTCTCTGTAGGTGTTTTTTCCAGATTTTTTTTTCTCTTTTTTTCTGTTTTTGCAAGATTCTGAGTCTTTTCATGATCATTTTCAAGCTCGCTTTCATCCAGAAGATTAATAATCCCATTCTTTCTCTTTTTTTTATTTTTATTTCTATTTTTATTTTTATTTTTATTTTTATTTTTATTTTTAGTTTTAGTTTTAGTTTTATCACTATCATTATCATTATCATCATCAGTATCATCATTAGTGTTATTTTCATTATCGTTGGCATTGTCATCCGGATTCCCATTCATAGTCCTATTAATGGGAGTTTCATCTTCATCCAAAATTTCCCAATATCCATTACACCCAATTTTGATTTTATTGATCTTAAATTCGCTTAGAAGCAACACATTCAAGATATTAAAATTAATCTTCAAATCTTTTAATACATCAATTTTATTATCACAAATGGGACATCTGCTTAATATTTCTATTTTACTAGTTTCCCTAAAATATTTAAATCGGACTCTAAATGAACCGCTATATTTATCAGAATAATCATTTTTAAACACCGTAGTAACACTTTGTCCATTGAATAATAGCCCGTAATAATCACTTTCCCGGACTTTTCTTTTTTGAGGATTGTTTTTGTTTCGATTATAATTGTTTTTTCGATTTTCATTCTTTTTACTGCTTTTATTATTTTTATTTGAATAATTCAAAAAATCACCATAATACAGATTATTATTATCATTATCATTATCATTATTATTATGTCCGTAATTGTAATCGTAATTATAACTATTATAACTGGAAGTGTTATAAAAATCTCGATCATCTTGCTCAAACAACGTATCATTATCAAATAATACCAAACTATCTGATACTTCCAAATTCAAATTTTCGTTCGAACTAAATGTAACTTTGTCATTTATCTTGAATATCGAATCAAATGATTCCGAATAATCCATTCTCTTAATATTAATAGTATTAATGATTTTATTATCAAATTTTTTCACTTTCTTTCTTTTTTTTACCTCATTACTATGATCTGTCTCACTTCTATCAGCACAACCATTAGTAATTTCACCTTCTATATCATGATCGTCATCACCTTTATTATCACCTTTATTATCATCTCCGCTTTTTGCTCCACTTTCTTCATCTTGAAAAAATTCATGTAACGAATTTACCAATGTATTGCTCTCTAAAAAAAACCTGATCTCTCTTCTTTCTAATCTTTCTAAATTTTTAATAAAATCTTTTAAATATATTTTGATACTAATGTTAAACTTATTAATTAGTTTTTTAATTAATTTATTAATCTTATCTGTCACAATCTTATTTTTAGTCGTTATATTTGTATTAAATGTTTTGATTGCATAATTGTTATTATCATAATTATTTGTAATTTTAAAGTTTTTATCTAATATTAATAATTGATTTTCCTCAAACTTTTTAACTATCTTTTTAATTTTTTCATATTTTTTCTGAATTTTCTTAATATTCACATCTTTTAAACTTATATCATCTTTTAAATTGATTTCTTCCTCTTCCTCCTCTTCCCCCTCTTCCCTCTTTTCTTCTTCTTTATTCTCATTATCATCTTTTTTATCAATAATATTTCCTCCAATTTTCATTTTTATATTCTTGCTATCATCATTGAGTTTAATTAAATCATTCAATTGCAAAAAACTCGACAAATCAAACGATGATAAATGCAAACAACTTTTAGATATGCAGGGCAATTTAATATTTTTTCGACTTATCGGATCTATTAAATCAAGAAAAATATCTTCTTCTTGAATATCCAATTCATTTTCAACTTTTTTTAAATCTCGATTTCTATTTTCTTGATCTCTGTTCTTTTTTCCTTTCTCTTTTTCTTTCTCTTTTTCTTTCTCTTTTTCTTTTTCTTTCTCTTTCTCTTTTTCTTTTTCTTTCTCTTTCTCTTTCTCTTTCTCTTTCTCTTTCTCTTTCTCTTTCTCTTTCTCTTTCTCTTTCTCTTTCTCTTTCTCTTTCTGTTTATCACTATCCTGAATGCTATTTAAAATATCCAGATACCCAACTTTCCCGTTATCTTCATTGGATAATCTTTTACTCCAGTTCCCACCTATATATCTGGGATTCAAATACATGGGCTTATCTGAGTAGAATTTATCAATTGTATCACAAGCTGCAAATTGCTCCATCTTAGAATAATACTCGCAATTCCTAGTGCTTTAACATATATGGCATGATCAAATGTGCTCTGTTTGGAAATGCGAATTGTATCAGCTGGGTCTCGATCTTATTGTAAAATTGTATTTCTGCTTAAACTTTTCATATCAACCTGTTTATTCTGGGTTCTGTTAAAAACTTTCCTAAGCCAATATCAACCTCTCCTTTGAAATCCGAGCCCAAATTGACGGTGCTTCCGTGTTTGGAAATACCCAGAGAGGCTAGTTATTTCCGTTTAGGGAAAGCAGAATAGACTGGCTTCATTTTTTCTACTGGAAAAACGCTTTTTATAGTGTAAATAAGTTTGTATTAAAGTTAAAAAAATATACATATTAGATCAAGAAATATTAATTTATCCATCGAATTAAAGAGAAAATAATTTAACAAAAATAATCAAAAGCTGTTGATTAAAAAAAATAATAAACAAAACAAAAACAAAAATAGAAATAAATCTTTGTTTTTGAGCAGCAAATATCATTCTAACAAAAGCAGATACCATCCAAATTAAATAAAATCTTAAATAAACTGGAGAATTAAAGTGCAATAAAAGCAAAGAAAAGTGAATAGTTTGAAATTATTTAAGCAATAACACAGATGTTTGGAAAGTAAGTTCCTGGTGGATCAGCATTGTCTTTACTTTCAGATTTGTTGTTTTGAGTAGATGGTTGCATTTCGGATTGACTGATTGAGTTTGATTAAATTAAAAAGTAGTAATTGAAAGTGGAATAAGCTGGTTAGATTGAATAGCTAATTAATATGTTTATGATGATAGAGAATAAAAAAAAATTAGAAATTTGTAAACATCTTGATTCATATTTATATTGTTTTGTTTATTTGAAGATACTCTTAAAAACAATTAAATTGAAAACCTCAAACCAGTATAAAAAAGTTGATTCAATTATTCCAAACATCTTCAAAAAAGAAACTTGCTAATTTTTTCAAAGACTGGAATCATTTTGATATACAAATGCTTTAAAAAGAAATGGCTTTGCACCAAAACAATCAACATATGTTTTTCCGGTTATAAATCAGCATAAGAAATTTCCTAATCGGTACTAGACAATAAGATACAGGAAAAAATGTCAAGAAATTTAACTTTCACTAAAACAAAAAGAAAAAACTTATCTTTTTTCATTGTCAGTGACAAAAAGGGAAATTTTTGTGGCTTTTTTTTTGAAATTTTCGATTGTTGATAAAACTATTAATGAAAACATAGTTTTTCCTTCAGATCAACCACAATATTGTCTGGTTTCAATTACTATAAAATAAAATAACAAAGAAAAGTAATTTTTAAGCATTATTAAAAACAGAAAACATAAGACTTAATTTTATTAAAACTGGCTATTTAGCAGGTGGGGTTTTATTATTTCTATCCTCTCAATAATCAAAGTTTGTATTTATTTCATATCCTCAAGTTAAAAATCGTTATTTTTGTTTTTGTTTATTGACTTTAATAAGTAAATTATAGTCAAATTTTTTTGAAACCAAACAAACAACAAACATTTTTGGCTTTACATCAGTCTTGACCTCAAATCTTAAGAGAAATAGTTTATAATGGGTTTTCATCGAAACGTCCAAAACTAGAATATATCAAAAAATAAACAACATTCAAAACAGAGATTGATTATTTCTTTTGTTCTTAGCTTAATAGATTATGTTTGCATCATAATGGATTCTAGTGTGTTATCTAATATATTATCTAATATATTACTCGTATATAACATGATGAATTCAATTATATATTTGATAGAACATAAATACAGAACCAGTATCAATCTATTCAAAAGTTATAATCAGATCCACAGATTTGGTTTTCGAATATGGTCAGTCTTTTTTTTTGCGGAACCATCGAAACTTGGAAATTTCTAAAAAGTTCGGAAGAACTCTAGAAAAATCTACACCAAATTTATAATGCGGTCTAATAAATTTGTGTATAATTTTCGTCATTTAGAATTGGTTTTGCGATAATTTCTTTGATTATTGAAAATTCTAGTTGATTCCAGATCCCAATCGAATTATCTTATCAGATAAAATAGTAATAAAATGATCATCAAGTAACAATAGTAATATAATTAGCTATTTAGGAAGCCAATTCGAAATGATATATAAAGGATTGATTTATTTCTTTATCTTACATATTACTTTTTATTTTTTATTATCAACAACAATTAATAGCTAATTACATTTGACTAAAACTATAGTTACAATTGCAACTACAACTTCAATTTTAATTACAACTTCACATTAATCAATCAATCATGTCAGGTATTTTTTATTCGCCATTTTGGGACTTTGCTGGTTCAATTGAAAATAATTTAAATCAATTTAACCGTTCATTACAATGCTCTGGTTTGAATCGTTGTCCAGCAAATAAGAAACAAAGCAAAGAAAACAAACAACTTGCTAAGAAATCCAATAATGATTCATTAATTTCAAATTTCTTTGGTAATGATAATAATGACAGTTTTTTCAACACCTTCAGCATTATTCCACCAGTGGATTTGATCAAACATGAAAAGAACTATGAGTTACATATCTCAATTCCAGGTGCTGAAAAGGATAAAATCAACTTAGACTTTAATAAAGAAGCAAATGAGATAACTATCTCCGGTGAAATCGAATCTCATAAAGAAGAGGAAAAAGATAATTATAAGTACCAAGAAAGATCAACTGGTAAATTTTCAAGAACAATTGGACTACCAAAAGACGAAACAATCGATGATGAAAACATCAAGGCTAATTACAAAGATGGTGTCTTAACTCTAGAAATTCCAAAATCAGAAAAAAAGGAGACCGAAAATGTTCGTCGTATCACCATTTCTTAAGTGATATTTTTATTATATTATTCAGCGTTATGCTATCACTATATTACTAATTCTACTTTTCTCTATACTATCTCTCAACATCGTTTTTAGACTTTAAACCTTTTCTATTATATCTTACACACAATAAATCTCAAATTATATTTGAATTTGCACATGCCAACTTTTGTAGTTTTATTGGTTCCATTGAGGTGGAAACAACACGGAAACGGATAGCGACACAACTTAATTGCCTGCTCCGTGACGACGTGCTCTTCACGCACCTTCCACCACTTTTGCAGCTCAGCTTCAAGAAACCAAAAAGTTGTTTTTGAAAGAGTTCACCAGAGGATATTGATCATAAATGAATCAACATGGACTTGAGCTTGTTGGATAATCCCTTTACCTCTGTTTCTGCTTCTTTTGCTACTTCAAATGCTGATACAAAGGAGAACAAATCTACCTATAATGCACCTGATAGTGGGGAGAATAAAAGTAGGATCAGCAACAATATCAATGCTGATAACATAAATTACAGTACCAATAAAGATAACCATCACGATAACCGCAAAAATAATAATAATAACATCAAGAACAGCCAAACTGAAAACCAGAATGATAAAAGTATCGAAAACGATGACAAAAATGACAAAAATGACAATAATGATAATGAAAATAATAATGAAAATGGTAACGGCAACCCAATCAAAATCAATTATAAACGAAAATATGATCAGTTGTTAATCAAATTTTATCAGGTATTAAATAAAAGTGATAAATTATTCTTGAAAGAGCAAAATACTCGAAAAGTTTTAATTGAATTGACTAGAAGGAATAATTCTTTGCTAGATTATTTATCGACGAAAAGCAATACTAGCCATGGCAATAATCATAGTGATACTAACACTTTTAACAATGAAACAGATGAAAAGCTCCGGTTGATAATATTAAATAAACCAAAGTTGAAAAACGTTTTACAGCCTCTACTATTATTAAATAATAAATCCAATAGCAATGAACATAGCGGGAATGGTAACAACAGTAACAATAATGGCGATAATTTATTAAATATCAAAAATTATTTACGAGATGGTATCAAAAATAATTATTATTTTTATGATTTAACCTCAGATTTTTGCTATGATCATACCAGAAATTTAAATAACTTGTCAAATTATAACGATATTGACAACAAGACCATCAATGATAGCAGCCATATTGAGAAATATAATGAAATCAATAACAAAACTAAAAAGAAGCCTTCAAAGGTGACGCCTTCATCATCTCTTATAAAGGTTAATTATCCTCAGTATTATAGTAATAATCCTCTTAATCAAATAAAGGAAGTCAACCCTTCTCAAACTATTCCATGGCTAAAGAGAAATTACCCAGATACCATCAATACTAATACTAATACTAATAACAATAATACAAATTCTACTAACAATGCTAGTAATAATATTAACAATGAATTTTTATCCTCGAGTAGTAATATTCTTGATAATAAAATAAAAAACAAAAAATCCAGTTCAACGAGTGAATTGGATTTGACTTCAAGTTCAAATTCAAAATCAAATTTAAGTCATGTAAAAAGAAAAAGAAGAGCTTCATCTTCACCAAAATCGGTAAAACCAAACTTATCTGAATTAAATAAAAATAAAAATGCTATTAACAAAATATTAAATAACGATAGTAATAATGAATTTGAATACCCCAATAAAAAACTAAAAATCAATCATGAAATTAATGATAATTAAAATTACAAACATATTAAAAAATTAAAAAAACATGAAAAAGCATTAATTCTAAAAATGGTTTTTTTTATTTTATTTTATTTTATTTTATTTTATTTTATTTTATTCTAATTTATCTTTTCTCTTTATTTTTTTCTCTTTAATGTCTTTCTTTATACTGGTTTTCTTAGTCCCAATTTTCTAATAGAATTTTTTTTTAAACAATAATTTTTATAATAGTAATTTTCTGTTATACTTTTTTTAAAAATTTTTTTTTTATGCTAACTTTTAATTTTACTTTTATATATATTCAATTTTATTCTTTGTATTATTTACATTTTACAATTTAAAATTTACAATTTAAAATTCAAAATTTAAAATTATCTATAGAAACCAATAAATCAAATTATTGATTAAATTTTGAAGTTGAAGTAATCAAAATAGTAGAAACAGTTTCATAGACACCTAAAAATATTGCACCACCAGCACTTATCCACATTGTTCTGGGACCAATTCCTGACAAAAAGGCCTTTGGACCTTCTTCCGTAATTATATTTCTAAAAATTTTTAAAATACCAATTCTCTTTTCGTTCAACATAATCCTGGTTTTTAAAACATCCAATGGGGTTGTAGTAGCTGCTGCAATACCACCTGCAATTGAACCACAAATTGCACCCTGCAATGGAGACACTTTTTCTTTGTTATCTCTTATTGCCCATTGAACCTTTAAAAATTCATATAAAGGGAACTGGATTACTGTGAATGGAATTTCCCTCATGATGGTTGTTCCCCAGCCTCTGTATAGCCCTTTGATTATACCCTCGCCATTTTCGTTTCTCAAAATATACTTCAAAGACTCTAGAGAAGAAGCAAAATGTGAAGCTTGGGTTCTTTGTTTAATAACTTCTGCTGGCACTCTCACAAGACATGCAGCAATTTCACCGCAAGAAGCACTGACCATATGAGTAACTGAGTCAGACAAATGCTTATTGTCCTTGATATAGTTTTGAGATATGATGGGATTGAGTTCCTTCTTCAAAGTATCATATGTGACGAAGAATAATGAAGCAGATGGAGCAGATGCTACAACAGTACTCCCTAAACCCTTGTAAATGCCTTTCCATCCACCGTTTTTGAAAAACCCACCTTTGGCCTGTAATCTAGTTTTGACAGTGTCAATTGGAAAGAATACGATATCTGTCGAAGTTCCTGCACAACCACCACTCTAAGAAAGGTGTTAGTGACTGAAAAATATTGGCTCGAAAGCGAGAGAGAAAACCCATTGGGTACTTACAACAAGCGAAACAAAAAAAGCCAGAGAATCCATAGCTGTTGCAGACAACCACCCAACTGTTCAGCCCAATTGCACTTCCTGAGAGTGTTTCTGAATGCGATTCCAGCTCTCGTCCTGATCTCTCGTCGACTCTTCTTTCTCTTCAACTTCACCTCCAGTCCAAAACTGGAAAATACCCGGCTCCTCGTTTGCCATTTCTCCGAGGGCAGCTTCTTTCGGTGTATTTCGACCACGCACAGCCTCGTAAGGGACTTCTTCCACCGGTAGTCAGCAGTTTCGAGAACGTGTTTCCGGTGCCAGTTTCGGACGGACGTCACCACTGTCTTTTGAGTAGTCAAAAGATCCTTTCACTTAGCTCTCACTCCATCTCTCACTCCATCTCTTACTCCATCTCTTGGTAGAATATCTTTGCTATCTCTCTCTGCTCTTTATTTTTACTCATAAATACCTTAAACTGCTTAGGCGCGTTAGCATACGAATTTGCTTATTTACATAGCTTATATCCTTTTTTCCTTTTCTGCAAAGTTCTTCAATTGGGGAAGTTCAATTGGTGGTCCAAAACAATGTCTTTTCCTCGACAAAAAAAACAAAGAAAGTGTAAAAGTTGTGGTTGCAATGATTTCATTCGTGACACAACTTCTCCATCGTCTGATTTATCTTGCAAAAATTGTGGGTTGGTTTTAGAAGAAAATCCAATTGTATCTGAAGTCACCTTTGGCGAAAGCTCTAATGGTGCTGCCACAGTTCATGGCTCGTTTATATCTTTGGATTCTTCCGGCAGACATGGTGGATTTGGTGCTAGATCGATGTCAGCCTTGGAAAGTAGAGAACTAACTTTAGCAACTGCAAAACGAAGAATAAAGGCTCTAGCGTTATCCTTGAAGGTCCCGGATTATGTTTCTGATGCTGCTTATCAATGGTTCAAGTTGGCTTTAACTAATAATTTTGTCAAAGGTCGAAGATCTCAAAACGTTATTGCTGCTTGTTTATACGTTGCATGTCGAAAGGAAAAGACTCGTCATATGTTGATTGATTTCAGTTCCAAATTACAGATTAGTGTTTTTAAAGTTGGTACGACTTTTCTTAAACTAGTGAAAGCATTGCATATAACCTCATTACCATTGGCAGATCCTTCGATTTTTATTCAACATTTTGCTGATCAGTTAGATTTTGGTGACAAAACTTTGAAAGTAGTCAAAGACGCTGTCAAGATTGCTTCAAGAATGTCTAAAGATTGGATCCATGAAGGAAGAAGACCGGCTGGTATTGCTGGTGCGTGCGTATTATTAGCTGCGAGAATGAATAATTTCCGAAGAACTCATACAGAAATTGTGGCAATCTGCCACGTTGGTGAAGACACCATTCAAAGAAGATTAGCTGAATTCAAAAAGACTAATGCAAGCAAATTATCTATTAGTGACTTTAGAAAAAAACACAAAGAAATCGAAGGTTCATCCGATCCTCCTAGTTTTCAAAAAAATAGAAAATTAGAGAAAAAATTAAAAAGCTCTCCAGCATTAAAAGAAGATGAACTTAGATCAGACACTTTGTTGGGAATGGTCCTAAATGATTCAGCTATAACCGAAAATGAAATCAATTCTCAAATCCAAAGAATAATAAAACAATCACAGCAAAAGTTAAATGAAACTTCAACTAGCGCTAATGACTCTGAAGAAATAAATGACAACAACAGTGATGATGACAGCGATAACTTCAACTACTCTACAAAAGCAAGAACAATCAAACTTGATTACAATATATTGCCTAAAACCGAAGATATCTTGAAAAAAGTGTCGTCAAAAGTGGATACTTTTTCTGACATTGATGACGATGAATTGGACGATTTCATATTGGACGAAGATGATTCCAAGAAAAAGGAAGAAATCTGGGTAAATATCAACCAAGAATATCTCATTGACGAACAAAAAAAGAAATTAAAGAGAGAATCAGATGAAATTTCTGGTCATGGTCAGCCAAAGAAAAGAGTCAAGAGAAAATCTGGGGCTTCAAAATTCGAAAATGAGTTTAGCAAAAAAGAAAACGCAGACAGTGCATCTGCTGCTAAAAGTATTTTGCAAACGAAAACTCTTAGTAAAAAAATTAATTATAATGTGATTGATAATTTGTTTGCCAAATAATTGATGTTTTTATTCAAATTTTTTTTTTCCTGAACAATAATTGAGAATGAACGCTATATTGTTTTGTTTACTACGTTCATTGTTATAATTACTCTAATTTACTACTTTTATTGAGTGGTGGACTGTTTGCCTGTTCTATTCTGTATAGTTTTAGCTAAGAAATAATAAAAAAGGAAATGCCTTCAGCCAGATTCGAACTGACGATCTCCTCATTACTAGTGAGGTGCCTTACCAACTTGGCCATAAAGGCTTCTTATGGCTGAATCCATCCTTTTGCAAAAATCCAAAAGGTAATTTTACGGACTGCTGGTTATTTAAACAAAAAACTTTGTTTGTGTAACAGCCCATTGCCTATAATATATCATTATCTCATTGAATGTCTGCATAATAAGGAAGCAAGAACATTCGCAGGAATAAGCCCTCAGCAACTTGGTTTAGAGAGGCCTACCCAACTCAAGCATCTTTTGGGTACAAGAAAAGGATTCAAAATGTTGGTTAGTTTTTTAGAAAAGGCATGGGACCTTAACTCTTAAGATCCCAAACTTTTTCTCTATCTAATTTGTGTAGGTTTTTCCCTGCAAGCTCAGGTTTCCCTACACCTCGCTTAAAATTAAGGAATTGGTTTCAGTTATTCTTAAACAACAGTTTATAGCTACTATATAGGTCTACGAGTCCCACACGGCTGGCTCACGGTCACGGAATATTAATAATAATACGGATCACGTTTCTGGACGCGTTGATTTGTTTTCCGTTTTTTTGGTGTTTTTCAAATATTTGATAAGTGATCCCAAAAGGTTTTGTCTGAAGTTTTCTTTTAGATCTGTGAGATGAGAGTGGACTTTTTAGTAAAAAATCAGCTTCAAACTGGAAGATCCTGTAAATACCCTTTTATTTTCTTCAAGAACTATTGCTCAATTTCTTTGAACCACTATTATCTCAACCAGTTTATAAGTTTAGAAATGTCCATCAAAAAGACCCAGAAGAAACAACACAACTTCAGACAACAATCATTAGCCAGTTTTTTTTCTGGTGCAAAACAAAATGATAAAGTGGATATAAAAACACTATTGTCCAAACCAAATCCTTCAAATACCTCTGTTTCTGATTCTAACGATTTAAGCAATGTAAAGATTCACAAGCTATCAGACAATATGATAGATAACGAACAAAAAGAGAAAATTTTGACAAAAAAAGATCAAAGCGACAATCACTTTGAACCTATAGAGCCTCAATCATTGAGCAAAAGGAAAAGAACAACAAAGAAAGACGATACAAATTCTGAAACAGTTGAGAAATCAACAGAATTGTTGCAATCAAAGAGATCATCTAAATCTAAAATAAAAACTAAAAAATCTAAGGCAGCATCAAATAAGAAATCAAAAAAAGTGGAAAATGAAGATGCAATTGATATTTCTTCTGATAATGAGTCTGCTATTGAAATCAATGATTCTACTGAAGACGCAATTGATGAAAAACCAGCTCAAAAAAAGAGAAAATTGACAAGGAAAAAACTCGTCAATGCAAATTTAGATGATAGCGAAAGTGATAATGAGAAAATTAACGTTGCTTCTATAAATGAAACTAATGCAGATGATACTGATCCACCTGAAGATGATGAAATGCTTCGACATAATTCTTCAATTCACGAAAATGAAATCAAAGAGGCTGAAGAATTAGCATCAATATCTTTAGAAGAAACAAAAACTAAAATACCCAGATTCAATCCTGAAGATAATTCAATACCCTATAAATCTATTTGTGATCTTTTCCAAGAAATTGAAAATGAATCTTCAAGATTAAAAATTATAAAATTATGCTCAGAATTTTTTTTAGATGTTTTAAAATTCGATCCAAAAAGTCTAATAATTGTAGTTTATCTTTTTATCAACAGATTAGGTCCTGATTATGAGGGTCTAGAGTTGGGTTTAGGTGAAACATTGTTAATTAAAACTATTACACAGTCATCTGGAAGATCTGCTGCCAATATTAAAAAAGATTTAAAAGATATCGGTGATTTGGGTGAAGTAGCTCAAAAATCAAGAGTGACACAGCCTGCTATGTTCAAACCAAAAACATTGGATGCACTCACTGTTTTCAATAATTTAAAAAACATCGCCAATTCCAAAGGTTCAAATTCTCAGCAGAAAAAAATCAATCATATAACAAAAATGTTAACTGCCTGTGAAGGAAATGAAGCTAAATTTTTGATTAGATCTTTAGAAGGAAAACTAAGAATCGGTTTAGCAGAAAAATCAGTTTTGGTTTCTCTAGCTCAAGCTTTAGTAACGTTTGAATTAGTCTCAGATGGAAAGAAATCGAAAAAAGCTAGTGCTGAGTTAATTGTCAAAGCTGAAGATAAAATTAGAGAGGCATTTTGTCAGGTTCCAAATTACAAAACTATAATTGATAAGTCAATTGAGTACGGCGTCTTGAAACTAGATGAGCATGTTCGTTTATCTCCAGGAGTCCCATTGAAACCAATGTTAGCAAAACCAACTAAATCAATATCAGAAATTTTAGATCGTTTTCAGAATGAAGTTTTCACCTGTGAATACAAGTATGATGGAGAAAGAGCCCAAATTCATTTGATTCACGATAATGGCGAAGAAAAAATCAAAGTTTTTTCAAGAAACTCTGAAGATATGAGTCAAAGATATCCAGATATCATTGATTCTATTAGAGGATTTATTAAAAAAAATAAGATAGGAATGGTGAAATCTTTGGTTTTAGACTGCGAAGCTGTTGCTTGGGATAGAGATGAGTCAAAAATTTTACCATTCCAAGTTTTATCAACTAGAAAAAGAAAGGATGTCAATAAAGAAGATATCAAAGTTCAAGTTTGTATTTTTGCATTTGACTTGCTTTGTCTTAATGATGAGCCATTAATTACTAAAAGTTTGAAAGAACGAAGAGATTTGATTGAGGAATACCTAAATCCTGTTCCAGGCAAATTTCAATTAGCCACTAAAATAGATACAGCAAATATTGATGATATCCAGGGATTTTTAGACAGCTCAATAAAGGATTCATGTGAAGGGCTAATGATCAAAGTGTTAGAAGGTAAGGAGAGTCAATATGAGCCATCGAAGAGATCACGTAATTGGCTTAAATTGAAAAAAGACTACCTAAAAGGTATTGGTGATTCATTGGATTTAGTCGTTGTTGGTGCTTATTATGGCAAGGGCAAAAGAACAGGCAAATATGGTGGGTTTTTATTAGCATCATACAATCAACAATCTGGGGATTATGAAACAACATGTAAGTTAGGAACTGGATTTTCAGACGAAATGTTGCTCCAATTATATGAGAAATTATCAAAATTGGTGATAGCGCAACCGAGAAGTTATTACTCTTATGATAGTGGTAATGCAGCAGCAGAGCCAGATGTTTGGTTTGAGCCAGAGGTGGTCTTTGAAGTTTTAACTGCAGATTTGTCACTTTCTCCAATCTACAAAGCCGGTTGTGATACATTTGGAAAAGGAATTAGTTTAAGATTTCCAAGATTCATAAAGCTTAGGGATGATAAAGGATCTGAAGATGCTACCAGCTCAGATCAATTGGTTGAATTTTATGAAAGACAATCAAGTATTTCTTAATTAAATATAATATAGATATCTATATATTTATGTTTTCAGTTATTATACTTGATAGAATTTGGTTTATTTTAACCGGCTTTATTGTAACATAGTTTGTTGATTTTGGTTTGATTTTAAACAATTGAAATTAATTCTTAAACAAGCATTTATAAAATTCAAATAAAAAGAATAAAAAAATATCATTTAGACTGATATGGTATAAAAATTATATTTTTGAGTATAAGGGTTATCATAAGTAATTTAAATTATTCTTCATTTACTCAAAGATGTTATAATTAAAATAGACTGTCATAATCTTTGTTATAATGTCAAAAAAAGAACTAGAAAAAGATATAAATTTCAAAGTACGTATTATTTTAAAATTCAAAAAAAGATTCATTTTCTAGTTTATTCAATTTGGAGAAGTTTGGTGATAAATTTTTCAACCAACTATAGCTTTTAATGTTGTTATGATTGAGTGAAAGTTCTTGAAGTTTAGGTAAAAAGATTCCTTTTGGATTATTCAGATTAAAAATAAAATGTATCTTTTCAAGTTGATTTTGATTGAGGTATAGTTTTCGCAAGTTATTTAAAGAATTTTTTTCAATTTCAAGATAATTCAATTTATTGAATCCAAGGTTTAGCACTTTTAAATCAGGAAAATTTCTAAGCTCTTCCTTTCTAATTTCTTCAATTTTATTTGAGGTTAAATATAGGTGTTTTAATTTTTTCAATGATTGAAGCGGACTGATATTGCATAAATTATTGTCAATTATACTTAGATTTTCAAGATTGATTAATTTATTGAAATTATTCAAACTTGATAAATTATTATTATTTAAATGCAATTCCTTTAATGAATAAAGATTTGTATTTTCAGAAATAAAGAAACCATCAATATTATTTGTTGATAGATTTAGCAATTCAATGTGTTTAAAATTATTTAAGACTGAGATGTTTTTTATGGAGTTGTTATCTAAGTATAGAATTTTTAAATTTAAAGGTTTCAAATAGGAAATATCATGAATAATATTTGAAGAAAAATCCAAGTATGAGAGATTTGACAAGTTAAAGTTGTTCATATTAATCTTTGATATAAAATTTCCATAAAATTTGATTGATTTTATATTTTTAAAATTGGATAAAACATTAAATTCGGATAATTTATTTTGAGACAAGTCAATATAATTTAAGTTTACTAATTTAGATAAGTTTCTTATATCGTAAATCTTATTAAATGATAAATTTAAGTCAATTAAATTTATTAGTTTTGAAACATTCTCTACTAGTTCAAGGTTATTGCAAGATACGTTTAAACCAATCAAATTTTTCAAGTTTTCTAGGTTTTCAAATTTTCTTAATTTATTGAAAGAAAGATTTAAAAATTTTAATTTTGTTAGAGATGAAAGGTTTTCAATTTTAGAAATGTTATTTTTGGATAAATCCAAATCTGTCAATGAGGAAAATTTTGATAATCTTTCAATTTTTGATAAATTATTCTTTGATAAATTCAAGTATTTCAAACTGAGAAAATTCACAATTTTATCAATAGAAACCCCAAAAACAGTGTTAGATAAATTTAAATGAGTGAGATTCAGAGATATCTTAGAGTTTAGCTTATTAAAGATTTTGGTAATAAACTCCTGTTTATGGTGGATTAATGAGATTTTTTTCAAATTTGTGCAGTAATTTAAGGCATTAGAAAGAAACAGACTCGAGGGGAAACTTTGATTAGTAAAATTGTGGAGCTTGAAGGATGTCAAAGTGTTTGAATTTTGAGTTAATATGGTTTGAATAGTATGGTTTATAGAATTGAAGTGAAGAAAACTTCTAATTTTTAATATAAAACCGGATAAATTGTTTTTGAAAAATAAAAGTGACAAAAATTTACTAAAGTTCTCGTAGGTAATTAAAGCAAAATCAAGCTCAACTGTCAAATGTTTTGTAAAGGTTACGATATAGTCATAAAAATGTGGTAAATCTCTATCGCAGCTAAGAATAAATTTATGATTTGGAGAAAGAATATAAGAGGTGATATGGATTTGGAAAAATAGCAATTGCAAAGCACTGTATTTGAAAGTATTTGCATCAGACAAAGAAAATAGCCATAGCTTATCAAAAGGCAAGTATTTAAGGATCTGCTGGGTTAGCTCCAAGGGAAGTTGCTTATCATAGGAAAAGTCACCCAGTGCCAGAGGGTGATCTGAAGAAGCACCAGAACCTGCTAGCACGGCAGTACACCACAGGCTGTCCAAAGTCAAACCATTCATCAGCCAATTGCACCAACTAATTGCCAGGTCGCTGTGCATCGAATCACAAACCAACAGCGATAACAGACCTCCTGAGCTTTCTCTGTTCTTTATATCTGAGTGCAGTTGCCTATTTAGGCGAAGAGAAACCAGACCCACACAACTGGTGAGATCCAAATCTGTGGTAAGATCCATTGGGCTGATTAGATCCATCTTTCTGGCTCGTTTTCCTCATCACACTCGATTTCGAATCTCCACTGCACAAACCAATCAAAGGCTCATCAAACACCATTGCTGACAATATAAAAATGGCTCTACGAGCAACACTAAACTGTTTGTTTCACTGAGTGTTATCGTTATTTGCAGTATTACCTGGTGAGTCATGGTTGTTGGAATTGAAGTTGGAACCAAGTTTCTCCTGGATGTAGAGTTCAGATACATCCCCCTTGACCTGGAGACTGTTGATGCCAGAGTTTGCCCCAGACCAGCGAAGATCCAGTTGGATGCTGAGTTCCTTAAAAACAAGAAGATTGTTATTGTTTCTGTTCCCGGAGCATTTACTCCCACTTGCTCCAATTCTCATATCCCTGATATTTTAAAGCGTTTAAAGGACTTTAAAGAAAAGGGAATTGATTTACTCTTGGTTATTTCCAATAATGATGCTTTTGTTTTAAATGCTTGGAAGAAAGATTTGTTTTCTTATCTCAATATCTCACTAAAGGACACTTTGAAAGATGATTTCAAACCAAAAGTTTTATTTGCCAGCGATCCTAATACTTCCTTTTCCAAGAAAATTGGCTATTGGAAAGACTCTTCTGTTTATGGAATGGGCATTAGAACCTCAAGATATGCTATAGTTATAGATAATGGCGTAGTAACTTATTCGGAGCAAGAAACCCAAAGTGGTGTTTCTGTTTCTGGTGTTGATGCTATTTTGGCAAAGCTATAAAATCAATTCGGTTCATGGTCTTAGAATACATTAGTACTCATTTCCATTTTGCTGTATATGTCCAAAATTTTAATCTTTAGTCAATTATACACCTAAATAATGCCTTTTATTAATATATATTAGTCGTAATGGGATCATGTAAATTATAAAGTAGACCCTTTTTTATTATTTTGAAACTCAAAATATATTTGAACAAGTGAAATCACTATATTGCAAAACTATAATAAAAATGTAGGAAAAAAAAAAAGATAAAATAAATAACAAGAAAAGCAAAACAAAACAAAAATTTAGTTTGATGCTCAAGGTTTTTAGTAATAATAATCACCCTCTTCTTTTAATATCCAATCTTCAATCATGATTTTATCATTATCGTTCAAGGTTTTATCGTCTTTTTGAATTAATTTCTTTATCTCAAGCGAATACTTTGATTTTGCTTCTTCATATTTAGAAGAGTCTACAATTTTAATTCCCTTCAAATAATAAATTAGTGCCTCAAGATTATTCCTTTTATTTTTCTCTGGGATCTCAAGAAATTCGATCAATTTTTCTTTGTCGTTATCAACAACGAAATCTTTAAAGGTCAATTGAATACTTTTTTTTAAAACGACTTTAATACTTTCAGGAATTTTAACTTCTTCATCGTTCTTCTTATTGAACACAAAATCGTATAATTTAACCAAGTAATATCCCAATAATTCACCTTGTTTAAATGTTAACTGATCAATGGTTTTAATGCTCTTGAAACACAACAAAAATTTATTTTGATTGAAATAAATTCTGAATAATAATTTTAACGTAAATAATAAATTTGGTCCCTGTTTTAATAGAGGTTCAAGTTTTTGATTCAATTCCTCAATTGGATTTGAACAGGAAATTAATTGATTTCCAAATGGATCTTGGTCATTCTCAATCAATAAAATCTTTAATGCTTCTTTATCATAATTTTCATTATAACTGTGATCATTATTAGCATTATGTTTTTTATTTTTTTTATTATTACTGTGACTATGTAAACTATCATTATTTGTTATTAGTTTTTCATATTTTAAATAAAAACTCAAAAATGTCAATTCCGAATCACTTTCAATGCTTAAAATTGAATTGATATCTTCAATTTTTTCAATTTTTTCAGCATTTTCAAATTGCTTTTTAAATTTTAGTTCATAGTTAATCTCAAAATACAAGTCTGAAATTCCTTTAATGGCTCTTTGAAACACTCCTGATTTATAAATTGTATCTTCATATTTTACCATTTCAATATAAGAAAGCGGTGTGCCCTTTCTCATTGAATATGTGTGAAAATCATATTGATCATTGTAATATGTGTTAAAAATCTTGATCACTGCATCAAATCTTTTCATTGACAATCCCTTAGCTTTCTTAATTTCCGACAATTTCTCTTTAATACTTTTCAATAGGGCATCTCTTTCTTTCAATTCCTCCTTTGTATATTCTCTAATAGAAATAGTAGAATTGAGAATTTTTTCAATAAATTCCTTCTTTTCATGATTGGTAATAAATTTTTGAAATTCTTTTAATTTTTGGTTATAAATTCTGAAATATGCTTCACCTTCTTCAACGATATACCAACTTGATTGCATTACATATAAATCTTGCAAACCGTTTGGATATTTAGAGTTGATAGTAAATATTGAGGCAGTTTTGATTGCCTCATCAACCAAATTGGCTCTAAGATAATATTTAGCTGTTTTACAATTAACAAAACGATCCTGTAAATCCATTAATCTACATTCGTTCATAATTTTTGATGCTTCAAGGAAATCACCAGTTCTTTTAACGATTCTTGCTTTCATCAAGTATAGCTCAACTAAAGTAGGAGAATGCTCAATTGCTTTATCGATATAGTTCTTTGCATTCTCAGTATCATTTAAATAAAGATAATGTTGAGCTAAATAGTAATAGGTCCAAGCGGTTACAGTTGGATCTTTGATTTTAGTTGAAGGCGATAGTAAATCTTTTAAAAATTGCAAAACAATTGATTCAATAACTTTGCTTTTTTTCTCATTTTTGTAGATAGATTTCAAGTTATTAAAAGTTGATGGAACACCTCTAGACAATTTTTCTAAAATATAGTCTTGACATTTTATTTTAAATAGCGGATTTTCTGAATTCAAAAAAGTCAAAGGAATGAATTTTGGAGGATCAGATTTAGGATAAAATTTGGATAATTTGTCATATAATTTCAATCTTAGAGCTAATTTTTTTTCTGGATTTTTAACAGATGGGAATTTTAAAGCAACTTCCAAATTATAATAGTAACTGATATTATCGGGATTTCTTTTCAATAACGTTCTATAAGCAATTGCGGCGTTCTTGTAGTCCTTTAACAAGAGGAAATATTTGGCCTTGAATTGAAACCAGGTCAAAAAATCTTTAATGGATGGTTTTATAACTTCTAAATCATCAAGGGCCTTTTTAATGTTTCCAGATTCATAAATTATTGAATTTTTGTATAATAAACAGTCGGAATGTTCATATTTTTCGGCATCGGAGATTTTTCCCTTTGCTAAAGCTTCAAATTGGGTCAAACGTTTGAATGCATTGTTATAATCGCCATTTAAATGATACGCAATCGACAATGCAGTCCAATTCGCTCTATATCCAGGAGCGTTGTTCAATACCAAATCCTTTGCTTTAACTAAATTAGGATAGTCTCTTAGTTGAGATAAACAGAGGGACAAATCGTTGGGGATGTTTTTATTAACAGCCTCATTGTCAACCGCTAGTTGGTAGAATTTGGCAGCGTTGGCGTAATCCAAGTTCTGCTTGTAATAAATGGCAATGATATGGTATACGATGGGGTTGTTTTTCAATGCGTTTTTCTCAATTGCTCGTTCAATATAGTTTTTAGCGTCAGATATGTTTTGGTTGTATTCTTGGAACGAAATGTTGTTGTTGGCATTGGAAGTGGCAGTGGCCCCAGAGTTGTTGGCGTTGTTTCCCTCCAATCTCGCCTTGGAATGCTGATCCAAAACCAACCCTTTCAAGCAAACGGATTCGATGTGGTTTGAGTTCTTCTTCAAGACCTGATCCAATATCTTCAAGGACTTCTTGTACTGTTTTGATTCGTAGAGTTTCAAGGCCTCCTTGAAGGCACTGTCCTCTCTCGTGTTGAACAAAGACTTGGTTAGTCTGTTTGGACGTCTTCTGTTACTCATCACGACCCAGCTGGAAACAAGATACCCCAGGCTCCAATGAACTAGCAAAAGCAACAAGCAACAACAAAAGCAAACACCTGTCGTCGTCTTAACAGTCTCTCTCCAGCTGCTGTTTCTCCAACTCAGCTCCAGCATCTGCTTCTCTCTGAAAATTTTCAGCTCCATACAAAAGCTTGCAAATGTTACCCGCCGGCCTCAAATTTAACACATCACTTTCCTCTACTTTTCGTCCACTTTCTTCGTGAGATAACAACACAGCTATCAGCAATTGCAAACAACTGATTTCCTCGTTACTCTCATACTACACTTCGCACTACAATGGTAAGACTTGTTTTTGCTGTCTCTGGCACTCCTTTCTTTGATTGCAAACCACTAATCTCTGCTAAATTGTCATATAGTCAACCGCAGTTCCAGGTGGTCAAAGAACCCTAGCTAAAAGAAGAGCTGCTCAGGATAAGAAGGCCAGCCAAACTCCTGCCTCAACCAGGTCTGTTGGTGCTGGTGGCTCTTCTGCTACGATGTTGAAGTTGTACACCGACGAAGCTCAAGGGTTGAGGGTTGATCCATTGGTCGTTTTATTCTTAGCTGTTGGCTTCATCTTTAGTGTTATCGGTTTACATGTTATTTCCAAACTAGCAACAAAGTTTTTCTCAAAGTCCTGAACAAATATCCAGAATCAAGCAAGGTTGGTGAAAATGGCTAAATAACATTGGGACATTTCGTGAAATGGCTGCCAAAAAAACACAATAATCAATTTAAATTTCACAATTTCATTTTGATAAGGCAATTTTTTTTTCTTTTTATTCTTTTGTTGCAACTTGCACTTTCAATTTTGTTGTTGTATTCTATCATTTGTTTTTATTTGTTATCTTACCTATTTATATTTTTTTCAAGTTTTTTTTAATGATTTTCATTTGGATAATGCTACATAAAAATATAATACAAGAAAAAAAATAATCAGAGTTCAATAGCATTTTTGTTGATCGATGAAAACAGAGTATATTGTTATTTATGTACAAAACAATACCCAATTATTGAAAATATTACAAATCTTTTAAAAGTGCTTTAACAACTGGAATGAATCCTTTTCTATTTACAACATGTGTCTCATTATAGGTAGCTCTCGCATTTTTTATAGCTTTGCGAAATTCCCAATTCCAATTTCTTTTGTTATTTGGATCTCTGTATAACTTGTTAATTTCCAATTCACTGTCATGACTGCTGTTAGTTTTATAATCTCGGAACTTGCTTGGTCGAACCTCAATTTCAATCATGTTTTTATCTAAAAATTTGCCACCAATAACAATGAATAATGGTATACCTAAAGACATAGTTTCATTGATCCTTTTCTTTAAACTATAATCGTTTGTATTCGTGTTGCCATTAAACACCTCGATACCATTTTCAGAGCACTCTTTAATTAATTGATCAACTTTTCCAGCTGTTCTTTCATTGGAAAATTGGGGTATTACAATCAAACTCAAGTGATAGGGTGCAATAATTGATGGCCAGCATAAACCAGAATCGTCTCTAGAAACTTCAGCAATTGCAGCCATAAGCCTTGACACACCAATACCATAACAACCCATTTCAAGATAAATATCCTGTTTGCCGTCGGTGGATTTAACTTTTAATGACATTGGTTTGCTATATCTTGTACCAAGGTAAAACGTATGTCCAACTTCAATTGATTTAAAAGATGATATTACACCCTTTTCGCAGTCTCCACAAATCTCTTTTTCCTTAGCTTCGACTATACTAAAATCGTTAAGAGTGGTGAAGGAATTTCGTTGAAACTTAATTTCCGAGGGAAAATCAGGTAATATTGTACTTGGATTGATTCTAACATCCATAACTCTTATAACGTTTTTAATAAATCCATTATTTTCTTCATCAGTGTTTTCCTTGAATAATTTCAAGATTTCAGATTGATCCTTTAGTTTTAAATTGATTTCGGGAATTTCCTTTTTGATGAAAGATGACATTAATTTACGTTCTTTAGGGTAGTATGCAGCAATCAAAGTATTGTTGTCTTCAGTTAAATAGTATCTAACACTAGCTTCACTGGTTTCACTGGCTTTACTGACTTCACTAGCTTCACTAGCTTCACTAGCTTCACTGGCTTCATTACTTTTATCGTTTGGTAAGGAAGCTTGCTTTTCAATGTTTGAAATCTTTTTGCAATGGCTACATTCGAATAAAGTATCTTCACCATTTTCATTGGGGTAATGCCATTCTAGAGATAAATCACCACCAATTTCTCCAGAATCTGCCAATGCCGAAACAAAAGGAACTTTTAGGTCATTGAAAATTTTGTAATACGCTTGATTAAAAAGATCAAAACACATTTTGGCATCTGTTTGATCTAAATGAAATGAATAAGCATCTTTCATTACAAATTCTCGACTTCTCAACAAACCAGCCCTTGGTCGCAATTCGTCTCGGTATTTTCTCGTTATTTGATATAATAAAAGTGGTAAATCTTTGTATGAATCTAAATTAGACTTAACAATTTCAGAAATCTCCTCTTCACAAGTGGCTGCAAGACAGTAATCAGCTTTTTTCAAATCTGTCAATTTAAATAACTCATTATTTTCCCATCTTCCAGTTTTTTGCCATAGCTCTTTGCTTGATAAGGAAGTCAAGGCAACCTCATCACAGCCAATCTCAGTCATCCTTTTGTGTATGACATTTTCCACTTTTTTCAAGATTCTCAATCCCAAAGGCAACCAGTTAATTATTCCTGATGATGAAGAAGAAATCAAGCCTAGTTTCTGGAACAATGCGTAGGTGGGAGCCTTTGTGATGTTCTTGAAATCGATTTCCTGGCGAAATACCTGGTTCGAAGTAGCGATGTTTTTGGGATAGTTCTGAGAAACTTTCAGCATAAAAGCAGAACAAGACGAGGAAAACAGCACCAGGGGAGCTCTTCTCCTGAGCCATAACGAAGAAGGTTGTCTCCAGAGGCTGGAGGTTTGTCTGAACATGACTCTGACTGTGTTAGTGAAGGGTTTTGTGCTTCTTCTGCTGTTTGTGCTGAAAAATGCAAACAGAAAAACTCAGTGGTGGGTCCCGTGTATGACACGTGCTTTACAGGCTACGGCTGAGAAAACGGAAACGGGCGGAAAGTGTATTGAGTAGGTGAGATAAAGATAGAAAAATATTAAGATAAAGATGGAATATAAAAATCGAATATAAACAATTAGAGGATGGGAAAGAAAGATAAAAACAAGAAGTTTTTGTTCAACTGCTGATTTTGTTTTTATGTTTTATGCAAAACTTGACAATTAGATTATTTGTAGAGGTAGAGGGAAATTAATGGTAGGTCTTAGTTTTTATTTTGTTTTTGATTTTTGATTTTTGATTTTGTTGTTTTTTTTTGATTTTTTTTTGTTTAAAGATTGTTATCTATTTGTGATTTGATTTTTTTTGTTTTGAAAATGTTTTAAAAGAATATCATAAGAATCATATTATATTATATTTATATCACATAAAATTAACAAAAAAATCATTAAAATAATTTAAATCAAATTAAATTGATTTTATAATTTTTATAATTTTTATAATTTTTATAATTTTTATAATTTTTATAATTTTTATTTTATTTTCATTTTCGTTTATTTCGTATTGTATTTCAATGTAATTTAAATTGGTTTAATTTAATTTAATTTAATTTTTTGGAGGATTAAAAATAATCTTTCTGTTTTTAAGACCAACAAACTTGAATTTCTTTACCCAAATAGAGAGCAAGTAAAGAGCTGAAGTGACCACCAAGACTTTTAATCCAACTTTTTTACGTTCATCGTGTTCAGGTTCAGATGCCCAGTTTAAGAAAATCGAAACATCTTTTGCCATTTGGGAAGTGGTAGCTGGAGTACCATCATCGTATTCAACCAAGTCATCAAACAAAACTCTGCCCATAGCAATAGCTCCACCTGGAAAGTATGGATTGTAATTGGATCCTGGTGGTAATACAACACCTGCTGGTGGTTCTTCTGGATATCCGGTTAACAATGAGAAAATGTAATCACATCCACCATGTCTAGCTTTGATGATTAATGATAAATCTGGCGGTAAAGCACCTTGGTTGGCAGCTCTGGCAGCTTGCTCATTATCATAAGGGTTTTGAATGTAATCAGCCAATTTACCGACTCTCTTTCTTGGTTTACCTTGGTCATCAGGTTCATCATCATATTCTAGTTCTTCAACAATTTCTTTAATTTCACTATTGGTATGAGAAACACCTATTAATGTTCTCCAAGCAATTCTATCCAATCCGTGACAAGCAGCGCAAACTTCACGATAAACTTGAAAACCACGACGAATTGCAGCATGGTCAAAAGTGTCAAACATACCATTGTGAGACCATCCAAAGGCTGGAGGATGTAAACCATGTTCAGCAGCTGTCATGGCTTCAGCACTATGTGAATCTGCCCATAATAAATAAGCAGATGTCAATCCAGTAACACCGACAGCTCCAGTAAGGAGATTTTTGTAAATTGGTGAACTAGCTTCTTTTGCTGCTGTGGTTGAAAAAGATCTCTAAATTTAAAGTAATTGTGTTAGTATCATAATATCAACAAAAACAATAACAATAATAATATAACAAATATTCAATTTTTCGAATTCTTTTTCCTTTGTTCTTTCCAAATTAGTTTACTCTTTAGTTAATGATTTTGCTTGAATATAAAATAAACCAACATCAAATCACATTGAACTATTGAAGTAAAAACAATCAGATTTCTTTTGATAATATCTGATCTGATTTTAGTTTTATACTAACTCTTTAACACTCAACCTATGTTGTCGAGTATTTTATTTGAATATAAATTATATTCCCTCCTAAAATATTTGAAAAAATTATAGAATATCTGGAAGATCACTTACAGTGCTAGATTTTATACCAAATTTGATAGATTGAAACATTGTTATATTATTCTTGTTTTTATGTCTATTATTCCTCTATGATTACAAAATGCAATAAAAAAATCGAATCAAATTCTTAATAATCTATTATTTTGTTTTGGAGTATTGCGAATATTTAATATCTAGTAATTTAATATGTAATTTTTATTCCCTGGTTTCTTATTCAGTAAAACAAGTAACTGAGCATCAATTCGATCCTATTTCTAACTGTTCCTTCAATCAATGATAATAAAGTTAAATTATAGTGAAATTGAAAAATAATACATTTTAGCCAATTATCATTGGTCTGCGGCGAAAGAGTGGAAATGTATGTGGAAAAAAGAGCATTGAAGGCACCTGACGAGTAACAGCCAATAAAAACGTTTTGATTTCTCATAATACTTTTAATGTTTATCTCTGTGTGTTCACGCAAAATTGTGTATTGCAGACATAAGCACGCGCTATATGCATAAACCAGTGATATGGATCGGTTGTTGACTGCTACCATGAATCTGGTCTTAATCATACTTTATTTAAGCTTTGGTGCTACATGTTTTAACGCATAAGAAAAGCTAAATCACAGCCAGCTGTGTGGATGCTATCACATCGCATAAAATGCACATGTCATTTCAAACGTTATTTCTTTTGGAATACTGTCAAATGCTTACCAATATTCATCAATTAAAACAGAAAATCTATCTAGTTTTCGAGTGACGATGAAACTGTATCAGTGGCTGAACCAAGATATTCAAATTTATTGCAAGCTGAGATGTAACAATTTAGGAAAAACTTGTTGTAAAAGTCAACTTATCTAGATTTCTTTAAGTTAATCTACTCTAGCTCCAAAATTCTTTACAAAATAAAAATATAAAATATATTAAGTGAACAAGTATATTTTAAGTAAATATAAAAAGAAGAACTGAAATGCAAAAAAATAGAAGTGCAATTATATACATCAATATATACTAAGTAAAAAAAAAACTAAAAGAAATTTCAATCAAAAAACGGCAATTACTTGAACACAAAATCAACGACTTAAATAACAATAAATTAAGACTAAAATAAACAGCCAAAATAGTCTAAAAACAAAAAAAATTATCGATAAAAAAACCAAGCAAAAAAAAAAAAAATAAAACAAACAAACAAACAAACAAAATAATAACTTCAAATTAACAAAAACCTTGCTAAATTTGGAATTTCCAAAATTATCAAGCCATAATAATTGTCTTAAAAGTACAATAAAAACAAATTAAAACTTTTAAAATAAATCGAAAAAAAATTAAAAAATTAAAAAAATAAACACAGAAGATAATAAGTTGAACACAGAAAATAATAAGTTGAACACAGAAAATAATAAGTTGAACATAGATATAAAAAAAATTAAAAAAATTTATAACAAAAGACATTGGAATCTCTTCTATTATGTTAATAAAATCAACTGAAATCTTTAAATATGGTTGAATGATTTTTAATTAAACATTCAGTAACATCGTTTTTGGCTTGCATATCTTGAATATCTCTTTCACCAGTCAAATCTCTGGCTAATGTTGGAGCAAAAACAATTGCCAAATTATGGAAATTCATCAAGTTAATATTACAATGCAGAGCAATTAAATTAAGATGTTTTGTTAAAGAGTATAGTGCATATTGATGTGACTTTGGTAATCCATCTATAATTTTCGTTAAACTTTCAATTTTTTTGTCTAATTTCTTTTGCTGTGCGACATTGATAAATCCCTCATAACTACCATAGGTAATTATTGGTTCAGGCAAACGACGTAAAAATCTTTTCAACGCACTGGTAACTGCATTAATATCTCCATGTAGCGCATCTTCCAATTCTGGTGATGTCAATTGATCATCAGGTAACTTATCAAATGCTTTTTCAATGGCTTCAATCTGAGAGTTTCCACCGCTCTTACGATAAATACCTTCACTGTCGATTCCTTTTGATTCAACTATTGACATACATACCATCAATATCAATGGCATTGCTCTTTTCTCTCTTTTAACCCTTTCTTCTAAAGTTGTTCCCAAATCTATTTCTGTGACATTTGAATGGATTGAGAGACTGTTGTTACTAGCCGTATGACTAACTAATGAATTAGTTGAAACATTAGGCTGGAGTTGATGTCCTAATGCTGACAATGATTGTGAATTGGGCATTGATATTAAATTTTTGGCCTCTTTACCAGTCAATTTACCAAATGGTTTTCCAACTTGAGCTCGTTTCCAAAATCTAGCCTTTCCCTTAGGTTTGGCTGTTTCAACCATCTCGACTGATCCAACTGTGATGTGCTCATCGATTGGCGAAATAGAAGTAGTATTATATGGTTGAGTCACAATAATGTCGGTCCCTGAATTAGAATTATTTCCAATATTACCTTGTGGTTTGTTTAAAACATGGCTACTATATGATACATTGCTCTGACTACTATTAAGATTCATATAGCTGAATGAGCTTGATTTAGAAAAGTTACTATTATCATTATCGTTATTGTTAGTGCTATTGCTTTTATTGTAATTCATAATATCATTGGACTTGTCTTTTTCTTGAATCTTAATCAACTTTTCGTTTTCTTCAATTATATTCTTCTGCTCTTCAACCTTTTCTTTTAGTTCATTTAATGTATTGGTGAGATCAAAAACTTCATTGGCTATAGAATCTCTGGCATTAGCTAAATCAGAAATTTCGCTTCTAATTGAAACGGATTGCTTGGTTAAAACATGAATTTCTGATTTCAATGCACGTAATTCTGATTCTGCCTGGTTTACTGCATTTGCTATGGAATTACTAGAAAATCCACTCTGACTCAGTCCAGCATCAACCGATGATTTTAAAACGTCTGAGGAAGATCTAATGTGTGAGTATGAAGGTACTGGGGCTGTTGGAAAGACCAAAGCACCCCCTGGTTTTATCGATGATCCCGACTGGATTCTATTATGGCCAACTCTTGGATCTAATGAAATCTGATAACTGGATGAGCTAAAATTGTTATGATAATTGTTATATGCAGAAAGAACAATCGTACTAGTATCAGCTGAACTTGTTGTGCTAAGACTCTTTTTATGTTTGCTACCAAATAAGCTTTTGGGAGTTTTTGGAGACTTGATCGATAGTGATCTGGTTAAACTAGAAAATTTACTCATTGCACTTGAAGGTGTTGAGACTTTATGGGTTTCGTTACCACCATCATAATCTTTTTCCTTTTCAAAATGTCCACTGCCAAATTTGAATAAACGATTGACTCTTGCTGGAGTATTAGGTTCATTAATGACTTCATGATCCGATTCATTAGTATCATCTCTTAAGTTATTAAGTGATAGGTCAATAAAGTTATTTTGAATTTTTAATGCATTATCAGAGATTGGGTTGTTATTATCGTCAGAATCATTCATATCAATGAAATTCCCACCTCTATTATCTTCAGGAACAACAAGGTTACTTGGTGAGCCGATTATCGATGAAATATTAGCATAGTTTGAGGAATACTGATCATTGATACTTTCCCGAGAAGAACTTTCGCTCTTATTAAGAAATAGATTATTCTTATTAACTGAAAAATTGTTATTGATATTGTTGTGATAATTATATGATAAGTTGTTTTTGGAGGTTTTATTGATAATATTAGATGGTATTGATGTAGTTGTTGGAGCAGAACTTGATACAAGGTTATATTTGTTATGATTTTTTTCGTTGTCATCTATTGGAATAGTTCTATTATGGTATGATACTGGAGATAACAGACTAACCGGTAAATTTGTTTTTGATGATTTCTTTCTGGGAGTACGAGATGCTTGTATATTGTTGTTGATAGAATCGTAGAATTGTTGTTTTGAAGTTTCAATTATAGAATGATCATTTTTGCTTGTTGGAGGTTGGCCCAATACAAAAGATGGAGATATAGGTATTTGTCTATCGTGTGGCATTAATAAAACTTGAGAAGATATATTGCTTGAGTGATCATTTGTTTTGTTATTGGTAGAAGTGTTATTGATTTTAAGAATGTTATTTGCATTGCTATTATTGCGAGTAATATTATCGGGGTTACTATTTATAGTATTGATAATATCAGGTTGAGGTTGGGGTTTGAAGGTTTTTTGTTGTAATTGTTGGGGAGGATATTGAGATTTGGAATTTATTGAAGTGTTGCTTGAATTGTTTGAGTTATCAGAGTTTTTGGAAACACTGTTATTTCTTTTGATTTGAATTGGAGGAGCTAATTCAGAGAGATTGTTTTTAAGAGTAATATTTGGTGGAGGTGGAGGTGGAGGTGGAGATTTGGAAGAAGTCCTTAAGCTGGAAGTGCTGTGATTAGCCTTTTGTAATAAGAACATTGAGCTTCTCTTTTTCAAGCTATTTTGACGTGGCTGGTTTGATTGATTTTGTTGATTATTCTTTGATGGTAAAACTGGAATAGCAGATACGGGTGTTGGAGCTGAGTTTGAAGAGTTTGAAGAATTTGAGAAAATTGGAGACTGTTGGGGGATTGCAGGAAGAGATTTGTTTCTGATTTGAATTTGCTGCTGTTGTAATTGTTGTAATTTTTTTGCAACTTCTTTTGCTTTTCGTTCAGCATCATGTTTAATTTTTTTTGCTAGTAATTTTTCATGACAATTCATGCAAAAGAGACCTTTTGAAGTTCTAGCATATCTGTAATCTTGAATCTTTCTTTTGCAATTTCTACATTTAAAACAATTTGAACAGTAAGCTTCATCACCAGTTAGAATAGCTAAATCTGAGATTTTTTTCTTACAATTTTTACAATAATAAGTGCAATCTTCACAAACTAAAGCACCAGTACCAAGAACCAAAAATTCTGAGTTGATGCCTAGTTTTTTATTGCAATTTGAGCAACTGAAACAATACATATGCCATCTGTCATCGCCTAATTCAAAAGCATGGCCCTCGATGATTGGTTTGAGGCATCTTTTGCAAAGCTGATCCTTTGCAAACTCATCGTAGTCTTCTTCATCAGTATGATTATCGTTGTTGTGATCATTATGCTTGTTATCGTTATCGTTATCATTATCGTTATTGTTATCGTTGCTGCTACTATGATTATTATCATTACCATCATTATTGCTATTGCTATTGCTGTTATTATTATTATTATTATTATTATTATTATTATTATTATTATTATTATTATTATTATTATTATTATTATTATTATTATTATTATTATTGCTGTCGTTGTGATTTGTGTGACTATCGTGATTGTGATTGTTGGAGATGTTATTGTTGAGATTTATATGCGTTTCATCACTTAAATCATTAGGCTGATTACAAGTGTGAAACATATCGGTATTGTTTATATTTAGGGAATGCAAATTTGATATGGAGTTTTTTCTGGGATGAATGGTGGTATCAAAATGTGAAGCTATAGGAGAGGAGTGCAGTAGAATTGAGGTCATTATGGCGAGTATTAATGAATATTAAGAGGATAAAAGATGGAAAGGAACAAGGAAGACAGTGGGAAAATAAAGACAAAGAAAAGATACAACCACTCTATGCAGTATATGCCCAGTCGATAAATAAAGCAACTATTCTAGAGATGAACAGGACGACTCACACTGGTCTTAAACAAATTAGAACAGTGTTTGCAAGATCAAAGCCAAAACTAGACCGGAAATTGGTAAGTTCAATCTGCACTAGTGACAGTTGGGATGGTGTTGGGTAGCACAGGGCAAGCAGAGAAGTGGGAGATAAGAACCAGAAGAATCAGAAGAACCAGAAGAAGCAAAAGAGTCAGCAGACAGATCAAAGCCAGATTCCAGCGCTGGAGCAGAGACAGAGGGCCTGAGTATTATATTTTTCTCTCACCTAGCACAGAGCACTCACAATGATTATATCGAAGTATCAAATACTCGCCAGAAACAAAACGAAGACGAAACATACATCCATAAAACACCACGGCCCAGACCCCGTCTTTCTTGGCCCAGACCCCGGCCGCAGACCCTCCCGCACGCACAGGGAGAGCTCCCGTTCAGAGAGGCCTGCGCGTGGCTGCGGTACCTTGGCGTTGTCATACAGCGGGTGCTAGGGCTCTATCAATTAGGCAGGTGTATCTCAAGATAAGATAAGACGTGAATGGATCTGATGAGCTCAAAGGGAGTGCCATTACAATGAGTTGTAAATTGCTTTGAGTATCTCCATCAAGTTGTAGACACCTTCCACAATGTTCTCATCCCTCCCTTGGTTTGGCACACTTCTTGCATGAGCCAAGTCGATCAAGTTTAGAGAGCTTAGAGGTGGATTATCCACGCTGGTCCCTCCGTTGAAATCATCATTTTCAACGTATTTTCTGCGGTATTCCACTTTTTCTTTTTCCTCTTCTGCTTCTTCTTCTTCATCGTCTTCATCGTCTCCATCGTCTTCATCATCATCATATTCACTGGAGCTGCCAAACGGATAATCACGTAATAGGACTTCGTGGTCATTAAGAGCATCCCATTTTTCTCTATCATTTTCATATGCAATCAATAAACTGCATGAGAATATTCGGATTTCCTCATCTAACAAACAATTGTAAAACAATTTCAAACGATTCAATGTATTCTCTAGTATTTTTTTTTTACGAATTGGACTCAAACTATTACTTAGAAAAAACAAAGATAGTGCTTGTTTAATATTATCAGCTTTTAGACTTTTTCCAAACCCTTTGTTCAATTTCAAATAACTTTTATTATTATAGCTTTGTTTGATAATATGCTCTTCCTTCACGAAACTATCATCCCTATTACCATCCCTATTACTATACGTTGAGTTCAACATATCCAAATCGATTTTATCATCATCATTAAACAATCTCAACCCACAAATTCGAAACGAGTTTGAACCTGATGTTGTATTCTTGGACACTAATGCTAATCTTTCATGTTTCTTTTGACTGATTTTAGGATCCAAAGGATCCGTTAAAACTGATCCTAACTTAATATCAATAACAGACGGATAATTATACCCATATAATAGGTTATTTAAAATGATATACGTTGGCTGTTTTGCATCGCTTCCGCCACCACACCTAACAGCTTTATGGCCCTTGGTGCTCTGGTTAACCATGTTGATCAGAGAAGTACTTAATGAAAAATCACTCACTGACAGGCAACTATTATCTAGTAATAAACCATTAGATGTCTTCTCAATAAGCTGAGTAATCTCATCTTTGTCCTTGCCCTCATTATTTGGAGCTGAATAGGCATATGGAGTTAATGTGCCCATAAACACAGGTACCCAGTCTTTTAATCTTGAACCATATTCATCATATTTATCATAATCACCATCATGGCTGTTTAAACTATCCAAGTTGCAGATTTTTGACTCTGGTGAGCTGTATTGTAGCCTGGTATAAAAATCAATCTCACTCTGATATGCTAATTTTGCAAAGATTAAGCCTGATGTATCAATTAGCGTTCCATCATGACCAGCAACTTGATGAAAAAAATCCTGAAACCTATCCATTTACTTTATAAAAAACTTGCAATCTTATATCTTCATTAGCTGGTTTTTGTGAGTCTTAAGTATGAATATAAAAGTTTTAAATAACAGTCAGAAAAAGTTCTAAAAAATAAATGGTGTAGGTTCGAAGACCACTGAAAACGCTGACTGAAAGGGGAAAACAGTATGTGATAGCGAAAGTCCTGACACAAGATCAAATTTCCGCTTAAGCAATCCGCGTCTAAAAAAGGAAACAGCACGTGGGTTCAGCTCCTGTCCCTAAACACGGCCCCGAATTTAGCAGCACCTACGATGCACAACGTGCATGTGTGATGTGCTGTAGTGTATACATAACATTTATTAGTCTAGTATTGCAGATATGTGCTTTTGTTCTCAAACCGGTTGTCGGTTGCCTCCGAATCTCTGGATCAATATGACCGCTATTACACAATGGATCTTTCTGCCCTCAAAACTTTGACATATCAATACAGATATATCTACTCTGTGCTTTTTCTGTTTGGTATCTTACTGTCTTTCATGGAAGCGCATCACTATAATCTCAGCCCCGACAACATTGAACATACTGAAAATATAGAAATGGTCTCCTCTTCCAACTCACTATATGAGCCCTTGCTTTCTTCTTATCCAATTGGTAATAACCCTGATTCTTCGAAGAATCATAAATCAAATTTAATATCCAGCTACACCTCTACTGTGAACAATTCATTGTCGATAAAATATGATATTGAAAACAGCTCTGGTCTCATAATACAGCAGACAGGCTCTGACAACGATGTTGCATACGGTATCAATAAAGAGAAAAAAAAATCCCTTTTCAAAATTATCTTTGTATCATTCTTATTTCTAGTCTCTCTAATAACTTTTGTATCACAGACTGAGTTGGTGTCATATTCATACAACTCATTGAATTTCAATCAACCGTTTTTATTATTATACTTAACTCACTGTGCTTGGATTATATTTTGGTTCCTCCAAACCATATTAATATCAACCTACAAGAAGTTTGTTAATAATCCGAATAATGATTCTCTCAAATCTTTCATTTTGAATGAGATTAATCTGGCTTATCAAATATCAAATTTGATATACAACTACAATGGTAATGAAGAAAATACTACTAATAATAGTAATGTTAATGATAACGATAACGATAACGATAATGATGATTTTGGAGGAAATAACTACATGAACATTAAAATAGCAACTAAAACCTCTTCAATACTCAGCAATCTTGTTGTTTTCTTCAAATCAACTCCAATTTTATACATGTCTTTTTATTCTTTTATCCTATCCATAATCTTGAACATTGCTGCATCGACTTGGTACATTTCAATGAACCTAACAACCTCAAATAATGTCACTGCTATCTACAACTCTTCTCCATTCTTTGCATACATTTTTGCTATCTTTCTATTGAAAAATGAATTTTTCTCAATCTTGAAAGTATCTTCAGTTCTTATGGCTATTTTCGGCATCTTTATTGTAATCTATTCAACCAATGATAATAAAGATTCTGATACCACCAGCACTTACGCTAATAAACCCCATCAACTAATTGGTAACTTATTGATTCTCTTTGGTTCTATATTATATGGTTATTATGATGTCTTTTATAAAAAATACTTATGTCCAACTTCAGACAACTATAACAGCTTGAATTCCATGAAAAAGGCCAATTTTTCAAATTTTATTATGACTTTAATAGGTTTTGCATCATTTATTATTTTAACATTGTTTGTCTTAGTAGTCAAAATCTTTTTCTATAACTCTCATTTATCTTCAATTTTATTAAACTTATCAATCATATCTTCAAAAGAATGGCTTTTTATTTCGTTAAGTGTCTCATCAAATTTAATCTTTTGCAGTGCCTCATTGATTTTGATGTCAATAACTTCACCAGTTTTAACTGCAGTTTCTTCTATTTTGACAATTATATTTGTTGGTATAATTGAATGGATTTTTTTTAAAATTGGTTTGAGTTTCGGTCAAATTTTAGGCGATATAGTAGTTTTATTAGGGTTCATTGGGTTAACTATTACATATTGGAACGATATTTCTAGTGATTAAATATATATAATTAAATATATATAGTTAAATATATATATAAATAATTAATTAAATATTATAAGTATTATAAGTATAAGTATTATAAGTATTATAAGTGTTATTAGTATTATAAGTGTTATTAGTATTATTGTTGTTTAATTGATATTTATTAATTATAAAAAGGAATCGGATTAGACTGAATTGAATCGTTTATACCTAAACATTCTTTTTGGTTTTCAAAAATTTATCTTTGATACTATATAAAACTAAATTAGTAAATATTAACCACACAAAAAGTAATGAAAAAATTGATGTCAAATAAACTCTACTATTGGATATCTCCCAACTTTTTGAGAATTCTTCACTGGCTAAATTTCGAACAATCGAACTATGTTCATGTTTTAAAAATGTCAATCCTTTTCTTTCATAATTGATTTTAAATTTAAAAATACCATGCTGATCTGGTAATCTAACTTTATTTGATGTATAAATCCCAGAGTTTTTCAACCGACTAATTAAATTATTGTTATTGCTATCAAATCTTTGTGAATAAAATGTTAAATTCGATGTAGAATCTAAACTGGAATAATCATTAAATGATAAAACCTTGGAATCTAATTCAATTGGTTTTAAAGTAATCCTATAGTAAGGATCCAACATTATAATTTCCAATTGAAGATCATTGGCAACATATGGTTTCCAAACTTTCCCATCAAATTCTTCAATGGCAATATTATAAATTATTTCATCAAGCTCTTTAAATGAATCATTGGAAATTCTTTTGTTTACTGAATTATTATTTGTCTTGTAATACTCGATATAATCAATCTTTAAAATCGATTTATTTTGAAAAGTCCAACTAATTAAATCGTTAACAACCTTTCTATTATTGTCTTTAGAGTTTGAATAAAATTCGTTTGATAAAAATAGATTAGAACCAATCCATGACACTCTTGAATTCAATAAGGATTGAAAAGATGCAATCAAGTAATTTTGATTTCCAAGTGACCAAGTTAAATCTTCAGATAAGGAGGTCAAATCATAGTCAATTGACTTTTTTTTATTGAAATTAAAAGCAGTTCTTGAAGACGATAAAACTGGCACAATTAATTCGTTATTTGAAATTATAGCTGATGCGCCCTTATATAGTATTAATTCGTCATCAATTTTGGAGACAATATTGTTATTCAAGATCTCATTTGTTGATAATTTTAAGGTATCATGAAGATCTTCGCTATTGTTATCTTCTTGGTTTTCTTGTTGATAATAATTGAAATGATCAAAAATCTTGTAATATTTTGGGGATGGATAAATACCTAATTGATTTAAAAAAAGTCGAACCTCAGTATTCAAACTCAAATCATTAGTAATTATAAATATATTACCATTGTTATTATTGAAATTGATTAAATCAGAGGAAGAAACCTTTCTGTTGAAATTTTTTTGGGATTGTAAAGGGAAAATAATTAAATTGTCATATAGGTTTTGCACATTTTCATTTAAAATCTTGAAAGCCAGCAATTGCGTCAGATCATCAACATTTAAGTAACTTAGTTGATAATTGGAATTGCCTGCTAGATCACCAATAAAAACTGAATAGTCACTTTTCAAATCAATTGATTCATCATGAACTAGCAAAAGCTTTTTCGATGTGGCCAACACCAAGGAGGACAATGATATGAGAACCAACAATAGAAGGCTGGAAAATAGCATCTTCAATTCTTCTTGTAACACCTAAACAACAATTCCTTGTCTTCAACCGAAAATCGACAGCAGAGAAGCAGCGTTGGATAAGTTTTTGAGCTTCTTTAAACAGTTGTCCTTTGAAAAACGGCAGCAGACCCCAGAAACGGAGAAAAAGGGTTTGCACCGATACAAACCTCGAAAACGGGGTCAGTACCATGCATGTTTATGTGTAAGTAAGCATATGTCGGTATGTACATATACGCACATGTTGCGGACACACCCTTTGCAGTGGTTCTTTAAGGATGCAAACCATCAGATAATGAAAAGAAATAGCTTCAGGTGAGTTATCAGCATCACTTTGCTCTGTATTTGAATTCACACTTCATAGTTTGTTGCCGCTATTCTCGTTCTAGAGAGACTCAATTGAGCTGCTGTTTGATTTTACGCCATTCTTTTCTAAACTCTTTGCAAACATGCCTGGCCCTGGTACAAACCCCACGACCTCAGGTGAATTTGCTGACACATTCAAGCAGATGAACGAAGCTGAAACAGTCGTTGCAAAATTAGAGAAACTACTCGACAATTTGGACAACAAGATTGATTCAATACTAAATGAAGTTAATTTATTGGATTCAAACTACTTGAATAATCTTGATCAGAAGGTTGATCAGCAAATAAACTTGAATTATTCAAGCTCATTGCAACAACAGATTCTCAATCCAAATCAAAACATTAGCAGTAACAACAATATGAATAGTAACAATGTCAGCAACAACCTCAATAAAAGCGACATCAATAATACCACCATTCACAATAACAGCACCAACGGCAGTAATGCTAATAACAGCCAAAGTTTAAATAATATCCTTGATGGTAATTCAAAATAATAAGTTCTAATCAATAAAATGTCTTAAGTGGTAATTAGTTTTAGTTTTAATTTTAGTTTTAGTTTTTAGTTTTTTCTTGAAAATTTAATCTCAGATACCATAATACACTATATAATTTTCTATTGACTATTAATTTTGGTAATTTTATATAAATAATTTGAAATAAGTTCATTTATCTAGTCTCTATTTTATTGAATTTGCTGGAATAAAATCAAGCTCTTCATTAATCTCAAATGGATTAATCGGCCTTTTGGGATTAATTATCAAGTTACTTATATCTACATTTTTGTCCTTAAACAAATCCACTTTAACCAATTGGCCACCATCTATCCACCATTTTCTACTTTCTGAACTTGGAGGAGGCAATGATAAATTATTTGACGGTTCTAAATCGTTTATGAGTGAATCATCAGCATTATGGACAATAATATCATCTTTGGTTTTTGCAGGATTTGAAATATTGTTCCATATTTTCTTCTTGTTAATAATATTTAAATCAAGTCTCTTATTCAATTCGTTGAAATCCAAATTTACAAGATTATTAACTCCTCCAATCTTGTTCTTGCTACTTTCATATAATTTGCTCGTTATCTCATTCTTAATCGCCTCATTTACCACGCAAACTCTGGATTTGAATAAAGCATAGACTGGTCTATGATCCGAAAATTTAATATCCTGAGAGCAGCCATATGTTAGCTGTTTTAAATTATTCCGATTCGATGATCTATTCAAAATTCTATCCGTCCATGCAGGTATTCTCATTTTCTCTGATAGATCATAGGTTGATTCATTCTTATTGAATTTATAAGTTGGAGGAAATTTGATTTCAAATTCTTGAAAATATGGAAAACTTTCCCCGGTAATCATTTGTTGATTCAACTGATCATATTCAAATAAACTCATAAATTCCTTTTTCTTGATTTTATTTCTAACCTCATCATTCGATAATAATATTCTGTAGTTAAAATCACCCAACCAAATTATTATATCATGATCCCGAATCCTTTTGTTTCCATTAAATTTTAGCGATTTAGCCAATGCTTTATAGTTATTATGTCTTTCCTCTGTGTTATTCAATCCAGCAGCCAAATGTGATGTTATAAAACAAAATTTAGTATCCGAGTATTTAAAACTTAATGCGATTCCCCCTTTATTTGCTAACCCAAAATTTCCTGTTTTCTTTATACTACTCTCAATATTTTTAATATACTTTACTTGATAATTTTTAACAAACATTAACAAAAGAACACCGCCTAACTGCCCAGACCAAAGCAATACATATTTCTTCAAATCAAGCAAAGAGTTGGAAAAATCAACGGACGAATCTTGAGGTGGATGAATCTTAAGTAATTTCTTCACTTGAGAATTTAACTCTTTGCCAATTTTCTTTTCCCAAAATTTTTTGTTAGTAAAATCTATATTGATCATTTGACCCGGTGTCAATTCAACAACCTCTTCTAATCCAATTAAAAACACATCCGGTAATAAATCATATTCACAAATTTCACCAGACCTGCTGGTGATCTTCTCAAACTCCTTACTATTATCATTTTCAGCATCATCTTTAGCATCGGTAAGATCAATATATGTGGACTGAAAACGTAAGTATTCCTCATCCGTTTCGATATTGTTTTTCTGATCTTCTTCATTTGCAAGTTCCGATTTTAATGATTTATTATTAGAAAGAAAACTTGAGTCTGACCTGTTAATATGAGAAGTGCTATAATTCACAGTAAGACTGCTGCCTTTGTTGTTAATACTGGTTTTATAAGCCGGGGGAGGAGATAATAATTTCTCTTGAGATTTCTTCAACTTTTCTAAGTCTTCTTCCTTTTGAACCAATAACTCATCACGGTTTTCTTTGGGGAATAACCAGGTTGACAAACTGCCATTATACATATCTGCATTCACATTAAACGTTCCTGAAAATATTGTTATGTTTTTTCTGTATGAGTACTTTTTGGCTAGTTTCATTAGCACCTTATTCACATAATCCGATATTGGATCAAACAATATTACTTTGTTTATAACCAAAGCATCTTTTTTTTGATCTTCCAAACCTTGATGAAATTCCTCGTTGTTCCCAAGCATCCCGTTAATCAATCGATTTTTTCTCCTTATCGCGCTATCCTCATTGATGATTAGATTGTTATAGTTGTAGTTGGTTAAATTGGAAAACAATTTTTTTGAACTAGATACTGTGATATCAGAAATATTACTAAAAAATGATTTTGATTTCTGTTTTTTTTTAACCAGTTGTGTATCGGATCTGTTATCACTAGTTTCATAGGAATTCATCTTACTGCTTGAAAATGACACAGATGAAGATGAATCTAAAAATGAAGAGCTTCTAGACTCAGCACTAGAACTGAAAACTCTGCTGTTTTTTAGACTTTCCTTATTATTTTCACCTTCATCTGCCGAAGCAGTTTTTTCAATTGACTTTAAGTCAATATTAAATTTATCCAAAATTCTTTGCAATTGGACAGAATTTTCGTGAAGTAATACTAAAATTTTTTTCCAGAGATCATTGTTATTTTGCGATAAATAATCCTGATAATATGATTTTCCTCTCGAATTCATGACAGAACTGCAATATATGAGTTTGAGCGTCAATCTTATCAAGTGTTTGATTATGATTTTGTAAAGCTCGTCAACTTTTTCAAAAGATTGAAATGTAATAAGCCGGAAAACACCAGTCTGTTGGCGGTTAAATTCGTTGATATTAAGAAAAGAATTGGAAAGTTTAGAAAAAACTTCGTCATTATTTGGAAGTATAAAACAACCAAAATTAAGCATTGGATTTTCAAGCGTAAATAGAATTTCTGACTTGACTTTATCACTTTTAATTAATTGATATAATTTGTAATTGATGTTGCTAAGGCTTAGGCTTTCCTGAAGCAAGGGATTATTTTTCATAAAGCAGTTGAAATGATTTAATAAAAGTTTTAGTAAATCGGTTTCGACGGACTCTCTCTTTTCCTTTAAATTGGATTTACTTTTAGTTCTACTGGCAATAAGAGTTGCCAAAGCAGAATTACTCCTGGAAACCAGTTTAGAAAAAGGATCATCTGGAGAAAATGGTACTTTTGTTGAAGAAGATAGCAAGTTGATGACATAGGTTTCATTGAAATCCTTAATAGATTGCTTTATATGATTATCAAACGAGTGTTGGTTTGCTTCAAAGGATCTATTAATGTCGATTTTCTTTATAGATGAATTAGAGCTGATTTCATAGAATATGGGCAAATTTGATCTAATAGTGATATTACTTATTGAGAAAAACTCATTGTATAAGATAAATTCGGTTTCAATATAGTTTGAAATATTTCCTCCATCATCCAACCCATAAGGTCCTAGTATATTAGTTTTTTTATTACATCCGATTTTTGAGATTATAGAAACAAGAAAGTCTTGATAGGTATTACCTTTAATCAAACTGACGAAATTTTTGGGCACATAAGAATTGTCAAATTTAACAATGGTATTTAAAGTCTGAGCAAAGCCTCTGATCATTAAATTCAAAAACTTGCAGCTATCAAATTTCTGTTTTTGAAGGTCAGTTAAATTGTTCCGAAAATTGACGAGCTGGTTGATTAGATATTTATTCCACAAAAAATCCTGTATGGGATTCAAATTTGTATCGCTTAAACTTTTATCCCTTCTTGCCTGTAAAGTCTTTGTAATGTCAAAATTATTAGAGTAGTAAAATGACCCCTTGGATAGCATTTTTTTTAAACTTGAAAAGGGAAGTTTTAGTTCATCATCATTATTTTCGTTGCTATTTAAAGGTTCTTTAGCCAATCTGTCATTATTGTTATTAGTATTATTGTTGTCAAAATTCGTGTATGGGTAGTAAGAAGTGGATATCCCAGAAGAGTTCATTGCATTCCTATTGTGGTTTTCAAAACCCAGATCAAATTGTTTAGAATTAAGACAGATAAATTCAACTTGGGATATCTTATAGAACTTTTCCTTTGGATTGATACTGCCAGCATCCAAAAAGTCAGTTATAATTATCAAAAAGGAGAAGTTATTGATAGTGATCAAACCCAATATTCCATAGCATTTGAGGTTGTAAGCTGAAGACAAATTGATATAATCCTCATAGTCCTTTTTTTCGTACTCAATGAATTCCACTAAACATTTGGGCGAGACCAGTGAGCTATTCAAGTTTACGTTCGGTTTCGATTTGTGATGAGAGTGATGATGATGGCTATTTTCATCTAATGAATAGTAGTTAGAAGGAACAGGATCTCTAATTAACAACACCTGTTGATTCGAGGATATTGCTACTGATCTTGGAGATGACTTTAGGTGTACTTCCATATTACATCCATTAATTACTGATTCAATTGTGTATTTACTGGAAAATTAGCTTTATATAGGTTGATTTCACCAAGAAAGAATGGAAGAACTTTAAATACTGATAATCCGCATGATAACGAGATACAAATAAGAGGATTATGAGATGATTGTGAGATGGAGAAGTGCCATTTTGTACAGAAACATGGTCGAGCTGAACATAAATTGTATAAAATATATATCATATAACTATAATTATAAATGAGGCTATAAATGTAATTGCAGCTGTAAATGTGGGTGTGAGTGTATAAATATAATGGGCAATAAGAGGTATAATTGAATTAAAAGTATAATCCCAAAAAAAAATTTATATTGGTCTAGTGAATAAAGAATTTAAAATAAAATAAAATAAAACAAAGTCTCAATTGTTATGCAGTCCATGTCAAATCATCTTTAAAAAATCGCTAAGTTTTATAATTGGTAGAGTTGGGATTATTTCTTTAAATGGCCTCTATCATCTAGTGAGACAGTACCAGGTGTTTCGAAGATGGAAACTTCACCAATTAACAAACCAAGAGTATCCAAAACCTCTTTAGGATCAACTAAATGAGCTTTTGCAATGGTTTTCTTTGAAGCTGGACCAACAGTTGTAGGGTACAAACCATAATTAGAAAACTCGTTTTTAATGTGAGTGCCAGATTTATCTGAAAACCAATCTTTTTCAATATCGTTAAGCGATTTAAACATATCTTCATCGGTTTTGTCATCACCCAAACAGAACACAAAATCAGGATAAACCTTTTGAGAAAAGCTGTTGTTATCATTATCATTATGGATATCTGATTTGTATTCTGTGATTAATCTTCTTACAATTTCACCTTTGTTGACAAATTTAGGTCTAACTTCTATATTAGCCTTTCCACTCATAACTTCAACATCATATTGTTGAGCAATTGTATCATTCAAGTGTTGTTTTAATTGTTTACTTTGAAATTCGCCAAATTCTGGGTCAGATTTTCTGTAGTGCCAAGTCAAGGCAACTTTTTTCCTTTCAATAAAGGAGCCAGGAGTTCTTTCGGTGTAGTAGGTAAAGATTTCTATAAGGTCCTCCTGCCATTTCATTTCAACGCTTTCAGCAAGGTTGATCCAATTTTCGGAGTTGATCAGTTTCATAAAGCAGCCATGTTCAGCGGATAAACCTAGTTTTTTGTTGTGGCTTCCAAGCCATTGTTCGAGGAATTCCTGGTCTCTACCTGAGATGATCCAAATTTGGTTTTTAGGATCTTGAGACAACTTGTTCAAGATGTTTAATAGACGAATGGAGGGAATAGCGGCCGAGGGTTCTTTTACGATGGGGGTCAAAGTGCCATCGTAGTCGAATAGGAATAGTCTTTTGTTTGATGATTGGTAGTGGGAATATAGTGAGGGTCTATCGAGAGCGGGAGTCGAGTGGTTGTGGTCTTTAATCTTTGATAGTTCGTCGATTAGATGGGATAGGAATTTGTTGGTCCAGTTTTGGATTGTGTTGGTGGTTACATGGTGGTATAGTTTTTGTTGCATTAAAGATTTTTTTTGGTCGGGCATTAGTAGGCATTCGTTGATCATTTTTGCAACGCCAACTGAATCCCAGGGGTTGACTAGGAGAGCATCACTTAATACAGTTGCAGTTCCACTGAATTCGGATAAAATCAAGGGGGATTTGTTGAATTTTTGGCAGACAACAAATTCCAAGGAGGTTGTGTTCATGCCATCTCTAACGGAGGTGATTAGACCTAGATCAGCAACTCTTAGGAGGGCTAGGTATTCATCTTTGGCGACTCTCATTTGGTAGTGTTGAACAGGAGTTGAGTTCAATGAGCCATAGGTACCGTTGATGTGGGCAACTAGTTCTTGAACGTCCTTTTCAACAGAGGAGCTAGCATTTTCGTGGAGGTAAGCTGGGGAGGATAGTTGGATGAGAACGACTTTGTCAACCCATTCAGGGTACATTGATAGGAACATTTCAAAGGCCTGTAGTTTTTGAATGACGCCACGAACAGTATCCAAGCGATCTCTGCCAATGATGATTTTTTTGTTTTCGTAGAGGGATCTGATGGCGTGAACTTTTTTGTCGATGATTGGAGTGTTGAAGGCGTTGTCTTCGATTTTGAAGGAGTCAATACCAATGGGCAAAGCGTCTACATTGACGTAGGAGCCGTAGGCGCTGACAGAGTTTGGGGTTGCTTCGCAGCCTAAGAGTCTTGTGCAACTTGAGATAAAGTGTCTTGCAAAGGAGTAGGATTGGAAGCCGATTTTGTTTGCGCCTAGCATGCCATCGAGGATGCTTTGTCTCTTTGATAAGCATCTAAAGTACTCACTTGAAGGGAAAGGAGCGTGGATGAAGAGGCCGATGAAGGCGTCGGAGAGTTTCATTCTAAGCAATTGGGGGAGGAGGAGGAGGTAGTAGTCGTGGATCCAAATGATGTCTCCAGGTTTGTAGAGGGCGATGATTTTAGCAGCGTAGGCCTCGTTGAATTTGACGTAGTCGTGCCACCATTCTTCTTCTTGTTTGCCATCAGAAGGAATTGGTTGGATATAGTGGAAAGCAGGCCATAGAACGTTTTCAGCGTATTTTCTCCATCTTTGTTGGTCTCTTCTTAGCAACCAGATGGGATGGATGTTTTGGGTGTTGTTGGCGATTTTGATTTTAGATTCAATGTCCGATTTTTCGTCTTCGGTGAGATATAAAGGGTCAGATTCGTCAATGCTGTTGGTGGGGATTGGGTTGTTGATGTTAGAGTTGTTTGAGGTTGTAAAAAATTTGTCGTGAGGAATTAGTTCGCCAGTCCAAGCGATTAGGTGGGTTTGCCAGTCAGTTTGTTGATCTAGGAAGTAAAAGGAGGAGTAGAGGGCCGAGTTTCCACGTAGATGTTTTATGGTCCAGTCGTTTTTTGTTTGAGAAGAGGTATTTTTGTAGATTTGGTTGGGGATTATAGTTGTGGCGAAAAGAACTCTGCCAGATAACTTGGGGTTGACGTCGTTGGGAGATTGAGATAAACTTGATAAAGAAGCAGTGGAGGAATTGAAGTCACTGTTGAGAGAAGGAGAAGCAAAAGCCTCTTCATCAGGTTTATTAACAGTCATGGTTAAAAAAAGTAATTAAATAAGCAATTAAATAAATAATTAAGTGAATAAGTGAATAAGTGATTAAGTGATTAAGTGATTAAGTAATTAATTGATTGTGATTTTGGAGTGGTGGAGTGGTGGAGTGGTGGAATGGAATTGAAAGAAAGAAAATAATTGAAGGGATAATGAATGGTTAATAAAGAGGCCAAGTGAGAAGCAAAAAAACAATTTCGAGAGATGAAGAAGCAACCTTGAGAGAGAATTATATCATATATCAGAGCGAGAATAGAGCTAGTAGAATTGAAGCAGAAATAGAACAAAACGACAAGAAAACAGCGAGAAAGGAAGAGCAAGCAGGTTTTTATATGGAGATAGCCAATTGGATAGGACAGATAAATGGTTCAGTTGTTATTTGTTGTTATTTGTTGTTATAAGACGAATGGTTCCAGCAGCTGAGGTGAGAGCTGAGGTTGGAGAGCCAGGTCGGTGAATCAGCTTTAATGCTTCTGCAGACGCTGCTCACTCGCCACATCCTGCAGCTCACTCGGCCCCGCCAGAGCTGCGCGAGTCGCCACGGCCGGCGGGCCCCAACGTGGGTCCTTCGCGGGAACACTGCTGAGACAGCCCTGCAACGCATCCCACCCACGGGCCAATCACGCGCGGGCCCCGGCGCGCGCCCGCTGGACCAGAGTAGCCCAAGCAGCACGCCCGAGCAGCCCAATCACAGCGCGCGCCGCAGTACTGGCGCCGGCAGCACGCCGTGCGCGGATTGTCGGCAGCCCGCACGCGGAAGCAACAGAACCGCGCACGTGTGTCAACCGGGTCACGTGTGCACAGCAGAGGCAGCGGAAGCAGTAGCGGAAGCACGTCCGGTTCTGGGCAGCTGAGTCACAAACAGCATCGGCAGCACAGCAGAGCAAGCAGAGCAGGCCGAGCAGGCCGAGCAGTGTATTGTAGGGCTATATACATGATTGTACCCAGCTATTTCTCGTCCACTGCTTTTTTGGAGCATAATCGCAAAGACGACAACTCGTTCACACAAGTGATGATTTTATTCTGACTTTTATCGGTATTGATCTCGTTGTCCTTCATCTGCTGTTGCCTCTTGAACAAACAGCCCTCGTAATCCTTTAGCCTGCCCAAACAGTTTTCCTGGATTTTCTTAAACGCCGGAACATTGTTCTTGATGCAGTATGTTAGCTTTCTCTGGTTTTCAACACAAGCACTTGCATTCCCATTCTTGTGGTTTTGAGAAACACATTTATGATAATCTAAGAATTCTTGTGGGCAGTTTCGTGCAATCTAGTTTGTGTCAGCATTTATAATGTCATTTGAAAATAAAATAATTGAAAACAAGTAAAAATAGTTGAAAATAATATAATAATCATGTTAATGAAATTTAGCATACATCTTCTAAAAGAATCTGATCCAATACTCCTGACATATTGTATTATATTATACTATATTATGTTATAACAATTTATAACAATTTATAACAATTTATAACAATTTATAACAACTTATAATGAATGATAGTAAATTATATGCAATATATTAATCGATTACTCGCTTTTTTCTTTCGATCGATCCAAATCTGCATTAATTTTCAATTTCGATTTAAATTTCATCTCATATATATATAATACTCATCACGGTATAAGAAATACACCACCATCAAAAATCAAACGAAAAACTATATTTCCAATCCATTCATAATCATTAACTAATGATGGGTATAAGATATGAAATATAAATATAAATATTCATACTCATATTCATTGATTAAGCTAAAACACTATTTAATTGATCAGCATCCTCCATTTGATCTTGCTGCGAAACTCGCTTCAACACCTCTTTCTTACTAGACTCCTGCAAATGTCCATCCAACAACAACTCGTCAAGTATATAATACGCTGTTTGGAAATTGAAAATTATATCCAACTCACACACATTCCCGTAGATTTTGTCCATCTGCTCAACAAACCGTTGAATAATCTCCAACACCAACAACTCATTGTCCTCATTATCAATCCCCACAACAAAAAACAACGACGCATACCTTCTGTAGATGATCTTGTAATCCTTATACTCAATTATATTGCACATCTTTGCTCTTCGTGATAATATAACAGCCGTTAGCTCTCGAATAATCTTTGTCTTATCCTTCTGCGATAGCGTATTGTACCATTTCGACAATCGCACTTTTCCTTGTCTCGATAACAATATCAAATACTTTATAGCCATGATATGAATATGTTATTTATCTCAATACTTTTCCTTTACAATCTACAATTTCTTTGCAATCTACAATCCCTTTACAATCTCTTTACAATCTCTTTTTCAATCGCTGTCAAAATCCACCGGAGATCCGTGCTTTATTAAATTCAATCACATGATCCGTACTCAATCCGCACACATCCACCAAAAGAAGAAAAAGAAAAAGAAAAAGAACCAGAAGAAGCAATTTGCAATCTCTTTGATGTTTTTATATCACAAACATCCTCTACTTTCTATCCATCAACTACATTTATATTTCTTTTGTATTTTTTGTATATTTGTATTTTTTGCATTTTTTCATTTCCTGCATTTTTTGCATTTTTTGCATCTGTATTTTTAAAAAATTGAAAATTAAAATTTTGTTCATCTAATCACAATAAAGCACTGAAAATCAAAGAATAATGGTTCACATTATATTTATAGTACATGAAATTAAAAAATTATCAGTATCTAACTAAACCAGATGAAAAGAGGGGAAAAAAACGAATAGAAAAAATAGAAAAAAAATTAAAAAAAAAATTAGAAAATTAAATCGTAGACACAAGTTTATTACTAGATATTAAAGAGTTTTCATTGGATTGAATGAAGTTCTTAGGACAACTAGAAGATGAAGAAGTTGTTAATTTGGCTGATTCATTTTTAATCATTTCGTTGATATTTGATCTCAAGTTTTTCAAGTGCGAGTTTTTAGAACTTGAAGAACCCTTGTGGGCTTTTATTATCTTGGAATTCTTTAATATCTTTGATGATTTGGATGATTTGGATGATTTGGATGATTTGGATGATTTGGATTTTCTTGGAGGGTTTTTAGATATTTTATTAAAGTTATCCTGTATGAAATTCTTCAATTGATTATAATCAATACAATCTTGATCATCATCATTGGAATTAGAATTAGAATTAGAATTAGAATTAGAATTAGAATTAGCATTAGCATTAGCATTAGAATCATCACTACTATTATCAATTGTAATTAAATTAAAATTGCTCTTCTGTAAATGGCTAATAAACTTGTTATAATCAATTGAAGTTTTTTTAAAATTTATTGGATCGATATCCAAGTTGATATAGTTGAAATCAAGATTAATTGGATTCTTCTTTAAAAAGTTATTCAACAACGCAAATTTATTCAAGTTGTTGCCATTTCTAAGATTGTTGATGATGAAATTATTGGACTTTTTCAATTTGCCTAGACTTTTTTTATGATTGATTCTTTGTAGTTTAAAGATTTGGTTGATCTCCAAAAACTGATAAGGCCCAGGTAAAATGTTTATGAAAATTGGTTTATTAGCATTAAACATTAGTGTAAATTTTAATTCATTTTCATTATTCACATTATTATCATTATCATCATGATCATGATCATGATTATGATTATGATTATGATTATGACTATGATTATGATTATGATTATGATTATAATTATGATTATGATTATGATTATGATTATGATTATAATTATGATTAATAACTTCTTTATTGGGAGCAACCATTATTAAGCAGTTGTATATTAGCACAAAGATAAAACAGATAAAACAGTTAGAGCAGTTAGAATAGTTGGAGCAGTTAGAATAGTTGGAAGAGATGAAAATATAATAAACGAGAATAGATATAGTATATTAATAATAGGGATACAAAACAATAGTCGAAGAAGAAATAAGACAAGATTAAAAGAACAACAATGTTTAAAAAAAAAATATAAAAAAAAAACAATCAAGAAAGATTTATCTGTTTTTATATAACAATGAACTGTTCTGAATTTTAGGTAATTACGATTGTTTACCAAACAAGCGTAAAAGTAGGTTTGTTGTGATTAATAATTATTTGCTATGAGTTATAGGCTTTGGTGTAGTTGATATGATCTGGTATTAGAGGCTCAAATTACTTGTATGTGGCAAGTCAGTATAATAGTGATCTGAGTAAGATAGCAGTGGGAGAGTAGGGAGACAATATATTTATACTATAGTTGCACGACAGTAGCACAGTAGTAGTGTTATACGAATGTTATAGTAGCAATATAAGTATAGTACAATATAGTTGTAATATATATATATGATGGATAGATAAGTGGAGGTTGAATAGTTGGTTGCTGTGTAAAAGTTGATGGACAAGTAGTTGTGAAATTTTTTACAGTGCTCTCTTTTTCAGCCTTGCTGATTAGAACTGATTATATTGGCTGTAAGTTAATATTATTATAAGTTAGCAGCGAGTATTTCCTAGTTTTCTAACACACTGGGAATTAGAACAGTTTGATAAAAGGTGTTTTGTATTTAATTACGTGACTCAAAAGTAGATTGTTGAATTAGGCTGTTAATCCACATAATTGAAGTTAGAAAGTCTTGAAAATATCGCTATCCTGTTTTTCAGCAGTTCTATTACTTGAATATCATCTTGTTGTGCGTTTCACCATTGACCTGTTTTTGGAATTTTAAATTTTGATATTAGCATAGTATTATATTTTTGTATATTGCAATTTAAAGTAGGAAAAAATTTTATTTTCCTTTGGCCAAAAAGGATGGTTTGCCAAATTTAAAAGGTTGGGCCCAATTGGGAAATTCGCACGGTCAGATTTTCGCGCGAAGCCGGTTTTCTCTCCGCGAAGCAGCACCAACGACGGCCAGCGCGGGTAGTTGCCCGAAATGGCGGCAGATACCCCATGCGTGGTCTCATATAGACCACGAGCGCTCTGCAGCGGCACGATCAGACACGCAGGGTTATGCATATAGGCAGTTCCTGGTAGACCCGTGGTTCTGGACACTGCAGCACCTGTGTCCTGTGCGTGGACTGCGTGCAACGTGCGTGCTATGCGGCGCGCATCGCACCCACTGGGGTGGTTTGGGGCTGTCTCTGATCCGGCTCTGATTTTCATATATTTTGTGCACTTCCGCATTGGGACAACTGGAATTGGGTTGCTTTTTGCTTTGGCTCAGGGCCTGGAACACAGACCCAAGAGCTCGTTGCTTTGCAGCCAGAGCCTGTGGAACCTCGAATTGGAATCTTTGAGAAGTGCTGTGGGTGCTCCAGTCTCGATGACCTGCCCTTGTTCCAACACCATCACTTTGTTGCACTCCATCACCCTCTTCAAGCGATGAGCAATGGTGATCACTGTGCAGTTTTGGAACACTGAGTTCTGAAGAATTCCATCGATTTGCTGCTCGATGGAAGAGTCAATTGACAGTGTTGCTTCGTCGAATATAACGATTTGGGGTTTTTTCTTCAACCTTAATATTCTCAAGAAACTAAGAAATTGCTTTTCTCCATTCGATAATCGGATCTTCTCATTTTCCAACTCTCTTTCCCATGTATATGTATTGCTCAGCTTGAACCTATTCTTTTTTAAAAATTCTGTCAATTCAATTGCACTGCTTTTGCTGCCTGGATCAAGAAATTCTTTAATGCTCATCCCCTTGATGAAATTGGAATCTTGTGGAATAATTTGAATATTTTCCCTCAACCTTTTCATTCCAATATCTTTAATGCTCCTCTTATCAATTAGTATATCCCCATTTTCAATCTCTTTAAATCTAAACAAACAATTCACCAAACTAGACTTCCCACTTCCTGTTCTACCAACGATTCCAATTTTCTCGTTCTTATCAATCTTAAAACTCAAGTTTTTCAACACGTATTCCCCATTTTTGTCATATCTCATTGAAATGTTTTGAAATTCAATTTCTCCATCTATTGGCCAACATTCACTAACCCCATCTTCATAACAACCATCTTTATAACTAAAATCAATATCCTCATGCTCAACATCTTCAAATTCTTTTAATCTTTCAACTGAATTCATACTCATCTCAACATTGCTATACTGTCGAATAACCCACAACAACCGATCCGTAATACCAATAGAATAATTCAAACATAACACTGCCAAACTCTTGCTAATTTTCTCCTTTTTAATTCCACCCAAAACTAAAAAACAGCTCATCAACATAATAAAACTGCCAATTGTCTCAATTCTAAATGCCAACCATCGATTACAAACCCAAAGATAATAAAAATACCGATTGTTGCTATCATTTTTTTCAAACATCTGCTTGATAAAATATGCCCCCAAGTTGAATGCTCGAATACTAACCACTCCATTCAAACTCTCATTCAACTGTTGGTAGATTGGCGATCTTGTAACTGATTCTTTTTTCTTCAACTCTCTAGACACTCTTAAATAAACCTTCCCAATCTTACAAAACACCACAACAACAACCACAAAAAAAATAATAAATAATGGCAATATACTGCTAATAATAATCAACGAGATTAAACATTCAATTAAACTCATTAAACACGACTCAAAATAAATCGGTAGCTCCTGATCAATCGTCTCAATATCTTTTGAAAACCTATTACTTATTTGTCCTAATGATGTTTTATCGAAAAATTCAATTTTTGCCCTTAATATATTCTTGAAACTTTTCTCAAATAGTCGATTGGATGCCCTTAATCCATAGTTCAAAACAAGATTTAACTTGAAGGTTGAAACAATAGAGTAAAAAATACCAAAAATTGAATAAACTAAAATATAAGTAATCATTAAATGACTTCTTTTACTATCACCATCACCATCACCATCACCATAATCACTCGACCATTTGCTTAACCACCATGTTTGAAAAACACTAACACATTGAGATCCAATAAATAACGCTACTATCCATCCTATAATTCTCAAATTAGAAAAATTTTTCAAATAATAAATAAATAGTGAATAACCAATTTTGCTTGCCCCTATTTCTTCATTCAAACAATTTTCCTCATCAAAATGTTTGGTGATGAATTCTCTTGAAATATTAAGGTTAACCAGATCCCCATCCAGTTCTTCTCTTTTAAAAACTAAATTATTCCTCGATTTTGAGTCTCGATTTATCTCATTATCCTCCTTGATATTCTGCTTCCAGTTTTGTCTTATTGATTTGCTCAACATGTTATTGAATATTGAATAGTTAGTTAAATCCTTTGGTATTCCTTGGGCCTTAACCTCTCCATCCTCCATTACTACACACCAATCAGCTTTGCTTAAAGCCAATTTGGAATTATGTGAAACTAAAATCACTGTTCTATCTTTCAATAAATCATCTTCATTATTATTACACTTTGCATTTTCATTGTATCTGGTTTTCCATTCATGGCAAATTGCATTTTCATAACACCAGTGACTAGTTTCAGCATCAAGTGCACTCATAATATCATCTAATACCAAAAGACTTGATTTAGAATATATTGCTCTTGCTAACGATATTCTTTGTTTCTGACCCCCAGATAATGATCCTCCTTCATCACCAACTATAGTTAAGTCTCCTTTTTTCAACAATTGTATATCTTTAATTAGCCCACAATTATATATCACTTGCTTGTATCTCTTTGAATCAAACCCGGATCCCATTAGTATATTGTTTTTGATTGTATCATTAATTAGCCATGGGTCTTGAGAGCAATAACCAACTATTGAGTTTAATATATTTTCATTAATATCATTAAAAATTGGCAATGAAAAAATCTCACCTTTCTCCAATTTCATTTCTCCTAATAATGCTAATAATAACGATGACTTTCCTGATCCAATCTGTCCAATTATTACATTTAATTTCCCTTTTTGAAAATCTATATTTATATTATCCAACTTAAATCCACTTTCCCACTTTAACGTTGCATTATTGAATCCTATCACTATATCTTTCCTGCAAACATTATTAATTATATTTTTATCACTAAAAAGTTTACTAAACTTATGATTATGATTATCATATATACCATTTTTCGATTTTATTTTATATATCTGCAAGTACTTATCTGTATCTTGCTCATTCATAAATGCAATAATTCGAATTAGACTGGCTCTTGCTTGAACTATTGTATTAAACATTTGGCTAAATTGGTCTAAAGGATTCTTTAATAGAAAAAATAAATTCAAGCTTGTAAAAGCAATTGAGAGAGTTAAAACATTGTTCTGCCAAAAGACATAAAAATAAAAAGAAAAAAAGGTGACAATGGTTGGTGTTAAAAAAAACAAAAAGGATGATAAGCAACAAAAGAAGAATTTTCCATTTAATTCTTTTAATTCAAAAGATCGAATTTCTCTAATTTTATTATAATAATTTGATTCCCAACAAAAATATTTAACAATTTTTATATTTGAAAAAATTTGATTCAATTTTGAAAATTTCAAATCAGAAAATTTAAGAAAGTTTTTAGAGTATTTGTTTATTTTTCTTGCAATAATATAATTGATAGGAAATAGTAACATTAAGATTAATGATCCAACAATTGCACTGTAACCCAATATGTTGAACAATAAGAAAACGGCTATTATTATCATCAATGAACAAGATAACCAGCACTGCAAATAACAAGTTACTTCGCTGATTCTATTTGTATCAATGGAGACTAGATTCAGAATTGAGCCATTTTGTGAACCATTGCATTTTTTAATTAATGATTTTGTGTATATCTGGTTTATAATTAAAGTCTTCATATGGACACCAGTTTTTCTTCCAATGTATAAACTATAGTTTGCACAAATTGAATTTGTCAATTTTGCAACAAACATTATCATGATATAAAGTAAAATTGGTTTAATATCATTATTTGAAGATTTATCATAATCCTCAATAAACTGTATGATTTTTCTAAACATTAATGAAGGAATAAAAATTAAAAAAGATTCTAGAATGGCAAAGAAAAATTGCTGGAATAATAAATTTTTCGAGCTAAGTAAAAAATTGAGAATAAAAGAAACAGAAGTAGCATGGTTATTGTCATTTTGAGTAAAAGATAAGTCAAAGAAATTGGAGTTTTTCATAATATTTATTGAATAATCATTAAAATTCAAATCAAAAGTATCATTTGAAAACAGAATATTATTTGTTTTAAAGCCATTTTTTAGGTAAAGTATATCGTTTATCCAGGAATAAGATATTAATTGCCATAAATTGGATAAAGGTTCAGGACAATATTTTAGATAATAGTTTTTAATGAAAATTGGGTAAGCAAAACAACAAATCTTTGAGATCCATAGTGTGAAATTTAAAAAAACAACTATTGGAAATTGGAAAATTTTAAAGTATGTGAAATAAAAGAAAAACGAATGATTGAAATTAGCGTTATTGTTTAATAATTGGAATAAAGAAAATTTAAATTGAAAAAAAGATGGGAAAAGTATTATAGTATAGGAAACGAAAGAAACCAACCAAAGTAATTTATAGCGATTGAAATTATGAATGTAATTTAGATAGTGATTTTGGTTATTTATAAGGGTTGACAGAGAATTATATTTGGAAGATGTAGATATGTTCAAGCGTAAAACAGTGATTGCTAATAAGTACAACCAGAATAACAGATTTATTATGCTATTTATCACAGTATTCAACTTGAATTTAAAAGCAAAATTATTGTTGAGATTGTTATTAATATCAATTTCTGATGGGTTGTTTTTTAAAAATAATAATAAAAGTATTAAAAAATAAAGCTGAGAAATTGCTTGGGACAAAAGAAGTAGGATTTCCAAACATAATTTAAAGTGATCGAGTTTATTTGGATTTATGAATATAAAAAAGGGTTCTTTTTGATTTAGAAAAGCAAAGTTTGAGTTTGAGAAAAATGGATTAAAGTTGATTTTTTTAATTAATAAAAGCTGATTTTGATTATTGTTATTGTTATTGTTATTGTTATTGTTATTGAAATATTTATTATTAAATTTTTTTGTTAGTAGAAATATGAAAGTTAATATAAATGGAAACAAATAGAACAAGTCATCTATGAAGAGATAAGTAAGTTTATTTGAATTGTCAGTATTATTAAATGATTTCATATTTTGAGATAATTGGAGATTAAACAATTGAATTGATTAAATTTTATATAATCATATATATATATATGTATATTTATATATTTATATGAAGGAAATAGTAATGAAACTAAAGGTGTTTTTAAATTAAACTTAGCGCAAACTATAAAATTGAGCCCATTTTTAAGACTATTTTAAATTCTATAAAGAAAGATAAAAAATAAATAATAGTATAAAATGATGATACAATTGACTAATTGAATGAAAATACTGGGAAAAGAAAAGAAAGGAAAGGATTTTAAGTGAGAACAATTGTTATGTGAATAAAGTCCTGTTTATAAGAGATATATGGTGGATTTAAATATGTGAATTTAAATATGCGAATTTTAGTAAAGCAAGAAAGATAGTAAAAATTAGGAGAATATATTCCGGAGAGTCAAAAAACAGAAGAAGGTTCAAACAAGACATTAGAAGCAAAAGCAAAAGCCGACGGGCGGAAGATAAGTTTTGAATGCCGAAAACACCGAGCGGGATTGGACGAATGTGATTGAACATAAGTCATGTGGTTTGGAGCTGTGCGAGTGCCGGCATGATACAGCAATGTAATGTAGACTATTGCGGATCCATATGGCTGGCTTTTTTTCAATTTTTTTGTTTGGATTGATTTGTGGTTTTTCACGTGAACGCCATCTTGTGAAATATTTCAAACCTTCTGGAAAAATCCATTTGATAAGTTCTAAGATTAAAAGAGTATAAATCTTGTATCAAGTTTCAAGATTTCGTGCAGTGATCGTATTATCCGAGATAATATCCTTGACTAGGGTGATTTTGTTGCTGATTGTTGGTTATTATTAGTCACTGATCAATATCGATTGTTATCATTATTATTTTAATAAGATACTAAAAAGGGAACGAAGAAGAAGAAAAAGAAGAAAAAGAAGAAGAAAAAAAAAAAGAGACGATGGTTGTTAATAATCCAAATAATTGGTAAGTAGAGTCTGGTGGTTTATATGGTACCGAATAAGGATTAGTAATTAGTGATGAGTGGATTGTTATTTACGAAATATGGTGACTAAAATAATGGATATGTAAATACTAATTGAATTTTAAAACTATTATTGGTGTTGAATATAGGCATTGGGTTGATAAGAACTGTTTAAATTGGGCTAAAGAGTATCTTGAAAATAATTTGACAACAATTTCCAAAGCCGTAAGTGTTGCAAAGAACAAGAAGGATAGTGGTGATAATAGCGAGATTTTAATCAAGGTTGTTAAGATTAACTCGGTCAGTGGCGATTGCGATGTTGCCCAAAGAAAGGGGAAAACCAAGTGTATTTTTGATTTGAACTTGGAATTCGAGGTAAATGGTGTTTTGCTCAACACCAAGGATGATGCAATAGAGGGCAAAGGGGAGACCCCAGCCGGAAAGGACGCTGAAAAGGAAGGGAAGGAAAGCAGTGAGAAAAGCAGCGAGAAAAGCAATGCCAATGTGTTGTTCAGCAACAAAGTATCATTGCCAGAGTTCTTGCATGACATGCCCCAGGCTGATTACAACTTCATAATCCACAGCTCGACGATAAACAGCGATGAGCCATTGGACATGAACGAGAAATCTGTAATCCGAGCCAACCTCTTGCCATTGGTCACTGCGGAGTTGATGAAGTTCCAGTCTGTGTTGATCGACACCCACTCGAAGGACATTCAGCACTCTTTCTAACCAGCTGTGTCTGCAACTGCAGCTGGTTTCAATCTGTGACAGTCCATTCTCCAGCACAGGCCCAAGAGCGGTTTCTCTAGCTCAACTGTATAGAAATCGCGATAATGCACATGTGTGAAACCACTCTACTGGACGCAACCAGGGTCTTGGATTACTGCGCTCCCATGCACATACCCGTGTATGCACGCCAACGCGTATGGTATAAATAGATCTGGCGTTTCTTTTGGCGTTTCCGCTGTTTTTTGAGAGACATTTCCCTTTTGGGACTGTGAACAGAGATCCGTGATGCGATGAGCCTTCATTCTGGCCGGTGAGCGCGGTATTAAAGGTGGGTCGTAAAGGCAAGCCGTAAACCGTCGCTGATCAGCTCGAACCAGAGCTGTTGTATTTTGCGACATATCATATTTCTGGGTTCGTTCATTGTTCGCCAGCTTCTATAATTATTCTGGAGCCTTTCTCTCTGCTATAATTATTCTCTTCTCTAACTTCTCTGATTGTTCCCTTTTATTCTTTCATACACTTGGCTCACAAGCTTCATATTATCTTCACTTGGTCTTGTTTTTGTTCTTATTCTTACACTTTGGCTATCTTTCGCTTTGCTAATAATCCAATCCTTAATCCTATATATTCTCCTCCTTCATTCAACCTTAACTTTTCTTTACAGATTTATTCGCTTTATCCCACTCCACCCTCTACTATTTCTACTGCTTTTCTCCAGCTAATTTTATTCATTTTATTCCTTTTATTCCTTTTGTTGATCATGAAATCAAAATTCTGGTTTTCCCTACTACTCTCATTAAATCTTATTAATGCTAATGATGCAGACAACTTCAACAATGAAGAGCTTCTCTCCTTACTAAACAGCAACAACAATAACGAAAAGGATACCAATCCTGAAATTATAAATGATCCTTTTGAAACAGATTACCTTTCAGATCCTGATGCTGAATCTGAAGTATACTCATATTTTGGCTGTTACTCTTTGCTCATAAACGACGATTTAATATTAAATAATAAAATCAATATTCCAATACCAAATGACTGTAATAATATCGAAAACAAAGATAAAAATAACAATGAAAATGAAAATGAAAATAATAATGACTATCTAATAGACTGCATATCATCATGCTCTTTAGATGATAATTACAAAAATCTAATTGCAACCAATAATCTAAACCAGTGCTTTTGCAACTTGACCAATCAAAATTTAAATATCAAATATTCTGACAACTATTGCGACAATTCAAATATCATCAACAATAACCAAAATGTCAACAACAATAACCTCAATCTCAACTATTTCTCTATTTATAGTCTACAAGATGATAACAATAACAACAGTAATAACAATAACAATATCAAACTCAATGACTATAAAAACAACCCAGGTAATCCTAACGAAATCTCTCTCTATAATAACAACAATAATGAAAAAACTATCAACGATTTGCTCATCCACCCTCCTATCCAAAAATTCAGATTGGTCAAATACGATGTTGAAGATGGAAATAACTCAACTGATACCACCGAAACTGTCTCTCCAACTAGTTCAAGTATCGATGATTCCACTTCAACAACCCCAACTACTTCAACAACTCCAACTACTTCAACTACTTCAACCACTCCAACCACCTCTACTTCTCCAACTTCAACCACTTCTACCACGTCAACCACTAGTCCAACTCCAACTTCTCTGAACACACCAACAACCAGTTCTTCTGCACTTCCCACTCCTTCAAGTCCACGTCCTTCCCCCTCTATAACTTCTTCCTCATCTTCGTTCGCCTCGTCTTCATCTACTGACTCTGACTCCGATACTGAAACCGAAACCGAAACTGAGACAGATATTGAGACAGAATCCACTGAGTCTGACTCAGATTCCTCTACATCTTCCTCCACATCTTCCTCATCTTCTTCATCATCCTCGTCCTCTTCCTCATCGTTAAGTTCATCGTACTCCATCTCTACACTAGTCTCCTCGACTACAATGGTCACGTCGAGTTCTACCTTTATCAGTATCACAACAACTTCTGCTTCCGAATTCACTGATGTCAATGGTAACGTATTAACCTCTCAAATTGTCATCACAACTGGTATATACTCAGACGTTGTCCTAACTCTAACAACCGATTTCGTCTACTCTTCAACTGTTTTGTTAGTCGCCCAAGGCTCTTCATCCGTTAAAAAATTAAGTGGAGGTGGAATTGCAGGAATCATTGTGGGCTCAATCTCAGGTGTTGCCATTATTGCTGGCTTGATGTTCTTCTACGTGAAAAAGGTCAAAAAGAGAGACGACCAAGAAAAGAAATTAAATCTTGCTACTATCGCTGCTACAATGAACAAAAAGGACGACTCCAGTGATTATCATGGTAACATCAACGGTCTTAGTGGCTCAAATACCAATACCAGATTATACACTGGTGCTGGCGAACAGTTTGACTTTGAAAATCCAACAAACTTGGTCCAAAGACTACCTGTTCACGACGAGATTTACGATAACCCAAATCTAAAGAGCACAACAAGATACAGCAGTTTAATCGGAAGCACAGGTACCAATGATGATTTATCTTCATTAACTTACGTTAATTCCATGCATAACAAATCTGCAAGGCATGGGAGAAACAACAACAGCATTTCAACCAAAAACTCTCAAACAAATTCCTTTTCAAATAATCCAACACCAACTTCAAATTCTCATCCAAATATAAATGGAGCCTATTCACCCCAACAGTATAATCAAAACCCAAACCAAAACCCAAACCAAAACCAAAATGACAATAGATACTCCTTTGTATCCCAGAAATCAGGCGAAATAAAAGTCAACAAACATGTGGCCGACAAAGACACCACTTCAAGAAGAGGCACAGTTGGTGATTTCAGATCAATGTTAGATAATAAATTCCAATTAAAAGTCGCTAACCCCGATAGTATCGAAGAAAGTGATAATGAGGAATCAACCATGATTGGAAAGAATAGGATCCATCCAAAATAATTTCCGATTTCTCAACCATAGCTATAAAAGTATAAAAGTATATACTCGAAAAATCATATGATGAAAGTGAAATACTAATAATATAATATAATACTAATAATACTATTATTAATAAGGACTATAAATGTACTACTATTAACTTTGTTGCTTAAATCAAATAGAAAAATTCAATCAAAGGGATAACGAACAATTAGTTTAATATACAATTATATTTTTTAATTTTTTTTGTTTTTTGTTTGTTTTTATTTTATTTTGTACAATTTCTTTTTTTATTTTTTAAAAATTTTTTTTTCACAGATTTTTTTCTTCTATTTCCAGTAATCGTTTTTTTTCTTTAATTTTGTTCTTAATATGTTTCTTTGTACTGAACTGTTTTTTGTTTTTAATAATTTATTTTTTCTATTTTTCCTATTTTTTGTGAGTTTGATTTTTAATTTTTTTTTTTATTTCACTTCTTCACTCTGGTTTTATCATCAAATTCTTTCAACAGGCATTTTCTTTAATTTTACAATATTTCTGTACTCACATGCGGAATATGCGCGCTTGCATAGAACACACGGACTGCGCATCATCACACCTGAAATTTTCTCTCAGAATTACCACCAATAAGGAAAGGGCACTGATCAGAATCATAGCGATGATGCAGCAAATTTAAAACTAAAACTAAAAGCAGTTGATTGAGAAGGACAACCAGACAAATAGGTAATTAGATAAACAAATAAAGAAACCGATTAAACAAAGCAGCTAAGTGGATACTCAAATGGGCATTTCATCGTCTTTGATCTTGCTTAGTATGTCCTTTAACTGGTCAAGAACGAGCTTTTTCTCAATTTTCTCCATTCGATTATCAATCTTGTTTTGATCAGTGATGTTAATTTTATCGTTTTCTATAATCATGATCAATTTAAACAACTCCTTCTGAAAAAATTTTTTATTGTCGTAACTCTGAAACTGTTTCAAAAAGTTCATTTTCAACAATTCCCAATCATCCTCGTCAAAACTGCCGTTTTTATTACTATTTTTGTTGTTCATATTGTTAGCTTTGCTATTTTTATGACTTTTGTGATTGGTATTACCACTAATGGCATTGTTACTATTTCCAGTATTATTGATAGTGTTCATACCGTTTTTATTCGCTAAATCAATTTTGCTACTATTTGAAAAATTTGATATGATTTTATTACTGCCCATGTTACTATTTTTAATCTGATTAGCCGATGAACTCTTAGCCGGCACTATAAAAGAAGTAGGGTCGTTATTTTGTATCGACAACAAATTAGTGACTTGATTCGATATCTTTAGATTAGGGTCATTAAAGTTGATTGGATCAATATAAACGATATTAGAAAGCTCAAGTGAATTTCGTTTTAAATCTGAAATGCTTTCCCTCAATAGATCCAAATTGTTGATTATATCGTTGGGATCAAGGTTATTTATATCTTTACTGACTGCAAACTTGCTCCTATTTTCCTTACTAGTATTATGATCATCGTTGTTAAAATCATTTGAAGTCTTGATAAAATTCAAACTTGTCACGCTCAAGTTAAAATTAGTAGCATCAGTATTGAACTTGTTAATACTATTGTTGTTGTTTTCATTGTTGTTGTTGACTAAATTTATCAAGAACTTGTTAATTTTAATTAATTCAAAATAGTTATTATAAATGATGTTTTTTATTAGGGATTTAGACATATTGATCTTATAATTCAATTCATTCTCAAACTTAATCAAATCTTTAATTGAAGCATTTTTCAAAATTTCATTCAAATCTTCTTCTTTTTCTAAATCTATGGTTTCTAAATTATTATAATCGATATTAGAGTCAGTGGCACTGGTATTGCTGGCCGAAACTAAATTCTTGTCAACATTGTCTAGTTTTTCTAGGTTATCTATTTTATTTATGTTTGATTTATTATTCTGAGTCTGGTTTAATTTATAAAAATCCTTCAATGCTTTTCTTCTATTTTCATTCAAGCTACTTTTGACTTTGGCTGATTTCTTGTAGGAAATAATATTTGAATTAGAATTGGAAGTGGAAGAAGCTGTTGAAGAGGGAGCATAGCGAGAATTTGAAGAGGCTGATTGAGCAGAAAGACTGTTCCGATTCGACATTTTCTCTTGATTTAAATTGCACTTTAATTGAAATTAATAATTGGTTTTAAAAGTTGTGTCTTTCATGAATCTATTCAATATTCAAATAAATAAAATCTATTGTTCAACTATTACATATGCATCCTAATGGCGGTTTTTACTATCCGTGTTCAGGATATGATAATCCGGGAATATATACGAAAAAGAACAAAAAAAATTTATAATACAACTATTTATTATCTTTTCGTTGGTCTATTTACTGTTACATCCCTCTGTTGAATTGAATGTAGTTGATTGGATTACCATTCCTGTCCTTTAGATTATTGAATCGTTCTTCCAATTTCTTGACACTCAATTCTCTTTTTTGAGGAAAGACAGCCAATGCAAGTGGTAGTACAGTAAAGGAAGTGGCTAGATATAATCCAACATTGGCTAAAGTTGTCATTCCAACTCCTCGTCCCTTTAAGAATCCATTTTGTAGTTTGACTAATATTAATGGAGGAATGACCATTATTGGAGTGGCATTTATAACTCTGGATAAAGCAGTCTCTCCAACAGCATATTTCGCTGCAATTTTGGAAATACCAACCTCTTCATTGTTTTCTTTATTAAATATTGATATACCCTTTCTAAGTTCTTCACCTCTCATTAATACAACGTTAACTATCCCTGCAGAGATCACAGCAGCAAATGGGACCAATCTACCCAATATAGTTTTGGTGTTTTGACTGACGTTCTTCAATCTTGGAACAATCGAATTTAAACCTAAAGCGACTGAACATGAAGCAGAAACAGCTAAGAAATAATTTGTTATCAATTGCTGTGTAGTCAAAGGATGAGATTTGTTGGCATTTGATGTATTTATTGCAACATTTAATGATTGATTAGTGATTTGCCAGAATAATGTGCCAAAAGTCCCAAGATTGGGAGTCAACATCCCAACAGTCACAACCAAATTTGATAAAACATAGGAGGACATTCGAAATGGCAAATAAACAACCTCGCCAGTATCTGGGTGTAAAGTCGAGTCTAATATTTTTTTGGCTTTCCATAATTCGGGACTCATTGTTTTAATAATCCCATTTTTATATTGCTGTATCAAATCCCTGGATGCCTTTATATCATTTTTAGTATTCAACAACATAAATGGGTCCGATATTTCTAAGCAGTGTCTAACTCTTCCTGTGTAAGTATTTAAGTCATATCTTGATTCAGGTAGCTCTATAAACCCTTGAACTGAAGACGCCATTTTTAATATTAATTAAAACAAAAAGACGATAGAATAAAATTTATATTCATATAATCATATGAACATATATTGAAAAAAGAAAAAAACAAACTGAAAAAGTTCTCCAAGTTTTATATATAATTATATGATAAGCACGAGATAGAGTTTGATTTAAGACCAAAAAGGGAATTTCAACCAAAAACTGACTCATCAAAACAACTTCAAATAAAAATCTGAAAAATTGACATCCAACATCCACAGTATCGGAAAGCAAACTTGAATTTGCGCAACCGTAAAGGTGGTGTGTTCGAGTTCCGAGGCAGAAGCAAAACCGTTCAGAAGACGGAAAGATTGAAATTGGGATCAAATACCAAAAATACAGCTGCTGGCAATGAGCTTTGCAATTATTTTAAAATTGATTTTGCATTCATAACATCAATTGATTATTACAAAATTTGTATTATTAATCAGGTTTTTGGTCCAATTAATCGTCATCAAAGTTGTTGTTTATTTTAAAAAATGGTTCCTACAAGTTTTCCCGTTGCAAAATGTTTTCTACGTGATTAAGACTGCGAGCTTGCAACCTCAAATTTTAGGTCAACTGTAGATGGAAATTAACAATAGAAACCTCCATTCGTTATTTAGATACGATAGATTATGTAGTTAAAGTATCACATTTGAAAAATATAAGTTGGTTTATATTTGGGCTTTTGAAGTTTGACTAAAATTTTGGTGGACTCTGGCGGAGTACTGTTTGTCATATTTATTTTGAAAAGTACTGTGATTTGGAATATTTTAAATATTTTGAATATTTTCTATAAACTGTTGACTAGAGAACAGTTGAAGTTTTCTCAGGTTCAACTTCAGTAAAGCTGATATCAGTATGGCCCTTATTGAGATCAATTCCACTGAGAATGACTTGAGATGCCAATGGAATCAATATTCGAATGATATCTTTATCCATCATTTCATTGATAACTTCGTCATATTTTTTTTCTCTTTTTTCGATATCTTCTTGGGTCATATCCTTATAATCATACTCTTCATTGCCTGACAACTTGAATTTCCTAAAAAAATCAAAATCGTCACAATCACAAAAATTTTCTATGAGATCATCATCATTTAACTCTTCTTCAAAGTTGTATTCAATTCTTTGTAAGATTGAAAATTTTCTAAAAGAAACACGGTTTTTAAATAAATCGTCTTCATTGTTTAAAATGTAGTTATATATTGGAGATCTAATCTTATAATTATCAATATTTAAATGTTCCTCATCTAATAATTTGATCTCTGAAAACTCCTTTTCAATTTCTTCAATTGATTTTTTCTGATTTTTACTTTTACTTTTATCTTTATTTAATTGAGAATCCAAATACATTTTCAACAAAAATTTATCTCTTCTTTTTCTTTCTAATACTAAATAGGTTAATAATCTGTCATGCATTATACAAGTCTTAGTTTTTTCATCTAAATTGTAGTTGATATTTTCGCAATTATCAACAGAGTTTTTGCAAATTAATCTTTTAATTTCATTTATAGCTGGACTTGAGGAGCTTTTAGAATCTTCATCTCGAAACTTTTTGACACCTTTAAAGAAAAAAATGTTATAATCTAACACATAATCTGGTATTTTGGATAATAATCCAATAGATATCGTGGAGATTTTGCAAAAAGATGGTTCACCTTTAGTAATTGAGCTCTGCATTGTGAATTAGTTTCAAATTGAGTATAATAACAACTTCAGTTTGTATTGTTTTAAGGAATAAGTCCTATATTTGACACTGTTTTACTCTAATTTATCAGCCAATTAGTAAGAGAGCAACAAAAAGTAATACAAAGGAACAGAACAAAGCCATAAAAAAGACGCGTACCCATTTTTCTGGATTTGAATATACACGTGCTTATGCATAAATATGCAATCATAACGCATGCTCTATTTCCAGTACCATGGATCCTCACAATTTCCATTTTAATCAGTGTCAATTGAATGATTTTCTTTTGGGAGAAAGCACAAGATATAAACTGTCGTTTTTGCTATCGTATTGTTACTTCCATTGCTATTTGTTTTTTTCTTTACCAAATATATATACACGTTATTGGGATTATTATTATCATTATTCAAATATGGAGGCCTATAATTACACAGATATCCAATGCCCACCACCAGAATCTTCAGAAATAGAATTATGCAGGATTTTATATTCAGAGGACTATTTGACGAATATGGGATACATGAGAGGTATTATGTCAAAAAATGAGTATTCTGAAAGAGCTTTGGCTTTAACCGAAAAAATTATCAACGTATGTGCTGCTCATTATACTGTTTGGGAATATAGATACAATATTATAGTTTTTCTTAACTACAAATACAATGAAGAACATGGGAAAGATAATGATAACGGCACCGATAAGAAGGATGGTAGCAATCACAATAAGATTATAAAAGATGAATTGATTTGGTCCGAAAATATCATTTTAGAAAACCCTAAAAATTATCAAGTTTGGCATTACAGACAATTGTTAATCATTGAGTTGGTTTCAAAATCTTCAGATGACTATAATGTAGAAAAGGAATTTGAATTAATTGATAAATCTTTGATTGAAGACTCTAAAAATTATCATTCTTGGACATACAGAACTTGGTTAACTAAACATTTCAAGTTGTATAATGACAAAAATCTAAGTTTTATTAATAGTTTGCTAAAAAGTGATATTAGAAACAATTCAGCTTGGAATTTTAGATTTTTTTTACTTGTTAACAACCCTGAAAACTATATCGAACAAGACCGTAAATCAATAATTAATGGATTGGTTTTACAAAAGGAATTGAAGTTTACTGAAAATGCAATTGAATTAGCTCCTCAAAATCAAAGTTCCTGGAACTATTTAATTGGTATCTATGAAAAGTTCAACTTAGACATTAACAATTTGAAAGGTTTAAGTTTGAAATATTCCAATTTTGAAGATGATAAAATTTCTGAACTTGAAAGTAATGAAGCAAATGAAAATGCTCAAGATAATATTGAAGAAGTGCAACCCATCATTTCATCTGTCCACGCTTTGGAATTGTTGGCAAGAATTTACTCGTCTTCAAAGACAACGGTGGATAAAGCCATCCGAGCCTACGACTTGCTTGCCACGAAGTACGATCCTATTAGAGTGAATTACTGGAAATACTTAAGCAGCAGCTTAAATACCACTTAGATACTGTTTGTGCGAACCCACTATTTATTTCCTGGACAATCAACCAATAATCCCTTTTCAAACAACAGAAATGCAAATGCCGATATCCGCGCTTACAAACATGTGCCCGCATCTAAAAACATCTGAGCGCGTTTTAGCACTGCGTCCGTCTGCACGCAAGGACCGTGCTTAACTATGGGGTGGATGTTTGAAATCAGGCAGCACGACGTCATTCGGTGGAAATCCGAGGTAATCCGGTGTCAAAAGTAAACAATAGCCCGTAATTGAACTTGTATTGACCTTGAGCAGCTCTCAACATGACCTTTCGCTGATATTGAACAACAGAGAGTTGAAGAGTAATCTGGGTGATCTGGTTATAGCTAACTGTCTATGAACAAAATAGACAAATAGGGTCTCTTTCAGGATACTGCTCGTTGTCAAGTTATAGAAGAACACTCAGCAAATGTTATTTCGATATTCTTTCGATTCCAATATTAGAAAGATTAAAAAAAGATTAAATATTTCTTACAATTCGCATCTTGTCTCTATAAGTATCAATAGAAGATTCAAATTATTCATTTTATTAGCCATATTCTGTATCATAGTCCTTTCCATAAATTATCTCTATGTTTCAAACGACCAGTCCTACTATAATAACTCTTTGTATATGAAAAATGGGATCGATCAAAAATCCGATCAAAATAACCAAAATCTTGTTAATATAATAGATCTTAAAAACCACATCAATAATAATAATGCTGATAACGATGAAAATGCAGATAGCCTTAGCGATATTAATAATCTAGATACCACAGAAATAACAGCGGATAATCAGGATTCTGTCACACATAATTTTAACATCTTGGTTGGAACTGATAATCATGAAGTGACTGATTTTTCAAATGAAGATTCTATCGACTATTTAAATAGTCATCAAAAGATATATAATAGCATTTTATTAAATATAAACAAAATTGGTAAAAAAACATCTAAAAATTTAAATTTTCACCGAATTTTCAATCAAAATTCAATTTTTTTAAACAATTTATTATCCAATTTGAATTACAACAATATCATAAAATATAAATCTTTGATGAATGATTTTAGCTCAAAGATTATAAATAATAACTATTTCAATATAAATTCAAAGAAAAATCAAAGAACTAGATCTTTTTTATCTCTAAATAATCTATTCGTATCAAACTATGATAATTTAAACAAACCAAATACTTTAGAAAATTATTTCAATACCTTTAAAAACTTCAATAAATTCGATCCAAGACTATTGCCTTCTTTTTGGTTATATTTAATAAACCAAAATCTTGTTTCAAATTATTTATCAAATAACGATATCAACAACAATATAATAAAATTGTCAAATGATTTCAAACTTCCTTTTAATTGGAACATGCTTTTAAATTACTCAAGAAGATTACAAACACACCCTTTGTTTAATAAAGTTGTTCTTCAAAATATGGACTGCTACAGTTTTTTACATTATGATGATATTTTAAATGATGAAGAAATTTATTCTCTAATTAAAGATAACTGTCAGCCTTTAAAATTTTCTCAAAATAATACTTACAACTTGCCTTTTAAAATAGTGAAAAAATTTGACCAATATACTAATGGCCAAAAAGGCTTAGATTTTAGAACTTTATATTCGATAATATATGGTTTGACTTCATTTCCTTCTCCAAAGAATATCATCCTACTAAACGTATTGAAAGATGAAAAATCATCCACAAAAAAAACTTTAATTATTCCAACTATAACTGTTGAGGATCCTAAAACTGATTTAACCATACAAAATTTAAACATTTTTAATTCTTATCTTGATAACTTAACTTCCATTTTCATAAATAACAACTTAAAAGTAATGACCCTTTTAAATGATAAATTTAAATATTATAATGAAAATGATAATGAAAATTATAATCTTGATAATCTTGATAAAAATCCCGATTTTAAATCATTTGTTAATGAAAATGTAGCTAATCTATTAATCAAAGGTATTTCATCCTATCACGAGGTTAAAAAATTAAATCATTTGTTTTCCTTTAATTCTGAGCCAACACCTCCAAATAATCAAAAATCATTTGAAAAGTTTGAAGTTGACATCTTGAAGGATAATTACGATTTTATTTTTAAAAAACCTTTTTTGATTAGCAATAAGAAAAATAGCTTTCATCCAAATTTGAATCTCTACAATTATCCTACGGATATATTTGAGTGGAATATTAAAAAGGAATTTCAAAAGTTAAATGAATTTTCTACTCAAATTAATTTATTTGATGACTTATCGCAAGTTGTTGATTTTGAAAAGGTAAAAATCAACATATCAACTGAAGTCACTCATCTCGATGAAGCTGCTCAAGAGGAATTAAGAAGTGAACAATCTTTAAAGGATAATTTGGATAACGATTATAAAGACTCGGACAGCTTTGATGCTAATCCAAATACCAAAAGAGAGAAAAAAAAAAAAAAAATGAAAAGAGAAGAACCAATGGAAAAGGAAATTGAAGATATTGTGTTTAATGATGAAATTTATTTGAACGAAGGTCTGATTGTTGACAATAATCTTGATTCTGAAATTAACTCCCAAATGGAGATTCAAAAACCAAATACAAAAGAATACCAAAATGATTTTGAAGAATTAAACCAAAATCATGAGTATTATAGTGATTATGATTATGAGCAAATCAGTCATTTAAAAGAACTATTCTTTAAAACTGCTAAAAAATTCCCTTTTCAAGAGACAAGATATTTTGGATTACAAAGTGTCCGTAAATTTTCGCTTGATCACTACGATTGGAGATTTTTTCAAGAAGTAACTTATACAGATCAAAATGACCATTTAACTATACTTCATAGATTGATAAGAGTGTGGTTCAATTTATGCAATCAATTTGATGTGCCAACTTGGTTGAATCATGGTCCAGTTATTGGATGGTTTTTTAATGGATTTGCATTGCCATGGGATCAAGATTTTGATGTTCAACTACCTATTCAATCACTTTATAAGTTGGCCAAAACGTTGAATAATACTATTCTATACGATTACTCGGATATTGATCAGGAATTAAAGGATGGTAAAAATATCAAATTCAGTATTGATACCAATGCTGAATTAGGGTTTAGAGGTTATTATTTCGAGATTAATGAAAATTTTGTGAATAGAAATAACTATCAGAACCAATTTTTAAATCACATTGATGCAAGATTAATTGATATCCAATCTGGTGTTTATATCGATATTACAGCGTTAAGTGATTTTATATCATCAGCTCAAGATAATTTAGATATAAAGGCACAATTATTATCGAGCCATGATGATCATTCATATTCTAAAATCCTCAAATCTCTTATGTATAACAAATTTTTCCAAGGTATCAGATATAATCCTGAAATCAAAAACAACAAGTTTATTTCGAAACAAGATATAGTTCTTTCAGTTGCTAGAGAATTATTTGCGCCTGTGAAAAATCAATTGATTGAATATGAATCTAATAATACTATAAATAAGACTCAAAAACAAGTTTTAGATACAGATATTAATGTGATGTTCAAAGATGCTGTTCATTGCAAGAACAATCATTTTTATGATAAAAACACAATTTTCCCATTGGTTCCAACATTCTTTGAAAATTCATTGACTTATTTACCAAGGAATTTTATAAGAAATTTGGTTATTGAATACTCAGATAATGTGTTTTTCAGAAGAGTGTTTCACGAACACAAATATTTTGTTTATTTACAGATGTGGGTACCAAAGGATACATGCCCTGTTAGTCTTAGCAAATACAAAACCATATTAAAAGAATTGATGAATAAACAACCAGAAAATGCAGCTTCGGTAACTGCTAATGAGTTGGAAGATATTCTTATATATGATCAAGATGATTATGACTTTTCTTCGTCTAATTTAGAAATCAAGTTGGGAAAATTATGCTATGTTTTTGATGAAAAGATAAGAGAAGAATTTGAATACTATAAGGACTATTATTTGAATCATGCAGAAGAGTTTAAATTGTTAACATCAGAAGAAAATGATCTTTATGGAAATCTTAAATCAGTCTTCCATAATTATAATATTACCAAAATGAAAAACATCATATATAAGAAATCCAATTATGAAGTAGTAAGACCTGAGCAATGGATGATAAATAATGTGTTTTAGATGGTTAACTGATTAATGTACTTTTTTTTTCTTTTTCTTTTTCTTTTTTTTTGTTTATTTTTATTTTTATTTAAATCTTTTTTTGTTTTTATGTTCTTAAGAAATTGTGAAAATATTTATTTCAACAAGGCATTTTATTTTTTATTTTCAATTAACAGTAATTTTAGTTTTTATTCTAGTTTTTGTTATAGATTTTATTAGTTTTTGTTTTTATATTAATATTATTGTTTAGTTTCATTGTTTTAATTTCACTTGCATCAGTTTTTAAAAAAGAAGGCGAATAATAAATAATTGTGGATTTAATTTTAAAAGGCAAAAAATGACAACAGAGTAGTTCAGTACAGTACAGAAGAGATGAGATAAATTAATTAAAACATACGTAAACATTTCTAAACAAATAAAAATGTAAATTACAAAATTAATACACTAATACTTGAGATTATATTTATTGTTATTCATTATTGATATTAAATAAATTAATCAGCAGTCTTTTGAGTACCACGTAACAAACCAGTTCTTCTAGCAGCAATAAGACCAGCCTTTTGACCTGGAACAGCACCTCTGGAAATAGTTGAAGCTTTACCAATATGTTGATGGTTACCACCACCATGAGGATGATCGACTGGATTCATAGCAACACCTCTAGTCTTTGGCCATGAGTTTCTCTTGACTTTATATTTGTGGAAAGCATTACCAGCTTTCAATAATGGTTTATCAACTCTACCACCACCAGCAACGACACCAATGACACCTCTAGCAGAAGAAGACAATATTTTTTTGGCACCAGAAGGTAATTTTACTCTGGTTTTACCTTCGTCTTGATTGTGACCAATGACAGTAACGTAGTTACCAGAGGTTCTACCTAAAGCACCTCTGTCACCGGTTTTTTCTTCAACGTTAGATAAGATGGTACCTTCTGGAACAGAAGATAAAGGTAAAACGTTACCAATGTGTAAAGAGGCATTTTTACCGGCGTAGATAAATTGACCAGTGTACATACCTTCATTGGCAATGAAGATTTCTTTTCTTAATTTATATTTGTAAGGGTCTCTGAAGACGACTTCAGCTAAAGGAGCACCTCTTCCTGGATCATGAATGATTTTCTTGACTAAACCTCTAATGTAACCATGACGTTCAGAGTAATCTAAAGTTCTTAGTTTGGCAGCACCTTTTCTCAATCTGGTGTGGGAAAGGAAAATTGAACCAGCACCTTTTCTTTGGTTACGAATAACACGACCTTTAAGAGATATATTAGTAAAATGAACAAAAAGAGAAGAGAAGGTTAAAATAAACGTAAAAATCAAAGTTTCCAATGATTCTGCAAATTAATCTATTGTTCTGAATTGAAAATATAATGCGAGATTGAAAATATTAGATTTTAAGTTGATTTAGTTATTCAATTGATATTAATTAAAAGTTTGCAATGATTGAATAAATAAAAAAATAAAATAGAATAATAGTAAATTTTCATTAATTAAACCATTAAAAATTAAAACTAATTGCATTTTATGAAAAATAATTCAATTACAAAATTGATTTTTACTTGAATTTATAATTGAACTCCTACAAATAAATTAAACTGAAATTTTGGATATTGAAATAATTCTTTTCAGAAATTATAACTAAAATTTTTAATGATTTTTTTTGATATTATTGATTTTTATTGGCTTGAATCGTATTCAATTGAATAATGATTAATGATTAAAAAGATTAAGCCAAAAAAAAGGAGGATTAATCAAATTTATAAAATAGACGATTTTTTAATTTTAATATAAATTAAACATTTTTTTTGCTTTTTTAAAATAAAAAATTAAAATTTTGAACTAACGTTAAATGGTTTCAAATTATGATTGAGATTATAAATATAAATATAAATATAATTAAGATTATAAATATGAATATGAATAAAATTATAATTATATTAATGTAATTATTCTTTTTATCAAATTGAAAGTGAAGTTCGATATTTATTGATTCAATTTAAACGTTAAAAATCCAAGAAAGTAAATGAGAAATTAGATAATAAAATGACGATAATATAGGAATTCACAGAATTAGGATAAAAAATCAGATGAAGTTAGAGCCATTAAACATACCCATTGTTTATTATAAATTTGTCTTGTGTGGATAGAAAAAAAAACCAAAGGAAACGAACCTCTTTAGACAATCTTGATGGATATAATGAAGATGTATATTGAAATTTTTGAAAGTTTCCATGAAACGGAGTTTCGATGTATGCAGGATGTTAAAACACGTGAAGACAGTCACATGCAAGCTTTTGCGTTGCGAGCAATGACCCAATCACGGGAATGCAAATAGGGCTCTAAAAATCAATAGGGTATATGCATACTGAGCAGTGATGCGTGTGTATATGCATACTGCAAAGTGTTAATGCTGCAGAAAGAGCATGTGATCATGTTTTGTCTTTATCAGGAATTTCCTGATGAAGAAGTTGCTTCTATAGGAAGGAACACATTCAGGGTAATTGAGTACTCTCGAGATAACCAATAAAATCGTGCATTATTGAAATTAGTGATGGAGGAACGGTTTTTGGTGCAGTTGAATAATTTATCAATTAATCGTGAAAAATAAAATTAGTGCAATACGATCAGAGATATATATTTATTGAAATTGTAATCAATCTTGGATACTCATCGACAAAACATCGTAGTATACACAGGACCGTTAAAATATACTTATAATATAAAGATCTCATAAATTTAATATCATAATATAATATAATATAATTGAAAATGGAATTTTTAAAGGATTTATTAGAATCAATGTTACCAACAGCCTACGCTGAAGAAGTAAGTAGATTGTATTTTGCCGATTTTTTGGAAATTAAGAGATGGATGTCGGCACAGATTGAGTTGATTTGACCAATTTACTAATTTACAGTGAACCATTTCATGTCATTACAAGCAGGAAGAAGAAGAAGAAGTTGAAGAAGCTAGTGAAGAAGCCGAAGAAGAGGAAGAGGAAGACGAAGATGATGAAGACGAAGAAGAAGCACAAGACCAATTTGACACTTTGAGAAGCAAGTGTTCTGAAACTGCTAGCTGCAAACCATTGTTGCACCACTACCACGAGTGTGTTGAAAGAGTAACCAAAGAAATGGAAGAAGAAGACTATGACCAAAAGGACTACAAAGAAGACTGCATTGAAGAGTTCTTCCACTTGCACCACTGTCTCAACGATTGTGCAGCTCCAAGATTGTTTTATAAATTGAAATAGATAATGAATCTAATCAACTTGAACATATACTAAACCAATAAAATCGACTAAACTCAAACACAAAGCACAACTCTACTCATTAATACTTTCCCATCCTTGTTGTATCAATCCCCAACACATCTTCTTTATACACTTTTTATTTATATTTATTTTGTTTTTACAATGCACCGGTACTTTTATTCTTATTCTACACTTTTCTTTTATTGTTTTTGATTGATTTTCTTTCAGTTCTTCCATTTTCCAGCAAAAACAGCAAAAACAGTAAAAGAGGTTCCACAGCGCTGGCTCTGTTCTGCATCAGTGGGTCATGTAGCACTACGCTGTTGTATGCACATCCATGCTTGCTGTGTTTTCTGGAAGTTTCTACTGTGGTGCCACACGCAAATGCCCGCGTTCTCCCATGTGCTTAGGGATTTTATACACAACGATCACGTGATATAGTACTACTTTCAAATATTTTTCTCGATACTGCAGGTGGTATTCATGTGACCACCGCAAATTTTTCAATTTTAAACCTGTCTTTTTCATTGCATTCAAAAAAAACAATAAAAAAAATTGAACAAAAAGCAAAAGAAAATTTTGTTTATTTCCCATCAACTAATTTCAAATCAATCTTCATTCTCAATTATTTTATATAAATAATTTTATTAATTCAATTCAATTTCTCAATTAAGTATCTTCAAACTAGAACTTAAAGTAAACAAAGTTCAAACAAAAACTATTTAAAACAAAACAATTGTATAAATTTTATAAATTCTAAAATATTTCTGATACTTGTGGTACTTCTTTTTCTTTTTACACAACAATCTAAAATAACTCTACTTGATAATTAATTTTCATTACTGTTTTTTCTTTCTTCAATTGTCTCTGGTTTTTAACAATTTTCTTTTCATTTCTCTTTCTTCCCTTTTAATTTCACTCAATTAATAGTCTTGATTATTTCAATTCAGCTCATAACAAAAAATGGCTACTGCAACCAACTCTACTGCTCCAGCTCCAGCTCCAGCTCCAGCTCCAGCTAAAACCGCCACTCCCCCAGCAACTACTGCTCCAGCTAAACCTGCTACTCCAGCTGTTCCAACTTCTGCTCCTGTTAAACCTGTTTCTACCCCACTCCCAGCTGCTCCAGTCAAAGCATCAACTGCTCCAGTTAAGGCTCCAGCTACTCCAGCCACTCCAGCTAAAGCTCCAGTTCCAGTTCCAGCTGCTAAAGCTCCAACTCCAGCTGCTTCTTCTACTCCAGTTGCTGCTCCAGCTGTTCCAAAAACCGAAAAGTCTGTTTCTCCAGCTAAACCTTCCACTACCGCTACCACTTCTACTCCTCCTGCTTCTTCCTCATCTTTCTCATCTATTCCAGCTTCCGATGCACACTCTTCTGATTCTGACGTCAACTTGGATTCTCGTCTTTATATTGGTAACGTTGATTACCAAACCACTGAAGAAGAATTATTAGAATTGTTTCAAGATTTCAAAATTGACAAGGTTGACATTCCTAAAAGAAGAGCCTACAACAGAGTTGTATCAAAGGGTTACGCCTTCATAAACTTGCAAAATAAAGACGATATTGACTCTTTAGTCTCAAAATTCGACAACACTGAATTCAATAAAAGATACATTTACATTAGAAAGGCTCAACCTAAAAATGTCAAATCCATTGACCCAACAAAGAAAAAAACTAGATCCTTTAATAAAAACCAAAAGAAACCATCTTTCAAGAAGGACTCTGATTCTGATATAACCTCTGGTTCCGATCTTGATTCCGATTACGATTCTGACTCAAATTCTTCTCCCGCCACTACAAAGAAATCTCATCAAAACAAAACTCATCCTTTCAAACCTTTCAATAAATCATCCGAACAAAAGTCTCACCAAAATGGCCCAAAACCTTTAAACAAATCAACCCCTCTAGAAGATGGTGTTCCATCAAAGACCACTGTTTACATCTCAAATGTCGATTTTTACTTGAATAAAGCTGGATTAAAATCAATCCTCAAAGAAAAGGGCTACAACCCTGTTTGGATTAAAGTCCCAACAAGAAAATTACCCTTCAAACAACTCTTCTACTTGAGAAAACACAACAAAATAATCAAAGGTAGAGGTTTTGCCTTTGTTAGATTTGAAGATGAAGGAACACAACTCAAATTTATTAAAGAATTCAATGGTGAAAAATTAAACAACAGAGAAATTAAAGTCCAAGTTGCCATCGACTCAAGAGTCGAAGATTCTCACTCTGAGTCTGAATCTGAATCTGACAGTGAGCATGCTCCAGAATCAAAACCTTCAACAAAAACTGTTGTTTCTAAATCTGCCGCTGCTCCAAAACCTGCTGCTACCCTCAAAACTGAAGCAGCTCCAACACCTGTTGCTGCTCCAAAAGCTGATGTAGCTTCATCAAAGAAATAATTTTCTTAGAAAAAAGTCAATTTTTTTTAGAACAAATTAATGATTTAATAATTTTTTTTTGTTTTATTTATTTGTCTTTTATTTTTTTTTTTTGTTTCCTGATTTTTTTATTTACTATAAATATATTTTTTTTCTCTTAAAATATTCAATTTCATTAATCATTTGTATCTTTTTACAATTTTTTTTTCTTTTATCTTTATTTTTTTCTTATTATCCTTCATTTTTAAATTTGTCAAATTCTTTTTTTTTATTTTAAATTTCTGATTTATAATTTTTTTGATATTGACGCTGTTTTTTTTTTGTATTAGCTAAATTTGTATTTTTTTATTTTTTCTTTTAGGAAAAAAAAAGTTAACTTTCAAAGTTTTATTTATTTTTTTTATTATATCCTACTGTTTATTGATTTGCTTTTTTACAAAACAAAAAAAAAATAAAAGATTGTTATTTGGTTGATATCTTCTTAGAATTTTTTATGTTTTATTTTCTTTCTACAACTTTCTATAATTACTTTTTATTATTCTGTCCTTGTGTTTATCATATCATATAATTTTTAACATTTTATCATCATTTATATGCATAATCCAATCATTATTTTATTTAACATGCTTTACTGAAATTATAATCAGAAAACTAAAATATTACAGAAAAAAGAATATGAACAAAGAATATGAAAATATGAAAATATGAAAATTTAAAAAAGTAAAAAAGAATTATGAATGAATTAAATTGAATTTTAATTAATTAATTAAAATATTGACAATTGAATATTGAATATGAAATTATGAAATAAATGAGAGAAAATAATTTGTAATGGAAAATTGTTAGTCATTTTTATGTTATTTTGGTTTTTTTATATTTATTTACGAGTTATAGTATCGATTAAAAGGAGAAAAAGAAAGAAATTATATAGTTTTATATTTATAAAATGAATAAATTATATTGATTGAGTTAAGATAATTATATTACAAAATTAATATGAAGATATAGAAGTTTTGATTTGGTAAGTCAGTAAGTGAATTGATCATAGTCGATACCGAATTTTTGACAGTAGTTGATTGATTGGGGATTTAGGGAGTTTTTATTAGAATCATTGTTGGAATAGTTGAGTTTGTAGTCATTTTTGTTGATTATTAGATCATCGAGCTGGAAAGATGTTTTGTCGTTGATGTTGGATTGAATATAAGAGACAGCTTCGTTGATTAGGGTTATTAGGTTTTTTGAGTTTAAGTTTAGGATGTCGTAGGAGGATAGTTTTGAGTAGTAGGAAGAAGATTGGATAAAATTGTTGAATAGAATGTGGATTTTGATATAATCAGGGTCAAGGATTAAGTTGTTTTTGAATTTTTTATTTTTGTTGTTGATTGAAAAGTGGTTTTTGTTTTTTGGGTTGATTTTGATGTCAAAAAACTGGATGAAAGTTCTTCTGGGGAGGACTTTGTCTAGGGCTAGAAATTGAGTGAATCTTGTATCATTCAATAGAAGTGGGTGATGATTGTCATGAATTTGATTGTCATGAATTTGATTGTCATGAATTTGATTATTATTTGATAATTCAGAGAGATCAAGATTTATTTCATCATTTTCGGCATTTATTCCATTTTCATTTAATAAATTTAGCTTTATTTCATCATTATTCTCAATTTTAGTATCAGCGTCTAATTTTCTTCTTTTATATTCGTTATCATTTTTAGTAATGTTTTGATTAAGAAGTTTATTTTTATTTGAGTGAAGGAAAGTGGCATCAAATTTGACATGCAAATGAGCACTATACCAATTTTTTGGTTTTAATATTTTTAGTAGATTTAAATTCAAGGGAGAGCCCAAGTTGTTGTTTGAGATGTCAGATTTGAAGAATGGTTTTAGTTTTAACAAGCGATTTAGATTGCCATGTTGTTCGATGGACTGTGGCCAGTCATGACTTAGCATAATATCGAGATGAGTGTTTTGTTTGTTGGGATTGTTTGAGTCGTTTGGGTCGTTTGGGTCGTTTGGGTTGATTGAGTTATTGATTTTGTTGTTGGATAGGATTAGTTGGTTGTAGATAAGCAATTTCAAATAGTCCAATTTTCTTGTGTGGTAAACTGATCTGAGATGGGATTGATTCAAAGGAAAGGATTCGAAATCGTTTTTCATGTAGTCTCTGTCGTTGAAGATTCCGGAAATGGCAGCTATTTTGAGGCCATTGAACCAGAGGACGTTGGACTTGCCCAAGTAGTAGATGTTTTTGGCAACAAAACCGCCAAATTTCAACAGACTCAAGTAGCGAGAGGATTCGTGGTTTCCCCCAATGAAAAGCGTCAAGACAGGCGCCTCCTTCTTGCCCAGGTAGTAGTCCTTGAAGTCTCCAAAACGCCTGTATTTGGGAGGACAGCTGAGGGAGTCCAAGTCATCTCTGTCTCTTGTTGCCTGGAAGTCGCCATTGACCAACAACAACTGAGGCATCTTCCTGGAGTGGGCAACGTCGTTTCTGATGGCGCTGTAGATCATGTCGAGCGAGCTGTGGGCACATCCCACAACAGCAATTCTAACCAGGCGCATTTCCTCCAAATCGTCTTCCTCCATCTGCTTCCTGTGCTTCTCCTGCTTCCTGTGCTTCCTGTGCTTCCTGTGCTTCTTGTGCTTCTTCGCCTCCTCTGCTCCCGTGCCTGGCACCTGACCGCGTTTGGAGCCCGCACAGGAAAATTTATCTGTGCTGAAGTCGGTCTTCTTCTCGCTCTCTGCTTTGCTTCCTCTGCTGCTCCTGCTTCTTCTCCCTGCGCCATGATTCTCGAAACTCCCCTTGTTGGAGCGCTTCGTGCTGCTGCTTGTGCTGCTCGTGCTGCTCCTGCTCTCTCGCGAACTGCCCTCTCGCGAACTGTCTTTCCCCTTCCCTTCCTTCTCTCTCGCTCCTTGGCTACCTTCAATCGATCCAAGCCCCATGTCAACATCGGCACCATAGGCCACGTCGACCATGGTAAAACGACCCTAACTGCTGCCATCACCAAGTACTTGTCTGCCAAAGGTGGTGCCGATTTCTTGGACTACGCTTCTATCGACAAGGCTCCTGAGGAACGGGCCAGAGGTATCACTATCTCCTCTGCCCATGTTGAGTACGAAACCGACACCAGACACTACTCTCATGTTGATTGTCTCAGTGAAGATATGCGTATCTTGACTAATAAAGGGTTTTTGTTTCTTGACGAAGTTAAGAAGAACTGGGATGATGTTTTGATTGGATCTTATAACAAGGAAACTAAACAAATTGAGTATGTTCGTGGTGAGGAATTGATTGTCAAGGAAGCTGCAAACCACAAAATGGTTGGGTTTTCTGATTATGGTATTAACGAAGATGGCACTTTCAAGGACTTTGGCAGAAATGTTTCTTTACTTGTTACCGAAAACCATGATATGTTTGTGCAACTAGGTGATGCTGCTGTTCCAACTTCATATGCTAAATATAAAGCTAGAACTATTGCTGATGATCTTAAGGAAAAAACTGTCCGTTTTATGGCTGCTGCTGAGGAAGGTGTTTATGTGGAAGGAAAACCAGAGCTTTCTTTTGTTACTGCGCTTGGCCTCAACGAAAACCAGATTATTCCTTTCTTGGAGTTTTATGGTTACTGGCTCGGTGATGGTTCTCTAAGCAATGCCTCCCAAATACCTGATAAGAAATGGCTTGATTTTTTTGAACAAGAGTACGGCAAAAAGAATAGCAGCTCCAGTTCAGCGTTGCCAAAAGACAATTTATCTGACTCAACCAAGTGGTTCGCTCCATGGGTTTCCAACCTCAACCGCGAACAGCTTCGTGCTGTTATTGAAGGATATCGTATTGCTAGTGGAGATCTTACTGATAACAACAAAACTCTTTATACATCTTCAATCACAGCTCGCGATGAATTGACCCATGCCCTTCTCAATGCTGGCTATTCTGCTTTCTTCAACTTGAAATATCCTGCCGAATCCGATGTCTGGTCTATCAACTATAATGAACTTGACAGTACAGCATCCGGAGAGCAAAGCTCCCATCCTGTTCTCGACATCTCAAAGGACGTTAAACGTGTTGATGATTACTTTGGTCGTGTCTGGTGTGTTCGTGTTCCTAATGGTTTAATAATTACACAAAGAGTCATCGAACAACTTAATGGTTCTGCTTCAGTTGCATCCCGTCCTGTGATTATTGGAAATTGTCCTGGTCACGCTGATTACATCAAGAATATGATCACTGGTGCTGCCCAGATGGATGGTGCCATTATTGTGGTTGCTGCTTCCGACGGTCAGATGCCTCAGACCAGAGAGCACTTGCTTTTGGCCAGGCAGGTTGGTGTCCAGCACATTGTGGTCTTTGTCAACAAGATCGATGCTGTTGAAGACGAGGAAATGTTGGAATTGGTGGAAATGGAAATGCGAGACTTGCTCAGTGAATACGGTTTTGATGGCGACAACGCTCCCATCATATTTGGTTCTGCTCTCTGTGCTCTCCAGGGCGAAAGACCTGACATTGGTGCTGAGAGAATCCAGGCCTTGCTAGATGCTGTCGACACCTACATCCCAACCCCCCAAAGAGACCTTGAACAACCTTTCCTAATGCCTGTCGAAGATGTCTTTTCCATCTCTGGTAGAGGTACTGTCGTTACCGGCAGAGTCGAAAGAGGTGAATTGAAAAAAGGTGAGGAAATCGAACTTGTGGGCCACAACGACAAACCCATCAAGGCCACTGTCACCGGTATTGAAATGTTTAAAAAGGAATTGGACAAGGCCATGGCTGGCGACAACGCCGGTGTGCTTTTAAGAGGTATCAAGAGAGACGATGTCAAGAGAGGAATGGTTGTCTGTAAACCCAACACTGTCAACCCCCACACAAAGTTCCTAGCCTCATTGTATATCTTGACCAAAAACGAAGGTGGCAGACACACTGGTTTCGGCGAGCACTATAGACCCCAGATCTACATCAGAACTGCCGATGTCACTGCTGTTCTATCCTTCCCTGATGGCGTTGACAACACACAAATGATCCAGCCTGGAGACAACACTGAAATGGTCTGCTCTCTCGTGCACCCTACTCCTGTCGAAGTTGGCCAACGTTTCAACATCAGAGAAGGCAACAAAACAGTTGGCACAGGCTTGGTTACTCGTATCCTCTAGGCCCCTCTTGCTTCCTTCTTAAATATTCGCTCCCTATAATATGACTATGTAAATATATATCTTCTTGTTCAATAATACACTTGAATCTTCCTCTAAACCCTCCAAACCCTCTAAAACCCTCTTCTCTCTTTTCTCGCTCCAACCGCTCGCCACGTCAAAAAGAAACCCGTAGCGTTAGTGAACAACTCACTCTTCAACCTCCAAAGAACCATCTTCTAAGAACCATCTTCAAAGAACCATCTTCAAAAGACTCTCCTCCAGCTCAATCCACTCTGGAGATGTCTTGTTAACGCCAGCTCCTTCATCCCATCACATCCCATTCACAATGAACCCTTCCGACAAGCAACTAAACAGATCCTCCTCAAAATACACCTTGGATGAAAACGACGATAGCAACATCAATCAACTAATCTTCACTGAAAACGACAACTCTACAATCAACTCCCAGAATACAAACAACAAATTCATCTCAACACACAAGAAAAACGAAAAAAGTCTATCAAACTTCATGGAATCACTAAACTCTTCTTCTCCCATAAAAGATGATCATATTTCCAGCCATTTCCCTTCTTTCTCGAACAATCAACCCAATCAATCCAATCAAAATGACAATATATATATTAATAACGAAAATTCTGATTCAGACGTCGATGATTTTGCCAAATTAATCAACTCTCAGTTAATCCCCAATCAAAGCAATCATCCCTCTACTTTAAATTCAAATCCAAATAAAATCATAGATAATCCTACTAATAACAATAATCTATTCAATGATAATGACGATGGTTTTTTTAATCAAATTCATAAATCTCATGCTAATAGTTCTGAATTTGTTAATAACATCCAAAATCATATCCAAAATGATACCCAAAATCATATTGAAAGTCATATCAAAAATCAAGATAATCTAATTAATTTAAATGATCAAAATGATCAAAATAACTTAGTTAATCAAAATGATATCTTCTCCACTAATAATGAAGAAGATTTTTTTAGTACTATTCATGGAACTGAATCACAATTTGAAACAAGTCAAAATAATCATAATAATAACGATAATGATATCGATTTTTTTAATAAAATTCATCAGAATGAATTTCAAAATCAAAATAACACTAATGAAATGAATGAAAATAAAGCTACTGAAAATAATGAAAATAAAATTAATAAAAGTAAAATTAGCGAAAATATGGCTAAGATCTTCAACGACCATGATTCAAGTGATGACAGCGACGATGATGATAATACTAATGCTAACATCCAAAATCAACCATCAAGCAATATCAATTCCACTACAAGTAATATCAATTCTACTGTAAATAATATCAATTCTACTACAAGTAATACCACTTCTAAAACCGAAAAAGACCCATCTAAATCACTAGCGTTATTAGCTTTAGCCAACGCTTTTGATGATGATGACGACGACGACGACGACGACGATGATGATGATGATGATGACAACGACAATGATTACAATGGAAATGGTGAAACTGCTGCTTTTCAAAAAAGTTCCCAAATCTCTTCTCCTAACAAAAACAAATATAATCCTTCAATCGATAAGTCACCCACTCTTAACAATAGATCTCCTATTATCAATAGATCTCCTATTATCAATAGATCTCCTATTATCAATAGATCTCCTATTATCAATAGATCTCCTATTATCAATAACATGTCGCCCATTCTTAACAATCAATCATTAAGAGCTTCAAATAAAGTAAATAAAACTAAATCGGATGCTTACGATTTTCCAATCGATATCATATCAACTGCTATGAAAAAACAACCAGCCCGTAATTTTAATTCCCCAGCTTATTCAAGATCAAGATCAAATACGAATAATTCTAATCTTTCAAATTTTAATAACAATAACAATAACAACACACCTATTCCTATTTTCACAAATAAGAATATCCCTATGTCCCCACCTTCCAAATATAATACTCAAAGCAATTTCACTTCTCCAAAATTGCCAACTCAATCTTTAAGAAAAAAACAGTCCTTTTTTGAAGAATTACCTCTACCTTTGCCAAAAAACTCTTTTAAACAAAATTCGAGAAAAACTAGCTCCCATTTTAACGCCCCAATTCTTTCGAATCAGCAGCAAAATTTTCTTCCTTCTCCTCCTTCCTTAGTACCTCAACCACTTTATCAAAATCAAAATCAAAATCTCCAGTTCAACCAGGTTCCAATTAATTCCCTAGATCAACAATTACTATCACAAAATTTATCCCCAAATCCTCAAGCATTTTCAGCTAAAAACTCAACTGTTTCAAATGTTTCAAACAATCCTTATATCCCCAAAGCGACACCCAATATGCCACCTTCTGAAAATTCTCCAAATTCAAATCCCTATAACCCATATAATAATAAAAAAATTAATACCATTAATAGCAATATTAATAATTTAAATAATAATTTGGGCTTGAGCAACTCTGTCTCCAATCCTCCATTAACAAATAACGACCAAAACTTAAACATAAATTTTAACAATAATAATCCATCGTTCCAGTTATTTCCAAATCAATCAGATCAGTTTTCTCAGCCCATGCCTCATATCCAACAACAACAACAGCAGTTTGCACCTTTACAAAATTATGTGCCAAATCCAAATATGATGCCATTGCAACAATCATCTATGCAATTACCCACAATAACACCAAAATCCACAAATTATTCTTCTCAGCTTCAAAATTCATCATATAACAATTATAATCAAAATAATGCTTTATTAGTCCCCCCTTTTCAGTTTAAATCGCATACGAAAGCAAATGAGTCTACGTTTTCATATTCACCAATTGTACTAACAGAACCTCCTACTAATAGGGATAAAATATCATCAGTAGAAAATCAAGTCAAGCCAAGTTATCAAATCCCTATATTTCAATGGTCTCCCACAGACAAAATTGTTAAATTGGTACCAGTTTTTGATAATTATGGGACCTGCAATGTTTCTATTGAAATTAAACCAGTGAAATCTATTTTAAAGTCTGAACCCTTGATTGAAGCATTTCCAATACTAAATGTGTCTGCAAATGCTACCAGAAATCAAAAATTAAAGACTGAATTGATGAATTGGATCCAAAATAAAATAAAATCATTTTCCTTAGATTCTAATTGCTATGACTATGTTACATTTTTTAATCTTTTGCTTTTAATTCTTAATAATAATGGCAATGTTAATTCATTGGGGTTTATAAAATCGGTGTGTTCTATGTTTAATCCAAAAGTGGATGTTACTTTTGATTCAGATATCTCCTTAAATCCAAATTCAAGATTTGCAAATGATTTTTCTAGATCAAGAGGTTCAACTGTATCCACAGCAATAGCTCTAAATGCGTTTAAATTGGAAAAAGCAAATAACGGGAAATTCTTGGAGCTTCTTGGGAAGGGTGAAAAGTCAGCTGCTCTAAAACTCTGCATAAATGAAAAAGATTGGGGATTGGCGTTATTACTAGCAAATAGTCTTTGTCCAGATAAATATCAATACGTTGCTGATCAGTATATTAATGATATATATAAAAACAAAAATGATTTAGATAGCAAATTGATTAGCTTTGTTCTACATGTGATTTCTCGCTCTTGTTCTTTTCAGAAGCTATTTGAACATGAATGGCAGTTTATTTTAAGTCACTGGAACCAAATTTTATGCATGATTCTTGCAAACAATATTGCATATAAGCATGATTTTAGTGTTTTCTTTGGCTCTTCGTTTATTCAGAATGATTTCTTAAATATCGGACATGTTGTTTTAATGATATTTTTAATTCCAATAAGTTCAATGCCATTAGAATCAGGTTTCACATTTGAAATGATTGGTTATGGGGGAGTTGGAAAAGATATCAGATCCATTATCATGACGGAAATTTATGAGTTTATTTTATTAACATCTGCCGATAACACATTTAATAACAATTATTTTCCACATTTATTTACTGCAAAGTTGATGCACGCTCAATATTTAGCAGATTACGGTTATTTCAAAGAGAGTTTAAAAGTTGCTGAAAATCTCAATTTGATCTTAAAAACGCAGAAATATGCTGTTTCTCAGACTGTTACCGTAGAACTAAGGAATTTATTGGAAAGAATCAACGAGACAAATATCTCTGATGAAACATCTGGGTGGTTTAGCAGCAAATTTGCCAAACCCAAACTCGATAAAATGTTCAATAAATTTATTGCAGGCGATGATGCTGATGATACTTCTCCAAAAGAAGGGGGACTTTTTAGCAAGTTTAATGCATCTTCTGCCACTATTTTGGAAAATGAAAATGACTACTCAAACTATGGTGCATTTACGGGACGCATCAACTCTGTGGCTTCTTCTGATAATTTGAATAATTATAGTAACAAATTACCCAAAAACTCTGTATCTAATTCAAGAAGAACATCCGATTTCAATCCAAGTGCAAGCAAAAGACCAGTATCCTTAGCTCATTCAGATATAGATTCGTCAAATATCGGACCTTACAGCAAAACACCCAATCAACTTTCATCAGCAGCTTCTTCCGGCTTTAACAGTCCTGAACATGTTCATGTTCAATTATTTAAAACAACAAGTAACAGGTATCAGCAAAAAGGTTCTTCAAGAAATTCTTCTGTAATAGCGCTTGATGCATTAAGTTCTCCTGGAATAATCAATACTAAAAAGATTTCTAGGCCAAATTCTCCACCTAATATAAAGAGAAACGGTACGCCAAAGATATTAAGTTCATTTTCACCACAAAAAGGACCAGGATCCAGACCTCCAACAAAAATGAATAATTTTTCTTCGCCCAAAAAAAGTTTCATTAAAGCTTCAAAAAATGCTGGATTTCATGATTCTCCTCAACTAACAAATAAAAACAATCATTATGCGCCAGTTAGAAAAGCTGAACTGAATCATATTTCATCGTTCAGTAAACCTTCAAGTAACAAGGAGGTTTCAAAATACTCTAATCAACTGCAAGTTGACTTGCAAAACAAATTTGTGGCTTCAAAGATAGAAAACCAAAAGAGTTTTTCTAGTGGGGTTGCAACATCAGAGAACTTTTCTAGCTTTGATATTGCAAATAGAAAGACCGTTGCTAGTGGTTCCTATGAAAAACTTGAGAGACAATCTTTTGAAAAAAAAATTGAATCTTCTAAATCATCTTATTCACCAACAACTAATAATAAAGAAAGAAATGCATCAGTTCAGTCCTCAGACAATAGTTTTTTTCCATTAATACAACCAAAAAATAATTTTTCTCAACCCAAGCCTTTGGTGAAGCCCAAAACAACAACCGAACCAATTTTTAATAAAAATTCTCCAGCTCAAACAATAAAAAATAGCAACAAAGAAAACCCATATTCTCCTGTGAGACAAATAAGTAACACAAAACGAAGTGTAAGTTCAAATAAATATGCTCCCACTAATAATAATGTTTCTCAACAACAACAAAACATAGTTGAGACACCAACTGAAGATGCTCAGCCTTATGATTATTACACATATTCGGGATATTCCTATGGTGATGCTTTAATTAAAGAAACAGCTAATGACAAAAGTAAAGCAAGCCCAGTTGAAAATTCAGGTCCTCCAAATCATAATTATTTTGCCCCAAACACACCTCTGGAGCATAACCAAAATGAAATTATTGAAATTAAGCTGAATTCTGAACAATCAGATAAGTTCAATTTTAGAAACATTAATGTGGTCGCAGAAAACCATTCCCCTGCTCCTCCTTTAAATGATTTAACAAATGCTGGCATAGATCATAATTTAGGTAATGATGAGCTGTACTCAAATGTAATAATCATGGATGATATTGTTGATGATGAGGAAGAAGATGAAAGTTCAAAAGAACAAAATACAGCCAAGATACAAACAACTGGTTGGTTTAGTAACTGGTTTAATGGGTCTGATAAAGAAGTGGTTCACAAAGCTAAATTAGGAGAAAAAAATAATTTTGTTTATGACGAAGATCTCAAACGTTGGGTTGATCACAAGGATCTAGAAAAACGAAAAGAGGAAGAAGCTAGGAAGAAAGAAGCTAAGAAAAAAGAAGATAAGAAGAAAGAAGAAGAAAGAAGAAAGAAGCAAGAGACAAAATCACTGGGTTCTAAGAATAGCCAAAAAGGTGGTTTTTTTGGATGGCTTTCAAAACGTGAAAAAAATGAACCCAAAGTTCACGTAGCCAAACTCGGTGAAGAAAGCAAGTTTTATTATGACGAAAAATTAAAAAGATGGGTTAATAAAGATGCGCCACAAGAAGCAGAAACTGCTGCTGCACCTCCTCCTCCTCCAATAAAGAAGAAGACAACTGAGACTTTGGAAGGTAGAGGAAAGGCTGAGTTTTCAGCTTTTAAAAGTGCACCTCCACCATTAGGATCATCAGCGTCTGAGCCTGCAATTAAAATTGGCTCATCAAAAGAAGATGCTTCTGTGCCTGATTCTTCAACTGGATTTTCATTGATAGAAGTTGCAAGTGGAAAAACAATTCCCAAAAGAAGAACAATCAGAAAGAACAGAATTAATTCACCGGCTGATTTATCTATTCTTGATGTTGCATTAGGCAAGTCTCTGCCTGCCATTGGAACTCTTAAAAGCACAAGAGCTGCAAGACGTCGTGCTGCTCGTGCTGCTACCTCATCCAAAATTGCTAATACTGTAGGTGAAGAGAAAAATGACGGCAAGAACGAGGCGATAGAGAAAGATAGCTCTGAACACAAAAGTCCAGCCTTGCCTTTTAATATCAAACCAGAGACCTCCACAAATCCTAGTAATAATAAACCAATCCTTCCTTCTCCAGCTCCTCAAAATTCATATTCATATGTACCAATTTCTTCAGATTTATTTTCAGAGGAGGATTTTCCACTCGAAGATAAGAAAACTAGTTTATATTCAATCACAAAAACTGAAAATATCTCATTAGCTGAAAGTTATGCGAATAATTCGTACACTCCTAACTCCTTGAAAAAATCAGAAAAGGACTCAACTAAAGAAAATGTTGAAAATACAAATATTAAAAATGAAAATATTGAAAATGAAAATATTGAAAATAAAAATATTGAAAATGAAAAAAAACAAATCGACCCAAATACAGAGGCAACAACTATTGATATTGATAATGAAGCTTTAAAACATGTCTCAGGTGATTCTGCAACAGTTAGAGATTCAAATTTATTGGGTTCCACTGAAACTGATGTCAAACCAAATCCTATTGGAACATTAGAAGATCACACAAATATAATACTAGAGAGTAACACAGATGAACCTGAACATAGAGAAGATATCAAAAACAACTTTGAAGGGGATTTTGAAAATGAAAAATTTTCTATTTCAAATTTAAACTCTTCTCCTTTAAAAATTGAGGAAGACATTTTTGAATTTTCACCAATTACTGGTAATAAAAATGATTCGACTGAGTTTGAATTAGAGAGAGATACTGAAAAAAAACTTGATTATGTTGAGCCAAATGTCGTGGCAGGGATGGAATCTAAGTTTGATGAATTAACTATGTCAAACACTATGATGGATCAGCAAGATAACTCTCAATTGGCTGAAGCTGGTGTTAAAGAAGACTTACAATTAAATTTACCAAGTCCTCCAAAATCCAGTCCTCCATTATCACCTCCTATGTCCAATAATTCCTCTTCCCCCTTACCTAGATTATCTTCACCACCTATACTTTCACCTGACTCTCCCTCAGGCCCTCAATTAGGACCACCTCCCCCAACGTTTAGAAACAGGGCAGCAAAGCGTCGTGAAGGCAGAAAAAAGCCTCATGCTACTCCTGATTTCACCCAATTAATGAGCGAAGGAAGAGATAAGTTGATATAGAGTCTGTGCATTTTTGGTCTTATTACTTACATAGAATTGTGTTTTCATATATGGGTTTGTTTTTTTTAGTCTATTTTTCTACTCTGAATATATATCAAGCATTGTCTGGCTACATAAAATTAAACTCGCTGCTCGAGGACTTGACAGTTAAATTGGCCATCCTGAGCATCTTGTTTTTGGAGGACTCTTTGGGCTTCTTGGGTCTGCTGTTTGATTTGTTGGCACCAGCTCCCATGTTCTTAGGAGTTTCTCTCAAGCCAAAGCTTTTGGCGATGTGCCCAAGATGTAGCTTTTTGACGTTGAAGCAGTCCTTCTCGCTGTTCAAGTGAGTGGTGTAGGCTCTGATGTGAGAAATAAAGGCGTTTTTGGAAAACTCAAGAACACTGGGAAAAGCCAACAACCATCTCTCGACGTTCAAGTGCCATGTCGTTGCTTCAATGTCCCACTTCGACCTTTTGCTGTTGGGATCAGCATACACTTTCTTCAATATCTCATCGTACTGGATTTTCTGGATTTGGCCATTGGTGTGATACTCTTTGATTTTCTCAACATAGTTTTCTTCCAGCTCAGGAAACAAAAACAACATAGCATTACCTTGGTTGCCCACTCTTGCTGTTCTTCCAACTCTGTGCAAATGATCTTCAATTGTGAAGGGTGGATCATACTCAATAACTGTTGACACGAGGGGCAAGTCCAATCCTCTCGAAACAACGTCTGTGCAAAACAACACCAAATTTTTGTCACTGTTGATCTTGGGGTTTGAAAAATGGTTGAGAGTGAACGATCTTAGCTGTTGAGTTAGTGACCCATGCAATTTATAAGCAATTGTATTTTCACCAATCAATGGAGCACTGGATATGGTGACGTTTTCATCAGCACTGTCATTGTTAGAGTTATTGTTGGCGCTCTTGCTGTTTTTACTGTTTCTATTGTATTTATCGTTATTCTTGTTAAGACTTCGATCTCTATCAGAAGACTTGTTATCGGCTTCTTTCTTTTCAGCTGGAACAATTTTTCTTCCATTTCTCGAGAAAATTTTGAAATGAAAATCAACAGAATCTGAACATGACAAAAATACAATTATTCTTGAGCCAGTGTTACTGTTTTGATTCTCAGAGGAAAGGTTATGTAATATACCATTTAACGAGACTAATCGTAATTTTGGCGGCACAATTATTGCCTGCTGTAATAATTGATCAGGAGCACTTGATATTTCTTTGTTATTATTGAATGTCTCATTTACATTACCAGTATCATCGTTATTGAATGTCACAACACCATTGCCATTTTCCTCATTTGCATTGCTGCTGATTAGTAGTGGATTATTTAAAGATATTTCTCCCAATTTTTTGACGTTGTCTTTCAATGTTGCTGAACATAATATTGTAACTCTTCTATTCGGTAATTCGGGGTACAAATTCAATAGTTCAGCAGAATTTTCATTATTTTTCGTTTGTTCTTCAATGTTTTGAATAATTTCAGTTAAAGTTTGCTCAAATCCCAATTCCATTAATTTATCACCTTCATCTAAAACCAAGTACTTGAGAGATCCTAAATCCAAATTTTTGGTGGATTTAATATGATCTAAAAGCCTTCCAGGTGTAGCAATTAGTATATTTATACCCTTTCTTAATCTGGCTTTTTCACTTTTCTTTTTCTCACCGCCAATGACAAATGTTGAAACAATATTAACAGAGATTTTTGAAAGACGATCCAAAACTGCGTGGATTTGCAAAGCAAGTTCTCTTGTTGGAGTTAATATTATGGCAAATAAACCAGAATCTCTGTTGATTTGGTTTTTAAGAATCATCAAGTTATTGAAGATTGGTAGTAGAAAAGCCAAAGTTTTTCCAGAACCAGTTTGAGATTTAATAAATAAATCGTTTTTGAAATTGTTATTTTTTTTAATCAAATTTGGAATTGAGTATTTCTGAATAACTGTTGGTTCCGAATAATGCAATTTTTCATTTAAATATTTAGCCAATTTTGAATTTATTCCCAAGTCTTCGAAATTGGAGTTTTTCAAAGGTGCATTTGAAGGGATAACGAACTGATTTTGAGATTTATTTTCTTTTTCCTTTTTTTTTTCTTTTTCACTTTCACTTTCACTTTCATTATCACTATTGTTATTGTTATTGTTATTATTATCTTTCTGTTCTTCTATTGCTGATCTCTCACTCGATGTAAATAAAGAAGAAACAAAAGAACTATTTTTTCCACCAAATTGGCCATGTTTTTCTTGATATTTGGGTTTCTTGAGTGAAGCACTTCTAGAACTATTGATTGTATCATTTTGATCTCTTTTTCTTTTGTGCTCTAGATTTGAATTATTAGAATTATTAGAATTTAAGGAAATTTTATTAGGATTTTTGGAGTCGTTTTTCGCAGTTTCTTTGTTATCTTTACTCTGATAATTTTGATTGTTTTTATAATTGTTCAGATTAGGAGTTGATTTTCTTTTAGAATTTTGTATAAGTTTTCTTCTATCTTTCCACCTTCCTCCCACAATTTTAGTTTTTGTATTTTTTGAAGTGGTGGATGGAGAAGTGGTATCAGTAGCAAAATTCAACAACAATCCATCGTCGTAATCCATTTTAAATGATTTTAAATGATGCCTATAGACTGTTTAATATTTATAATATTTATAATGTTTATAATATTTATAGTATTTATAATGCGATAAATAGGTTCAAGATTTGAACAATTCAAAAATTAAAATTTCAGAATTTTCTTTTTCTTTTTTTTTTTTTAATTTAAATTTAAATTTTAATAAAAACTTAAAATTTTCCATTCGAAACGGATAAAAATTGAAATTAAAATTAAATTAAATTAAATTGGATTATGTTGATTTTGATCAAGACATTTTGATTGGAGAAATTATAAGGGATAAAGACTATGGTAGAAGAAAGACAAGGGTTGTTTGTTACTGAAGAAGATGAGGAATCTCAGTTGGAATCATTGGTAAACCAAATTGATCCTGCTATTGGAGAAGGTGGAACAGATGAAGCAGGGTATTATGAAGAAGAAATGGAAGTGGATCTGCACCAAGAATTGTACGATCAGGTTCAATTTTCTGGGAACAGAGAGGCAATGGAAGAAGGTGAGGACTATGAAGTGTATTATGAAAATGAGTACAAAGATGATGACGATGATGATATTGATGATCCAGTTATACAGGAAATAGCGATTTTTTTCAATCCTCTTCGAGTAGATCCAGAAGAAATTGAAGAAAGAAGGCAAATGAAAGAAAAGAAAAAAAAAGAAAGCGAGGCACAAAGCATAATTGTTGATGAAAGCGACGAGGAAAAAAGTGGAAGCAACAAAAGCCAAGAAGATGGTCAAGACGATGGTGAACAAAATCAAAACTTTGAAGAAGAGAATTTTGATCTTCTTAGTTTGGAATTCAAGAAACTCAACGTTTTGCAATATCCAACGAAACACTCAATAAAGTCGTTCAAACATGTTTACGAGACACGAATGAAAGTGAACTCTGAGTTGGTCGAGTTGGATATCCCCATAAATACAGAGAAATTCTACAACTACCAGAAGGGGAGCCAGTGGAATGACTTAAACTACCAAACTTTGGGTGGAAAGTTGGAAAAATCAGATGGCTATTATATTGGAATCATCAAGGACAGTGGCAAAGAGAGCGAGAAAGCAGATTCAAACACAAAGGGCATAGTTCGAGACAAGGAGATTGTTTTGACACCCATCGAAAAGATAGCACAACTAAGACCAGTATTCCATTATATTGATGCTGAAAACGAGAGCAGAAAGCAAATGGAAAGGTTTGCAGATGGGGGAAACAATGGCTCGAGCAACACCCAGAGTGGGAACAACATCAATGTCCAGATTGTCCAGATGAGTGCAAAGACCAACGACGAGAATGCCCCCAGGTTGAGTGGGGCCTTGAAGACCTTTAAGAAGTTCAGTGAAGAAGAGTTTGTGAGCTTGGATTGGTACAGTGATGACTTAGAAGAGTCCAACGAGACGAGAAAGCTTCTCTATCACCAACCACAGAGGGACGAGGAGCTGGGACTCATCGTCAACAAGGAGAAGAAGCTCGTCAGCAACACCACAGAAGCAGAGTATTTCGAGCTCTTGATTAACAATTGACGCTGTAGTGCTACCAATGGCAGTTGCAGCGATATTATATAGATCTATAGCACGATTTCTCCATGTTCTGTTGAAGCTCGAGCAATTTAGGTTTGACTCCAGTATTTTGACATTTGCAGCGAAAATCAGAATTGATAAAACTGGTGAGACTCCAGATGAGACTCCAGACGACTTTGGTAGAGCAGAGCCATGGACCACAGAAGAAGCAGCAGAGGCAGCAGCAGCAGGAGTAGCAGGAACAGCTTAAATCTCCCAGCCAGTGGCAAAATCCAGTCGCTAGAGCAGTTAAAGGTAACTGTGAGAGTGCTACTTGCAATCATCTCGATCCTTGTTCTTCTCATAGCAGGCATTTTGGCGTCGACGTTTTTGCCCACAAGAAGCAGCAGCACAGTTGATAGAGACAATGCTGACGATGACACAGCAGTTGGAGATGAAGATGCTGCTGGTGCTTCAGACTTTGTCCTTCATCTCCGGGGCTACGAGTACACTGATTTGGAGTTTCCAGTACTGTTCAACAACAAAGAAGACGAGCAGGAAGACGATGAAGGGAAATACCAACGAGAAAATGCTACTTTGTTCACTTTATGCAGAAATTCAGAGCTATATGATGTTCTCAAGACCATACAGATTGTTGAGGATCGATTCAACAAGAGATACCACTACGACTGGATCTTTCTCAACGACAAGCAGTTCACTCCCCATTTCATCAAAAGCGTCAGAAATTTGGCCAGTGGTAACGTTTACTTTGATCAAATCGACGTTGAAAAGCAATGGTCGTATCCTGAGTTCATCGACCAGGCTTTGGCCTACCAATTGCGAAGTGAAATGGCCAGAAACGATGTTTTGTATGGCAACTCTGAAAGCTATCGACATATGTGTCGCTTCCAGTCTGGGTTCTTCTTCGACACTGCGTTGCTCAACAAATACAGGTATTACTGGCGAATAGAGCCAGGAATCAAGCTCTTTTGCGATATCAACTATGATATATTTGCGTTCATGAGACTGAACGAAAAGAAGTTTGGATTTGTCATATCGATCTATGAATACAGAGACACGATAAGCTCGTTGTGGTTGAACTTGAGGCCCTGGTTGCTCGACCACTTGGAGTACATACATAACAACTCTCTTATCGACTGGATTTTAACGTATCCTAACAAGCACAGAGACAGCTTATCATCTTTCAGGGACTATCAGCAACTCTCCATCGAGGAAAAGGTGCTCAATGCTGACTACAATTTGTGCCACTACTGGTCGAACTTCGAAGTTGTTGATTTGGATTTCTACAGGTCCAACGAGTATCGAGAGTACTTTGAGTATTTGGACTCGCTTGGAGGCTTCTTTTATGAGCGATGGGGAGATGCTCCAATCCACTCAATAGCAGCTTCGTTGTTTCTCTCAAAGAACGAATTGCATTGGTTCGACGACGTTGCCTATTACCATGCTCCTTACTTGTCCTGTCCATTGAGTGAAGAAACACGACTTCGAAACAAGTGCACTTGCAATCCCATATCTGACTTCACTTTTGATGACTACAGTTGCACAAGAAACTGGCTCTATTTGATGAACCAACAGAGTGCAATAAGCGATTGGGAATCGTTCAAGGTCCAGGTTGGTCAAGATTATGCCTTAAGAAAATACAGTTATAACAAATCTTAACTTTCAGAATCGTATTATATATTATGTTTGGTTTATATACTATATATTGTTGATGCTGATCATGTTTTTATTTTAGGTCTGCTATAGGAATAATTGATAAAATGAATGAGAGATAAGGACAAAATGAATGTGTGTAATGGAGCAGTCAGTTGAGTTATTAAGAAACTAGGTCTTGGATGAAAAAAATTAAAAAATAGTATTAGCTGAAGAAATAACTGTTTGAATACCGAAAAATGGACACAGAATAAAAATAAAAAATAAAAAATAAAAAATAAAAAATAAAAAATAAAAAATAAAAAAAATAAAAAATTAAAAATTAATTATACCTTAATTATAAATTAATTATAATTAAGTACAGATTAAAACACTTCAGTAATAAAATCGTCTTATTCAGTTTAATTTAAAGCACCAAATAAATTTAGAGGTTTAATCAATAAAATAATGGCAAAATAAAAAAAAACATAGAAACATTAAACAATTCATTCTAAAATGATAATTGTAAAAGAAAACAAATCTCATAAGTGATAATTAGGTTTTAAATAGAAATTCAATTCCAAATAAGCAGCATAAAAAAAAGATGACCCATCAACAAAACAAAATAAAATGATCAAACGTATAAAAAAATAACAATAAAATTAATAAAATCAAAAATGAAATGAAAAATTGAATCAAAAATTAAAAAAAAAAATATTTTGATTTTAATACTTTGAAATGATTTCCTTTCTTGTTTTTTAATTTGTTTTTAAATTTTTTTAAATTTTTTTATCTTTTTTTTATTTTTTTCTTTTGAAAGTTAATCTAATTTTCTAATTTTGAAAATTTATGTGAACAATAAAAATAAAAATAAAAAAAATTAAATTAAATTAAATATATAAAAACCAGCAGTTTTAAAAAACATTACTTGATAGTATGAATTGTTAAATTTACAGGACTATTGAGAAAAAAAAAACACAAAAAAAAAAACACAAAAAAAATATTTCAATATTAGATAATAAAATAATAATAAAAGAATTATGGTTATTGTAATTGATCATCTTTCTTAAAAGAGTCTAATCGAAAGCTTTCTCTTGTTTGGTTTAAAGATCTTGCACTAACGCTACTTGAGGACCTTCTTCTTTGTCTTCTAGCAGCAGTCGGATCGATGAATTTATTTGAGGAGACTCTAGCTAATAAACCAAGGATATCTGTTACAGAGACGACACCGATTAATTTACCAGATTTGCCCTCATATTCGGTATTGATGATTGGGACTTTTAGCGCTGTTGGAGTTGAAGGTGTGGTTGAAGAAGAGGAAGCAGAGGAAGGTGCTGTGGTTGTTGTTGTTTGTTGAGTTGAAATTAAGACTGGGTTTGGAGTAGAAGAAGGAGAGGGAGTTGGTGATTTTGAGCTAGCAGATGAAGGTTTAATTGGAATTGGAGAGGATAAAGATGAGTTTATTATAGTGTTTTGAGCAGTAACGGAAGAGGAGGATGAGAAGGAAGGCGAGTGAGTTTTTGGTTGAACAATCCAGAGACGATGAGCTTTTGTTGCTACCAATTTGGCAATAGTTCTGCCAAAGGAGGTTGATTTATTTACATGGAAAACTGGGTACGAGTCCTTACCATCTTCCAAACCTCTTGAATTGAGGATAACTGAGATGAAATGTAGACAAGACTTGTATAGTAATCTTGTTTGAGAGCCCATTGTTACGTGTTTGACATCAGTTACAGAGATGTTACCTAGAAGATTGTTGTTTCTATCAACAACGGCTATTGAGGAGATTTTGTCAGAGTTCATTTTAATTAAAGCGTCGATTAAAGGTTGGTCGCCATAAATAGATATAACAAAGTTTGAGCCAATGTTCAATTCGTTTAGAGTCATCGACCAAAGGGTTTCCAACGATGGAAAGTGTTTTGAATTGTCAAACAAGTATTTGATTAGTCTTCTTTGAGATAGAATACCAGTTATCCTTGGGTTTTTTGGATCTGAATTTACTATTGCTACTCTATGAACACCGGAGCCTAATACTTCAACTACATCAGAAAGAGTTTGAGTGTCTTCATTTAATTTTATAAAGGGGTTTTTAGGAGATAGTTGGCAGACGTATTTGATTGGGATTTGGTCACCTCTTTGAGCTTGTTTGATTATATCCATTGTAATGAAGTCGGTAATGTGATTTTGAGAGTTGAATTTGTTGTTCAAATTAATTTGGTCGATATCTGATTGAGTGAATTTTAATTTGCCCAAGACGACTAATAAATAGTTATTTAAATCAGTGTAGTCAAAAGTAGTGCAGTTAATGTCGTCTTTAAAGGATTCGACAGGCAATGAGGTTAAATTGTGAGAGATTAGAGTTTTGAAAGCATCTTCGACAGAGATATCAGATTGAATAAAGATTAGTTTAGCCTTTTCAATTAAAGAGGTGAGTTTAACGTCTTGCCAATCTCTTGAATGAAGATGGAAGGAGTGATGTGTGATATTGTTGGCATTGACGCTGGTGTGGCTATTAGATTGCTGGGGGTTGGTTGTAATTGAAGGAGAGGTTGTTGTGGATGTCAAGTTGGGGTGATTGTGTTTGTGAAATCTTTGGGGATGAGTAATGGAGGGAGTGTGGGAATGAGAGTGGGAATGAGAATGGGGATGGATGTTTGAGTAGCTGGAGATGGAAGAATTGTCATCGCTGATTAAAGCATTGTCATCAAAGGCGTCGATGTTAGAAGACCTGTGGATATCAACAACAGATGGCTTTCGAGAGGAATTTGCTGACGAGCTGGGAGTAGTCTTGAAGGGTTGCGACATTGAGAGTGGATGAGGAAGCAGATGAAGACGAGCAGAAGGAAGAACAAGAGTTATCAGGAGCAGACAGTGGGCACCTAGCAGTCAGTGGAGAGCAAGCAGAAGAAGCAAAGGAAGCAAAGGAAGCAGAGGAAGCAGAGGAAGAAGAAGCAACAGCAAGAGCTCAGAAGCACAAACACCAAAATCTCCCCACGCACGATGCACGTGACTTAAAACGGAAATCTGTGGAAACCCATGGGTGCGGAAATCTCTTTCCACGTGGGCACGTGCTGCTGAATTTCACGTGCGTTCTGTGCTGCTTGTGCTGCTATAGATGTTTTCAAAATGTTTTCAAAATGTTTTCAGGGGCTGCGTGACCAGGAACGCGACATGGAGCGTCTATCTCGGTGCTCTCGCTGCCGAAATGCCCTGGGCTGTGTGGGAGGAGCTCGGTACACACGTCGGTTGCTGCTTCTTCCTCTGGAATAGCTTCTTCTCCTGGAGTAACTTCTTCTTGAGGGGTCTCTTTGCAATGGCGACCTGGATCTTCGCTGCAACACTGATCTGCTTTGGTTCTGCTGCTGGTAAATTCTCGCACTTCGCTCTCGACCTGGTCCAACATCATCTCGATTTCTCGATCTACCTCTGGGGTTCCACTTTTTTCTTTCAGCTTCGCTACCACTGTCACTGCTTCTTCTTTCGTGTCTTCTTCTGTCATAATCACTCTCGTTTTCACTCATGCTTACTCCAAAATCGTCACTATCACCATCGCTATCACCATCGCTATCACCATCGCTATCACTATCACTATCACTATCACTATTGCTATTCTTATCACTTTCATTCTGACTCTCACCTTCGCTTTGACTATTACCATTTTCACATCCCTCTTCCTGTTCTTGTAGCTCTCTTTCTTTTTCTCGTCTCAATTGAGCCTCATCTAATTCCTCTCTCATGTTTTCTGTCAATACACCCAATCCAATTGCTGTAAAATAATTGATACAAAATGTCAATCTTCTGATTAATTTCTCTTCCTCATCTTCTTCCTCTTCCTCACCATCTTCCTCACCATCTTCCTCTTCACTACTATTTTCTTCCTTTTTTTCCTTCTCTTCTTTCTCTTCAACTTTATCTTTTCTTTCTTTCCTTCTAAACTGGTTTCTTTTATCTTCCATTTTCACTATATCCTCCTTTTTATACTTAAAGCTAGGAAATAACCCAGTTATATATGGTCTCAATTCTTCTTCGTCCAACCGTTCTTTCAACACTTTAACCCCAATCTCCTCAACTATCTCTTCGAACAAAAACCGAATAAATATTCTCTTCAAACTCTCATTTAATTTATCGTTGATTTCAATCATCAAAAAAAAATTTTCCCATTTGATTATATTAAAACTAATCAAATGTCCAATTAGTTTTCCAACATTTTTCAAATAATTATTATTAATACTTCCATTATCATTTAAAGAATCTTCGTCAATCTTATCAATCAAATTCTCTTTAACCACTTTTAAAAATATTTCCTCATTTCTATAATTTCGTAATTCAATAAACTTCTCCAAAATGTTCCCAAAATATTTATCATATGTCTTTTCTTGCCCACATGTTTTGATGATTATATCAATACCATTATAAACAAATAAATTAAATCCTTCTTCCTTGAATTCTTTATCAATATTCCCATATCGGTTATTATTGTTAGAATTAAAATTGGAATTGGAATTCCGTTCATAAAATCGATTATTACTACCATTATAATTATAGTAATTCCCATTGTTTATTTTATTACTCTTTTCATGTCCCTGCTCATGGTAAAGCTCATAAATATACTTGTTAATTAATTTATTCATCTTATGGACAGCTTCATCCCCAGTTATCGAGGCCTTCACTGTAAGATAAACATCTTTTTGAAATCTTAATCTTTCATTTTCGGTCAAATCCTCAAATTTTCCTTCATCTTTAACTTCAATTTCTTTTTCTTTTTCTTTTTGTTTTTGTTTTTCATCTTCATTATCACTGATATTATCTTGATCTTCTTTTTCATTCTTTTCTTCCTTTTCATCGCTTTCTTCTTCTATTTTCTCATCAGGTAACCCTAAATCATCCAATACTTCGCTTTTAAATTCTTCATAATAGTCTTCGTTTTCTTTGTACTTTTCATCAAATTCGAAATAATTTAGCTCCATTTCATTCTTTAAATTCTTATCATCTAAATTTATTAAATGACAAATTTGTTCACTTTCATCAATTATTATCAAATTATTATTCTCATCGCCATTAGAATTACTGTTTTCGTTATAAACACCTAATTCTTTGGGAAACCTGCGAAATTTGGAAAAATTATCCTTTCGAATTTGAAACAATTCTTCAATTAAATATTGATTTTTTCCACTCAATTTGAAACTATTATTTCCATTGCCCTTTTGATCTCTTTTATCCTTATTATTATTCAAGTTAATATTATAAATATTATCCTTGGTTGATCCAGTTGAATACATTAATAAAATGATTCTTAATTTTTTTAAAAAGTAGTTTAACATTTTAATATCTTTATAAACCAAATAGTTTCCAATTTCTTTAATTAAATTGATCGATATCTCTATCGAATCATTTGATAAATTATCCAAATTGTCATTGATTAACAATGATAATATTTGATAAATTAAAACCTCATTAACAATTTGAAAATTAAACAATTCACTTAGAAACTTTATTATTGATATAACTTTGAACTTGTCGTCTTTAATGAAAAATTTCCGAAAATTAATTATCAACCTTGATATCAATAAATTACCAATCGATGGAATCTTACAGTTTATTATTGATACAAGATATGAATATATTTTGGTGAAAAAATTTGAATTTATTTGATTTTTTATTAATATATCCACAAATAACCCCTTCAATTTAATCAAGTTTAAATCATTAATCAAAGGATATAAAATTTCGTTAAAATTGTTAAAATTAATCTTGTTTAATAAATTGTGTAACTTTTTTTCATCTTCAATCCATTTCGATCGCTGATAACTCTTTGAAAACTGTAAATTCAACAATCTATTAGATTCAGGATCCAACGCCAAATCAAGCTGATCTATCTTCAATTTTATTGAGTTGAGTTTGATAGAAGGTACAAATCTCCTAGAATAGATTAACTGATTGTATTGTCTCCTCAATGCCTCTCTCTGCTGTACTAACTGGTCCCTGTCTTTGTTGGGTTGGTGGTCAGCGCCTCTATCATTGCTAATAGGCTCCAGCACATTGATCTCAGCAGCATCTGTGGTAGGCCCATTTCCCTTTGCTGTCTCTTCCATTTGAACTCCTCTTGAATCAATGTCTTTTCTTTTGATTTCCTCCAAAAGATTTCAGCTTTTTTTTCCAATTCAAAGAATTGCCTCTTTTGTTTGTTGCTACATTAATTGTTGCTATTTATGGTAATTCCGTTTTAATATACTACCATAACGGGTACTGCTTTTTCTGAAATCCTACAACAGTCGGCAAGTCTAATATAACCAACAGAATGCTAAGTGTTAAGCAAAAAAGTAATCATAAAAAAGACAAAAAACCAAAATATTTATATTAAAACATCACCCATATTGATTACTGATTTTAACAAGAAAATATTAGACATTTTAAGAGTTTTTTATCGTTTCTATTGATTTGGTGCTCTTAAAGACTAAACATCGAAACACAATATTCAGAACAGGTATCAGGTATAAAACGTAGAGATAAAGATTGTACAACTTTCCGCGGCCCACTCCATGGTATCCGCGGAAGCAAACTAGCCACAGATTCAGCCTTGGCACACGTGTAATGTTTTCGAGTCTAAAACAAACTGCGAAAAACCGTGAAATTTGACTGTTTTTTCCAGCTTCTGAAGAGAAACGGAATTTTTGGAATAAAAACGGGAGCTGTCAAATAAATTGGCTGTTGCTATGCAGTAAAATTACTAAATTTGGGAAGTCCGACCTGGCAGGACGCCTATTGGTAGAGCCAAAAGTACACCGTTGGAAACTGGCTGAATGGATTTATCAAGGGATATCATGTTATTGGACTATTTATTTTCTAGTTTTACAATTAAAGCAAATTTAAACGGAATAATAAGTGTGATATATGTATTTCAAGTCATAACAGATCATAATCCAGGCATTAAGGCTTGTGGATGTAGAAACAAAAAAAAACTAAAAGAAAAATAATATTATATAGTGATGAAGAAATAAAACCCTGGTCGTTTTTTAAGAAAACAGCATAGTAAAAAAAAACAAAGAATTGAAGAGCAAATGATGTTAACGAAAAATAATGCACACTAATTTAAAACCAGGCCATAATCCATATTGGTAATTATTGAGTATTTTAGATAATTTAATTTCTAAAGTCTGTTATTATATGATAATTAAAAGGTTACTTTTTTGAGGTTTTACTTGAGAGTTTATAATTTTTTTAGGATTTTTGAGGATTTTTATAATTTTTTTAGGACTTTTCAAAGGATTTTTTATAGAATTTTTATAGAATTTTTATAATTTTGGAATTCCTAGTTGCCAAAGAGCAAGCTTAATTGAAATTAGAATCAACATTGTATTCTTCGTAAACATCAGCCCAATGATCAGTTTGTTTGATAGAGATAAATTGACGCCTGGCACCATTTAGCAATGCAACAGAGGAGTATCTTGGTAAAGCAGAAGCAATAGCTTTCAAGGTGGATGAAGTTAATGTAGTTGGAACCATTTTGAAATTGTTGTGATAAGAGTAGTTTGTGGATCGATAAGTTAATTGATGAGATGACTAGAGATTATAATAGCTAGAATTGTTGATTGTCTAATTTAATGTAGAGAAATGGTTTAAGAGAATAGAAAAACGAAAGAAAAAATCCTTATATTTATATTGTTCTTGAAACAGAGACATATAATAAAACATTAAGAAAATATTGCACCTCACAACTTGGGATCCAAAAAAAAAAAGAAAGACTATTGGATGAAGAAAGAGTTGCTTGAAGATTCTCTGAAAAGCACCTCACCAACATTGCTGGATTAGGCAGGTAGACCAATATTCAACGAGTGAGATAGCTGGATATGTTAGGAGATGATGAGCATAACAGAAAATCGAAGCTTGGGAAAAAGGATTTTTTTTTGGTTTCTATCTCAGTGCTGTCGTGCATCAGCTCCAGAACCCATCGAGTGTCAGCCTTTCGCTGGTGGTGGTCTCAAAAACAACCCCTAGGTGGGTGCTAATTAATCGGGAACCACTTCAGCACAGTGGTGAAACAGTTTTCTTATGTAATCCGAGGACAGGTACATGAATAATTGCTTCCGACCAGAGGGAAGTCTGTCCCAGACTATCATCCCTAAAGAGAAAGTGTTCCTTTTCTTATTTTCCTGGAGGGGAATACTCAGCTGGAAAGCAACCGCAACCCACCCAGTTTTTCACAAGATAGTGTCTTTCTAGAACCGTTGGATATCGCTGATTCACTCAAATTGACAACAAAGAAAACCAGAAGCACCTCCATTATTATATTCTATGAAATGCTACTGATTTCAAGAATTACCGTTGACAAAAAGAACAGAGAGGAAAAAATTATTGATGCCAAAAATACTGGTTTTTCAGGCGTAAAAAGGAAAGAATTTGACAAATTGCCACTCTTTCACACTCCTGAATCCTTTGATAGATGATTGCTGTTATATATATTGTCTTGAGGGGATTGTCCCGCTTTTCGACTCCACCACGGTCTGGCATGTACGCGTGAGGACTGAGAAATGCGCAAATAGAGTTCCAAAAAGTAAACAAAAACCCGCCATCAAAAGCGATTGATCGATCCAAAAACAGGGCCACCAACACATCACATGACTTTATAGCATAATTTCTTAGTAATAGTACTTCACGTGCCTATAATGTGCCACGCCAGAAGCTCCAAATTGCTGATAAGATGAGAGATTTGAAAAGTTTTTTTTGAACTGAGCAACTATCTGTAAATCTTTTTATATTGACCTGGTGTCATAGTTTTGCCCTTTACTCCCCAAAGTCCAAGTTTCTTCTTTTTGGCGTTTTCCTGGTGTTTTTCATACATCTCTTTCTTGTTATCGAATTCTGCACTTGTTTTACCTTCATAAACTATTCCAATCCCATTTTTGATCATTTCCTCACTCACGTCTTTATTAAAAAACCCAAATTTCTTAATTATAACCTTACTGACAACTCTATTATACATGTCGATTCTCAAGGGTTTGATCCAGATTTTTTTGTTCAATATATAATTTCTCAACCAATTTAAACTTTCATCTGAAAATGGCTGGCTTGGTTTACCAAAATGTGATCTTTCTGGCGCATCAACACCACATAATCTAATATGCAATGTTTCATTTTTTAATTCTTTTCGATTTGTTCCAGGAAATCTCAACCAATACCATCCACCTATGATACCACCTGGCGTATGAAAAAAATGAAAATTATCTCCATCTCCAACCGATGTTACTTTTCCTGATAAAAACCTCTTATGGAAATACTTTTGAGGAATATCATGGCAGCTACTAATTCTCTTGAAGTATTTGCCATATATTTTTCGGCTTCCAATTAATGACCCAGTAAGAAGTAACGTATACAAAATTATATCATTATAATTTCTATTTTTGTTATCTAGACTATTTGATGAATTTATAAAATATTTACCAGATCTGCCACCCTTCAAATCATTTTTACTTTTCGTAATCATTGTTATTAAAAGATGTCTTTCTCTTCTTTTTTTACACTTCACACTTCACTGTGTGGCCTTCATCGCTATTTCAGCCTTTTCTATTCGAGATGTTGAAGATCCGTTCCTATGGTATTAAAGAGTCTTTACTACTTGCAAACTTCCTTCCAAGCATTCTCACGTTTTAAGAGGTGGTATGATTCATAAAAAGAGGGTGTTTGCCTCTATTGTTACTATTTTACTATTCCTTGCCAGAATGGTAATCAATATTATCCCAGTTGTGCAATATTGTCACGAGAATTCCTGGGATGGAGAAACATTTCAGGACTGCCCTACATTTTATATCTAACAAATTACCATTTCAAGATTTTGTTTAATTTATGAGTGAAATAATTCAAAGAATTGAAAACCTTATTTTTCTATAATTTCAAAATTATCTATATTGAATTCTAATTTAATGCTAAGCTTTCTTTATGAAAGTCAAATAAAAATAAAAGAAATTAAATTAAAGTAAATTAAATTTAAAACTACTCAAAATTATGATCAAAAAAATCACTTGTTTAATTACACATAAACCAACAAATCAAAAACTCAAAACCAAAATAACTAATAATTAAAAATAAAACTGGTAATTATTTCTTAATAGAAGCAAGTATTTGAGAAAGATCATTTGGATCTAGAATTGTGACCTTGGAACTACCCGTAGCAAGTTTTGGTTCTTTTTCAACTAAATGAGCAACAATTTTTGCAATCTCTTCATCATATATAGGACTCAAAAAGAGTTTACTTAAAAATGTGCCATGAGCCGTTGCAGCAATTGAAAGAAATGCTTCTTGCCACAAGCCATCACCCTTCTCTCTTTTACCAATCAATGTCCCAGGCCTAACAGTGATTGTTCTGTCGAATTTTAAATCTATAACATCTTGATCTAACTCGCCCTTCATTTTAAGATAAGGAAACGTGGATGATTTATTCGCACCCACACTTGATATTAGAATATATGTGCCAATACCAGCTTCTTTTACAGCTTTAGCTAACTCTAGATTTAAATCATGATCAATTTTGTATTGATCAGCAAAAGAATTCACATTTTTTCGCGTGGTTCCCAACCCTGAAAAAAATATATCAATAGTTTCTTTTTCACTTAGAGATTTTGTTATATCTGGTCATTGAACTGAGTCACTTGCAACAATTAGTTCAGATTTTGGATTTATTTCTTTATTTATCAACTCCTGTCGAGCAATTGGGAACACGTTGGAGAATAAAGACGATTTATCATATTCTCTAAAGAAAGCATTTCCAACCTAACCTAGTAGGACCAACAATAATTGCCTTAACAGTAGCATCCATTGCAGACAATGAAAACAAATAATTTTCCAATTTAAAAATAAAAATTGCTGAATCACCAAAATAATAACGATATCAAAGTCATAAACTGAATCATCAGTTGTTTATATAGTTTTTTACACTGTTAGACAACGGGTTTAACGTTTTTAAGTTCGAACTTCGAATCGAATAATGACGAGCAAAAAAAAATTAACCATAAAGATTGGGAACAAATGGTAATGGAACCAAGTTCTTAAATAATTGATTCAAGTCTTGATGTTAATAGAACTGTTGAAGTCAGTAGCAACAGATTTAAAGGATCTCCTGTCTCGTTCGACTTTAGATCTTCTCCGATCCTTTTTCAATAACGCTTCAATGGCTTTAGAATTTGAAAATAATTCAACAATAAATTTTCTTGCTCCAGGCTTGTACTTGGTGTTTTCAAGTAGATTCATTGCACCAAGAAATACTTCAGCTGTATCAAATTTATCTCTATATTTTGATCTTAACTTATTCAACAGTTTCCCTCCTTGACCCATTAGCATTGGAACACACAAGTATGATATAGAAGTAAATATTTTTTTAACTATTGCATCTGATGTCTCCAAATCCTTCGAAGAAGTGTCATAAATAACATTTTTTTCAGAATCTACATCCAATACTTTCAAGGTTTTGTCTCTAAAATCTTGATTAAAAGTTTCTTCATTGCCTCTATTAAATTCATCATCATTTTCAGTTCCCAGTTGATCCAGAATATTAGTGGTTCTTAAAATCTCATTTGAGTCATAGTTGTAATCACCAGAATTGTTTCTGTCGAGATCGCTCTTGCTTCCCAATTCATTAGTTTTATTACTAAAGTCTTTGTTTTGGCTTTCACCATTATAGTTCTCTTTACTAGTAGCAATATCATAAACATGAAAATCAACTTTATAGTCAAAATTGTTCATGTGTTTTTTATTTTCATTTTTGTTTTGATTTTGAGTCAGGGTTTTATTGTTGTTTTTATTTTCTTTATCAAAACTGGCATGTTTCTTAATGGTGCAAGCATTCTCAACGGCTTTTGTTTCAAAACCGTTACCAAAATACTCATTCAAATTTTTCGGAAGACATATACCTATTGGATTATTATTTATATCAAACGAAATATCCCATCCATATTCATCCAAACATTCTATACCATCTTGAGTATTAGCAATTAGCCCCACAACAAAAAATGCTGTACCTTTTAAACTCCAAATTTTACTCATCTTACAGATATAAATTATTGTTGGTATAATACCACTTTTATCAACCAATTCTATCGCAAAATCAGATAAAGCAATATGCCCAACTGCCCATAAACAACCCTTCAACTTAATAATATTTTCCATATTTTCACACTCGTCTTTCAATGCATTTATTGTATTGACAAATGATTGAAAGTATGTCGTTCTTGATAATAACTCGTTTCCTTCCTCTGTCTTGACCAATTCTCCAAAAAAGTGATGGGGTAATATTTTTTTTTGAAAGAAGATATTATAATCATCAATAACTTTTACATCTTCATCGCCGTCAGAATCTAGCATGTTTCTGCTCAATCTATTTTTGTTTGATTCAAATTTATCATCAACTTTATTAAGTCGAAAAAACTGAAAGGGCGAATATTCATCAAATAGCAAACTTTCTATTTCTAGCACGTATAAATCATTTTTTCTGTTAAACCAATCATCCATTTCATTCTCAATTAAATCGAACTCACTCAAATAATTAAATCCCAATGGCGATGATAAAAACCTTAATAATAATGGCGCTCCAATCATACCCAAATGATCTAAAGAGGGACGATATTTTAGTACTTCATACATATTTTCTGGTGTAACACAGTAAGCATCTAATATCTCAACACTCACATTGCAAACTTCTATATCTGTATCATATAGTTGACCGATCAAAAGATTTATTGCCCATTTAGAACAAGAAGGTATTCTTAATAAATCCTTTAAAAGATTTGTTGCATAGAGACGAACTGTTCTGTCTCTTGTTGTCAAAGCCTTTGAAAAAATAATTCTCAAATGACTTTGCTTAGAGTAATTAAATTCAGGTAAAAATGTTAGAACAATATCAGATCTATCATTTCTCTCTACTATATGATATAAAATAGTAAATATATTCCACTTGCTTAATAAACTTATTCCCTGGGAACTTGAAGATAAAACCGCTAACATTTTAAAATAGCCAAAGCTTAGTCGAGTCGCTAAGTACTTTTTGGAAAAAATTGGTTCATTAGCTGTAATACAACTATAGGGATCAATTTGCGCTAAACATTCAGCAATTTGAGGTAGTAACTTATTTTCGCTTAAATATTTAAAACCTTCGCTTGTTGATAAAAACATTTTGAATAAGGCACATCCTGTGTTTATGTATTTGTCCTGGTCTTTTGATTTTTTCATCGAAGAGAATTTTTTTTTAAATGGCCTATAAAATGACATTAATCGTTTTATGAATTTTGTGGTTTTAAGAGTCTCTTCAAACCTTTTGGGGTTTTTTAGAGGGCCATTTGCCAAATCAATTATAATATCCCATTTCCATTCAGAGGTATCTTTTGTTGTTAAGACCTTGGTATCGTTGATCATTTTTCTAAACTGAAAATCATCAATATTGATGGCCATTTTATAAATCAAGTCCTTATTTAGCTTATCCAAAGAATGTAACACAATTGGGGGAACATTATACGTTGTTTTTCCTTTCGATATTTTTCTAGTGTATGTTTCAATTTGAAATATAGTATTTATTGAGGATTGTTGATAATTAAATATTTTTGAGGATTTCATCATATTTTCGATTCCATTATCTTCAATTAAACTTACTAATTCTTCTGAGATTCCCCAATAGTTTCTGGGCAATAAATTTGAAGATAGTTGAAAGATTTCTATTATTAAGCAAATGGCTTTGCTTTTGTTTTTTTTATCATCTGTTGTTTTGGCAATTGATAATAACTTGTCCATTAAATTACAATTCATCAAGATTGCTAATATTAATGAGGTGTAATGATTAATTATTGTTATTTGATTATTAGGCGAATTTGTATGATAGCCAGTGTTTGTATTTTTTTTATTTATATTTGATTGTTGTAAAAGTATTTCAGATTGTGAATAAAAATTTGAATTTTTATTTTTTGAATTTATTTTAATATCTATTGTTTTAATCCATGGTAGAGGTCTAAGGTTCAAAATATCAAAAAAAATGTCCATGATCGAATCTCTTGAATAATAATTGTTATAGATTAAACAATTGATCAATATTTTGAATGGTTCAAAATCATTATGACAAAATGCTATTAAACCTGACCAGGTTTTTAGAAAACTAGAGACTAAAAATGCACTGTTGTTTAATTTTTCAATATTAAAGCGAGTTTTATAGGTTAGAAAATAGTTTAGTAAATAATTTAAATCATAACCATTAATATACTTTCTTGATTTAGGCGAAGATAATAGTTTTACTACTGCCATTCCAGCCAATGGACTTAATTCGAATGGGCCATCAACAATGATTTTTAGAAAATATCTGAAGCCGTCTGCTTGATAAAGCAATTTGGGATTTAAGATAATCAACTCACAAAGTGTTTCAATTGCAATATTTTTCAAATCATCATCATTTTGGTCACAAATTGATAATAAAGCATTAACTATTCCAACACTTAATATTTCTGCACCATTTGGAATATCTAAGTATTTTCTTATTAATTTTAAAGCTTGTATTCTTTCGATATTACTGTAATAGCTTGGATTTGATTTTGATAGAGAGATAATGATAAAAAAATGGATTCTTAGGGACAGGATTAATTTTAGAGAATCATAATCTGAAATAAAATAACGAGCAATTCTGAAACCAGCAGCAATTACTTCTTTTGATTTACTTAATAAAAAAAATTGGATTCTATAGCCTAATTGAGAGAATACCAATTGATTTTTAACATTTGGATAATTTTGAAACAAATTGATTAAATCATTAGCCTTTTGAACTTGAGATTCAGGTGATATTGATTTATCAGATAAGGAAGATAATATATCACTAATATTTACAGTTGGACTATAGGGACGATTTTCATCATCAGATATGTAACTATATGAACTATTATCGTTATTTAATTCATAGAAATCATTTGTGATAGTGTTGTTTGGGTCCATTGAAAGTGAATTGTTTGTCGGATTAATATTATAATATAAAGAGTTTAAATTTATGTTTGAGCTCGAGTTTGGATTTGAACTTGAATTTATATTTATATTTTGATTCCCCACAAAGTTTTGAGTTGAGTTTGAATGTGGTGTATTTGAAAAAGAATTGGGGTTTGAACTTGAATTTTGTTTTGACTTTTGCTTTTGCAAAGAGTTTATACTTACTGGTGGATATAGGTCAAGATTTGGAGCCGTTGGAATGTTGTTGTTGTTGTTGTTGTTGTTGTTGTTGTTGTTATTGTTATTGTTGTTATTGTTATTGTTATTGTTGTTATTATTATTGTTGTTGTTATTGTTGTTATTATTATTGTTAATATTATTATCATGTTGAATTTGCATTCTTTTTAAAGTTTCAATTTTTCTTTCCAAATCAACAATTGTTCTATTAATGTCTTCTAATTGAGAAGAAGCCTTATCTCTTGTTATCTTTAAGGAAGCATTATTATTTTTATTATTTTTAATTTTTATTTTATTTTTTGATTTATTTGATAATTCTAAATCAGTTGTTTGTAATAGACGTTCAGTTCCTTCTCTTAGTTTTTTCTGTTTTTGCAATTTTAATGATAATTCGTTCAAATCGGCCAATGAGTTGAAGGATTTTGAATAAACCGGAGTTGCAACGGAATTAAATTGAGTAGGTTGTGGAAATTGAAAAGATGTCAAAGATTTATTATTTAAAGTGTAATTCAAATTGAGAGTAGAAGAACTGTTGAGATTTTTTGAGTTCAAAGCGATATTGTTTGGAGCATTAAAATTGTTTGGAGGATTTATTTGGTTAGGAATATCATTATTACTATTGTTATTGTTATTGTTATTGTTATTGTTATTGTTATTGTTATTGTTATTGTTATTGTTATTGTTATTGTTATTGTTGCTATTGACATTGTTCAAAGTAATTTCACTGTTTTTAATGGTGGAATTGGAATAGAAATCAGAGATAGTGTTCTGGTTTGCAAGAGTTGTGTTGATGGTTAAATTAGGAGGAAGATCAGTCTTTTGGCTGGTGTTGATGTTGGCACTGTTACTGAGATTCGAGACGCTTTTAAAGTTGATTGCAGAGCTACTTTTTTTTGTGTGGTAAAGATTGTAGTTGTAATTGTGGGTGTTATTGAGGCTGTTGCTGGATCCACTGACATTTCCATTACTACTGAGGTTGGTAGGACCATTAGGGTTCGGGTAGACCTGGTGAAGATACTCAGACGAGTTGGTGAGGTTGCTGTAGTTGAGCTGCTGAATGTTGTGAGTCAGCGACATCTTGCAATCCCATACCTATCATAAACCAAACAAGAACTCCAGAGCACCACTGCTGAGAGCCAGAGCAGTTGAAGAACTTGTTATAATGCCCTCACGAAGCAAATCAGCCCAAAAGAGCCGTGTAAATCTGGTCACAACTGGCCAAATGCCGAGTTAACACCAGACCGGGTGTTTGAGGGTTTGGGCTTTGGAGCCTTTGCTGTTTTTACTGCTTTTGCTGCTTTTGCTGCTTTTGTGAACAACCCAAATATTCTTTTTGCAATGCATCCAATAGTAGAAGAGGCCAGATTTCAAGGTATGTTTTCTGTTTTCTGCGCAGGGGTATCGGAAAGAACGTTTGCTAACATGTGTATCTTACAGAATGTGCTCCATACATCAAGGCATTGAATGAGTGTCACAACTCATCGTTTTTTGTCAAGATGTTGGGACTCTGCAACGATCCCAAGGAAGCCTTGAATAAGTGCTTGCACAAAACCAGGGTGGACCAGAGTGTTGAGAAGTTGAACGAAAGAAAACTCAAGCACAAGAAAGTTGAAGAGAGATGGAGACAAATGGAAGAGGAGGAATATGGAGAAAACCTAAGGTTAAAGAAAATCATTGATATACAGTTGCAGAAAATGAAGGAGCAAGAAAAAGAACAACAAAATAAATAAACAATGTGGTAGCATTGTCTCGAGGTCTTCACTCGAATGAAAGCTTCACGACGCTAGAAGGTCTTATCACAATCTTTCTTAGTCTTGATGGCTTTACATTTCATGCCAATAAATTCAATATTCATGTATATAAGTTGGGGAAAATGCTAAATAGCTTACATCTTTTTTTTTCTCCCAGGTTTTCTTATTATTCTTTAAATTTTACAACAAAATAACATTAAGATATGTGATGTATTAAATAACTGGTAATCTATAGTAAAGATTTATAATAATATCTTGATCATTATTATTGTCGTTTAATCTTGACGAGTCTTCAATAATCTTTTGACAACTTTATCTTTTGTAATAAGATAAACAACTGCACCCCAACCACTTAATGCGTCTCTGTCGACTGCATTTAATAACGCTTGAGAAATGGTCTCAAATAAATCTTCTGGTTCCAAATTTGGTTCATACAAACTCTCGCACATACCGTATAATTGATCTGTTGCTGTACCTGCCACTGCAAAATCTTTGGTGAAATCAATACATCCGATTAAATCAAATGAACAAATAAAGGGTTTCCCTGTTTTGGAATTTATTCCACCAACAATAGGACTTACAAAATATGGCCCAAACCTTCTTTCATATAAACTTGATGAAACCAAATTAGCAAATGTCTCGGGTTCAATAGTCCTTTCTTCTTTATATTTATACAAATTGGTCTTATATCTAAAAACCTCATTCAATGTAATTACATCGGTGCCCAACCCACATAATGCCAAAAATACATTAGGTCCATAATTGAATATTTTTTCAAAATCGTTTGAGACTCCTAGAGACTGACTTCCCAATCGTAAATCACAGGCAATTGCTAAACAATCTTTTCCTATCATTGCAACGGCAGAACCACCTATACCCATAATTAAAAACAATAAAAAAAAAATTGAATTCATAATCTTATTAATAAGTGTTCTCAATATCGATCAATAATTATTCAAATAATCACTTCACTGGCAAGTGGCAATCCTTCACCAACCTCTATTCATGAATAACAAATCCAATTGAGCTAGTTAGAAAACTAAATCCATTCCACATACCGTTTATTGAACTTGGATCTTGAGACATTGCTATCGACAATTATAATTATATGATTTGGATATCGAGCTACAATTTCAAGTATATTCTATAGCAGCTAACTTTGAGATTGTATTGTCGTTGATTAAACTTGAGCTAATTATATCCGTGACAATCCGTCTCTGCGGATGGTTGAATCCGCACTTCAATTCTCACCATAAAAATGATACAGAATTGTTATGGCCATTACTATATACACTTACTTACTATTCAGCTGAGGAAAGTTACATTGTATCTACTTGTTTAACCGAAGATCGATCAAAGAAATTTAGTTTTATCAATAACTCGTAATTCCAAAGTGTGTTTTATTTACTAAATTTACTAAAAATTTATCAATGTTTCTCTGTTATATACCTCCACTTTTGCTGTAACTAGTATTAATTTATATCCAATTGAAATAAAAATTTTGAATCAAAATCTCTCAAAAATCTAGACCATTATTACTCAGAAGAAGAGAAATCTATTTGATTTACTCAAAAATGGAAAAAAATAACGAATTGATCTAATTTCGTATTGAGCTTAAAAACTGATATGCAATATCAATGCATGTATGGTATATACATGCATACTTTTTTTTTTTATATTTTACTCATCAAAATCTAAACCTCTTTTATTGTTCTCCTCGATATTTTCAGCATTTTCTTCATTATTTACGTTTTTGCTTTTCCAATAACTTGGTTTTAATTTAATTCTTGAAACTGCAAATAAAATTGAACCGAAAAGATAGGCTAAAATCATAGAAAGCAAAATGATTAAGACTGCAGCTAAATTTGATTTAAAATTCTCAAATAATTCAAGTAGTTGATAATTTATTGAATAAGTGATTTTATTGTTATTAATAATAGTATTAATTAGATAATTTAAATTATCTTTAATGTTTCCAAAGGTTAAATTGAAATTTGATACTAATAATCCAGTCAATTTTGAATCTATGCTTATGATTTCATTTTCATTTATTTGCTTATGAATGGACAGTGTTACTTCATCAATGAAATTTATATTAATTTCGATCAATTCATTTTGATTATAATTATTATTTGCATTGTTGAAACTAAGGCTTTTGGAATATTTAACTAGATGGTTTAAACATGAAAAATTAATTAATAAAATTATTAAAACGAAATTCAATTTTAAAAAATTTGAACTAATTCCAATAAAATAATTGATTAACCAATTTGCATAAATTAAAATCAAATTGAGTTTATAACCAAAAAATTTTCTTTGAAAACTTTCAAATTTACCATATGGCAAAATCTCAATAATTTTAATTAATCTTTTCAAAACAAAATCAGTTTCGGGATTTATGATAAAAAAAATCGGTACCAATGAGTCGATTTTCATTTTATTATCATTAGTGATATCGCTGTAAATATTTATGATTTGGTTAGCATTATTCTGTTCAAATCTAAATTTAAACCATTGATAAACAAGATCTATAATTATAAATAAAATCATCAAGAATATTATCAATGTATAAAAAACAATAAATTTAATTTTAAATTTTGATTTAATTTTATCAATTTTATCAACATTATTTGTAATTTCAACATCTTTTGAAGAAAGTATAGTTGTCAAGTTATTTTGATAAGAATCAAATACATCTATAAACGATGAATTTAATTTATTTAAAAATAAAGGGATATGCAAATTCTTTTTAATATAATTCAATTTAATATAATTTGTATTAAAAATATTGAATTCAATTCGGTTAAAAATATTATTGCGATAATCTTGAAATGAGTCATTGACCTGTTCATTGATATTATTATTTAAACTATTGTTAAAACAATCACCTAGATCATTCAATATTTTAAAAGTTGTATTTGTTAAATCATTATAAAGATTATCGAATAAAAGAACTTGATTTTCAAGCAAGATATCTATATTAGTGTTAGCTGAATTCAAGTAATCTGATTTTGATGATGTTAATAAATCACCAAATGAAATCAACCCTTCATCATTATTTAGCAAATTCTTCATCAAATTTGTTATGCTATTGTCAAATGAAATCATTGAAGTTTTAACTGTTGTCAAAGATTGGTTTAAAGCTGAACTTTGAGAGACTAAATCACTAAAAATACTTGAATTATAATTATTGATAGAGTCCAAATTTGAGCTATTAAATAATACGATTGATGAATTATCAAATGTATTTAAATCATTTTCATCAAGATAATCAATGAATTGATCAATGTATTTATTAATCACTGAAGATAAATTATAAGTTGAATTTATATATGAAGTTTTGTTCAAAATTGAGATAGATTCATTTATGGAGTTATAAATGGTAATTGAACTATCTAGATAGGTATCTATTAGCAAACTTGATTCGTTTAAACCATTGATAAAAGAAGATTTGACACTATAATATAGTATATCTATGAATTCATCATCACTGTTAGCAATATCAATAGCATTACCACCATTATTTGTTGAGATAAACAATAGGTTACTGAACAATAAGTGGTAGAGTTGTAGGTTGATTAGAAGAAATATCAACAATAGAGATTTGAAATTGATAATAGAATGAGTTAGTCGTGATCTCAAGCATAGATATGGAGTTGGATAGTGTATTCTGTTCTCAGAGGTTGTTATTGAAGATATGATCATATTATAAAGAAAGACGAGTAGCTTTGAAGAACATTGAGTGATATTAAAAAGCAAGACATGCTGAGTATATTTATTGGTATCTGAGAAACAGACATTTCTTTCAAAACGTTGTATTCAATTCCTTGATACATCATATTCAGCGAGTATCACCAGTGTATAAACTGAAACACAGCCAAATCTTCTGCTGCTCTTTTTGCTTTTGCAGTAGAAGCAAGATTTGATCTGTCCCAAAAGAAGTAACACGCATGTTGATGCATCACACTCAAGCTCATGCACAACGCGTCTACAGTTGAATGTTTCAAACTTAAAAATAATTCAACTCCACTACTGTGGATAGTAAGCGAATATTGCATATTTCTGCAGATAACCTTGCATATGCGTCCACTGTTGTGGATGTTATTAGCTATGCTGACTCAGCAGTGACTCAGCGGAATTTCCCGGGGGTTTTGTTTTGCTTCTCCTGATTCCTCTAGCAGACAAACAGCAGAATAACTGAATAACAGAGTAAAAGAATAGCGAAACAACAGAGTAACACTCCTCAAAGCCAACCAATTGTAGTCTTCCTGTTCTAGTTTTGCTGCTTCTCCTGTTTTCCCTACTTTTGCTTCCCCAGCTGCCTCTTATCTACTTTTTGCCTACGTTAAACAGCTGTGTTTTAAGGTAAAAAATCCGTTTGAGTTGGTTGTTTTGTTTTAAATAATCACAGTTATCACAGTTATAACAATCATCACAGTTATAACCTGATTAGCATACCATTCTTCTGGACTGGGCTACTAATCATATCCGGTTTCATCATATTCCTGGAATTAGTTTTCTGAAAGTTATCTTGATTAATTCTTGTTAGTAATAAGCATTAGAGGCTCAATATCAAAGCAGTTTCTGGTTGTTTAATTATTGGAATTTTAAGATTTGATTTCTTTTCATCTTCGAAATATTTTTTTGGTATATATACTTCTTTTTTAATTTCTAATCAAAATGTCTGCAAATCTTGGAGAATCTCGTTCAGAATTACTTCAATGGTTAAACTCTACATTAAATTTAAACTATTCAAAAGTCGAACAATGTGGTACTGGTGCAGCTTATTGCCAAATAATGGACTCAATATTTATGGATGTGCCAATGTCAAGGATTAAATTCGATTCCAAGGCCTCCTATGAGCATTTAAATAATTTCAAAATTTTGCAGCAAACTTTTCTTAGACATAAAATTGAAAAACCTATACTTGTTGATAAATTAGTCAAATGTAGATTTCAAGATAATTTGGAATTTTTGCAATGGATTAAGAGGTTTTGGATGGAAAATAAGTTTGACACCGATTATGATCCTGATTCAAGAAGAAACTATTCTCCTCAAGCTAACAATAGCAATAGAAATACTACGAATAACAGTTCAATAAATGCTCAACAAAGATCCAGGTATAAACCAACGACAACAACTACCTCCAGTGCTACTGCCCGTCGTCCAATAACTTCAACTAGAAAGCCAATAACTTCGGCAAATACAAGAACTGCTACGGCTTCTTCAAATAGTAATCAGCAATTGAATAATTCTCGTCAAGTTATTAATTCAAGGACAACATCTAGACCAACAAGCAATAACTCGATCAGACCAACTGGTAGAATTTCAAGAACAAATAATTCTTCTATATCTGGTGGGTCACCATCAACATCATCTTCATTGAATAACCATTCTAGTGTTAATTCGCATAATAATTTGAGTAATTTGAATAATATCAATCAATTACAGTCTCAAATACAAAAATTGAAACAAGAAAATGAACTATTGAAAAAGGAATTAAATCAAAGCAAGACCGATTTAGAGAATCTTGATCTGGATAGCAATAATTATAGAACTGCTGCTGAGGGATTGGAGGTTGAAAGAGATTTTTATTTCAGAAAATTAAGATCAATTGAAATTTTAACTCAAGATTATGTTGAGCATTTAAGTGAAAAAATTGAGCAATTAGATCTAGACAATTTGAATAATTTGAATGATCCAGATAAAAACATTACACCCAGAGAATTGATGGTGAAGGATATTAAAATTGAGGACTTATTAGAAAAGATTCAAGAAATTTTGTACTCAACTGAAGCTGGATTCAGAGGACCAACAGATGAATTTGAAAATGAAAATGGAATTGAGAATCAAAATCAACATGCGCATGAACAAGAACATGGGACCTATAATGAAAATTACAATAGTAACTATAATGACAATTACAATAATAATTATAACAAAAATTTCAATGATGAAATGAATTTAAATAATCATAATAACCAACAATATGATTTGAATACTAATAGTAATAATGTCAATAGGAATAGTTATCATATTAACCAAGAAACTAATAAGCAAAATGGAGAATTTGTGGATGATGAGCTTCAAAATCCAGGTCATGGTCATAATTTAAACCAAAATCAGTTTGAACATGGAAACTTCTCTCAAGATCACCAAATGTCAGTAATTAACGACCCTGACACTTTTTAAGTTAAGATATTCAAAACGTTTTTTTATTTTTTTATTTTTTTATTTTTTTTCAATTACCAGTTTTTAATTTTTAATTCTTATTAATTCTTATTAATTCATTGTTTTTTTGCATTTAATACCATTTTTTGATTGTTATTATCATTCAAATTAAAACAAAAATATATTTAACTATTATATATCATATATAATTATATGTACATGATTTTTCCTTTCAATTAATAAATTGAATATTTAAATAAAAAAAATAAAAAAATAAAATAATAGGTTGGTATAATGAGATTAATACCAAGTACTGACTTTTGATTGTTTCTTTTTAAGGATTCTTTTGTATTTGTTTCCCTTAACTTCGATAATTTTTTCGTCCATTTTAGCAAGACTTTCTTCAATCTTAGCCAATTTCTGAGGTTTGGCAAGATCGTACTTATGGCCCTTTGGAGCTAAGACACCTCTCATCAATTTTTTGTTGTTGTATTTTTCCTCATAGAATTTTTTCTTCATTGGAGGAAGTAAGTCCTGGATTCCAAATCTGTAAGCAGCCTTGTATATCATCGACTGTTGTCGCAACGAGTACCTTGGAGCATGGTATCTCAAAGTGACAGGATGTTTGTTGGGCATAAATGGGTTAGCATCTTCAGCTCGTGTGGAAGTTGGGGTCGCAGAGTACTTTTTGATGGTGGTGGGTGGAAACTTTGCGAAAAATCTCTGGAGAGTGGGAGGCAATTTGTCAAAACCAGGTACACTGGGGTCGTTGAGCACAGACTTGACGCGAATCTTCCTAATCTTAAGTCCTAGAGCCATCTTTCCGTAGTTCAGCAAACAACTCTTCTGCTTCCCTTGCTTCCTCTGCTTCTTCTTTTCGACCTGAAAAAACACAAAACGGCGAGAAACGGTGGTATCATCACGTGCTTCCCGGGTCTGCCGTTGGAGGCGAGAAGCAGAGGAAGGAAAAGAAGCAGAAGAAGAAAAAGAGCTTAAACCACTGGAAGAACCACTGGAAGAGCTAGCTTTGGGAAGAATCTCTAAAGAACCACTGTGTTTTGCTGGCTGGAGAACTGCTGCTGTGTCTAGAAGAGAGCTGTTTTTGTGTGACCACTGTTTTTTTGTTTCGAGTTCATCAAAGCCCATTTGATCCATCATCGTCTTTCTCAATTCTTGCTTCATATTCTCCAAGATGTCTTCTTCAATCGTAATGAACTCTGGGAGACTGTGCTTTAATCCCTTGAGGAACTCTCCTTCAATGCTATCCTTGAGCAGAAGATTGTTCTCATCTTTGAAACATGTCCAGAAAAACCCACATTTGATAACCAATAACTACAACTATATTAAGAGTGGAAATGCACTATCTCAAAATCTATTTATGAAAGATTCTATTAGATCTTTTTCCAGCTCTTCGATCTCAAAATTTAACTCTAGTTTACAGAAAAACTACAGTGAAAACAAAGATAACAAAGATAATAAAGATAACAAAGATAACAAAGAAAATAAAAATGATAAAGATGATAATAAAAACGACAATAAAAACGACAATAAAAATGAAAACAAAACCCACCAACCTCAATCATTTTCGGAAGTACTCAACTCTCCAAGTTTCAAACAAAGTCTTTACTTATCAATCGGTTTATCAGTGCTCTTATACTTTTTGTCTCCCAATAACCTGGATTCCGGCGATGTTTTGTCATTTCAAGAATTTAAAACTAAATATTTGGAAAAGGGTTTAGTATCAAAAATTTATGTTATAAATAAATCGCTCGTTCAAGCCGAATTAATCAATGCTGTACCAACCAAGTTCGGTTTATCCAAATTCGTAGCTTTTACAATTGGCTCTGTTGATTTGTTTGAATCTCAAATGGATGAAATTCAAGATAAATTGAACATCTCAAATAATGAAAGAATCCCAATAATTTATTCTGAAACCGGCTCGATGCTAAACTATATTATCCCCTTTTTGCCAACTCTTCTATTATTAGGTGGTGCTTACTGGTTAACCAAAAAATTAAACAAAGGTCCTGGAGGCATTGGTAGCGGTCCAGGTGGCATATTTAACGTTGGTAAAAGTAGTGCAAAATTATTCAATCAAGAAACTGACATTAAGATAAAATTTAAAGATGTCGCAGGCTGTGAAGAAGCTAAAGAAGAAATTATGGAATTTGTCCAATTTTTGAAAAATCCTTCAAAATATGAAAAATTAGGTGCAAAGATCCCAAGAGGTGCGATTTTATCGGGTCCTCCAGGTACTGGTAAGACTTTACTAGCCAAAGCAACAGCTGGTGAAGCTGGTGTGCCATTTTTATCTGTATCAGGTGCAGAATTCGTTGAAATGTTTGTAGGTGTTGGTGCCTCAAGAGTTCGTGATTTGTTTGCCAAAGCCCGTAAAATGTCACCATCAATCATTTTTGTAGATGAAATTGATGCCATCGGTAAACAAAGATCAAGCAGACAGGGTATGGGTGGTAACGATGAAAGAGAAGCAACATTAAATCAATTATTAGTTGAAATGGATGGATTTGATACAACCGATCATATTGTTGTCTTAGCTGGTACAAACAGAGCTGATGTTTTAGACAAGGCATTGTTAAGACCTGGTAGATTTGACAGAAATATTACCTTAGAAAGACCAGATATTGAAGGCAGAAAAGCGATTTATAACGTTTATCTTAAAAAGTTGAAACTAGAATTTGATATCAAAGAAGATGTTGAAAGAGGAAACCAATTGGCAGGAAAGTTGGCTGCATTGACCCCCGGTTTTTCTGGAGCAGATATAGCAAACTGTTGTAATGAAGCTGCATTGATTGCAGCACGAACTGATTCTGATTTCGTCGAACTAAAGCATTTTGAGATTGCCATTGCAAGAGTCATTGCAGGAATTGAAAAGAAAACGAGAGTCTTGTCTCCTACAGAAAAGAAAACCGTTGCATATCATGAAGCTGGACATGCTATTTGTGGATGGTTTTTGGAATTTGCTGATCCATTAATCAAAGTTTCCATTATCCCCAGAGGTCAAGGAGCATTAGGGTATGCACAATATCTACCACCAGACCAGTATTTAATATCGGAAAAACAATTTATGGACAAGATGGTTATGACATTGGGTGGGAGAGTTAGCGAAGAATTACACTTCCCATCTGTGACGTCTGGTGCCTCGGATGATTTCAAAAAAGTAACACAAATGGCCCAGGCAATGGTTACAAAATTGGGCATGTCGAAAAAACTAGGTCCAATCCAATTTGAGCAAGATAATAATGATGCTGGAATCCAAGTGCATAAGGCCTTTTCGGAGAAGACCTCGAGGCTAATTGACTTGGAGGTCAAGAGATTGGTAGAAGAAGCATTGGACAGCTGCAGAAGGTTGTTGAAGGAAAAAATCGAGTTGGTTGATTTGGTGGCTGAGGAGTTGTTGGTGAAGGAGGTCTTGACGAGAGAAGACATGATAAGAATTGTCGGGGAACGACCCTTCAAGGAGAAGAACGAGGCCTTTGAGAAGTATCTCATGGGAGACAAGCAGTATGGAGGGAAAAGTGCTCCTCCTCCTCCTCCACAAGAGACCAACGAGCCCTTCTGAGCAAGAGCATGGTAAATAGAAAGACATTGCAGTGTAAATAGAACGAGTTGTACGTGTAATAGAACGACTCAGCAAATGACAGTCAAAGTGTAGGTCATCGAGAAGCACAGGCAGCACAAGAAGCTCTGATGTCTGTGCTGTGCTGTGTTTGTGGAGAGGCTCCTTTGCTGCTCCACTGCTCCACTGCTTCTGCTGTTTCTGTTGTTTCTGCTGGAGCTCGTTTTGAGTGCGAAATGGGAGAAAACTTTTTTGGCTTTTTTTAGTGCTCTTTGAAAAAATTCTAAAAGTATATCTGAAAATCAAACTCAAATAGAAAAAAACAGTTTCAAAATTCTAATTCAATTGTCTCCCAATTACTTATTATATCCAGTGCAGTTTTGCTCCTGTTTTGCTCCAATATTTGTACGAAAAGCTTCTTTCTCTGTTATTGGTGATTTCCACTCGACTGTTGTGTTAAATTATAACCATATCTTCACTTATTTAGCAAAGGGTTTCATCCTTCAGGTTTTTTTTCACCATCCTTAATTCGTTTCAGATCTTCTCAAAGCTTTTCATAATTTAAAAAAATCCTTTAACCAAGCTGGAAACAAAATTGGAGACTACCTACTGGACTTTTTGTTGTCTTATATATCATATATTGTATATCGTCAAGGGAGCAAATCTATATCTAATTCACACATTCAAATGATGAATCAAAGGAAAATACAGCAGTATGTTAATAACCACGAAGAGGGAAATTCATCTCAACCAACTCTATCAATTTCCAATTAATTGAATCTTGTTTATCAAATCATGTTTATCTGAAAGCACTAGATCATTAAAAGAATGCAAAAAGTAAAAAAAAAAAACCAAAAAAATAAACTAATTCACTTCACTATTTCATCTATCCCAGTTATTCCAACCCTTTTTCTCCCTATGAAAAAAAAATGAACTAGAAAATAACAAACATAAAATTAACAAAAAAATTTGATGATGATTCAGTATCTTTGATCCCTTTTTTTGGAATTAATTCTAAATTTTCAATTTTTACTAACATTTTCTTTTTCTTTTTTCCAAATTATAATAATAATAAATAATAATGATAATATCTTTTTTATATTATTATTTATTTCCCTGGTTTTTAAATTTTGATTTTTTTGGAATTTGGAATTTATAATTTGGGGTTATTATATTTGGAAAAGTTTTTTTTTAAAAAAAAACAATATATAATTAATTAAACAAAATTAAAATTAAAAATAAAAATAAAAATAAAAATGAATAAAAAGGCTTTATTTTGGTTTATTTTTAATTTTTATGTTTATTTTAATTATATATTAGTTTTTTTTTTTTATTAAAATAATCATATTATATTTATTTAAAGAGGAATAGATCGATTAAATAAAAAAGTAAAAGATGGTTTGGAGTCTTTTGATAGTTTATACGAAAGACACCAAAAGGCTACAAACAATTCTCAAAGAGATAAACTAGAATCCGATTTGAAAAGAGATGTCAAAAAATTACAAAAACAAAGAGAAACAATTAAAAATTGGCAAAATTCAACTGAAATTAAAGAGAAAAAAAATATAGATACATTAAGAAAAGAAATTGAAAGCAGAATGGAAATTTATAAAATCATTGAAAAGGATTCAAAGACCAAAGCATTCTCTAAAATTGGTTTGGCTATACCAGAAAAAATTGATCCTAAAGAGAAAAAAAAAATCGAAACAATAAATTTTATTCAAAATTATTTAGACGAATTGGAAAGAAAAATCGAAAAACACGATTCAGAGTTGACAAGTTTAAATTTACTAAATGGTAGAAGGAAAAAACATTCAAGAAATTTGAATGATATTAAAAATAAAAAAGAAGAGCTAATTAATTTTAAAGAACAATGTAAATTTCATCAAAATAAATTAGAGATTATTTTAAGATTAGTCCAAAATGGCGATTTGAGTCTTGCAAAAGTGAAAGAATTAAAAGATGATTTAGATTATTTTATTAAAGATTACCAGGAGCCTGATTTTTATGAGAATGATCAAATGTATAATGATTTAAATTTAGATGATTATGAGGATTTAGTGACTGATATAACATCAAATTCGCTTAACCTCAATTTAAATTTGATTTCCAATTCAAGTTCGATTTCAAATTCCAGTTTCAATTCCAATTCCAATTCCGATGTTAAGAGATCTACACCTGGACCAATCGATGATTTGAATAATACATCGGTGAAGAATTCTAGAATAAAAAGACGAAATTCCTTAATAAATACTCCAATAAATAACAATAGTACTAAGAATGGGAAAATAAAATCGATATTAAATGGACATTCAAATTCTATACATCGTCGGACAAGTAGTAGTCATAGTAATCATAATAATAATAATAATAATAATAATAATAATAATCACACAATTAATAATAGTATTAATAGTGGAAGTATAAGTATAGGAGATAATAATCCACAGGAAAGCAGTAGCACATCTTTTTCGAGATCGAATTCTGGTACACCGAAACCATCACATAATTTATTGGGATCTCCAATAATAAACTCTGTGGGTGCATCAGTGCCAGTGCTAACATCGATAGCATCAACAGGGTCTATAAGATTGAAACCCTCGACGGGGCCTGTTAGACCTGCAGGAGAAAAGAAATGGGCGACAGTGGTGTCATTAAAAGAGAGTGACAGTGATAAGAGTGATGATAAGAGTGATGATAAAAGTAATGATAGTAATCGACTAAAAATTTTGAATAAAGAAAATAGAGTATCTAAATCGATAGGTGAAGGTATAATAAATGAAAATAAAGATGAAAATATAAATAGAAATAGAAATAGAAATGAAAATGAAAATGAAAATGAAAATGAAAATGAAGTTAATGAAGCAGTAGTGATAACCCAAGAGAATGATAATAGTAAAGAAAATGAGCAAGAAGAAAAAGAAAAGAAAGAAGAAAATCAGAGAAATGAAAATGTCAAGAAATTCAAAAGTGATATTAATAATAAAGATAATGGAAAAATTGATATTAATCTTGATATGAATCTTGGTATGGATAAGATATTTAAGATACCTGATATAAGTAAAATAGATAATAAAGTTGAGAATATGGATAAAATATTGGATAAAAGAGAAGGAAAAATAACAGTTTTGGATAAAAGTAATAAAAAGGAAATATTAAAGATCGGAGATAAAATAGTTATTAAAGATAATAGTAAGAGTAATAACGAAGAAGAAAGAGAAAAGGAAGAAGAAGAAGCAATGGTATTTCTTCCGTTGAGTATTCAAAATGCCATTAATCAAATTGACCGAACTAATAATGAAGAAAAAGAATATAAAAACATTGAATTTGAATTACGGTTAAAAGAGTTTTATGAAAAAAAGACAAAGAAGTCTGATGTTTCCAAAAACTCAAATCTTGAGATACTTATTCAAATGATTGAGAATGAGAATGAATACAATGAATTAAGAGGAAGAAGTGGGTTTAATATTGAAGAATTTAAAAAAGGATTAAGAGAGAAAGATAATTTGATTAATTTTTATGGATATTATTTTGGAAAAAGTCTGATTGAAAAGCAAATTAATAAGAAAATATTAGAAGAGAAGAATTTTCGAAATGATAAAATTTATAGGGATAATTGGTACCATAAGATTGAAAGTAAAAAAGTTATTCGAGTAGGAAAGGAGATTAAAGTTATCAGAGAAAAAGAGGAAGAGAAGCAAATTAAGATTTATGAGTATGGGGTATTTGAGATTTTTAATTACTATAAGTGGACAATTGATTTAGTTCCAGAATATTGTATTGGAATTGATGAGATTGAAAGCGAATTTTCATAAGTAAAAGCAAAAAGACTTAGGAGAAGAAAAGCAAAAAGACTTGAGAGAAGAGAAGAAAAGAAAAGAAAAGAAAAGAAAAGAAAAGAAAAGAAAAGAAAAGAAAAAAATAAAAATAATTATCCATAAATTTTTTTGAAATCTGATAATTTCAGAAATGAAAATAACCTTTTATTAATAATATTTTTTTTTATTTTTACTTTTCAATAATTTATATTAAAATTTATTAAAAAAATTATTAACCTTTTTTATTAAACATTTTTAACTTTTAATTTTCAGATAAAATTTTAGTTTTTTAATTAAAAATAGAAAAGAACTATGTAGGGGAAATGAAATTGAAAGAAGATAAAAAGAGAAATGTCTTGAAAGAAACCTTACCAGCCAAAAACAAAGCAAATTAAATTCAACAAGAAGCGACAAAACATAGCAAAATTGGCAAATTTTGCCATTTCAAAGTAGTTGTGAAGACCATCCAGCCAATCGGTTAAAATGAATAGAAAACTAAAAGGCATTGAGAGACAGAAATTGCCCGACGATGAATGGGCTCAATTTCTCAGTGAATTATCATTGATATGTTATATGATATGCCATATGATATGCCATATATTATGCCATATATTATGCCGTATTGGTGTTTTGTACAGAGGCATCCAAAACCTTCGGAACCCATCGAAAAAAACGCAGAGAATGCGAAAATCTTTTGGTCTCAAAGACCCACGTCAAAACGCATCTTCCCTCAGAGACCCGTTTTTGCAGGGCGCTTTGTTCTCGGCGGCTCGGCAGTCCCGCACTCGCCACATAAAACCCTGCCCGGAGCAGAGCGCACATTAGTCAGCATCCTGTGGCGCGTGAGTCCTGATATTGCAGACGCAATGGTGCGTTTGATGACAGGCTCAGCCACCTGTGTAAAGCTGTACTGTGTCTAACCGCTCTGTGATTGGACAACCGCATACAACCCATGTATTTGCAGCGCATTTAACGGTAGAGTACAGGGAGGATATGCGCTGTCCTGGTGTGAAAGGTGTTCACACGTGTCTGGGGCTGGTGCGGGTCTGCAATGCAGCTTGTGCGATAAAACGGAGAATCGCACAACGGCAGGTATAATTGGAGAGTACAATAGAAGAATACAATAAAAGCACAATAGAAAGTACAATAGAAGAGTACTATAGAATAACGATATAATCAGCCCAACAGCAATATAATCGACTGCCCTGTATCAGATACTATCTTGAGACAGTGTATTCCACAATCAAGACCAGAAAGTCCTGCCATTTCTCAAAGACGTGCTACGCTCTGGTTCTGGCGAAAATTGCCTGCTCTCTCCAATTGCCCCCAGCCCAGAAACAAATTTTCATCATCTTTTCATCATTTGCTCTGCATTGAAGTTTATCATTGTGAAGAGCTCTACCTCGAAAGGATATTGAAACACTGATCAACTGCTGATAGACTGGCCCTGATACTACATTATCTATTATATCTCGTCCTCAAGATCTGCTTTGAGAGTCTGAACTACTTCTACTCAGCTCTTCGATTATTCACCTGTTTATACCTCAAACCCTTTTGGGTCTTTCCTCTTATTGCTTTTAAAATTTAACTATTTTTTGTGTTATTCTTCCTCTAGCTTTTAAATTATTTCTTATAGTTCCCAATACTTCTCAATTTTTTTCAATTTTTTTTCAATTATTTTCTTATTACTTCTGATTACTACCAATTATTTTCAATAATTCCCAATCTTTTTCAAATACTTTTTGACTATCCTTGAACGTCCTTACTATCCTACATTCACATTTATTCACATCTCTTCCTATTCCCCCCCCCCCATCAATATTTTTTATAAATACATCATTAACTATCCTCGTTCAGTCATCATATTTTCTTTCCCATAATGAATTCCTATGATTATAACATCTCATCTCAAAATCAAGATATCAATCAAAATTTAAGTAATTATATCGTTCAATCTTTATTAAGCAATAACCATAATAACTCCACTAACAATAACTCCAATAATAATACTAATAACAACAGTAATAGTAACAATAATAATAATAATAATAATAATAATAATAATAATAATAATAATAACTCCAATAATAATTCAAATAATAATTCCAATAACTCAAATAACAACTCTCTTCATCTCCAATCTCGTAATAACAGCAACTCAATTCCCTCAATTAATAACCTATCTTCAATGAATAACCTATCTTCAATGAATAACTTATCCAATTTGTCAAATTTAAATAATCTAAATACTCTAAACAGTTTAAATAATTTAAACATTTCAAATATGTCCAATATTTCAAATATACAAAATTTACAAAACTTATCTTCTTTGAATAACATTAATAACCTCAATAACAATATCAATAATAATATCAATAACAACCTCAATAATATCTCAAATTTATCCTCTCTAAATAACCAAAATAATAATCGACAGCAAAATATTGACTCAAATATAAATTCAAATACCATCTCCCCAAACACCCCAACTGCCTCAATTATTCCAAATAATTCAAACCAAAACTTGCCTCAAAACTTACATCAAAATTTGCCCCAACATATACCTCAACATTTACCTCAAAATCTCCCTCAAACCATCTCTCAAAACTTATCTCAACCTCAACATGAAATCAACAAATCTCTATTACAAGAACACGAAAAACTGTTTTACACAAATAGCCTAGCTATCTTAGACTCAAATTACCCAAAATTCAACCATTTCCCCCTAACCAACCCACCTCTATTCGACCCTTCTGCTGCTTTTGGTAAAAGAAGAAGAATATCAATCTCAAATGGTCAGATTGGCCAAATTGTTGAAAACCATGATTTCGATTTATATACAAATGAACCAACTTTATTTGACCCTTCCCCTTTGTTAAATGGCTTTAATAGTCCCGAAAGCATTGACAACTCGATTAATAACTCTGAAAATACAAACCCCCCAAATAATAATACAAATAATAACACAAATAATAATCAATCAAACCAAAATCAAAACCAAAATTTCTCTTTGATACCTCAATCTCAACCTTACCAAAATAACCCCATGCCCTTATACAATAATAACAACATAAACCTATTAAACATTAACAACCCACAAAACTTCTCGACGACTTCCTCAAATTCTCCAAACTCGTCTCTTCAAAAGCAACCAAGAACAATTATAAACAACCTCCTGCAACCTCTTCATCACCACCACCACCATCAACAACAGCCAACTGTATTTAGTTTGGTCAACTCAAATGGTCAACCACTACATGGTACAAGTGCTTGGAAGAAACAAAGATTGCTAGAAAGAAATAGAATAGCTGCCTCAAAATGTCGACAAAAAAAGAAAAAAGCCCATGCTGAATTGCAACAAAATTTTGAAAAATATTACAACGATTCAAAAAAATTAAAAAATAAAGTCTTCCAGTTAGAAGCAACTTTAAATAAAATGAAAAAATTAATGAAAGATCATTTTATAAAATACCATGATGATAACGCTCATAATATGGAAATGTTTCATGAATTTATTCAATTAAGTGATGTTTCTTCAAAAGATGATAATATTAATTCAAAACTTGAAATTCAATCTGAAAACCAAACCCAAAACCAAAACCAAAATTAATAATCAATTATCAGTTTTTTTTCATTATTTTAATTCATTACTTTCATTCTTTTCATAAATTTTTTTATTTCTACTTTTCTTTTTTTTGTTTTACTGTTATCTTCTCAAGTATCCAATCATTTATTCACAACTATATACAATAAATTTGCCTTTTTCATTTTTTTGATCTCATTTTTTTTTATGTTTTTTTTTCATGTTTTTTTTTTGTTTGAAATCATATTATAATTCTTCAACGATATTTATTCTAGATTACTAGCTGGAATTTAAATTTAATTAAATAATTGGTATGAATTGCCAATTGAAAATAACAAAAATACAAAAAAAAATATAAATATAAATATAAAAATTTATTAAATATATAAAAAAAAGTTTAGTTTTTGTTAATTTTATTAGTTTATTATATTATTGTTTTAATGTTAATATATTTTTAATCATATTATAATTTTATAGATACTTTTAGTTTATTTTGGCATTTATACCCTATTTAACTTTGATTTTTATTTAATATTGTTTGTTTTTTTTTGATTTTTTTTAATTTTTTCCATTACTTGAAATCAATTAACGAATTAATTGCTTATTAAGTTTACGAATATGGAATCCCCAAAAGTTTTAATGAATTAGAAAATAGATAAATAAATAAATTGATAAATAAATAAATAAATACATCAATTTGTCTATATATAAGTAAGTAAAATAATAAACAAAATAGTAAATATCAATTAAGACTAATAACCAAATTAAATGTATGCTAATAATTGATTTCCTGGAAATAACTAGCAAATTTAAAAACAAAGAAAAATTATGTAAATTAGAATAAAAAGAAAAAATGAAATAGAAAAATGAAATAAAATAAAATAAAATAAAATAAAATAAAATGGAAATAAAAATTAAAAAATTGAATTAAAAATACTAATTAATACTATACATTTATTTATTAAACATAATCTAAAAATAATGAACGTTGAAATATCTCCATTTTTCTTGAATTTTCAAATTAAATGGTTGATTTGATTGTTCTTGGTTATGATTATTATTATTATTATTATTATTATTATTATTATTATTATTATTCATTATTCATTATTCATTATTCATTATAATGATAAACTAGATAATTTGGAAGACCAAATACTTCATAACCTAAACGTTTTGTCATTTTAGCAAAACCTTCAGTTTCAATTAAGTGATAAAATGGGAAAGGAGGGAACATTGCGCCATCTCTATGAACATCAGCTTTGACTAAAACAGCTGCACCACCGATGCCATCTAACTGCATTTCAGTGTTTACATCGCCATTTGCATCGTAAAAATGAGCCATTAAAGGTCTATAAGTGGCGATATTAGCATAACCTTCAACTATGATCTCATCATCTCTCATATTTGAAGCAATTTTCAAGCCTTCTTCACTTTCAACCCAGTTATTGAAATCATAAGGTCTGATTGATTCCTTTTTCTTGGAATCGTCAAAAAATCTTTGATAACAATTGGCGGATATGACTGGTTTATCATGAGCTATTAAATCCTGAATTAAAGTCGTGGGAGACTCAACAATATCGGCATCTAACCATAACACCCAAGAAGTGAAGGGAGATAAAGTAGTGAATAGCAAGGAATTTCTGGCTAAAGCCATGCTTGATCTTCTTTCCTTTTGGATGCTTAAAGCGTGTCTATCCTTTTCCTTTTGAGATCTTATTGAATCGTTATCTTGTCTTAATATTGTAATTTTAGAGAACCTTTTCTCCTTTGGGCCAGTTTGAACTTGTTTTATTGCAACTTCTAAGAAGTTAAGAACTTTGTCACCATCAGAATTTCTTGGAACAATGAAACCCAATTCGATTAATTCTCTTGGATAGGTTAATTTTAATAAATTAGCCCAATATTGATTTAAAAATTTCGACATGGGAGATAAGATGAGAACTTTTTCCTTATTATAAACAGCCATTGGAGTTGAAGCTAATTTATTTAGATCAAAGTGCGAGATATGGTCACCAGGTAAAATGTTTGGAATCAAGTCACTTGGAGCTCTGCTAAACAAATTTTTGTTTTTAGGTTTATAAGAATATTTGTTTTGGATATTTAAGTTGTTGTTGGATAACTGGCCATTATTGGAGTTATTTGATGGATCATTTGAGGTGCCAAATAGAAGATAGCATAGTAAAATAATTATTGTTAATGGCCCAAGAATACTCGAGGGTTTTCTTCGTATTTGACGCAAATAAGGATTTCTTAATATGCCCATTTTTTTGATTAGATAAACAGCTAGTAGAGACAAAAGTATTTTGAATTAATGGCTTTAAGATCTTTAAACAGGTTCCAGCAGATTTCGAATGAAAACCAGAGGATATAAACTAAAAAAGCAACTGTCTACGCAAAGCTTGGTATTAAAACAGAAATAGGTGGCAGCTTGGGATGTTGCTCAACAGACAAAAACAAATAAAGGCCAACAGACTCAATGTCAGAGAACCCAGCACAGAACAGTTGGTGTAGAAGAATATGGAGAGCGTAATTGAACTCCTGGACGAGGTGCAATCGATGGTTGATCAAACTCAGAGCTGTTGGATAAAAAACTATACTTGTTCTGATCAAAGATAAATAAAGCGCTTCAAAAGCAGGTTTGAAATTTGAAAGTAGAAGAGTGCACGTGATCACTCACGTGACTGTGTTTTACGTAAGACGGCAGCGGTTCGAGCCACGGTCGGGGTGGTTTTGAGTTTAGGGTTTAGGTGTATTTTTCGGATTAATGCTGTATTGAGCTGAGTATTAACCAAGTATTAACTGAGCATTAACTGAGTATTGCCTGAGTATTGTTTGAGTATTGATATATAGTCTACTGGCTGTTTGAATTAGAAAGAGGTCTGGGAACGTTGGCAGCAAAATGGCCTATGACGTTTCCTGGAGGCGAGTAATTGCAGACAACGTATCTTCCATAGATGGTGTTGCAGTCTTTGTAGGCACAACCTAGTTTATCCGTCGAGGCCCACACGAGCTGTGTGAAATGTCCTGTGGCCATACTAAAACCTGGGTTGTTGAAATTGTAGTATTGTATTTCTTCATACCAAGCATCTACTACACTGGCAGCAGAGGAAAATCCTGCAGCTAAGTTTTCACCATATGAACCATCGCTGTGACTTAGCATCCCATCAGCAGGACAGGAATAGGCATCTGCAAAGCTCTTCGCATATTGGTATACCTCTTCATCCCAAACCAAATCACTTACTCCATGCAATGCTCTTTTAGCGTTGTGGTTGTTTAAAAGTTCACTAAGATAGCTTTTCAATGTTTCAACTGGTGTTTCAACAGAAGTTGAAGATGAACTGGGCGAGCTAGTTGACAAACCAGAAGTTGATGTGGTTAGAGTGACCGGAGTGACTGAAGTGGTCAAGGGAGACAAGATAGTTAACAGAGTTGAAGCTATTGAAGTAGTTGAAGAGGTTAAAGGAATTGAAGAAAGTGAAGAAGATCCTGTAGAAGAAGATCCCGAAGAAGATAAAAAGATTGAAGTAGTTAAAGTGGTTAAAGTAGTTGAAGAGATTGAAGCCGAAGAAGCTGAAGGTAATAAAGATGGTAAAAAGATTGAAGAAGTTAAAGTTGAATGTAAAAACAGCGATAAGAAAGAAGAAAAAGAGGACTCCAAACTGGCTGAAGGTAATATCTGCATGCTATGTGAAGATAAAGTTAAAGACGAAGATAATTCTTCAACCAAAGCAGAACTTGAAACAACACTAGAAGTTGCTTCTGAAAAAATGAGTGTCAAGCCAACTGTAAAAGTAATTCCAACATCAGTAAAATCATCACTAATACTATCACTCGAAACGCTACCAGAATAGGAAATTATTTCTGAATTCGATACCGATTGAATTAATGTCCCTGTCGTTTGTTGTGTTGATTCTACACAAAACAGAATCTTAATATCACCTTTACCCGGTTGTATTCCTCTTTTTATATATTGTGTTTCATTATATATTGGAGAGGATGAAATTATTTGAACAAAGGTTGGTATCAACAGTATTGCTAGCGCAGTTTTGAATAGCTTGAAATTGAGCTTCATTTTTGATCTTTTTCTTGTTAAACTTTTGGTTCAATAAGCAGTATACCAATCAGTTACTCAATTTAATAATTTGATTAACCAGAAAGCAGTACTTGGGCAGCTTTTTTGTTATATTTCCAGATTCTTATTGATAATAAAAACTGAAGATATTCTGAAAAATTAAAGTTTCGAGATTTAAAGTTCCAGAAAAGGAAGATTTCTCTGAAGATGAAAAATGATAGATATATTTATGTGAAGTAACAACGAGATGGAGACAAATTCAAGAAGAATCTGAAGATATTTATATCATTTCTCTGTTTGTTTATTTTTCTGCTACTCGATTGCAGTTCTAAGTAACTGTTTCTCAGGGAAGTTAGTCCTCCATCCACACTTGTTATTGCTGCTGCATTGGACGAAGATCCAGCATCGGCTCTTTTCTTCCCACCTTCCAAACACCACTGCAACGGAACAACTCATTTACATGCAGCGCTACAGTAGCGCATGCAGGAACGCATATAAATGCATACAACCACCTCAATGTGCACATTAATTCCCACGTGACATAATCTTTTTTTGCTCTGTTTTTGAGTTGCAATGGCAAATAACTGTCGTATTGCTGGAAGCGCAAGAAGTACTCAGACGTTTTTTTATAATTGCCAGTTATATTCCACTGACTTTCGATATTCGTTATTCTGTATCTTGAAGTTTTATATTTGCCAGCTCATCCTTCACGTTTAAATCAGAAAAATTTAAATATCCCCCAAAATGGATGAGAAAATCGACACTTTTCTTGCTTTCACCGATACCACTGATAGAGCTATAGCTAAAAATTTCCTTGATGTCTCTGATGGCAACATTGACACTGCTGTTAATTTGTTTTTTGAATCCGGGGGCTCATTAACTGGTCATTCTCACGATAATAACACCAACACAAACGATAGTAACAATGGCAATGCCAATACTGATAATAATAGCAACACCAATAGCAATAATAACAGTGATGCAGAATTGGCTGCCAGATTGCAAAACGAAGTTTATCAACAAGAACCAAGAGCTCCTATTCAGTCGAGAACCGAGGTTTTAGTTGATGATGATTATTATACTGATCCATTATTTTCTTCCTTTAATAACAATTTTAGCAATTTGCTGTCAAACAGATTTGGAAATATTAATTCCAGCAATCCTTTTCACAATCGTACGAATAACAACGATGGCGATAATGACGAGATTGACGAAGATAACCATAATAATAGTAATCGTGTTCAGCAAAATGCAATGCGAGACACTTATTATTACTTACCAAATCGTGACGATAATAATAACTCATACAACTATATTAACGATAATGATGATGATGATGATGATTACCACGAAGATGAAGATGTGGAAGACATTGAATTTGAAGAAGATGATGACGAAAATGATCACCAAAGCAACTATAGAAATCAAACCCACCACCGTGATAATCGTTACAACATTGACAACGATGATGAAGATGAAGATGAAGATGAAGATGATATTTATATCAATAATAATATAAGCCGCAATAACAACATAGGGTATAGTAGCAATGATAACAATCAGCGTGCTTTAAACAATACAAATAATATAAATAACAATACTAACTACATTAATCCAATTGGTGTCACAAATAATCTGCAATTTGATAATGATGATAATGACACTGACTCAATAATTGAAACTCATAGAAATATTGCATCATCTTTTAATAATCCAAATAATATTAACTCGTCCTCTTCTCGTTTTAGTTTTGGCACTATAAATTCAGATGCAAGAAATTCAGGAACTGATCATGAAAGATTGTTAGCAAGATTGTTTGCTCCGCCACATGAGATTATAACAAACTCCCCTTTAATGATAGCCAAAACCGAAGCAAGAAAACTGAAGAAATGGTTATTGGTTAATATATTCAATCCCGCTGAATTTTCCTGTTCATTGATGTACAGAGATTTTTTTTCAAATAGAGACATAAAGCAAGTCATTAAAAACAATTTCATCTTCTTAAATTATTCAATTAAAGATCGAGAGGGCATGCAATATGTTACACTTTACTCTATAGAAAACTATCCCTACTTGGCAATTCTTGATCCATTTAGTGGCGAATGCTATAAAATCTGGGGTCAAGATGGTAAAATTCCTGATACACTAACTTGGATTAACGATGTATTTGAATTTTTGGATGCATTTACAGTGGACAAGGGATCAAAAGCACCAATCAACTTGATTCATAACAATTCGAAGAATAATAATGCTAATAATCCAATTTCTCTAAATTCGGATGATGATAGCGAAAATAAAACTAAAACAGAAAAGGGCGGTAATGCTGATGATAACAATAGCAAAGACAAAGACAAAGATAAAAATATCGAAAAAGAGGCTGATGATGAAGATGTCAGTCTGGATACTGAAGATGAAATCTTTGCAACAATATTGCCAAAAGATCAGATTGAACCTAAAGCAAACGATCCAAAGCCTACAACAAGACTTCAAATTAAAGCTGGTAAAACTAGAAAAGTGAGACGATTTTACTTGTCCAGCCTAATCAGAGAAATCTATGAAGTGATCAAATTCAACTTTGACATTGTCAAAGACAGCAAGTTATTCACGTTGGAGTTTGTTGGTAAAGATGGTAAACCTATCAATCTAATAACTGTCTTGGACTCGACCTTAGAAGACATAGGCTTGAAGAACGCCAGCGTTTTGATGAATGTGATTGACGATTAGGCGTCTTGCTCTTCCACAAATGTATAGCTTAGTATACACCAATATAGACACATTGAAACAACCAACGTAGCAAAAGCAGCAAAAGTAGCACCGTCCTGCTGGCTCCCGCAGTCAGATGTTTTGCACATGACGGGGTTTTTTATTGACATTTTTTCTGTCTGGAAAAAGGAGTTGATTTTGGAGAATTTGTTGCTTCAACTGTTCAAGAGGAACTTGTTAACTGCTGCTAGATCTATCTGCTTATACAAGAGTTTCTGCTTTTTTGTCTTTTTTTGTCATTTTACTACAATTTAGTGCATCACTGCAAATTTATAGCTGTACAATTTTTGTTACATTGCTCTCTGCTTTTCCTACTTTTTTACTGATTCTGTTTCAATTCACAATACCTTTTTTTAATTTATTTAAAAGCAATATCGACAACAGCTCCAATAAGATGTCGTCAACCGCAGCTCCCAACTCCATAGCCAGAGTTTATGCTGATGTTAACAACAAGAAATCTCAGTCATATTGGGACTATGATAACGTCAGCATAGTTTGGAGGTCTCAAGAAAAATACGAAATCGTTAAGAAAATTGGTAGGGGTAAATACTCCGAAGTGTTTCAAGGAGTTGAATTGCCCTCCGGTAGAAAAGTCGTCATGAAAGTCTTGAAACCGGTTAAAAAGAAGAAAATCAAAAGAGAAATAAAGATTTTGCAAAATTTAAACCATGGACCTAACATTATAGCATTATTAGACGTTGTCAGAGATCCTGTATGCAAAAACCCTGCTTTAATTTTTGAATGCGTCGATAACATAGATTTTAGAACTTTATATCCTCAATTTACTGATTATGACATTCGATTTTATATGTTCGAATTGTTAAAGGCTTTAGATTTTTGTCACTCAATGGGCATAATGCATAGAGATGTCAAACCACATAATGTTATGATCGACCACTCTTTGAAAAAATTAAGGTTGATCGACTGGGGTTTAGCTGAATTCTACCATCCAGGAACAGAATATAACGTTCGTGTAGCTTCCAGATATTTCAAAGGTCCAGAACTATTGGTTGATTTTAGATTGTATGATTACTCATTGGATTTGTGGTCTTATGGTGCCATGTTAGCTTCAATGATTTTTAAGAAAGAACCGTTTTTTCATGGTAAATCAAATACTGATCAATTGGTTCAAATTACTAAAGTGTTGGGAACAACAGAATTATACAAATACACCAAGAAATACGATATTGAACTAGGCCCTGAATACGAAGACATAGGTCAGTTTTATAAAAGGCCTTGGTTTAGATTTAAAAACGCATACAACGCAAAATTCGTTAATGATGATGTTATTGATTTTATTGACCATTTGTTAAGATATGACCATCAAGAAAGATTGACTGCAAAAGAAGCAATGGCCCATCCTTGGTTCAAACAAGTTCGTGCTAATGCTGAGAATAATGGGAATTTATAAATTTAATACTAACCTTGAGAATTATAGCCATGATTACAAATACAATAGAATGATCAAAATAAATCATCTCATGTTTTTCCATAAATGACGAACAGTTTAAAATGAAATAAATGAAGTTATTTATATTTTTATTTCTTTTCATAATTTGCCTTTTTTTTCATGTTTAGTTTTTTTTTTTTAATGTTTGGTTTCGCATCATTAACATCTTGTTATTTTTTCTTATTTCAACGTTTTCTTCTATTTTTTTTTCATTCTTTATTAATTTGTTTCTTATGTGTATTTAATCAATTGAAAATTTAAATTGTGCTTATAATACTCATTTTTGAATGTATAGGGTTAATGCTTAAATTTACTTATCTGTTTATTTATTTATTTATTTATTAAACTGCTAATTTCTAATTTCTAATTTATTTTTATATTTTTTTTATTTTCTTTTTTTTTATTTTTTTACTTTAATAATCACATCTTTTTTGAAAGGTTATAAATAAATATTAAAAACAAGAAATTGAAAAGATTCTCATATTGTTTTATCATTGATTTGATCATCACAAACCAAAATATTCCAATTTATTAAATTAAATTTGACAATAAAGTAATCATCGTTTAATACAAGAAAATAAGACATTAACAATTTTCTCATTTCAGAAATAGCAATGCAATAAAGACTATTTTTCTTCATTTCTGATTTTATTTTCATATTTTTCATATTTTTAAATGTTAATTTAATATTTAGAAAATTTATAAATATCTCATTAATTAGAAACTCCAAAATTTCCAAGATAAATTTTATTAGTAACTTAAGATTTAGGATATTAATTTCATTTTTGAAAATTGTAATATTGTCAGAATCAAATTTTTCAAATTGAAAAACTAGTGAAAAAAATTTAGTATATTTTAAACCATCATTAATCAATTGAATAGATCTTTGATTATATATTTTGTAAAATTCAGTTTTCTTAGTTTTTTTATTAATTGTTAAAACTTTGTGAAGTTTATTATCTTTAATTTTAGAATTATCGAAATGAAAGAATTCCAAAAGTTTTTTAAGAATATGTTCAAGACGAAAACTATAGTTGAAAAACAAGTTAAAAATTAATTCATGGTCAGTGATTAGTGTCATGTTGGGTGGTTCTTTTGATTCTGATAATTTTTCCTTTTTTTCAATTACTCTTAAAAACCCATATATAAAACTTTTGAATATTTCAAAATTATACTTAAATTTTAATAAAGTTCCCTTTAATGCAGTGCTTTTAGTTTTTGTATTTTGTTTTGATTTTTGATTTCTTTCGGTTAGAAGCAAATATTTTTGTTTATATTTAATAGTTGATAGCAAATAGTTGAAAAACAAATCGTCAAAGTGATGAAAATTAGACTCACTGATAATATCGATTTGTAATTTATAGATAGTGTCTTTGTATAGTATGACTTGATTATTATTGGTGTCAGATATGGAATGAGTTTCTTTCCAATTATTTTTTGTGAAAGCCTTTGAAACAAAATTTTTAATAAGGACCATCAACTCAAGATTTTTTTCTGCTTCCTCATTAGATTTACTATTATTGGGATGTCTTTCATCCAAATATTCATTGATAATTAATGGACTCAGATTTAAGTAGTTTAAAAATTGGAATATTCTTATAAATATGGTGAAGTTTAAGTTTTTTATTAGATTGTTGTAGATATTAGTTGAAAGATATTTGAAGTTTGTTATTGAACTAATATCGAAATAATCAATGTTTAAGATTTTTAAGGAATCTCGATATGATTTATGTAATTTTACCTTTTTTCTTCGATTGGAATCAACGACTTTATTGTTGGTTATATTAATATTTTTAGTAATATTTGAATCTTTAGAAAGAGGGCTGTTTGTTAGATCAATCAAACACTTTTTTTCATTTTTTTCATTTTTTTCATTTTTATTTTGTTGATCAAAATTTCGATTTAATTGTTTTGAATCAGCAAGATTTTGCTGACTAACAGATTCCTTTTTGTGTAAAATAATTTGATTCCCTCCAATTTCAATGCTGCTATTATATGTGATTTTGTTGTCTGAAATTTTCTTGAGGTTTTTGCTGGCTATAGTTTCAACAATTTCGTTGAAAATAGGTTCATTTCCAGCTTGAGATTTGCTGAATTTGAGCTTTTTATGGGAAATATCATGGCTGTTGTGACCAATATGATAGTGGCAATTACCGAAATCCAAAGAAATTGAATCATCTTGGTTATTTTCTTTGCTGCAAGAAAGTTGAGAATCACATATACTTCTTTTTTTATCGTTGAAGTTGGCGATTTGCTCTTTCTCAGAGCTTTTAGTTTCAGCGCTTAACCTTTCAATATTTTTTTTCCCAAGAATGTAGTAGTCAATAAAATCTAAAAAAACAAGCAATGTTAGAACAAGTGATGAGAAACAGCCGAACCCAGATATGGGTGCTTTTAATGTTTTACTAGAGTTTGATAAATACCAGACAAAGAGTGCTTTTCAAACACAGGAGACAAGCGTTTCAATTGAATGAGCTTAAGAGCCTATAAAAAACAGCATTAGCTTGTTGGTTCAGATCAAAGAGTTCACAAATAAAACAAGACTTACCAAGGCGAGATTGAGGTTGTCGTTGAAGGTGCTGTTCATTCTGGCGTATTTGCTGCCTCTGGGGCAAAAAACAGGACAGAAGCAAAGTCGCCTCCCGCAAACACCTTATATACTGTCTTCCATAGACATATCGTCCAACGTCTCATCGTAGCACTGTTCGAGCCTCTTCACCAACTTCCTGAGCTGTTCTCTGTCGTGGAGCCCACTGCTGCTTTCAATGTGCTTATTGAGTTGCTCTATCAAGAGCCTTTTGGACTCGCTGAACTGGTAAGACTTGATGAACTCGAGCAAATTGTGATCATGTTCCTTACTGATTAAATCTTCCACTATTCCTCTCCTGAACAGCGAGAGCTTTTGGTCAAAGTCTTCCTCCTTCTCATTGGGGTTGTAGAATTGGTAGATGGCAAGATCATTCTCATCTAGAAATGACAAAAACTCCTTCTTGTTTCCAAAGAGCAACGCTATGAAGCACTCGTTTCGTAGTCTGTCCAAACTCAAGTCCATCAAAACCTCCATAATTTCCAGGTAGGCTTTTTCAGATTCCTCGTCATTGTTCGAGCTATTCAGTATTTCATCTGACACTCTTATTGTTGGAACTGGTTGATTCGTACTCTTGCCCTTCTCTTCGACAATCTTTTCAGGAAAAGTAGAACGTTTTTTTTGGTGCCTGTTGGTATTTTTAGATTTGTGTCTGCCCTTGTTGAATTCATTATCCAAACTAAGAGAAACATCAAAATTTTCAAAATCAATATCCAGGTGCTTATTTTTAACAATTTTTTTCTCTCGTAATCTTGCCCAATATCTCTTTCGAACAAAATTACCAAAATGATGACTGCCTCTCCATTTCTTACTATTAAATCTAATTCTTGAGTATAGCCATCCGTTTTCATCGACATCATCATTTATCTTTAAAACATACCACTCTTTCCAACTCCATTCCCAGCTTTGATCGGGTAGTGTTATCAATTTCAAATTAAATCTATGATTTTTACTTCCAGGTCCACAAGTCGTATAATCCGCCAAAACTTGCTGTTGAGTATTCTTGTTGTGAAATAATTTTTTTTTAGTGTTATTAGATTTTGAAAAAGAAGATGGATCAACACCATGAATCAAAAAATTCTTTGAAAAAAGTGGAATTCCAAAAAAATTAGACCCTCTTTCATTTTCAACAACAATATCAAATACATATGTTTTTTCATTGCTGATTTCCGACAGGTGTAAATATTTTTGCAATTGAGCCATTAACGAGTTTTTATTCTGGTTAATAAAATCTTCTTCATCATTAAATGGTAGTTCTTGTTTATTATCTGCCGTTGATATTTCAATTTTATTTTTTAAATCTTCTTTATTAACACCTGGAAGTAAAAACCTTCTATCAATGTTAATTGAGCACCTTGGTAAGTTTGGAAATTGTTGTGAAGCAGAGTTCAGTGTGATTAAAAAAGTTTCAGGTTGATCTATTGCTTGGATTTCATTTTCATTTTCATTTTCATTTTCATTTTTATCAAGATCTGAATTTTTCCTTTTTCTTTTTTCTTGACTTTGATCTTGATCTTTATTTTTTGGTTTATTTTGATCTTTATTTTGATCTTTATTTTGATCTTGGTTTTTATTTTGATTGTGATGTTTATTTTTGTCTTGATTTTGATGTTTATTTTGAACTTGGTCTTTATCTTGATCTTGATCTTTTGATTTATTTGTTTTCAAAAAATTATGATTCTTTTTAATTTTTTCCTTTTTTTTGCTCTTTCTACTTTCTTTATTTTCATTTTTTTCATTTTTTTCGTCCTTTTTATTATCATTTTTCGGTTTCGTTTCAAGATCAGTTTGATTAATATCAATTGTTGTCATATGTTTTTTACTATATTTTTCAGATTTGAGAATTTTTTCATAAGATGAATCATAATCCACAGAAGTTAAATGAACAGAACTCAAATGAAGCTTTTTTGATATCGTTTTTCTAACTTGTTTTTTGGAATGATGAGAATCACATTGCAAGTCATTTTCATTTTTATGAATTTTACAATTATTGTTATCTTTATGTTCAGTATTATCAATATTTTGGAAACTAACGCTATTTTTCAAATTGTTTTCAGTCTTGTCTGAATTATCTAACAAGGGATTAATGTTCGATGTTAATATTTGAAGAGGAACATTTAAAGTATTTGGAAATGAATTATGAGATATCGCATTCTCATTTATAGAAACATTTCCCTCAATTTCATTATATAGATTTTCATCAGCTATTGTTTTTGTATTGGAATTTTCCTCTCCTTCTTCCTCTTCTTCACTATTATTATCAACTAGCACTAAACTAATTGCTGGTTTTGTTTTTTCATTTCTTTTTGATAGCAATATCTTTCTCTTTAATTTTTCCTTGCTTGGTATGTTAGGATCTGATATATTGAGGTCATCGAACTCAATGCCAGTTTTACTAGAAAGGTTTTCTTCAGCATCTCTTTCCGGTTCTGACTTATTGGATATTGTATTTAACTTTCCCTTTTTAATACTCTTGCTGCTTTTATCACTGCCAGTGTTATTGTTGCTGCTATGATTTGTGCCCCTACTTATGCTTCGAGCTATGCTCTGACTTAGCTTTCTTAACTTCGATTTGTGTTTAACTAAGGATTCTTTTTCAATCTTGGTTTGGTCTGATGGGTTTTCAGCACTTGAAATTTCTGTTTCACTGTATGAGTGCAGGTTATAAGCAGTTGAATTCAACAAGTTTTCCAGATTTAAATGTGCAACTGAAGCAAAAAAGGAATCATCATTGAAATCTGGATCAGTTAATATGTTCAAGTCAAATTTGTTTGGGTTGATGGTGTTGATAGAATCATTTAAATATTCATAATCTGTAGGAGTCAAAACAGACTTTCTCTTTCTGAATTTTAATTTTGAGCTAAAATCAACCATTTCTTTCTTTTCAGCCTTACAGAACAACTTGCATTATCATGGAAAGTGAAGAGTGGGATGTTTCTCTTCTTAAATACTGAAAAAAGCAAATCAAGGCTAGGAATGAGATTATACTATTGTTTCACTGTTTTGCTATTCATTTAGCAAAGATCCAGTAGTGGTAGATCGAGATTCGTTGTGTTTGTGCTTTATCCTTTTTTTTTAGCAACCCATTTCAATGAGAGATAGAGACTAGTTGGAAAGATAATTCCAGCATTGACAAACAGGTTTTGCATTTGAAACTATACTTCTTGAAATATAATTAACATTCATTAATATTACAGAAAGAATTGAAAAAAATAAGAAAAAAAAATGGGAAAAAGTGATTTAAGAATTTATAGTGAAAAAACAATAGAGAAAGAGTTAGAATAGTTACAATTTACAAAACTTTTCAAAAGAGCTTGATAAGAACTCTGTAGCAAATCAAGAACAAAGAAAAAAAATGGAAGATAAAGAAAAAAAAAATAATATAAAAAGAAAACAATCAAAAAATAGAAAAATAGAAAAATAAAAATCAACCCTTCCAAGGTTTATACAATTTTTGAGCTTGCACTGAAACAGGTATAGTTTGAGTTGATAGTTTGTTGGAACTTGAGCTATTGTTTATATCATCGTCATCATCACCATCAATTTCTTTGCCACTATCATTATCAACCATCATTGAATCTTCAGTGTTGTTATGAAGTTTGTCATTGTGAATTATAAAAGCTCTAATTGGTTTTTTTGAGTCTTCTATGGCTTCTTCAATTAATTTCAAGGCTTCATTTGATTTTGAAATAGAATTAGAATTAGAATTAGAATTAGAATTTTGATTGGTAAGATTTTGATTTTTGATTGAATCATTTATCGATAAAGATAACAATTTAGTTGAGTTGATCATTTTATCCTTAACGTTTAAAATTTGATTTCTAAGAGCTAACTTATCTAAAAAGATTTTTTTCTTTTCATTTTGTATATTTAATTTTTCGATATTTAAAATTTTCTCGAAATTAGATAGATTTTTCAATTTTAGATCAATTTTTTTCAATTGCAAATCAACCAACAGATTTAAAGTATTGTAAGATTCTTTGATTTCATTAATTTTTTCATTTTTGGAGTTTATATTTAGCATTTTCATTAATTTTTCTGAAATTCCGTCATCTTCATTATTTTTAACATTTGTATCTTGATCTGTAATTTTTTTTGCCAAATTTGAATCTATTTTATTAACAAGAAATTTTAGAGAATTTATAGCATAAGTTCTGTTATCGTTGTCGTTATTGTCATCATTGTTAATATCATTGTCAATATCATTGTCAATATCATTGTTAGTAATTTTGTTATTAATAGGGTGTTTATTATTATTATCATTTTGATTTTTTAGGTTATTCTGCTTGTTTAGATATTTTGATAGGTAGTTATCTTCGATTGGTAATTTAATGAAAAATTCTAAACATTGCTGTTTATTTCTGCTTGATACATGTTTTGCAATTTTATCCCAATCATCATCATAAATTTTAATACCTTCTAGTAATAGAATGATTTCGTTTTCATCCCATGGGTCATAGTTTGATAATTTTAGATTATTTGAGTTAATTTTGATAAAATCGGAAGAAAAGAAATTTTGAGGGAAAAATCCTTGGTTAAAGCATGTGCTACATAAAATCAAAGAATTGGGAGATCTCAATGAATGGTATCTAATCTCAGTTGTATTATTGCCACAAATATTGCATATATAAACTTTTTTCAAGAATTCTGTGTTATTAATATCAGCAGGATTGTTTAGGTTTAGGTTATTTATGTTTGAGTTGACGATTTGATTATTATTATTATTATTATTGGTGTTGTTGTTTAATAGAGGTGAATCATCCAAGACTATGGAGTTTGATATTGAATCATAAACATTTTTTCTGATTTCCAAATTCAAAGGTATATGAAAATTAGAGTCATTAGAATTTTCCTTTTCTTTTGTAATATTATTTTTATTGATCTCATTATCAATCTCGTTATCAATCTTATTATTATCGATATCAATATCAATATCATTATGATTTTGTAATTTTTTAAGTTTTTTATTTTTATTTTTATTTTTATTTATATGATTGTTATTATTACTCTTTTGAATGAATGGTTGAATTGAATCAGGAGTGTCTAAGGTGATTTGAAAATGACCAGTGAATTGGGGATTCAATACAAATGGTTTTGTCTTTGGATCTATTTGATAATTGATTAAACCCCATTTATTCAAGAATTTATAGATTTTGTAAATTGACTGAACATCGGAGGATAAATTTCGTCTAACAGCAGTGAATGATAAATATTCAATTGGATTGATTCTATAAGTATTAATAATGAAATTTCTAAAATCTCTATAGATTTTAGGATCTTTTCTTAGTTTGTTGTTAATTGGGTTGCCATTCATTCTGTTGTTGCCATTACTGCCATCATTATTTGTCTCATAATAGAAATACTCAGGAAATGATTTTTTTTCAATTGGGTGAATTTTGTTGAATTTGAACCAGGCAGAAAAAGATGGAATTATCACTGGGAAGGTCTGTTTGGCCAAATAAGCATTGGCTTCTTCCTCAGCCTTCTGCTGTTCCTTCGACAAGCTCATAACAATGCCATCGTTGTCACTGCTGTCCTCGTTCTCGTTATCTTTGGCATCGTCGTGGATGTGTGTTGGAGCTGGAGCTGCTGTGGTCTCCACGTCGTTGCCAGGAGGAGCTAGGTCCTGAGGAGATAGGTCCTCAGCCATGCTCACGTCCTCGTCGACAGCAATATCAACAAGCTCTTCTTTGATAGCACCCTCTCTCTGCTTCTCGGCCATTGTGTCCTCTGTCTAACGACTAACTTCGAGCAACAGCTGTTGGAATTGAAAACGAAACAGAAACAAAACAAAAGAACCTTTTCCACCACAAATTTTTCAGTTTTCTCGCTAACCGGAAACACGTGAAATTGTCGGAACTTTGCACGACGCGCTCGGAACTCGGCTGAGAGCGCGATTTTGCACTGGAGAAAAAGCAAGCTTTCGCGTTGGAGAAGTTGGTGGTTTTGGTGACAAAACACAGCGAGGGAAAGACGACAATGGTGAACAGGAAGAAGTACAGGTTGAAAAGCACACCTGTGGTGGGAGACGACTTTTCCGAGCTCATTCCCACGGGCTCTGCGAGCGCCACCAGAAGACTTCGACACAAACACAACAACTTCTCTTCTCGAGGCTCTTATGGTGTGAGTGAGCTGGATAACAGCAGCCAGATAGACACCATTCACATTGTCAGTGATCTGAGTGATAAGGAAGATGGCGAAGACGACAAAGATGACCATTTACAAATTACAAGGGAAATCTCTCTGGAGGACAGCACAATTCAAAGCGATGCCGACGACAGTGGGAATGAAATTATTCAGGTCAATGATGTTTCCATACAATCTGTGGAGATGGAGAATGGTGACAAACAAGACAGCGATTACAGCAGTGGTGATTCTGATGCTTATGGGGATGAAGAGTCTTTGAAATCTGAAGCTGAATACTTGCCCCACAGAGACAATAATACTTCAAAAGCTCGAAGATACTATAAGCAAAAACAAAAAACACAGAAAAATCCATCCAGAACAATTAAACTCAGAAACCAAAAAAAGAGTAATTTGAACAGAAACGCACGACTGAAAATGAGAAAAACAGTAAAGAAACCAAGAATAATGCCTGATAGTGAAGATGAAGATGAAGATGACTTTGAGAATAGTAGTGATAACGATTCTCAAATCGACTCAAATCTTTCAATTGATGAAAAGGAAGAAGAAGAAGAAGACGAAAAAGTCAACAAATTAATAAGCAAATCGCATAAAGTCACTGTTGAACAGGAAAAATTTAATGAATTATCCAGTGCTCAAAAGCTAGAACGAGTTCAAAGATTAATTGCCTTGGCAAAAGAGTATGTCGAAAATATTTCTTCATCATTGTTGGAGCAAGCTCAAAACAGTGCAAGTAAAAACGATATTCCAATCGATAAAGAAGAAGTGGTTCAAAGTGAATCCGATTCAGATGTTGAAATAATCGATGAATTTAATCAACCTAAAAAGATTCATAATAAGAAACAAAAAATTTTTTCAAGACGTAAACCAAGAAAAAGAAATGCTAAAAAGGATTTGTTAACTTTAATGACTGAATCCAAAAATCGGAAATCTAATTCGTCCAAAAATAAAACTAATGGTAAAAAAACCAACAAAAAACAAATTCAAGTCTCTGTCAGCAAAATAACCGACCAACCAAAAATCTTAACCGGTGCAGTTTTGAGAGATTATCAAATCGATGGTATGGCTTGGTTAATTGCCTTATACCAACAGGGTTTAAATGGTATTTTAGCTGATGAAATGGGTTTAGGTAAAACAATCCAAACTATTTCCTTACTAGCCTATCTTTACGGTGAGGGCAATAAAGGCCCCTTTCTAATTGCTTGTCCATTATCAACTTTAGGTAATTGGTACAATGAATTTAAAAACTTTACTCCAACTTTACCTGTATTAGCTTATACCGGCGTAAAAGATATAAGAGAACAATTGAGAAAAAAACATTTTAAAGCCTTAAAATCTGGAAAAATTTCGGTTTTAATAACAAGTTATGAAGTTATTCTTAACGATAGGAGATATCTTAATAAATTTGATTGGAAATATTTAGTTGTTGATGAAGGTCACCGATTAAAGAATACAAATTGTAGATTAATCAATGAATTGAAAAAACTAAAAACTGAAAATAGATTATTACTAACTGGTACTCCCTTACAAAATAACTTAAATGAATTATGGTCTTTACTTAATTTCATTTTACCTAACATTTTTCATGATCTAGAATTATTTCAACAATGGTTTGACTTTTCTAGCTTTAACAGTGATAATAATGAAAATCATACTTCTCAATTAATAGATTCTGAAATTCAAAAGGGATTGGTTTCAAATTTGCACTCGATTTTAAAACCATTTTTATTAAGAAGATTAAAAAAATTAGTTACAAAATCTTTACCGCCAAAAAGAGAATATCTTATTTATTCATCCCTAACTCCTTCACAATGGGATATGTACCATGCGACATTGAATAAAGAGCTTAAAACGTACTTGTTGAAATTAGCATTTACTGAACATATTGAATGTAATAATTATTTCGGTAATAGAGAAGTTTACAGTATGGATAAAATTGATTCATTCTTTAAGAAGAAATTTTCATTAAAACCTATTGATTTAAGTGAGGATGAAAAAGAAGAAGAAGAAGGAACTGGCGTTCCAAAATTTGGTCAGAGACTTCAAGTCGATGAAATCGCTACAAATGAGAAACGTAAATTAAGGAGTCGATTAAGAAATCCTAAAAAAAGAAGAATTAATTATAAAGAATCTGATTTCAGATATGGAGATTTGTCATCTGATTCTGAGTATATTGGAGATGAAAATCAAGATTCAGATGAAGATTTGGAAGATGACATAATGATAAATGATTCTTCTAAATTAATTAATTCCAATGGGTATTTTGAAGGGTTTAATTCAAAGGATAACCAATTTAAGAAATTTTCATTAAATTCAATAGAAAACAAAAATAGGGCGCAAAAGGAATATTTAAAAATTATTGAAAATGAGAAAACCCAAATTGGAAATGAGGTAATTAGTCAAATTAATGATATAAATCAGAATGGTCCATTTGATGAATTATGTAATGATTTATCGATAGATGATTCTATTATTAATCCTGAACAGGAGAGAGAGCTACGATATGAAGACTATAGCGATGTAAATTACGATAGTAATGATTTTAACGATACGATTTTTAATAAAGAAAATTTGCAGCAAAATCAAAAAGAAAAAATGTATACAATTGATTCTATGGATACATATTTAAAGCCATTTTCACCATTACCAGACTATAATTTGTTCCGAAGAGATAGGCCTCAAAAACCAATTTTATATACGCCGACTAATGATTTACCGTATAATTCATATCAAAATTTATTAGAAAATTTGAAATTATTGTTGGTTACATTGAAAAGAGCTAGAGAAAATGGGCTTAGTGGAAATAATTTAAATGAATGGGCTAATGTTCGTAATATTGATATAATTTATCAAAATTTGAAGTATAGTTCAATTTATTCATATTATTTGACGGCAAAATATAATGCTGAGAAGAAGCAATATTGTAATTATTTGAAATATTTAAAATTTGTTGAAGATCAAAAAATTTTAAAACTCAAAAGAGAAAGAGAAAGACAGAGAGAAAGAGAAATGGAGAAGAAAGGAGCACTTGAGAGAAAAGAGAGGAGAAATTTTGCTTCAATAAAAAAGGTTCATGAAACAATCAAAATACCAGATGAAAAGAATGAGCAAAATGAAAAAATAGAGAAGGTTCCTGAGACAATTGAAATATTAGATGAGAAAGATGGGAAAGATGGGAAAGATGAAAAAAATAGGATTACAAATGGTATTAAAAAAAATAATGAAGATGAGCTAAAGAAAAAACCCACTAATTTTCTTGAATATTTTGAAAATAAGGAAAATAAATATAATGATGAGGATAGGGGTATGTTTGATAAATTTGAAATGGATAAAGATACTGAAGATAGATTCAAAAAATATTACTTGAAAGAAAAAGGAAAATATAACGAATGTATGAAAATGAGTGATTTGGGAGGTGAATCTATCGAAAAGGAAGAGGAATATAAGAAATTTAAGCTTTTGTATTTCGATAAAGTGGTAGATGAGGAGAAAGATGTGGATATTGAGATTGAGGAAATATCTATAAACGAGCAAAACGAAAACGAAAACGAAATAGAAGAAGAATTGAAAGGCAATAAAACGGAAATAGAAGAGGAATTACCTAAGTTTGAAGATATTTGGCAGCAAATTAATAATGATATTGATAATAAGAAATTGAACAATGTTGTTATGCAATTAAGATTGATATGTGATTCGCCATATTTATTTTATTTTCCGTGGGATAATGATGAAAGCATTGATGTGAATAGATTGATTGATCGATCTAGTAAGATGCAAATTTTGAATCAATTGGTGTCTAAATTGATTGAAAGAAAGCATCGGGTGTTGATTTTTTCGCAATTTGTTAAAATGCTAGATTTGATTGAAGATTGGTGTGATATTAAGAAATACCGTTGTTGTAGAATAGATGGGCAGATGACTCAAACTGATAGACAAGAAGAGATTGACAAATTTGGAGATATAGAGCAGGATTACAGTATTTTTTTGTTGAGTACAAGAGCTGGAGGACTAGGGATCAATTTAACGGCAGCAGACAGTGTTATATTATTTGACAGTGATTGGAATCCGCAAGTTGATTTACAGGCGATGGACAGAGTGCATAGAATTGGACAGACCAAACCTGTTATTATTTATAGGTTTGCTACAATCCAGACTATTGAACAAGTTTTGTTGATGAAAGCCGATTCCAAGAGACAGTTGGAGAGATTGGTTATTCAGATGGGGAAATTTGAAAGTTTGAGGCAATTGGCAGATGAGAGAAACAAAGCAGGGCCCAAGAACAAAAGCAAGACTAATGTTTTAATCAACGACTTGAAGGCGTTTGTGACGGCGAATGAGTTCAAGGGGTATGGCGACTTCAACGACAATATCTTGGAGGAAGAAGAGATGGCAGTGTTGTTGGACCGAAGACCAGAAGCATATATAAAGGACGAGACCAGGAGGTTCAAACACGTTGAGTTGTTTGAAACATCAGCACAGTCGGTTTTGGAAACAGAGCCAGTGGACATCGAGGCCCAGATAGAGACAGTGGAAGAAGTAGTGGAAGAAGCAGCAGAACCATCAAAGGAATCTGTGGCAGTAGCAGCTCCAGTGTAAATAGCACAATCGACGTTCAGTTTGCACAGTAGCTTGCTCTCGCCCTCCACAAGAAGCACAGGCGGCACAAACACCACCAAAAAACAAAAACAAATGATTGAAGCGAGGTTCGAACTCGCGCCTCCGAAGAGACCAGGACCTTAACCTGGCGCCTTAGACCACTCGGCCATCCAACCGCTTGCTGCTCAATGCAGAGCATAAAAGTATATAGTCACGTATTCTGGTCCGAGTCAGGCGTTCCGATTTGCGACCGTTTGAAAAAAAAACGCTTTTGTGAGGAATTGGGTTTGGAGCTGAAAGGAGCTGGTTCGTTTTTTCTTCTCTCTCGATAAGACTTTCCACCGCCAGACCCTCTGTTGTGCTGCTTCTGCTGCTTCTGCTTCCTGTGCTATTTCTGTCTTTTCTGCTGCTTCTGTTTCTACTGCCTCAATTCCCTTCTCCTCCGCTTCTTGTTTTGCCTCCTTCTCATCTTTTTTTTTCTTCTTAGACACCCACTGCGAGTTCTTTATAACTACTTATCTGATTTACTCTGTTTACTGCTTTTATCTCATTTTACTCATTATTCTATCTCGTACTCTTATTCTTATTCTTATTTTTACATTTCTCTTTATTTCCATCAACACTGCTGTGTTTACCACCATTATCTTTTCCAATCTCACTCTTCACTTCTTCTCAAAATGTCTCTCCCTAAGGATTATGTCAATGAATTAAACACCCTAAATAAAGAAGTCCTAACCAATCAACCCAAAGACGTGATTCAATTTTGCGCCAACTATTTTAATTCAAGACTACAAAAACAAAGGGAAGAACTTTTGAAAAATAACAGTAGCAACGAAAACAATAAAAATCTCTTCTTTAATGACAGTTTTAGTGATAACATTAATTCAATTAAATCGCCCACCGATCAGTCCTTCCATTTGAAAAGTAACATGTTTGATACAAGTCCAATATCCTCCAGTCCTTTTGCCAAATATAATCCAAATACCACCAATAAAAATATCATCAGCAACAAGAACAGTAATTCAAATGATAATACCAATAGTAACACAAGCACCAATAACAATAATACCAAAACCAATATCAATACCAAAACTAATAATGATAATACTAATAATAATAATACTAATGATAATACTAATAACAATGACAATGACAATGACAATGACAATGACAATGATGATGATGATGATAAACCCATACCACCTCTTGCTTTTAAGATACCGTTCCGTGATAATGATCCTCACACTAACCCAATAATCAAATCCGGTTCTTCTTCTCCTTCAACCATCCCATCTTCTGCAAGAAAAATCAATATAGCAAACACTCCCCCAGGTGCAGGCTTTGCTGCTTCTGCCTCTGCTTTATCAAAATTTCCAACTCAATACAACTTAGCAAGAAGATCCTCTGTTTCTGCTGAAACATTAAACCCTTCTTCCTTTCAAAATGATTCCTGGAAACCCCCAGTTCGTCACCTATCCAAAGACCAATTGAAAAGACTAAATACTTCCGTAACAAAAAACTTTTTGTTTTCAAACCTCGATGAAGAAGCTCTCAACACCGTAATCCATGCTCTACAAGAAAAGAGAGTCTCAAAGGGCGCAGAAATCATCAAACAAGGTGACGAAGGTGACTACTTTTATGTAGTTGAAAGTGGAACCGTAGATTTCTATGTCAATGATGAAAAGGTCTCCACCTCTGGTATTGGTTCATCCTTTGGTGAGCTAGCCTTGATGTACAACTCTCCAAGAGCTGCAACCGTTGTCGCTGTAACTGAATGTATTTTATGGGCTTTGGACAGACTAACATTTAGAAGAATTTTACTAGAAGGTACAGCTAAAAAGAGAGCAATGTTTGAAGTCTTTCTTAAAGACGTTCCAGTTCTATCAATGCTATCCCCCTATGAAAGAAGCAAACTAGCTGATGCTTTGCAAAGTGAAATTTATCATCCTGGCGTTAATATCATCGTTGAAGGCGATATTGGTGAAAATTTCTATTTTATTGAATCTGGTGAGGCCGATGTTACTAAAAAAAATGAGGGATTAATCACTTCCTTGAAAAAGGGCGATTACTTTGGAGAAATTGCTCTATTAAACGATCAACCAAGAGCTGCTACTGTAACTGCTAGAACTATTGTTAAAGTTGCTACTCTATCCAAAAATGGTTTCCAAAGATTATTGGGTCCAGCAAAGGAAGTATTAAAAAGACAAGATCCAACTCGTGAACATTAATGAGTTATTATTATCAATTTCTTATCATTATTTATTTATTTTATTTATTTATTTATTTATTTATTTATTTATTTATTTATTTATCTATCTATCTATCTACCCACTTACTTACTTACTTATCTTACTCACTTACTCACTTTATTTATTTATTTATCCATTTATTAATTTATTTATTTACTTACTCACTTATTTTCATTAATAAATATAAAAATTGTTTTATATACCTATAATGAAAGATAATAATCTCTAGTTAACAACATCCAGCTAATGGTAACCGTTGAAACAATTAATGGCCCAGCAAAACCTTTGCCTAACTTAGCAGTTTTGTAAACCAATAACTCCAAATTAAAATGAACAAAAGCTATAAGATATGAACTTAAAACAATTTTCCAAACAACAGCATTGTTTAAATTAAATGACCCGTAATAACGAATTATAGCAGATAACATGGTCCATGTTCCAAAGGTCCTGGCACTTAAATTGGTTGTCTCTAAGGGTTTGTTTTCATAAACTCTTCTTGTTAATGTTAACCCAGAAAAATACGTTTGAACCGAATTAAAAATTGAAACAATGGCTATGAAGAATAGCCATTTAGGTAAATAACCTGGCAATTTTGGAACCTGATCTTGAATTAACCCAACAACAAACATTTTGTCTGATTATTATATTCAATAGGCAGAGTTTACACCAAATGATATATATCAGTTTATCAAAGAAAACAATGTATCAACACCATCACCAGTTTATCGACTTAAAACGCATGCCCATTTTCATTCTCTTGCTTGATTGGTTATACGAGTTATAAGAAAAAGAACCTCAGCTATGGATATATGCATATCAAACGCGCAAGTTCTGCGCATTTGCATATGATATGCACATATCTGTTGATACCACTATAATGGACTCCGGTATTCAAAATAATAATTGAAAAAAAAACGAGAGAAAACAGCTGGAGAATGTTCAAAAATTGTATTGAATCCTATTTAGGAAATACAGATTCTTGAAAACTAAAATAATGATCAAAATGTTTACAAATTAAAATTGAAAATGATGAATTAGATTCAAATTGTTTTAAATTGTCTTGAAAAGTTTTCAATAACACTCAGCTTCTCTTATTGGGTCTATGATCAAAGCAACAAAAATACATGAAATTGCTAATGTGGTTATAAAATCGTAAACGACAATTTCATTTTCCATACTTTGCTCTCTTCAAAAAAACAGTTCTAGCCGTTATCCGACATATAACTGCTAACAGCTATAATAGACCATGACCTATTCAACAGCCGTTCATTTAGTCTTAGAAACCCTAGTTGTCAGCAATAATATTCCGCTGCCAGTATATTTAGCCGAAGAGCGGAAACTCCCACAATTTGCAGTTGAACCACGATACACAAGACGAAGAATCACATCTTTTGATTGATGGATTTAGCGTTCCAAAAACCAATTGAGCATTGCCTTCAACTACCAACACAACTCTGATTGTTGTTTTCAATCCGCGACGAGTTGTGTACAACTGTGGTCATAAGAATCTCTTTTGTTGTCTGCAAAGCGACATCAGAGGGTCTGATCTATTGTAGTTTTTTTGCAAAAGGCTATCTGGCCAATATTTGACTTGTGCTCTCAAAGAACACTGCAAGAATTGCGGGACGGATAAAACACCGTTAAAACCCAAAATACAATCCAAATGAAGCTTGAAGCAGACCAAAAGGTCCAATTACTAATAAAAACAGCTAAACAGCCAATCACAGGCCTTGGAAGCTTGTGGAATCAGCAAAGTTTGGTTCCGTGTTTATGGTCTAAGAACGGGTAGGAAGAAAAAAGTGGCAGGAAGAAAAAGACGGTAAAGGAACAATTTCGGTTGCATTGATTATTAATTGGATTGCGTCTGCAGCACTTCAGCATTTCAACATGAGTTGCCTGCTTTTTATGCATCATGAGGCTTCTGCTTTGAAGGTTTGCGTCTAAACGCGCTTCCCTGCAGCGTTCGAGGAAGTGAAACGAAAGTTTCGACTAGACATTAACGAAAAATGCTTCAAATCAGGCAGAAAAAGAAGAGAAAGAAAAGAAAAAGAAGAAACAAAAACAAGGGAAGAGGAAAGAAGAAACAGCTACTTCTACTGGTGCTTTGTCGTGGAGAATCTGCTACAAAAGCTCTTTATTTCTTGTGTATCTTACTTGCTCTTTCTCGATTTATTTGAAGCTACTCTTACCCTTTACTTCATCTTTTATTGAGCTATTTGAGATAACTCTAAAATTCAATTGGTATTCATCCATATTGAGCTTCACTATTCCTCTCTATCCTTTTGATTATTAATTAACTTTTCCTTCAACTGTATGTTCGAAGTAAAAGAAGCCAAAAGAAATTAAGAGAATCCGTATTATTAATTTAATATTGCAATTCTGTTTCCCAATTTCCTGATTTTCTGATTTCCCGATTTCCCAAATTTTCATAATATAAATATCCAAAAACTTCTTTATCTCTATTTTTGTTTAACTTCATTTCATATCACATCATATCAAACTTCTTATTTTCATATCTAATAAGTAACAATTAATATCAAATTCTTTTAACCTTTATCCTTTTATTTATCTCGTCCTTTGATTTTATTCATTGGCAATCATAATGCTGGTTGCTAATAAAATCTCTGATGATAGTTCAACTATCAATTCATTCCATGGCAAGGTAAGTGATTTAATTCTTGATAACAGAAATGATCAAATTAGTTCCGATCAAGACTTAGTTGATGATGAAGATCAAAGAGGTGAAATTATGAGAATTTTGACCTCAAATGTCCATCAAGAAGGTGGTGTCTTCGACCAAATTCAATCCTTATCCAAAACATTATCCCAAAGAACTAACTTGACGACAAACACTTTTAATATTGACATCAATGATTTTGATTTACAAAAAATTTTGAGAAAATTTGTTCGAATGTCTGATGTTGAAGATATTCATATAAAGAAAGCAGGTATAATTTTTAAAAATGTAAACGTTTATGGTCAAAATGAAGCCTCTTCTTTCTCCCCTGATATTTTAAGTTTCCTAAATATTTATCAAAACATCAAAACCCTTAAAAACGCTAAAAACAATCAAAAACAAATTATCAAAAATATCAATGGTATAGTTAAACCAGGTGAAATGTGTCTTGTCTTAGGTAAACCGGGTTCTGGCTGCTCAACTTTATTGAAAACAGTCGCTGGTGAAGCCTCGCAATATTCTGCTATAGATGCTGATATTAAATATGACACTATCCCTCAAGATCAAATGATGAAGTATTTTAAAGCTGATGTTATTTATAACCCAGAAAATGATGCTCATTTTCCACATTTAACTGTCGAACAAACTTTAAGATTTGCAATTACCTGTAAAGTCCCCAAACTTAGAATTAAAGGCTATACCAGAGATCAGTATATCAATGCATTAATGGATATCCTAACAACTGTTTTTGGTCTCAATCATGTTAGAAACACTAAAGTTGGTGATGATTTTGTCAGAGGTGTCTCCGGTGGTGAAAGAAAAAGAGTCTCCATTGCCGAAGCCTTGGCTTCAAGGGCTTGCATCTATTGTTGGGATAATGCAACCAGAGGTCTCGACTCCTCCACTGCTTTAGAATATGCTCAAGCTATTAGAATCGCAACAAATTTCTTAAAACATTCTTCCTTAGTAACCCTCTATCAAGCCGGCGAAAGAATTTATGAAACCTTTGATAAAGTCACCATCTTGTATGATGGCTACCAAATTTATTTTGGTCCAATTGAACAAGCTAAACGGTTTTTTGAAAATATGGGTTATGCTTCTCTTCCAAGACAATCAACAACTGAATTCCTTACCGGTGTCACTGATTCAGAAGAAAGAATTGCTAAACCAGGTTTTGAAAATAAAGTCCCGAGAACTGCTCAAGAATTTGAAGACTATTGGTTAAAATCCCAAGATTATCAAAATTTAATCACAGAAATCAACGAATATGAACAAGAATGTGCTTTATCTCCAACTCAGCAATTGTTCGATGAATCCACTAAACAAGCTAAAATGAAATTTCAAAGACATAAATCAAAATATACAATCAATCTTCTTGAACAATTTAAATTATTAACCATTAGAGGTTTTCAAAGAGTTTTAGGCGATCCTTATTATACAGTTATACAAATCTTTTCAATGACAGTTGAGTCTTTAGTTATTGGTTCCATGTTTTATAATCTCCCAAATAATACAGACTCCTTCTTCTCTAGAGGCGGTTTATTATTTTTTGCTACTTTTCTTTTCACTTTTACTCCAATGGTCAGTGTCATCAACTTTTTTCAAATCCGTTTTGTTCTTTTAAAACAAAAAGCTTATACCTTTTACCATCCTGGTGCTGAAGCAATTGCTTCAACTTTAGCTGATATACCGTTGCGGCTAACATTAACTGTTATTCTTTCCCTTATTGTCTACTTTTTATCCAATTTAGAAAGAAAAGCTGGGAAATTCTTTATATTTTTCCTTTTCTTATTCGTAACTTATTGTGTATTATATTCTCTCTTCTTAGCCTTTGGTGTATATTGTGCCAATATTTCAACTGCAAAATCGGTTACTGGTCTAGCCTTGGTTGTTATTCTTGTCTATACAGGTTATGTTATTCAAAGACCTGCAATGCATTGGCACTTTAAATGGCTCTCTTATATTAATCCCGTCACTTATAGTTTTGAAGCTGTCGTTGCCAATGAATTTCATGGTCGAAGAATGGATTGTTCTACCTTAGTTCCCTCAGGTCCTGGATATGAAGGTGTTTCTATAATCAACCAAGCCTGCGTTGCTGTTGGTTCAAATATTGGTGAAAACTACGTTTTAGGCGATGACTATGCATCTCTTTCTTATGGCTATGAATATTCTCATCTTTGGAGAAATTTCGGTATTTTAATCGGATTTTGGGTTTTCTTTTTAGTTTTAACTATTCATGGCATGGAAATCTTAAAGCTACCAAAAGGTGGCGGTGAAAGATTATTATTTAAAAAGGGAACCACAGAATCTGCTATTGCCTCTAAAATTGTGAAAGATGATATTGAAAGTGGTGAAAGACTACCTTCAGACAAAATAATTGAAAAAAATGAATCTAGTGATGATATTACTTTTAACGATTTAAAGGGCAGGGATACTTTTATGTGGAAAAATATCGATTATGAGATCACTGTTAAAGGTGACAAAAAGGTCAAGTTATTAGACAATATCTTTGGATATGTTAAACCTGGTACTTTAACTGCTCTTATGGGTGAGTCTGGTGCAGGTAAAACGACTTTATTAAATGTATTATCCGAAAGAGTTAATGTCGGTGTTGTTTCTGGTGATATTCTTGTTAACGGTAAGGATTTGGATTCTTCGTTTAAACGTTCAACTGGCTATGTTCAACAACAAGATTTACATATTGCCGAATTAACTGTTAGAGAATCATTGCAATTTGCAGCAAGATTAAGAAGACCAACTAGTGTTTCAGAAGAAGAAAAAATGGATTATGTTGAAAAGATTATTGATGTGTTGCAAATGAGATCATTTGCAAATGCAGTTGTTGGAAAGGTTGGATCTGGATTGAATGTTGAACAAAGAAAAAAATTATCAATTGGTGTTGAATTAGTGGCCAAACCATCACTATTATTGTTTTTGGATGAGCCAACATCAGGGTTAGATTTCCAATCAGCTTGGGCTATTGTTAAACTTTTAAGAAGATTAGCAGATGCAGGACAATGCATTATTTGTACTATCCATCAACCATCAGCAACATTATTTGAGCAATTTGATAGGTTATTATTATTGAAAAAGGGTGGACAAACAGTTTATTTTGGAGATATTGGAAGTAGTTCCAATGTTGTTTTAAACTATTTTGAGAAAAATGGGGCCAGAAGATGTAGCGATGCAGAAAATCCAGCAGAATATATTCTTGATGTTATTGGTGCTGGTGCTACATCAGTCGTTAATGAAGACTGGAATGAAAAATGGATTAACTCTACTGAATTTGTTGAAGAAAATAACCAAACTGATTTATTAATTCGTCAAGGACAATCCATGACCAACACTGATGATGCTGAAAAAATTGAGTTGAAAAAAACATTTGCAACACCTTACAGCACACAATTGAAGCACGTATTGGTAAGAACATTCAGACAGTTTTATCGTGATCCAACTTATGTTGTTGCTAAATTTTCTCTTTTAATTTTTGGTGGTCTTTTCTTCGGATGGACATTTTTCAATTTGAAAACAAGTTTTTCCGGATTACAAAATGCAGTGTTTTGTGTTTTCTTATCAATTGGTATTTCATTCCCATTAATAGGGCAAATCCAAGAACGAGCAATTGATGCAAGAGAACTATTTGAGGCCAGAGAAAGTTCAAGTAACACCTATCACTGGTCCACATTATTAATTTCGCAACTTATTGCCGAGATTCCTTATTCGCTTGTTGGATCAGCGATTTTCTTCTGTTGTTTGTATTTCACTTTGAAAGTGAATAATTCGCCAGAATTTGCAGGATATTATTATTTGATGGTTGCAGTTATTTTCCCATTATTTTATATTTCATTCGGGTTATGGATTGTTTATTTCTTACCAGATTTGGCATCAGCAGAAGCTATTTATGGGTTATTATTCACGTTTATGTTTGCCTTTGCAGGTATTGTTCAACCATACAGATATATCCCAACATTTTGGAAGTTTATGTATAGAGTATCACCGTTGACATATTTTGTTCAATCATTGACTGGAGCATTATTGCATGGAGTTGAAGTTAGATGTGTACCAAAGGACTATACAATTTTCAATCCACCAGAAGGTCAAACATGTATTGAGTATAGTGATACATTTGTTGATAATTTTGGAGGATATATTGCCAATCCCAATGATACTGAGAATTGCGAGTACTGTGTGTACACGACAGGAGATCAATTTATGGCCAATTTCAACATTGAATGGAGTGACAGATGGAGAAACTTTGGATTAATTTGGGTGTTTATTGTGTTTAATGTTTTTGCAATGTTGGTTTTCTATCGTATTTTCAGGGTGAAGAAGAGTCTTTTTAAGAGAAAACACACATGATAAAACAGATTCAATTCTACTACTTTTCATTTGTAAGCTATTCTGTACTAGACATGTAAATATTCATTATTTATAATTAAAACTAAAGTCATTATATTTTATTATCTAATTTTCAATATCTAATTTTTCATATCTAATATCTAATTTCTAATTTCTAATTTCTAATTTTTATTTTTCACTATAAATGAACACAATTTAATAAATCCAGTTTTCAACTTGAGGTAGTTTTCTTTCTTTTATATATAAATTGAATGTTGTTTCTCCAGAGTTATCTAAGACATATAAATACAATTAAGCCTGTATGAAATTTCAGCTTTGCTATGTCTTGCAATGTTTTGCTGTATTTTGACTAAGAATTAGTAATGAAGAGCAAGATTTTCGTCTAGAAATTAAAATTGTTCTTTCTGTGCCAAAAGTAAACCGGGACTACAGCCCGGAGATGTTCCAATCCAAGACATGTGCGGTTGAGATGCAGGCACTAAAGAAGCGCAACACCACGTGATATCCGGTACAGCTATCACAAATGGGTGCGTGAGTTTCTTGCACGCAGGGTTTTGTATGTGCGTGTCATTTTCCAGCTGTTTTTTTTCTGAGGTGGAGTGTTGCAAATGAAAGCCTTGAATGAGGACTTGGAGAGAGTATAATTTCGAGAAATAATTCTTCAAAAAGACAGACAGCAAGAACTTTAGTGAAATGAGATTGTTTTACTTTTTAGTGACTATTCTAGCCATGGCTTTGTTAATTGAATGCCATGGCAGCCATAAACACAAGCACGACCATAGACCTGGTCATGATGAAAAGTATCACAAAGAAAGTAATGAAGTTTTAATCAGCAAAGAATTTGTGAAAAACAAGGATTTGGTTTCGAAGATCTATTATGAAAATGGAGTGTTAAACTTGGAGTATATCAAGTCCGAGTTGAGTAAATGTGATATAATCAAGGCAATAAGTGAATATGAGCATAAGAAGAAACACCACGATGAGCACCACGAAACAGAGGAAGAAGAAGAGTTGAGTTTTATTGGAAAGTTGATTGAAAGACTATTTCCCTCTAGTAACCCTGGAATCAATTCAATCTTGGGTGTTGTCTATATTTTTTTGCCATCATTTTTGATTATTTATTTTATTCCCAAAAACGTTGAGAGTATGAATGCGACAATTTTAAAGAATTTGATTAGTTTTTCCTGTGGCGGTATATTGGGTGATGTCTTTATTCATTTGCTACCAGAGATTTTCAGTTCAAATAACAACGAAAGAAAGAACAGTATATTGGGGTTGACTGTATTCATTGGGTTTTTAATTTTTTTGATTGTTGATAAGAGTGTGCGTATTTTAAGTGGATCAGAACATGGCCATTCGCATTCTCATTCCCATGGTCCAGAAGAAGAGCATTCTCATAATCACAGTCACAGTCACAGTCACAATCACAGTCATAGCCATAGCCATAGCCATGCAAGTGGTGTTGAAGCCGAAATCGAAGAGAAGACTGGTGAATTGACTCATAGAAATTATAAAAACGAGGATGAAATTGAAATCGAAAAGGAAATACAAAAACTACACGATAATTTTAAAGACTCGAATAACGACAGTGATCATATTAAAAACAGTAGCAAGAAGACATCGATTTTAGTAAATTTGATTGTGTGTTTCAATCATAACATAAGTGATGGAATGGCTATTACCTCGTCATTTTATATTAACAAGAACATTGGTATAACTACTTTTCTAGCTATTTTGATTCACGAGATTCCTCATTCAATCAGCGATTTGTTTTTATTTATTAAGTTTGACAACCAAAGTAGCCAAAACAACCAAAGCAATAAGTTGAAACTAGTTAAAAATCAATTGATCGTTTTTGTGGGTTCGGTTGTGGGATGTTTGATTGGAATCTTCTTGCAAAACTTTGACAAAACTTTGAGTTTGATCTCGAATGAGTTGGTCAATTATCAATCTATCACAGAAAGCAGCGACCAAAGCCCCAATGCCAGCACTGGCGCCCACAACAACCTTGTCATCAGCTTGCTCAACAAATTTGTGCTCAGCAAAATCACTGGTGTTTTCGGTTTGTTGAAGAGCAGCCTTGACTTGGAGATCAGCGAGTTGCTCTTGCCCATCACTGTTGGGTGCTTTTTCTACATCTCCACGATTGGCATCATTCCAGAGATACTAGAAATCGACAGGAAGCTCATTGAAAATAAAGACGACGACGAGCTCAGAAGAAGGGAAATCTGCTCCAGCATCGGCCAGTTCGTGTCCATGTTCCTAGGTCTCTTTGTGATGTTCTTGCTAGCGTGGTTCGAGTAGCACTAGATAATACACCATTAACTGTAAGACACTTGTACTATTCGCATAACAACTCTCCAGTAGGCTCCAGTGGCACTCCCACAGTGGCCACTTCCACTTATCGCCCAAGCAGCTTATCGCAGCGAATAAACTTTGCGAGGACCTTTGTTAGAACTGATCTAAAATCCACTAGAAACAGAACAGAACAGACGCTTATAGTATTTATTCGCCAGCTTTTGGTTGTGCCACTGCGATCTCTGCTGATTATATCTGCTCTGTTGCTTTTCTCTGTTGCTTCTCTTTCTCTGTCTGATTCTCCCAGTGCTCGTTGCCTTCCTCCACCATCTCCAGCTCTTCTGGCGTTGTTCCTCCTCTTCACAACCATGTATTGTTTCTCTCTCTAGATTTCCAGCAACGCAACTAAACAAAGAACATCTCGATCTGTCTCGTTTTCTCTCCATTTATATATCTTATATATCTCACACGTCCTATACCATTCTTTTCTTGTAATCGTTTTTATTCCTCCTAACCACCAGCTCTCATCTCATCTCATCTCATTTCATCTCATCTCATCTTATCTTATCTTATCATTCTACCTGACTGTGTTTTGATAGCTTTTTCCTGCAAAAATGACTTCTGCTCCCTATTACACTTTTGAGTGGTATGTTACGTTTATCTCCTAACACCTAACCAACTATCTCTCTAACCGCCGATATACTAACTGTTTATCTCTCCCCAATTTGATTCATATCAACCTGTTTCTTTTCTTTCTAGGCCAAACAACAACAATTCTCAAGTTTACGTTACTGGCACCTTTGACAGCTGGTCAGCTAATACTTATCTACTAAATTTGGACCACAATTCAAATGTTTTTAAGGCAAAGATCAAATTTCTTCCCAGCACTAACGACAAAATCTATTTCAAATTCATCGTTGATGGTAATTGGTTAGTCAACCAAGATTTTAAAATCGAATCCGACTCAAATGGGTTTCAAAACAACATCCTTTATCCAAATGATTTGATCTACGAATCGGATATTACCAATGAGACTAGTGACAGCAGCGATAACAATAGCGATATTGAAACTATAAAGGAAATCGAAAAAACTGATAAACTTTCAAATTCAAATTTAGAAATCGCTAAATCTGACTCACTAATCAAAAAAAATGACAGTTTCGATAACTTGAAAGAAAAAATCAAAAACGAAATCCAAAAAGTTGAAAATGAATCACAAATTAATTCCAAATCTAAATCTAAATTTAATACTGATATCGATACTGATATTGTTACTGACACTAATATTGATACTGATATTAAATCAAATGATGCTAAAATTGATCTAAAACCTGATCCTCAATTAGATACCAATTTAGTCACCCTTAAAAATTTAGACGCTCCAATCAATTCCCCCGAATCTCAAATTGAATCTCAAATTGAATCTCAAACTGAATCTCCACAAGTCTCACTAAATAATTCTTTAAATGAATTATCTAATGATTTAAATGGCTTGCCAATAGAATCTCACAAAGAAGCTATTGTTGTTAAAGAATCAATTGATAAACCAATTGAAAAAACAACTGAAATCCCATTTGAAGAACCAGCTCAAAAATCTACTGCAAAACCAATTGAAGAGCCAATTGAAAAGTCAATTGAAAAACCAACCGAGATCCCAACTGAAATCCCAGAAAAAGTATCTAAATCACCTGAAGAATCTTTAAAAGAACCTATTGAGGCTACAGAAAAGTTTTCTTTTGAAGATCCAAACATCAGTGAAATTAAACAATCAAATGACTCAATTAAAAACGATTATAATAATGAAGAACTTGAAACAGCTTGTAACAGTTCAGTTATTAGCGCCAACAATGCTACTATTAGCCATTTGAAAACTAAGGATTCAACTTTGAATTTGGGTTTAGATCTGAATTCAAATGAAAAATCTCCTGAAGAACTGGTTACAGAATCTGCATTGATTGACTATATTCATGAAAAATTGGTTAATAAAAAACAAAACCAAAATGGAAACCAAAACGGAAATCAAAATGAAATTGATAATAAAACTGATAATATGGAAAAATCAATTCTTGATTCTATTGATTTAAATACAAATACAACCCATTCTACTAATAATGATGACGAGCATTCAATTTTAAGCTCTCCAAGTTTTATTCCAAATCAAAAATTTTCTCCATTTATTCGTCCAACAAAATCCAATGATACAAACAGTTTCCCCAAATCTCCAAAATCATCTCAATTATCAAGTAATCAACAAAATTTACCATTAACTGTTAAAAACGTCAATAAAAATCAAAACATTTCAGGAATTAAATCGGATGACGAAAGTAGTGCTTTTACAAATATTTCATTACCTGATAATGTTAATGGAGAAGTTAAGGAATCAGAAAATGGACTAAATCAAATAATTGGCATTCCTCAAGATAATTCAATTGTTATGAAGAGTTTACATTTAGATGATTTAGATTCTACTTCTAGCTTTAAAAGTATCAGTGATGATAGCGATGACGATGCCATCTTTCAAAGCACTCATGAAGGATTTGATAACCACCAAAACCACAATACTATTAATAGCAATAGTCTCAACACTGGTAATATCCATGATGCCTCAAAAACTAATATTTCATCCAGCACTCACACCCTTACTGGCCCATCACCTCAATCTCAAGCACCAAACTTAAGTTGCGTTACCAACAGAGGTAAGAGTAATGCTTCGATTTTTTCTAGATTCAGAAGATTATTTAAATGATTCATCAATTATATTTCATATTTATTTATTTATTTATTTATTTATTTGTTTATTCATTTGGCTATTTTAACTATTGAATACTATTTACAACCAAGGTTTCATTTCCATTTATTTCAATTTTTTTTATTACATTTATTTTTTTTTTCCTTTGATACTTTTAAACAGATGAAGATACATATTACTTTTTTTTTCAACTGATTTTTATATGGATAGTGCTAGGATAAGTGGTTGCTTGTTTTTATTTTTATAAATAATAACTTTACAATTTTGTTTAATGTTATAGTTTATTTTTTATATCGTTTACTATAATTTTTTTATATATTTTTGACCAATTGATTTCTATCGTTTTTAAATTATTTAATCATTTAAATCGTTCAATTGATATTGCGATTATATTGGAGTACGTTTAGTAGAAAACCATGTGTGAAACTGATAGCAGCATCTCAAGAAGAATTGGTAAAATTTTGATGTTAAATATTGTATTAAATCTATAAATAAGGTGGATTAGATTTCTTTTTTAGTGTTTAATAGCCACTGATTGAATTCATTTTTTCTTTGTAGAATATCTATATAGGATGGTTTTGATTCAATTGCTTGAAAAGGACAGGCGCCTATTAATTCATATTCTGCCATTGCCTTTCTCATTTTAATCGGTTTAAAAAACAAAGAGTCTTGATTACTTTTTAATAAGAGGGAGGTATGATCGCTATTATTTGGATCATTATCGATTAATGATAACTTTGGAGAGATTAAGATTGAGTGAAAAGATGCTATGATAAAGAATAGTAAGCCAAGGATGGCTTCAATTTTTATATCTAAAGGCAATGGAGTATTTAAACCTTTATGAACTTGTTTAAAATACTGTGTGAATTCATAGGATGAGAACCCTGAATGAAGTAGACAAAAAGAGCCTATAAAGTAGAGTAATTTTGATAAAAAGCTCATTTTTGAGGAAATATGTTTAAATAGATAAAGATATAGTAGACAAAAAAGATTCAGAAAATAAAAATATGGTTTTACGGAGAGCTGTGCACGTGCCGGGATGGAAAAAAGATCGGGTATTTTTTTTTAGATGATGAACATTTATTAGTGAATATTATTAGGTAGCCAAAAAGTAAATATTTATGAGATTATAGAGTATGGTAAATTAATAAAACAGAGGTTTTTTTGCTCTTTTTTTCTTTTTTTGATCTTAAGAAAAGAGCAATCTATATATATATTAAAACAAGAATGGACAAAAAGAAAAAAGAAGAAAGAAACAGAGAGTAAAGAAAAAAAACCGTGAAAATACGTGAGATGATTTTTTTCCAATTCATATTTAGTATGATGAAGATTATGAGGAGTTATTTAATTATTTTAAGTTATTTTTTTGATGATTATGATGATTATGATTGCGAGAAACTTAATCCCAGGATTTTAATTTCATGGTACCATTATCTTCGAAATTTATGTGCATTTTAAAGGCGTCTCTTAAGATATGAGGTTCATGGAGGGATTTTGTCTTTTGGGCGTAAAATTCAGCTCTCTTGTAGTATTCAGCTATTTGATCTTTGAAGTCAGGATGAACACAGTTATTGATAATTTCTTTAGCTCTTTCTTTTGGAGACAAACCTCTTAAATCAGCCAAACCTTGTTCAGTGACCAAGATATCTAAGTCGTGTTCAGTTTGATCGACATGGGAAGCAAAAGGAACAATACAGGAGATACCAGTTGGGTCAGTCTTTGATTTTCTGGCGGATGGAGTGTGCATGATGGATAATTTAGCATTTCTTAAGAAATCAGCAGAACCACCAATACCATGAAGCATTCTTGAACCGTTAACGTTAGTTGAGTTGGCGTGAGCGTAAATATCGACTTCAACGGGGGTGTTCATGGCGATGATACCTAATCTTCTAATGATTTCTGGGGAGTTTGAAACAACTTGGGATCTTAAGCACAATTTGTGGGAGAAGGAGTCCCAGTTTTCAAAGAATCTTTTGAAACCATTTTCTGTTAATCTAATGGAAGTGGCGGTAGCGTAGTCCAAGGCACCATTGTCAAAGAAATCCAAAAAGGAGTCTTGTAAAACTTCAGTCCAGACGTTTAAGTTTTTGAAGGAAGCAGTGGCCAAACCTTCAATGACAGCGTTAGCAATATTACCAATACCAGATTGTAAAGGATGTAAGTTGACAGGCATTCTACCAGCTTTGACTTCTTCTTCAAAAAAGTTGATTAAATGTGTAGCAATTGCTCTTGACATGGCATCAGAGGGGGTATTTGGTGGAACAATATCACCTTGGGTTGATTCGACAATGGCAACAACTTTGTTTGGATCAACAGGAATGGACTGTAAGCCAGATTTGTCATCGACTCTTTTGTATGGGTAAGGAGGTCTGTAGGGAGGATTAATTGGCATATCAATGTCGTGAAGACCTTCGAAAGATGGAGTTTTTGTGTTTAACTCAATGATGATTTTATCGGAGACAGAGATCATTTCTGGGGAACCACCGACAGCAGGACCAGGGACAATTGAACCATTTTCTGTGATGGCAGTGGCTTCAATGATGGTGTAGTCTAGTAAATCGTTTTCCTTGAATCTTGTGTAGTAACCGTAGGTCAAATCTTGGGGGAACATGGACAAATGTTTATCAAAGAAAGCAGTTCTTCCATCATTGATGGCATTTGAGATTGGTTTACCGACTTGATGGGGAGATCTTCTCAAGATCATAGAGTTTTCGGCCCAACGATTTTCCTCGGGACCAGCACTAGCACCAACAAACAAGTTGAAGGCCAACTTGCCCTGCAAGTTGTTTTTCTCAACATGGTCAACTAAAGCAGTGGGAATGACTTTTGGAGCACCAACACCGGTGAAACCAGACCAACCTAAATATTGGCCATGTTTGAACAATGGGATACATTCTTCGGCGGTTCTCAATTTACTCAAGTATGGAGCATATCTAACTCTTTGTTTTAAGATTGCAGACATTTTTGAAATTAGGTTGGAAGAAAAGTTTGGATGTAAATAAACAGACGAGATTGAATTGATAAGAGGAAAGTGGAATTGATCCGAGAAGGTGGAAGGTGATCAAAACAGCAGAAGGAGAACAATAGAGAGGGCAGAGCGGTTCCTTTGATCCAGCGTGTTCTTAAGATTGGACTTGAAAAGCGTGATACTGGGCTTTCGAGCAGAGGAAGAGTGGTGGGAAAAATAAGAAAAAAGAAAAGGAAAAGAAGAGAAAAGCAGTATTTATAGCGCTAGAAAGATCGCAATTGATGGCGTCTCAGGATACGATTGAAGAGTCTCTTGATAGTAGACAAAAGTACAATTTGATGGTTGTTGAACAGACAAAAAAGCAGAAAGAGAGCAGAAAACAACGAGCTTTGTGTAGAGAAAAAGCTGAGGGAGAAAACTGGAGCAGAAAACTGAAGAGAGAGGTGAGTCGATACGACGCTGTTCCCAGACGATTGTTGGTGGTTGAGCTGATGTTGTGATGTTGAGCTTTGTTGGGTGAGGAGAGAGAGTGAGGGGAGCCGCTGCTTTTTATAGCACCTCCCAGGTATGGGCCCGCCCGCGCCCAGTGCCGAGCGCGTGCTCGCTGCGGAAATCGCCCACGGATCCGATGCGGACCGCGTCCTCCCCTGTGCGCTCAGTGCGGGGAGCACGCGGCGGAGACGTCACATGGCAAACCCCCTCTCCACTGGGACGCTTGTTCATAAATGTCTCACGGCCGTGCCGACGGATGCGGTGTGTGCCGGTTTGGATGTTCCTGCATGCTGTAGGCCGCATGCCAAATAATATTTTTGTGCTCCACTTTTGCCTATTTCGATGCTCTCCAACACTTTGCTCTCCAACCCTCCTTCACACTTGTTGGATTTCGCAGCCTTTTTTTTCTGCGTTTGTGTCATTTGCTTGTCTTCTCCATTGCCCTAGCGTGTTTTCTATACTCAGGCAGTTCATTCTCTTTGGCTTTACTGCCACTATTAGTCACTGTGCTTTTGCTGATTGTGTTTGCGTTTGACACATTTTTCACGTCATCTCTCAGTGAGACGATAGCCTGGATTTACAAATCCCACCAATGTCTCAAATCCTTTGAACCCGCTTCCGAGTGTCTTGTTTCGACTTTTCCGTTCCACTGTCATGGTGTCCTCGCAAGATTTCCAGAAATGAAATTTCTCAATTACTGCCAATTTATTAAGATTTCTATGTTTTCGACCACATCTCATGAAAACCCATCATGGTCCATACAATTTCATAAAACTCCTAGTAATCCTCCACAGGTCTAAGCACTTTTATTTGAAAAATCACCAATTCCCACTCCATATCCTTTCAATCGATCATTTCCCATCAGCTTCTGATTCCATTTTTAAAAAATATATTGAAAACGATCATCAATCATTCAACTTCCATTTAAATCAATCGTTCTGATTGGCCTCTACAAAAAATTTTATCTCGACTTATCTTGATTTTATTCCATTTTATTCTATCTTAAAGCTCTTTTACCTATTTTACGCTATTTTAAACAATATTAAACATTTTTAACCTTTATTAACCTTTATTAAACTTTTTCTTCGACTCCCACCAACTTCTTATCATCTTCACTCTCATTTGCCAATTCAAAATTCACAATTAGATCAAATCCTATTGAATTTTCTCTAAAAACGCATCTCAGAAACAAATTAGAATGGATTTGATTTGATCATACTCAAATTCAAATAATTACTGAATATTCAAATAAACCTAATCACAGCCTAAAACACTCATGCACTCAACAATAACAACTAGGAAAACAAAAATAACCTAATTTTTCGATTCCCTAGCCAACATCAACTATTTGATCAGCTTTCAAAAACACATCTACTGGCCTGGCTAGCTCAATCGGTAGAGCATTTGACTCTTACTTAAGAGGTAATCAAAAGGTTGCGGGTTCGAGCCCCGCGTCGGGCTTATCTTTTTCTTTTTGTTTATATTGATTACTTCAATATTATACTATTTTTAAGCATCTCCTTATATTAGAAAAAACGTAGCTAGCTGGTTATAATTATAATCATAGCCATGTAAAACACAATATATATAGCATATATATAAGAATAAGCAAATAAAAAGTCTTGAAATTACAATTGATTATAAAATTGTAGAATAGCACTCACTAACGACATTAAATAAAAAATTAATCATTCGTCTTCTTTTTCTTTTACAATACTTTCACTATCTAATGGGAGCAATGTCCTATCTTCTGATCTTAAAACATTCTCATTTTCTCTTTCATCTTCATTTACAACTATCTTCTCAATCTCTTTATCAATCTCAATTTCACTATTGATATCAATCATATCAATATCATTATCTTCATTGTTATTAATTTTACTTATAATTTCTTCCTCTTCATTTCCATTATCTTTTTCTTCACCTTCTTCACTTTTTTTATCTTCTTCAATTTTCCCACTGTTAAATAAACTAGATTTGCTGACATTTTCAAAGATTTCTCCCAATTTGTCTTTATTCATCAACAACCTTTCGGTAATCTTATCATCTTTGATTATCTCGCAATTCCTTAATAATTGGATTTTAATTATATAATCACACAATTGTTTTTCAATTTCCCATTTCTTAATCATCTTAATTTCTCTTTCTCCTTCTTTTTCCTTCTCTTCCTCTCTATTTCCATCTCCATCCTCTTCTTTTTCCTCTTCTTTTCTATCTCCTCTTTTGTATGTTCCATAATTAACATCTTCATCATCAAATCGATCCAATTGAATCTTTAAAATATCTCCTAAATCGGCTTCCAAATCTAAAAATATACTCATCATCTTGTCCACCGTTTCTTTAGGCAAACTAATCACTTCTTCAATCTCATTGTAAATAAAGCTCTCAAAATCTCTAAATAACTTGTTCAACTTCTCATTACTCAAAAATCTTAACAAAAAAATCTTCAATGAAACTATATTATCAATCAAGTTTTTAGAAAACTTCAATTCAATCTCCTTTTTTCTCTTGAATTCTTTATAATCTTCAATATAATTATAATCAATATTAAAATACTTTAATCTCTCTTTATACATATTCAAAATTAACAAATAGCTCTTTAAATACTCCCCAATCGTTTTCCCTTCACTATCTTCTTCTCCAAGCTCTAACCCGATGAAATCTCCACCTTCATCATTCAATGCAAAACTCAATAACTTTTCCAATTTCCATGAACAATAAAATGATAAAAATTGAAAATTGCAATCAATCACCTTGTTACTCACTCCCCTAATATCATCCAAATTATAAATAATCTTATCCAATAAATTCTCAATGATAAAATCATCAACAAAATCACTTATATTAATCGATTTCCCAATTATTATCAACTTTTGAATATTCACACTTATCACATTAACAATTTTTTCACTCGCCTTATTTCCCAAATCATTAGAAATATCCTTCTTCAATTCACCCGCCAATTCAATTATCAATTTCTCAATTTCAATCTTGAAATTATTATAAATTATATCGTTTTTTCTCAAACTTTCAAAAACTGAAATATATTTATCAACCAAGAAATCTTTTTCATTCTCACTCTCATCTTTATACTCATATCCATTTCCATAAATCTCAAATATATTGTTATTTTTAAAAATTTTGAAAATCTGTTTGACTAATTTTTCAAAAATTTCCTTTTGTGCGGAATCATTATTAAATATATCAAAGTCAATCAATCCAAAAATCTTTAAAAAAATATTCAAAGACTCTAATGATGAAAACTTATTTAATAGTAACGGTAATTGATTGATTATCTTATTGATAATCATATCAGGAGTTTCAAGTTCCTTTAATGAATCATTTTCCATTTCTTCTTTACTCTCATTATTATGAACATTATCGTCATTTTCATTGCCGTTTTCATTACCATCATCATTACCATCATTATGATTTTCTTTATCATAATTTTCATTTTCATTCTCATTTTCATTTTTATTTTCAATGTCCATTGCATTTTCATTATCTTTATTGATATTATCATTTTCATCAGCATTTTCTTCTTCACTGCCATCTTCCTCGTTTTCTTTCAATGCAGCTTCTGCTTCTGCTTCCATTTCTAATTGTTTCTTGGATTTTCTTCCTCGAACTTTTTCAGATTTATTCGCATTAAGAATAACATAGTTTAATTTTTCTTCATTAATAATTGTATGCAACATTCCATGCAATAAATCTAATAGGAAAGTCTCCTCATTGCTATTCAATTCTAATTGAGATTTGATTTCTTGGTTTGAGATTTCAATAGATGAAAAATCAAATAAAAGATATTTAATTAAAAACTTCCATAAATTGTGATACGATGGAATATTTTTATATATTAATTTTCCTATTTTGGCTATAGGAGACAACTCTAATTGAGTTAATGATCGAACAGGATTAGGTTTATTCAACGATTTTTTTAGTTTGATTGAATGGTTTAGTATTTTTCTTTTATATTTGATTTCATCTTTTCTTATTTTCTCTGATTTCTTGGTATCAATTTGATTATTTTCATTATCGTTATCGTCAACGTTATCATTATCAATATCATTATCAATATCATTGTCAATATCGAGTTTGATTTCATTTGGATCTTCATTATCGATATCATTAAAAAAGCTCAAGCTTTTGTATTCTTTATATGATTCATGGATGATTTGAATTAGATTTTTAAATTTGATTACGCTATTGATATTGAAGGGTATCAAGTTTTTCAATTTATCCAAGTCAGATTTGTATTGGGATTTAAAATCTTTACTTTTTTCTAGCTCAATTAAATTTATAAACTTGATAATTTCATTTGAAATTTTTTCAATTTGAAAAGATTGAGATTGAGAGTGGGATTGATTTTGGATTTGTAGTTGAGTTATAAAAAGAAGAGAATTGATTTTGGTGATCTCTTCATCTTCTAGAAAACCAATTTTATTGATTTCTGATAGTAAATGGATTGAGTTAATTCTTACGGAGAAATCGTTATCAAAAGTAGCTAGGTCTATGATTTTATTTTTAAATCTTTCAGTGAATTGTCGAAATCCTGGTACAATTAAGCCCTTTTTGTATAATTTAGTCAAGGGTTTTAAAACTTCCAACCTGACCAAATGATCAGTGTCAGATAGTAGCCAACCAAAATATCGTAGATATGTAGTTTCGAAAAATAGTTCTGGATACAAGTCCATCCAGTTACCTAGACTTTTGATGCATTCTATTCTAATTTTTTTATCAATGTCTTTATATCTATGTATGAAAGTTGTGTTTGATATGTCTTTAATAAATTCTTGTAGTAGGTTTTTTTGGGTTGAGTATAGGTTAATGTTTGAGTTAATTTGGTTGCATCTTTTTTGTATTTTTTTGATTTCTCTAGTTATCTTTGATTTTTCAGTTTTTTTAGATTTTTTAGAGTTGTAGGTTCTTTTTAGAGACTTTATTTTCAAATTTTCGATTTGAAGGTTGTTTTGGTTTTTTTCAAGAGATTTTGTTGTTTTAATGATTAAGTTGCAAAATGTTGTTTCGATTGATAGTAAGAATAGGGTTGAGATGTATCTTAGGGGCCTGATGTTTGAGGTTGATAATGTTCCAAACCAAATCAAGAAGTTTTCATATAAATCGTTACCGTTTTGGGATTTGTCGCTGTTGTCATCATCGTTATCGTTAAAAAGAAGGACGTTTTTCTCATAGGCCAATTCTATGATTGAGTCAATAAATAAAAGGGAGTTTTTCTTCAAGTTTTTAAATTTTGGTATCTTTGATATGAAAGGAAAATCGTGAATTTTTTGGTTATTAAACATTGATTGAATTTCAGCGATTGTGTCAGGAGCGCTGTCGTTGTTTGAAACATCGTGCTCTTGGATTTGAGAAAGACAGCCAGTTGATCTTAAAAGGAAGTTGAGTAGGTCTTTTAAAGCGAGATTTGAGTTGGCTAGGTAGGAGTCTAGCCAATTGTTTGCAATTTCTAGGGTTGAGGAATCGTCATCCAATAAGCTTTCGTAGATATAATTTGGTTCTAGATTGCTCTCCAAGTCTTTCAAGTAAGTTTTCAAGTTTGAAACAGAGTTTTGATTGAATTTGACATGTTTGACATTTTTTGGTTTTTTAGAATTTGTTTTTAGTTTTTTTGAGCTTGAATTTGAGAGTGAGGTTGATTTTTGGTTGTTTTGTCTTTTTCTTTTGTTTTTGGAGTAGCCAGAGGGGTAAAAATCTTCGTCTTTGTTGTTATCATCAGAATCAGAATCAGAATCAGAATCAGAATCGGAATCGGAATCAGATAAATAGTCCAAATCAGAATCTACATTTGGATTTGATTTTGATTTTGAATTGGAACTGGAACTGGAGTTTAAATTGTTGGATTTGTTACTGAATTTGTTTTTTTTGGATAGCAAATTTTCATTGTAAATGACTTGACGTGAGGAGGTGCGTAATCTTGAAGAACGCCTTACGTGGGTATCATCGCTAGTTAGATCATGAAGGTTGGTATCGTTTTCTGAAGAAGATATAGAGTAGTGAGTAGAAGTGGAGGGAAGCTGGGTGTCAGATTGAGGTGAGTCAATGGCTGTTGATGGAGAAATGAGGGTATTTGGATTCGGTAGCACCACAGGCTCAGATTCAATTGGCATTTTAGCAATTTGCAATGAGGTTGGCAGATTGAATCCAGAGATATAATTGAGTGAAGGGACTGAGCTGGAGTGTTGAAGGTGGTTTATCTGATTTGAAAGCAAAATAATTACGCGTTTTTTATTTGGCGTTGATCTGCAAACAAAAACACGGCCGAGTAAAACCAAAACAGCACCTGAGGCGTGTGCTGCTTCTGCTGCTTCAGAGCTGAAACACAGTGCAAAAAACGAGCTATAGAACTATGTAGCCAGCGCCTCTGTTGAAACAACCCATCACTGCTGGGCCTGGCGCGAAACACCAATTCTCTCGTCCTTGGACTTGATGTGTCTCCTGAGCTGGTGCTGCAACAAACTATCAGTGTCACCCACGCTGGAGGAGTTGAGGGAGCTGTAGGAAGCGTTGGGCTTGGGATTCAACAGCGGCTGGAGATGGTGGTGGAGGGGGGCGTTGAGGTCGAGCTGTTCCTGGTTCATGTTCACGCTGGAGCTGGTGTTGCCCAGGGCCTGGGTGGGAGCACCTCTAGAGCCCAAGCTGTAGAGCTGAAACTGCTTCTCTTCATCGTAGGCGATTACGTCCTCTGGGGTGAGCTTGATCACTGTGGGCTGTCTTCGAATCATTGTTGTGTGAAGAAGAAGAAGAAGAAGAAGAAGAAGAAGAAGAAGAAGAAGAAGAAGAAGAAGAAGAGGCAAAAGAAGCACAGGAAGCACTGAAGTTAAGCGCCGGCGATTGTGTCACGTGTTCAGCCGTATAAGAACAGTTTTTTTTGGCACTTCAACGCCAGCTCGTTCTTCTTCTTCCTCTTTTTCCTCTTCTTCTTCAGCGCTTCTTCTGCCAGCACATTGCCATCGTCTTCACGAACAGGCCAACAGCTCTGCTTTTGTTCCTCAATCTGCTTTGATTCACTCTGGTTCAGGCTCTGATCTGATCTGGCCTCACTCTCCTTAACACCTCTAAATTTCACGCCCAATCTCTTTTCCAATCATGTCCAGTGTTCAAGAGGAAAACACCTGTCGTATTTGCCGATGTGAAGGAACTGATGATGATCCTCTTTTCTATCCGTGTAAGTGTCGAGGCTCAATCAAGTTTATCCACCAGGACTGTTTGATGGAGTGGTTAAACCACTCAAAAAGAGATCCTGTTTGTGATATTTGCCATACCCCATACAAATTCAGAATTATCTATGACGAAAACATGCCAAACTTTGTTCCAATTCATTTAATCCTCAAAAAATTTTTTATCAATCTTAAAAATTTACTCCATTTTTCAATCACAATAATAGCACTAGTTCTCTTGGTTGTCTTTCAAATTCCCGTTTTCTTCAAATTCACCTCAAGAGTCTTTACTTGGATTATAGATAGCAGGAAACCCTTCAATTCAAATCTCAAACTATCCTTTCTATTTGGCCAGTATTTTCTATATCCAAATCATCGTAATCACAACATTACGAATATAATTGCAAACCAAACAATTGTCACTTTGGATCATGAAGCCCAATTTTTATCTACCTTTAAATTCAACACTTTTTCAAACTATCTTTTATTTTTCAGAAATACCTTTTTCATTGGCTTCATCTACCTTTTCATCATAATTATCATCCATATCTTACTATTTATAGTTCATGAATGGATAAGAAGAGACCCTTCTTTTTCAAAAATGATTTCCAGGCTTATCGGCCCAAATCTAAGAAATTATCCACTAAATAACATAAATAATCTTGACATGTTAAACAACCTAAACAACTTGAATAATTTAAACAACTTAAATAATTTTCCTAATTTTCCTAATCATTTAAATGCTTTACATCAAAATTTACAAAGAAATTTAAATGAAATTAATAATAATAATAATAATAATAATAATATTCAGAACAATCAAAATAATCAAAATAACCAAAATGATAATGAAAATAATGAAAATAATATTAATAATAATCATAATATTAATAATGATAATGACAATAATAATGATAACGGTAATGATAACCAAAATGAACAAAATAATAACCATAACGAAAATACTAATGTTGACGAAAATAACAGACTTGACAACATTGATAATATTATATTGGATCAGGATATTATCAATCAAAATCTTAGAAATAATAATGCTCTAAGAGGTAGAATCATTCAAAATATAATAAACGACCCAAGGTATATACAGATAAGAAATGATCCCCAACTTTTACTTCATTTTGCTCGTATTGCTATCAATCCAAACTTTAACCCAAATCCTGATCCAAATATAGTTCATAACCAACCACTTATACAAAGATATGTCGATGGTTTTTTTAATGAACATCTTCCCAATAACAATAACAATAACAATAATAACAATAATAATAATAATAATAATAATAATAATAACAATAACAATAATAATAATAATAATAATGATAATGATAATGATAATGATAATGATAATGATAATGATAATGATAATGATAATGATAATGATAATGATAATGATAATGACAATGATAATGATAATGATAATAATAATAATAATAATGATAACAACCATAATAACAATAATAACAATAATGACAACCATAATAACAATAATAACAATAATAACAATAATAACAACCATAATAACAATAATAACAATAATAACAATAATAACAACCATAATAACAATAATAACAATAATAACAATGAGAACCAGAATGACTCTGATACTGATGCAGATTCTGATGTAGATACTGATAACGAAAATCCAAACCAAATCGACAACAATATTAATCAAATTATGGAAAATAGAGCTGAAAACATTCGTAGATTTGTTGATTTGAACTTAAATCCTAATCATTTAAATGACTTAATAGCAGATTTTCCTCCACCACCTCCACCATTAAGACAACCAGAACAACAGCAATTCCCAAGAGGACCTTTTGTTAATCCCCGGGATTTAAATTTGAATCAAAATTTGAACCAAAATTTGTTTGATGAACAAATTCAAGACCAACTAGCCAATGAAGAAGATTTATTTATGGCTTTCAACTTAGGTTGGGATGTCTTTTCCTCAATAAAACTATCTTTTCTTGCTGATACATTAATACTAACTTGGTTGTTTTTCTTTTATTTTTTACCCTCAAATTTTGGTGCTTTTTTCTTTAAATTATTCATTAATACAATTAAATTCTTTCTATTTAAACTTCTTTTTCTATTGAAAAAATTAAATATTTTCAGGTTATTATTATTAAAATCAAATTTTTTCTTATCAAATTTATTAGAAAAAAATCCAAAAATTAATATCTTATCAAGGTTTTTTAACAATACTTTTATTAATCCCATCTTAATTACAATTAATAATATTCTTACAAATCATTATCCCCCAACTTTTAATGAAAGATCTATTTTTATTTTCTCCGGTTACATTGCTCTTGCTATTTTTATTCAATTGGTCTTGTTAAGATTGAAGAAAAATCATTCAAGATATAACCCATTAACAGGTTACAACAGAAAATTATTTGTATTTCTTTATGACATAATTTTAACTTTAAAAGTTTTTTCGATTTTTGTTTTAGAATTATTGGCCTTTCCAACTTATTGCGGTATCTTGGTTGATTTTACTTTAAATCCTTTATTAATTTCCGATTCATTAAACAATTTTTATGATTTGGAAAAGTTTAAATTTTTTGCTACGAGTTCAATATTTGTCTTTAACGAAAATATATCAATTAGATTAATGGCTTACTGGGTAATTGGAACCGCATATATGTGTTTGTTTGCGTTGTATGTCGGGATGATACGATCAACTATTTTAAGAAAGGGTGTTCTATTCTTTATTAGATCTCAAGACGATCCAAATATTAGATTAATCCATGATGCTCTAGTTAAACCTTTATCTTTACAAATGTCAAGATTCATGCTTAGTGCAGTATTATATACACTTTTCATTATATTTGGTATTGGTGGACTTACTTATGGCGTTAAATATTTTTCATCTATTCAATTTTTCCCAATTGAAATTCCAAGCTCATTGTATTTTTATGTTGGAAATCCCCTACCTTTTGCATTTACAAGATTTGTTCCATTACTTATAAAATACGTTAGGTTATACTGGTGTTTCATTTTTAAATTCATTTCACATCAATTGAGATTATCATCGTTCTTATTGAATAATGATGACGCAACAGAAAGAGGTTATATTGTATATAAAAATATTTTTCAAAGATTATTAAAAGCAAAACCAGATTATTCAAAACCAGAATCATATCAAAGTGCAATGATTAAATTTAAAGAAGACACCTCAATCAATGCGATCTTTATTCCCAATGGAAATTTCGTTAGAGCACCAAATAATGATTCAGTAAAAAGAAAATTTCTTGATGAACTATTTATTCCAGTTACAAAAGAGGATGTTGTTCTACCAAATCCCAAAAGTAAAAAAAAGACACGAATTAAAAAAATTGATAATTATACCAGTGATTCATCTGCCGAAGAAACTTTAGTTAATGATTTGGATAATAACTTGAATGGAAATGGACCAAGGTCATATGCTATAGTATACAGGCCGCCAAATTTTGGGTTAAGAATTGTTTTATTGATTTTTTCTATTTGGATTTTTTCTATTATAATATTTATTTTCTCTGTTTTGGCAATGTTGTTATTTGGAAAACCATTTACATTATTTTTATGCAAGACGAATCCATTTGGAGATGTATTTTCAATTGGTAGCTCAAGGAACTATTGTGTTAAAAATAATAATTATTTTCAATTAGACTTGCCATCAATTAATTTTGGCAGTATAGTTTTAATCACTTTGTTGCATGGTTTTGACAAACAATATGATTTTATAAGATTATTTAAAAAAAAATGGTTGATACATATTAAAGCAGGAGAATCAAAAGTAAAAAGAAGCAAAACTGCAGATTCAAACAGAAATAATAACAATGAAAATCACAATCAAGAGGAAAATAAAACAAACCGGATTGAAAATGAAACTGAAAAAGTTGATGAAATCGAAAAAATTAGAATAATAGATTTTATATTTTTTGCTGTGTGGGATACACTCAAAAAGTTATTGAAAGATTTAAAAGATATTCTTTTAATAGCAAACTGCTTTTTGCTATTCTGGATGTGTATTTTTAGCACTTTTCTCTTTTTAGGGGTGGTCCATAAACAAACAGTTGACAGCACTTTTAAGATTTTAAATAATTTACCAATTAGCAATGAAATAAGTATTAATTTTAAGACGGTTACTTGTCATATTATTCTAAGTTTTTTCACTATTATTCCATACTTCCAAAAGTTGACTAACGATTCAAAATATCTTTTGGGTGATAGGTTAAGGGTTAGACTCACATATGACTATGTGATAAAAAGATATTTATATCCAACAATACAGACAGTGCTCACATGGAATTTGCCAGTAATTTTGATCTTAATAGTTGCGCATCAAATCGAGTATTTGCGTAACTTTGGTGATTTGGAATTTGCCAAAGAAATGGATAAGAGCGTATTGATGTTTAATGTTATCAGCGGTAATACGAATCCTAGACTTGCAACGATTGCATGGGATCTAGTCTGCGTTGTTTTCATCTCAATGAAATCGTATATCAGTATTGCAGATTATATGGAACAATTGAATGAAAAGGTAAAAGACGAAATTTATGCTAGAGGAAAAACTTTGGAAAATGTTGACTAGAATATAGAAACGGGCCAACATAAAAGAGCAATATATTTGAGTTAAAACAAATTTTAAAGGAAAAAGGGCAATCAAGTTTTCTCAAACGTGTGTATTGTGATTATGGCACGAGAAGGGTCTAGACACTGCAGTGCTTGTGAGCAAAGGGATAGTTCAATCAACAGACGCTGAGTGAATTTCCCAGACTAATTCTATACCGTAGGTATTTTGCATTGAGACCTGAAGAATAAACAGTTATTTCTCAACTTCGCATTTGTACCAGAGCAACACCCGAAGAGGCAATTATCTGCAATCGCGTCATGGGTGATGAAATCCCGATAAATCCACATTTGTTCACCGAACAGCCAAGAACTTGTTCGGCTTTTGACCCAGGCTTACGCATAAAGCCACATTTTGCAAGTCGGACGCCATCACACAGGCCCGTAAGTCAACTCATCACGTGTGATTTCTACCAGTTTGCACTGATTAGGGCTGGAGCTTGAGTCTCTTCGGTTGCATCGGAGGTGACGTTGAGACAAGACGGAATAATGCACTCCAAGAAATATCCCGATATGGCAAGTGCCGATGCTGCTGCCACACGCTTAGACCGGGCCTTGTGGCTTTGAATCAGATCGGCGGTGAAAACGGTATATAAACTGAGGGATTTCCTCTTCAGCTCAAGATTTCTTTACACTTGAATCAACTTCAATTTGTGCTGATTTACGCCTCTTATCGTGCTCTTCCCCATTTTTTTGTCATGTCTGAAAAACTTCCTGAATATCAAAAGGTCGAAACATCCCATCCTTCAGAAGGGATTGAGATGGTTCCAAAATCCGAATTAAAATATGTCAGAATCAAATACTTTGTGGCAGGTGTTGGTGCCACTTTTCTCTTTTCAATTCTTTGCAGCATTTTGACTTTTTACGCCGTTCCTCAACATCGTTTTAACTCCTTAACTTCATCACAATACCATCAAATTCACTCCAATGTATATAGTTATGATTATGATAATGAACTACAAACACCAAACACCGATGATGCTCAAGCCGATGAAATGTTTAAAATTCTCAGCGCTGATAATAATGATGATTCTCATTCTACTAAAGATGAAAAACATGAAAAATCTAAAAATTACCACAAAATGATGAAACATAGATTTGGTCGTAAAGGTGGAAAAAAATATGGAGTTAAAGGTTACAAATACCACAGTAAAGAAGAAAAAAAAAATCATAAAAAATTCAAACACCAAGATTGTGATGGAAAAAAAAAATTTTACCAATTTAAACATAAAAAAATTGATTCAAAACACAACGAAAATGAAAAACCCGAATTTAAAAACCTTGAATTTGAAAAACAGGAAATTGAACACCACCTTCAAGATGAAAAACATCATCAAAACGAAAACCATGAATAATTTCAAAAGCTAAAAATAATTAAGAAACAAATTGTTGAGTTTTCTCCTTCTAAAATTACTGAAAATCAAGTTTCAATTCTGAACTTTTTTAAAACAGCTTTACACTGATACTTCTTTTTGTTTTTTAGAGCATGTTTTTGTAAACTTATTCTTCCTTATTTCGTTTTGTTTTCGTATATTGAATTGCTGAATTTTTTAACTTTTTTAAAACCTTTTATTTTTTTCAAAATATTATCCAATACTGTGTTACCGGTATTGAATCTATTAATTTTTAGTCAACTTTTTAAGAATAAGGTGATTTTTTTTTTTTCTATTTATTGACATCTTAATTTTATAAACCAAATTAAATATACACTCTTTAACATTGCAAAGTATTTCAAATTTCAAATTAATAGCTAAAATTTAATCCATAGCATTTACGAAAAAAAAATAAAAAATAAAAAAATAAAAACATTAAAGGAGTAATTTCCCTTGAATAAATGCAAAATCTATCCCAATTAAAAAAAATAAAAAAAATAAATTTCAATAAAAAATATAATTAAAGATCAAAACATTTATGTAGATTTATTTCAAAAAATACAATTGTTTTGACCATTTTTGTGATATTTAATAAATTTTTTTTGGAAATAACTCAATCTCTCTTTATCCAAAAATGATTCTAAAAAAATTTAAAAAGAATTTACCTACTCTGTTATTTCATTAGATTTATTTTCGTAAATTTCCAACTTCTTATGAACATCATCAGCTTCATTTCCCAAATCTATGTCAATATAATAACTTTCATCAGTATTCGAATGAATACTCAGCTTAGTATTTAGTTGTTCAACTGTGTTGTTTTGATGATTTTGAGCTGAAATAAAACTCGAATTTTCAAAAGCTGGAAAATCCTTTATTTTCTTAAGTTCATTAATACTAATTATCTTTTCATTTTCATTTTCTACCTTCGCAATAGGTAAAGATTTAACACCTAAAAAATGAACATAGTCTTCACTTACTTCCGAATTTTCGTCCAGATTTTGATTGCTGTTTTTTTGACTTGAATTATCTACTTCATCATTGTTTACATCACTAACATCGCTACTGATAGAACTTCCATGATATAAACTCTTAAAAAGCTTACTATTATCGTTGTTAAAGATTTTATTTTCACCTGAAGAATGAAAAGAATCATCAACTTGTGATTCTTTATTTTCTATATTATCTGAATAATCATCATTCTGTTTAAATTCTTCCTTTAAAGTGTCATCTACTAAATCGGTGTCAACATTAAATTTTGTTTTATTATCAGGCAAATCCTTTTTTTCAACTTGATCAAAGTCAAGTATTTCAACATCATTATCAGTTTCTGAATCAGTGTATTGATTTGGATTTAATATACTTGGGCTTTCTCCTGCCGATGGATTATTTTGATTATCTCTTAGTTCTAACAATATATATCTAAGTTTTTCTCTCATCAATGATCTTTCTTTGTTATCAAAAAATTTTTTCTTTACTGAAATCTCGTTCTTCCCAGAATTCCATATCTTTATACATCTTGTATGGTTCTCTAAAAACTTAGTTACATTATAAATAACATGAACCCCACAATCATTAAAATTATTTTGTTTAGGAACCCAACCAACTCTCATTTTAATTTTTTTTAAATCAATACTTTTTTTTAATTCAAACTCTGCATACTGAGAAAGAAAAGATTTTATTGGTTCAGTAATGTTTTCATGATCATGCTTTAAGGAATCAAAAACATATATATTAGCTTCACCACCTTTTAAAAGTCGTGGAAGTTGCGCAATAAGAGTGCAATACCAATGTAAAGATTCGTTAATAGGCATTAAGATAAAATCAAAACTAAACAAGTTAATTTTAGATACCCATCTTTTAAGTTGTTGATAATAATTGTCATCGTTAGTGCTCATCAACTTTGAAAAAAAAAAAGTAGATAATGTATGAATTTCCTCTTTGTTGATTAAATTTTTCCTTATAGAATCATCAACGCTGAATTTTAAAAAAAAATCAATCAATGAATCATTGATCCATTCATGGTTATATAAGCATTTGAAATCTGAATTAGTAATAGTCATTGATTTCCCATCAAAAAATCTATAAACTAAAGAAGGACTAAAATATTCAACAAATTCTTTTTCTTCTCCTGTTTCCTCTTTTTTTTTTTCTTTTATTTTTCTTTTTTCTTTTTCCTCTTTTTTGTCATTTGAATTTTCTTCATCAGAACTTTCCACTAAAACATGTTTGTTCACAGGTTCTTGCTGAGATGGTTGATCCATTTTTTCTACATCAGACTGCTTAACTTGTTCCTTTTTTTTGTTTTGCTCCTCTTTCCCACTCTCCAAATCACTTTCTATATTAAAAATAGAATTATTTGGATTCATTTGATTTCTCAGAATATCATAATTTGAATCGTTAGCATTTAAGTCTGGATTCAGAGAGGTTTTTTTATTATAAAAAGCGTTGGGAGTTAATGAAGAACAATTACCATCTTTAAGATAATTTGATAAGTCAGAATTGTTTTGTAGGTATTTAATTTGAAATTGAAATTTCTTATTTGAGTCTAAATGTCCATTTTGACTGTTTATCTTAGAATTTTTTTTAAGATAAGAGATCACATTATTAAACTTACTGGAAGTCTTATTTTTAATGGTTGATGAATCAAAATAAATAACAAATTTATTGTATTCAATTAGTAAATAATTTTCATTGAATCCGAAAGACCCTCTTGATTTAACATTTGGAATTTTCACTGTGTTGGTTTTATTAAGAGAAATCAAAAATTGATCATTGATATTATATCTGATCATTTCAACATCTTTTAAAAAGGAAAAGGTCAAAGGTTCTAAATTACCAAAAAAAATAAAATTATCAGAATCGAATTTCAAACAAAAATTTGAATAATTTTCAATTGCATCTTTTGAAGAATACTCGAAATCAGGAAACTTTATTTTATTGAACGATAAAGTCTTTTCAGGTTTTGAAAGAATAGAAAGGTTGTCAGAAAAAGACACTAATTCGTTAGCAAAACCATTGAATAGCGTTTTTCTATTTGAAGCAGGTTTAAATCCAGTTTTTGAGAAAAACACCTCTATATTTCTAGGTTTGATGTGTTTGGGTATAATAAGATCACCTTCAAAGTTGAATTTTTGAGTGATTGAATTTGATGAATTATCTTTATAAATTTTAACATTTGAAGTTTCGAATTTTTTATCGCAATCATCCTCATTATCAGAAACATTTATTATATCATAAGAGTAATCTGAATTCTTTTGAATTTTTTTATTTTTTATCGAATCAAGCTTGTTACTATTATAATTATTAGCATTGTTTTTATGTAAATCATTTTTAGGCTGTATCTTGATATTATTTATAAGCAAAAATTCATCATTTTCAAAATATTTACTTTTAGTTGAAGTGATTTGATTATTAGAGGGATGATTTTTGAAATTATTATTACCATTACTATTATTACTATTATTACTATTATTGCTATTATTGCTATTATTGCTATTATTGCTATTATTACTATTGTTAGTATCATCACTTTTATTGCTATTACTGTTACTGCTATTTTGAGCTTCCATTTTAGTGTCAACTATTTGTATATCATCAGATTCATCGCCACTTCCAATATCTATAACTTCTTGCTTATTATGCCGATTGTATAGTTTTTGACCTTTATTATTATAATTTATATTGTTATTTATTTTAGTTTTAGCTTTGGTTTTATTATCATTTGGAGCAAAAGAAAAAGTTTTTTGCGATGGTGATTTTTGAACTGTTTTTTTCTGTTTCTTTTTATTCGAATAATTATCAGATTTTCGAGAGCTTTGATGATTCGTTTTAGCAGGCATTCTATTTTTTATATTATGAGGAACAATGTTTTCTTGAGTTCCTAAAAGGTTAGTATTGAGCGAAGGATTTGGGCAACCTGCAGGATTTAAAGGAAACCAGTTTGATAATGTATTTTGTGTCATTTTTGTTAAATTGCCCATTCTTTTAGATGAAATATCATCATCAGAACTGTCAATTTCAAAGCTGGAAACGTTTTTATAATGTTCGTCTGGATTTAAAAGTATAATATTATTTTTCAATGTTCTATTGGTAAGACCAGATTTATTTTTCATTTGAATATGTTTTAAAAAGCCATCGTCATTATTATTATTGTTGTCATAATCATTATTGGAATTTTTTCGTTTTTTGCTATTGTTATTGATAATGTTTTCATTTACGCTTTTAGTATAAGATTCAATGTCATCATCATCATCATCGTTTATTTCAATTATATTTTCAAAATCGTTATTGGGGGTACTGAGATAATTGTTATTGTTGTGGGCTTCCAATTTACTGGAATTGTCAATACTATTATTTGAGGCAGTAAGAGTATTTTTTATCGTTATCTGTTTTGATTTCAAACGTCTATTCTTGGACAAAGAGGAAAACTCTTTATTATTCGTAAAAGTTTTTCGAGTGGAAGAGTTCATAAGAAAAATCTATTTCCTAGATGAAAGTTAGCCAAGATGTGTTACTTTTTTGGTTAAATTGAACTCGATTGAATGAATATTTTAGTTTGATTTAAGTTAATTTGATTTGGTATTTATTTAGTGTAAATTTTCTATTATTATCGTATAGTCGAATTATTGAAAAGTGCATTGGAAAAGAAATCAATCAGTTGAAAGAAACGATTAACATAAGGAAAACTAAAAAAAAATAAAAAAATGGCAATAATGTTTCTACCTTGAGAAAGCAGATTTCCTTCAAAATTAACAAAAACAATCAATGTATTCTTTCGTGAAGTTATTTCTTGATTAATTTCTTGAAGATAATGAGAGAAAACTCAAACTTATCTCCAAACTTCTATCGTCCCAATTCAAGGCCCCAACCCCGGGTCAGGCCCCATTTTAACCAGACCCCAAATTGGGGTTTAGGCTGGGGTTTAGGCTAACAAAACCTTGTATATTCTAGTATCAAAATACAAAGATGCAACAGCGGCCGTGTGGTCTAGTGGTATGATTCTCGCTTTGGGTGCGAGAGGCCCTGGGTTCAATTCCCAGCTCGGCCCGTTTTTCTTTTTGACACTTGGTATATGTTTTCTTTATATATGTGTCTAAGTTGACGAAAGAGATTACTGATGTGGAAGACTTTGTGTATTAATGGGACTGACGTTTATTGCTAAACAAGAACTAAAGAACCGGAAAATATGGTATAGAAAGAAAAATATTATTTTTGAAATTATACGAAATTAAAATGATTACTATTTGCAGTGCTTCCATATTTAGAACTGGATATTTTTTCTTTTGAGCTGATCAATTCGTTTGTATATTAACGAAGATAATCACGTAAATAACCGGCTAATTTCTGAGTAGCCTGTTCGGCAGCATCCTTCAACACTTGAATGTCTTCATTAGCATTTCCTGTAAATCTATTGGCAATGTCTCTTGCAGTTGCCTCTACACCACCGTAATCATTTCTATTAAAGTTATTTTGCTCTTCATCTTCACCGAAATATGACGAAGAAGAAATCGAAGTCGCATTGTTGAAAGATTGCAATTTTGTTTTAGCCTCTTGTTGTAGTTCGGGATCAAATGTTTTTCTGCCAAAGAATTCATCAGAAGATATGGCTCTTTGATTCCCATATTTTTCCTTGACATCTCCTGTATATTTAACTGAGTCGGTGCTTGGTTTATTTCTACTATCAGGGGATGATGTAACATTTGATGCAGTCATACCGAAACCCAATTTGGCAAATTTTGGTGTAACTTTATCAACGGAATTCGAAGGATTACTGTAGCTTTTGCTGCCATAATCATTAGTGGTTTCACTACTTTTGAAACTATTGCTGCCAAAAGAAGAATATTCTTTTTTAGAATCAAAGGCATTTGATTTTGATGAGGGTGAGTGTGAATCAGTTATATACAAATCGTTGTTTGGATTATAACCTAATTTAGAGATTTCTTCTGCTTCTTTCTTAGCAGCTCTTTCAACATCATCAAAATTAATTTCGTTATTGGATAGCTTTTTAGCACCTAATTTGAGCTTTCTATTACGGTTAAGATTGCTGGATGATATAACATTAGTTTTTTTAGTAGCATTTGGTGTTGAAGAATTTCTTATGACCTGTCTACGAATCGTTGGACGGGATGTTGTAGTTATTGGTTTACTGGTTATGTTAGAGCTGGAATTGTTTTTTTTAAGAGATAAACTTGAAGTGCTGTTGTTATTCTTATTTGCAATTGAAGGTTGAGGGGTCGGAGATCTTGACGATGGAGTAGAAAAATTGGAAACAATTGGTTTTTCAAAGTTGGAAAAGAAATCGTCAGTACTTGACGCACTATTATTAAGATCTAAATTGCTTCCATTATTCAAATCAGTGAGAGAATTTGCAGATAAATCAATTAAATTTTCGTCAGTTGTAACATGATCTGGATGTTGAAGTTCATCCTTTTTGGCCTTTTTAAGTAACTCATCTTTGTATCTTACCATTAGCTTGGATTGATATTTATTTTTCGAGTCCATATTTAAAATTGTTGAGCCACCATTTTTGATTAGGTATTCCTTTATTGCCTGGTTCCCACCATGCTTCATGCCTCTTAGTTGGATTCTTGTCCATTTATCCAAACTTGACGACTTGACAAAGGAAATATGAACCCCTAGGTTTCTATGGATCGAAGAACAATTCAAACATAAGAATATGCCAAATGGAACAGAAGTCCAAGTTGGATTCTTGTTCTGACAGTCAAAACACGTCTTGTTGGCTGGAATTCGTTGCAACTTGGAAAAAACCTCCCTGATTTCTTCCTTCGTAGCGTAGTTGTCTGACATTGCGAATTGGTATCCAGATGCCACTCAAATGCTCAGGAAATAGAACCAGCAGCAGATATTTCAGCAACGCTATCGCTATCAGTGAATAGGATCAGCTCTTCAGAGGACAACAGTAACAATCTCAGAGCTGGCGAAAGGTCAGCTGACCAAGAGTCCAGCCACATGGGCGTAGCTCTCCTTTCGGCAACTGTCTTTTTGGGCTGCTCTTCGAGTATGAGTTAAGTTTGTAGATCAGTATATAACAATATAAAAACATAAAAACATAAACACCTCATCTTCTTCTCAAGGACAATCTGCGCCCAAGGCCCTTAAAGCCGGCGTTGAACGAGTTGAAGCTGCTCATCTCGTATTGCTTTTTGTACTCCTCGTTTTCTATTTTCACTTCCTGGACCTGGTTTTGAATGCTTCGCAAGTTTTCAGTCATTTCCTCCAACTGGATTCTGAGATCCTCGTTGATTTCCTCAATTTGAGTGTTTCTTACCATTGTATGGGTTAGGTCGTCTGAGAGCTGTTTGTTGTTGATGTATTCGGCAAGGTTTTCTTTATTTTCCTTCAATATACTGTTTTGTTCCGATTTTTCTGTCAAAATTTCTTTGTTTTTCATATTTTCGTCGAGATATGATGCATGGATCCCTTTCAAATTTTCATAATCCTTTTTCAATGTCTCACTTCTACTGGTTAGTTTTGAAACAGTTTTACGTAGGTTTTTCAATTCAATGTTCAAATTTGAGTGTTTACCAATGTCCTTTGATTGTGAATTACTTGATATGGATGATATTGGTGACAATACGTTACTGTTATTATTAGTACTGTTGTTTCCATTAGTCCCGTTATTATAACTATGAGATGCTAAATTGTTTTCGAAAATTGATTCGCCTTCGTCGTAGTCGTCATCTTCCTCGATTTCTTCACTGAAAAGTGATTCGTTTCCATTTTTTCTCATATCATCGGTGAGAACTTTGAATTCGTTTTCGAATTTAAGAATGTATGGGTGATATTCAAATGATTCTTTAATAAAATCATTAAATTTCTTTGGTGTTTTAATTTTGATTTTGATTTTTTCTTCATTTTTTTCAGTTTGATCGGAATTGAGGCTATTATTTTGTTTACTAATTTGATTATCATCATCATAGTTGTTTAATATTTCGATTATTGAACCGTCAGGTTCAGTTTTTTGAATTTGAATAAATTGGTCTTGGGTAACTTCATGTTGATGTTCAACAAACTTTTCGTCTTTCAAGAAGGTTAAAATTTCATTTGATTTCAAAAATTGTAGCAATTTTTTACCATCTTCGATTTTGAAGATTTTGTAGTAATTTTTTTGAAAGATTAATAAAATGAAACGGATTAAATATTCTATGCCTTCAAACAAAACCATGTCAAAAAGTTTAAACAAATCGTCAATGTTTAAATCATAATTGATGATTTCTAAATTTTGGCCATTGCTTCGTAATAAAGAAGTTAATCTCTTTCTTTGAATCTTTGATAATCTTTTTGGCAATTCAGGAGGTTTGTCTGAATAAATGGATTTATTTTTGGAAATTTTAAAGAAAAATTCGCATAAATAATAATCAACTAACAAATTTGAGTGAATTCCATGAGAAGATAGGTATAATAGTAATTCTGGATAGTATTGTTCTAAAGATCTATTGAATATAAAAGTCAATTTGTCTTTGTTATAATTTGAGATTAAATTTTTATTATGAGAAGATAAAATAGTAGAGTTTCTGAAATTTTGGTAGATGTAGTAATCATCATTATCATTAAAATTAAAATAGTTTTCATAAATTGTGATTAATAAAGAAAACATTTCAGAGTTTGATAGATCCATTGAAAATTTTTTCAAGAACAAATTGCAAATTAAGATTATTGTCTTTGAAGGTAAGTAGAATTGTTTAAAAAGATTAATGTTAGGATAGTCTTTATTTTTGGGGTCATTAATATCAATTATATTGAATTTTTCATAATATAACCAGAAATTTCTTAAGATTTCCAACATGTCTTTGTTAATATTGTTGTTATCAGTATTAGTATCAGTATCAGTTTTAGTATCACTATTATTACCACTATTAGTATCATGATCTAAGTTGAAAATGTTTTCAATTTTTAAAATCAAATAAGTGTATTTTGATTTTAGTAAATTAATATTTTCATCATCAATTTGAGTATAGTTTTGAATTTGATTATTGAAGAAATTTGAAATTCTATTGTAAATTGATTCTAATTTTGTTGATTTTGAATTTGACACAAAAAGGTACAAAATGTGTTTAATTGGAGGAGGGATGGTATAAAGAGATAATTTTTTTTCAAAGTTTTTTAGAGATTTGAATTTTTTAAATCTATTTGAGAATTTGTTTATAATAGAGGACCAGAATTTCCAATCGATTGAATTGTATAAATTTGAATTATTTGGATCTGATTTCAAATTTCTTTGAATATTGTCAAACTGAAATTTTAAGAAGTTTTTTGAATTTTTAATGTTATAAAATAAATCGTATTTATAGGAGACATTGAAATTGTTTAAATCAAACTGTCTTTTGAGGAGGATAACACCTAGATTGTAGGTTGAAGACAAGTCATCTTGATCAATAAATTGGTTTTTATAGTTTAGTTTCAAAGGATTTTTCAAATTTGAAGAAATTTTTTCATTAATAATTTGATTTTCTATGTTGGCTTTGTTTTCTGATTTAAAGTTGTTGTTGATCATATGAGTTCCAGCATTCATTAATGATATATGATTGTTATTATTTGTGGTATTTGTAGTATTTGTAGTATTTGCAGTATTTGCAGTATTGGCGATATTACTATGGTTGCTATTAATACTGATATTGCTAAATCTTGACTGATTTGAAATATTTCTCTTTGGTAAAGGTGGAGGACCTTGAGGTTGGTTTTGAATTTGATCAGACATCTTTGGGGGATGATATTTAGAGGTAAAATTGATGAGAGGTAAAATTGATGAGAGGTAAAATTGATGAGAGGAAAAAAACAGCAATAAGAATGAGGAAATTAATATAATAAATTTATAGTGTAGTAAATTATTGGTTTGAAATGTAGGATAGTTGAACTAGAAATTAGATTATGTTTGATGTAAATCTATTGATTAAGTTAAAAGAGAATTTAACGCCCAAGATAAAAAAATGAGTGGAAAAAGATAAAGAAAAGTAAATTTAAGCTACTAAAGTATTGCAAATAATATAATTAACTGAATAATCCGATTAGTTGAGTAGTCTATTGAAAAACGATTGGGTTGATTAGGTTGATTAATCTGCTATGTTGTGATATTCTATGAGAATAAATGAGGTCTCAATGGGACTTCAAAAAGATTGTGTGTGCTGTGGTATTTGTGAACAATCAAGCGTCTGTTTCTATGTTAAACAAGATAAAGAGAAAGGGAGAGATTTGAATTGAATGATCGAATGATTGGGTTATATAGCTTTGAACGAGTATATGTTTCTGTGGTTGTTGAGAGCTCCTTTGAGAGATATTTTGATTTTGCTGTCTTGCTGAGCTTTATTAGTCAATTTACACGAATTCCAGTAATTCTGAACTAAAGTGCTGTTAAATTCCAGCGGTGGGAGTGGGCTTGTGCTGCGAAAACAGTGGGCAGAATAAGTTTGAAACAACTGAGTTGAACAAAGAAAAATCGGTGGGCCAATTGAAAAGTGCAATCAGAGAGGAATTGCCTTATTTATATGTCTTCATTCTTTTGTTCTGGTGCACAGCTTTGAATGATACTTCTGGCTCCAACAGGAATATCTACACTAGCTCGATGTCGGTGCTGACTCCTCGATATTTATAGCTCTGGATGCCAGAAAACGGCCACCAACCAAGGCTACTCGTCTCTGCTCTGCTCAAAAGAACTCCTACATACATGCAACAGAAACAGCAAAGACAGCAGAAGCAGCAAAGACACCATCACCATCACTCCTAAAATATTGATGATTCAGGATACCCAATACTGCATATAACAGAGCCTGGCTAGCGTAATGGTTAACGCGTCTGACTTCTAACGCCTGCTAGGTGTTAAGTCATCAGAAGATTGTGGGTTCGACTCCCACGTCGGGTGCTTTTTTGTGTTCTTCTATTTTTAGAAGCATTTAAATTGTGTATTTTATCAAAATTATGTTTAAACTTTTTCTCAACAAAAGTTAGCCGTTCTAGTATAGTGGTAAGTACACTTCGTTGTGGCCGAAGAAACCCAGGTTCGATTCCTGGGAACGGCATTTCTTTTTGAGTTTTTTAACTATTTGATAAATTTTTGCTTTTTGAAATTTTTTTTAAAATTTAAATTTTAAATTTTTCAATTTCTATCACATCTCACTGTTGCTACAAAATAGATTTAATAACCCAGAATATACGGTTCTGCAATACCACAATACAAACAAATGGAAGTAGAGGATCCAAACTTGGTCAAGATAGAGCACGATCATGTCTCTAACGTTTATTCAACCGACTTGCCTGGTGTCGATGGTACTTCTGATTTCGCTTGGAATCTTGACACATTCAAAAAAAACTTCGATATCAGAATCCACTATTTAACTGATCGTTCGGCCAATTTCGATTTGATCAACATAGACACTTCAATTGCAAATGCCTTTCGTCGTATAATGATTGCAGAGGTTCCTTGTGTTGCTGTTGAAAACATTTATATATTCAATAACACTTCAGTTATTCAGGATGAGGTCTTAGCTCAAAGAATTGGTTTGATTCCCTTGAAGGTTGATCCTGATGCCCTTTCTTGGATAGATAACACTGTTGATGAAAAAGATCGTTTCACTGATGAAAACACTATAGTTCTAACCTTAGATGTCTCCTGTACAAGAAACCCTCATCCACCCAAAAATGTAACAGATCCTAAAGTCCTCTACAAGAATTCCTCGGTTTACGCAAGAGACCTTAAATTTGAACCACAAGGCAAGCAAATTGAAAAATTCAAAGATAACCCAATTGCTCCATGTGATCCTGATATCCTTATCGCAAAATTAAGACCCGGTCAAGAAATCTCTTTAAGAGCTCATTGCATCTTGGGAATTGGTTCTGATCATGCCAAATTCTCTCCAGTTGCAACTGCTTCCTACAGATTACTCCCTGTCATAAAAATCTTGAAACCAATTGTTCTTGACGAAGCTAAAAAATTCCAAAAGTGTTTTCCCTCAGGTGTAATTGGCATTGATAGTAAAGGTGAAGCATACGTTAAAGACCCAAGAAAAGACACTGTATCGAGAGAAGTTTTAAGACATGATGAATTTAAAGATAAAGTCAAACTAGGAAGAAATCGACAATACTTTATTTTCAATATTGAATCAACTGATGCAATGCCTCCAGAAGAGATTTTTTTCAAATCTGTTAGAATATTGAAAACAAAAGCTGAATACTTACGTAATTGTCCAGTTAGTTAGTTAGTTATCTGTTTTTATTCGAAAAATTTATTAATAAACATTAAAATATCTTGTTTTTCATTATTGTCTGATTGTCTGTTTACACAAAACTGCCTGGAACATGTATTCTTCTATGTATAAATCCTAAATCGTTATTTAAAAAATTACCATTTTCATTATCATTATCATTATCATTATCACTATCTCCTGATTCCTCATCAGATTCATCAGATCTTAATCTCCAAATTTCTTTTACAACTTTAAATGGCTTCAAATTTATTATTGATATATTCCCAGTATATCCATCTCTTTCATAATTTGGAACTAAATCATTTTCAATTATAGTTGATGTAAGTAAATTATTAATCGAATTGCTTGAACTGAATGATATATCATTATCATGACGATTTTCAGTATTATTTATATGATCATTATTGTCACTACCATTGTTATTATTTCTATTATTAGCTCTATCACTATTTATACTATTCTTTGTATTATTAACATCTTTCTTCTCAACTTCATCATAAAAAATCGATATCTTTAATATCTGTAAAAATATTATTATTATATCATAAAATATATAATAAATCTTAGTATGTGTCAAATTTTCTCCAATGATTTGTAATATTAATGATCCATATAAATAATTAGAAACTATATTCATTCCATTCTCAAAATATCCATTCCTAGTTAAAAAAATTCTTATTACAATCACCTGGAGGTTTAATGCAAACATAGTAATCATCATTCCTTTCACAATCATTTTCATGTTGTTAATTGTTATCTTTCGACCTGATAAACTTGAACTGCTATTAGATGTGCCAATGACTGTAACACTAATGTTCACATTATTAGTAGTATTAGTAGCGCTAGTACTAGTATTTCTGCCACTTCTATTACCACCACTTGGAGTAGATACCAAATCTTTTGGAATTGGTCTTGATAACAAAAACTGTAGCAATGATCTGGTTATCAATGTCAACAATGAGGAATCAAGTAGGAAAACAAATATGATGGTGCAATAAGTCAAAAGATCCAAATTCTGTTTCAAATCCTTCAAAAAGGCTTTCTTCTTCTCTTTCAAGATCCTAGCATCGTTCTTTTCAATTTCCTCGCTGCTTATCTGGTTCTGTAGCTCATCAGAGTCCATGTCACTCACACCCAGCTCCATCTAATGTGTTGCCTCTGCTGTTTCTTCTGTTTCTTCTGTTCTTTCTTCTTTTCTTTCCTCTGCTTAAAAATCTGTACAAAAGCTGGCTGAGACCGCGCCTTTGGGTCTTCTTCTGCATTTAGTAACTGAGCTTTCTCTGCTTCCTCTTCTTTTGCTGCTTTTGCTGTCTTTCCTACACTTGAAGGATTAACAAACATAAAAAGCTGTCGTATAATATAATACTAAAAACTATAAATGAAAATGACTGAGGATACGAAAAACGAAAAAATTAGAAGATTAGAAAGAACAACAATAATAAAAAAAAATTAAAGATTAAAAAACTAAATTTCTATATATACATCCTGAAAATAAATTTTATTTTTTAACATTTTTTATCATCCCTTTGTACTGAAAACTAGTGATTAGATCGCCACCCAATCTGGCTATTTCGGCAAATAATGAATCTTTGTTTATAATTATTTCGTCCTTATTTTCTTCAATAGCTTTTATATTATATCCCACACTACCAATTCTAAATTTTTTATTATTAACCATCGAAGGAATAAACAACCCAGTTATTACATTCTCTCCTTTATTGTTTAATCCTGCTATCTTGTGATATGAAAAAATTATTATGTTTGAATATTTTCCATTCAATTCATTGACTAATTCAGAAACTGGATCAATTTTATTGGCTATCTCATCACTTATGTTCTCATGATTAAAGCCTTGGGAACTATCCACAATTAGATTTTTAAATGCTTTTCCCAATATAATTCCGCTTGATTTCGATAATTTAATACTCTTGGTTTCAATCACAAAATCATAGTCATTTAATGCAGGTTTAAATAATATATTAAGGGTCAATGCATTTATTCCCTGCTGACTTATTAAATTCATTGCCACCTTTGATAATGCTGTCAATCTGGCAGCTATGGGTAAAAGCTGGTTATTACTCCATAGGATTCCTGATGGGTCATCCTTTGTAGATATGAAAAATTGGGTTCTTAGCCCATTTGGATCAATTTTACGAACTTTTAGGAAATTTGACATTGAAACTTGATAATCTTTAATTGTCAATTTATCGCTCAAAATATCCTTTAAATTATCACTTTTGTTGTCATTGCCTATATTACTTTCTTGATTTTGACCATTGCTATCGCTATTTAATACAGAAAGAAAGTCTTGATCTAATTTTTTAGATATATCCAAAATTATTGGGTTTTCTCTCCAATTCCAATTGGCTATAAAATACAAAACCCTTAAAAATCCATTTTCAATACTTGATGGTGGTAACCAATATTCGCTATCAACAAATACTTTTAACACAATCAACTCAATTAATTCTTCATTCAAATGGCAATATAACAACTGATCATCTAACCATCTTTTGAATAATCGAACTGTTGCCAGATAATATTGAAAATGATGAGATATCAATAATATTCTTCTAGTGTGCTTAATTGATCCAATATAATTTTGATTAAATTTGAGATAAACCTCTTCAAGCAAATTCCTTTTATCCTTTGAGCAATTAGAAACAGCTCTAAGATAAAGAATCTCATCTCTTTCTGTTAATACTTTTATACTGAATCCATATCCTTCTGGTGTTATTATATTTAGTATTTTAATGTTGTTGTTATATGGTATAGACTTATCACTAGTCATAAATGCTTTATAACGGTCTTTATACTTGTTATTTAATAATTCATAAATTTTTAGCAAAAATGCTGTCTTGGTATCTTCTAATCCATTTATTGCATCTGGCCACTTTTTGGAACTTTCAAATTGTAATAAAACCTCATTGAAAAAATCAGGGTTAGATATTGCAAATGGTATAGGTTGTAACACAGATGAATAACGGAAACCACTGCTATTAGGATTAATTGCCTTTATATTTAATGGTAAATCTCTATTAAATTCAAATAATATTTTACTTAATTTGTCAAAACTTGCTTTTAAATTATGAAATGTTGATGTGTTTATTATTGATAAATTATTTGATTCTGGTAATAAAGGCTTGGGAAGTTTTGATATAAAACAAGGTAGTTCTGTTGCAATTTTTGATGCAAAAGATTTACCAAAAAATCTTGCAAATAAATATTTTATTATTTGCAAAACTATAGGTTTATCATAACTGTAATTCCAAACAATGCATTCATTAATGGAACCATCTTTAAACCTTCTTAATTGGGATTTTCCACCCCAAAATTTTTTAAATTTTTCCACCGCTTCTTTTTCTGAATTTAATGGACCCTTTGTTACTAATTTTTCACAATAATCTTGATTCAATATCAAACCAATTTTAATTATAGAATCTTCAGTATTAAAAAGATATTTTCTTCTATTTAAAGGAAATTGCAAGCCAGAATAATTTTTATGGTTTTTGTCTATATTTTTCTTTTCTACAATCTTAATTGAAATTTGATGAACTCTTTCTTTTAAACCAGTTAATAAAATATTATATAATTTAGTTTGAATAAAATTATCATAACTTACAAATGAAATTTTTTCCAATGGACCAAAATTTATGATATTATTTATGGTTTCTGTTCCATTGGTATCATTATTATTATCATTATTAGTACTTTTTTTATTTTTTTCATTTTTATCATTAAAACCTGGAGTTGGATAAGGTATTTCTAAATTTATATCATATTTTAAATAGTCGATATTATTATTTTTTAAAAAAATTGAATCAAAGGGGTCATTAATTGTTTCATTTAAAGCATTTAGTGTTAAAATAGCTTCATGTCTTAATAGGTTATAAGAATAATTTGACATTTTCCATAGAATGTTTAATTTTGTGAATTTATCAAAAATAGTAGGGACATTAAAACCTTCGTTATTATTATATTTGCAGTAAATTTTATCATTAGTAGTGCTTGAAAATATTAAATGGCCATTAGTTAATAAGTCTTGAGTGGCTAAATATTTGATTATACCTTTAAATAATTGATAAGACGAAAAACCAAATAATAAAATTTTATTATTTTCTTGACCACCACCGTTTAATAATAAAGCCATTAGCATTGTGAATTCAAAATTACCAAAACCACCATTTGAAATAGAGCCAGATAAAAAACCCTTTTTAGTTAGCCAAATTCTCCCTAAGTTAGCGGCTTCTTTGAAGGAATCGGTTAGTTTTTGAGTTTTATAGATGAATTTTAAATAGTGGTTATAAGTTGTGTTTGATATTAAAGAGGAGTTGTAAATGGGGGTTGGTATTGTATTTGCTGGAGATGCTGTTTGTAGGGTGTTTGAAGATGAGGTTGAAGATGATTGTGGTGGTGTTTGTAATTGATGTTTTTTTTGGGTTGAATTAACGTTTTGTTGAATTCTTATTGAATTTTTAAAGGGTAATAATTTTTTGTAATCAAAGATATTAAAAGGGAAACAAACAATTAATCTTATAGAAAAATTTGTGTGGTAGCAATTGCAATCAATGGAAGAGTCTATGTTTGTATTTCCATTCGATTTTGGTTTTGAATGAGATTTTGATTTTGAAGAATTTTTAGGATTATTAAAATCAATTTTAAGAGTTGGAGTTAGAATGTCATCGTTAAGATATTCATAATTGAAATCTAAGAAGTTGAGTTGATCATTTGAGAAATTTGATATTAAATTTGAGGCCAAGTATGCTAAATAAAAGGATCTTTTATAGAACGCTCTATAATTTAGATAATCCTTTTTTTCAAACAAGGACGAGGGCATTGTTATAGCCAAATCAATTATATTATTGTAAGGTAATCTGATTGAATTTTTCAAAGCATAAGAACCAACGACAGATATATCAGAAGGTTTTAAATACTGGAATTTGAAATCTTTATTTGTTGGTTTTGGATCACAAAATGGGATTTTTAAATTCAAGTTTAAATTTAAATTTGATTTTTGTTTTGTTTTCGATTTTGATTTTGATTTTGATTTTGATTTATTGGGTTCATTTAAGTCAGATATGGAAAATATTTGAGAATCATTAATGTTATTATTAATTAAGTTATATAAAGAATAAAGAAATTTTTCAATTTTAGTTAAATGAGATTGATTTAATTTGATTTCTTTAATAACTTCATCTATTTTTAATTTGAAGATGTTTGATTTAAAGACTTCGGCAGTTTCTCTTGCGATTTGAACATCCTGAGCCGATAATTGTTGATGATTTAAGGATTTTTGTTTTTTCAATTTGGGTTGAATTTTATCGTTATCCTCATCTTCATCGTCTTCATCGAAACTATTGTCAGAGTAATTATCAGAAATATCCTCAGAGATATTGTCTGAGCTATCTTTGGAGGCGATTTGAGATTTGCTGTTGCTATGAATATCCGAATCATTCTCTTCAGAGAGGGATTCATCATTTTCTGAAAGGTCCAAATCTTTCTTGGAAATTTGTTCAGAATGATTGGTATCATTTTTAGTTACGCTTGTATTATCGTTTGTGATAACGTTAGAGCTGCCATTGGATTTTATATTGTGATTATTTTGGGAGCTGGTTTGAATGGATGAGTCACCAGAGGTGGATTTGCTAGTAAATTTTGCTGAATTGGATTTAATTTTTATGGATGTATCATTTCTCTTTCTCTTAGAACCCATTCTTTTATTCTGTAGCAGAAAAACAAGTAAAATAAAGAATATGCAAAAAGCAATTCAAATAAAATGAAATAGATAATTCCAGATTAATTAAAAGGGAAATCAAATCTATAATCTGTGAGAATTATAAATTAGACTGATATTAATCAAACAAACAAAGAACCGCCGGGTGTTCTAAGAAGTGGGAGGTGATTAACACTTGGTGGAGGAGGGAGGATTACTATTATATGATATATTAAAAGGATAATATATATATAATAATAATGGGCAGAGGATTAGTTAGTTATAACCTGTGTGGTTAGTCAACGACTGTTGGGCCAAATTAACTCCACTTGAACCAGTAAATTTTTTTTGTTATCTTCCACCATCCCAATTAGGGCTTTAGGCGTGTAATGCTCAGCATGGCTGGCCCGCAAAAAAAAACGGGCAAGCGTATATATGGGTCCTAAGTACCAGCCGTCTGGTGACCGGGTTTTCTGTTTTGCGGTGCATCTCAGACCGCGCGTATACCAAGACATGGTGATTGCGAGCGCTGTACGCATAAAAGCGTGACTATCACGGGATGTGCTAGATGCTGGTGCATAATTGTGTGTCATTGTGCAGCAGTGCATGTTTTCCGTGGTGGTGGCCCAGAGCGAAATATGGGGCTGATCATTGGTCCGAGCAATGCCGTTTAGCCGGCGCCACGCAGGTTTTGACGAACGCGTTCCATTTTGCGCAGGGAAGCCTGTTTTGGCCCGACGGTCGGGTTTCGTCGCCGCTTGTGGAGCGTGGCGGCGGGGCCAATGAGAGCAAGCAATGGCCGCTTAGCAAGCACTTGCTTTAGTGTAGCCTAAGTGCTTACGTAACACAAATATGTTTTACGGGATGTGCGTGCTGGTGGACGAAAGGAGGTCTAATCCCAGTATGAACCAAGTTTTCAGAAATGGGTCATTCGACCTGCAGCAAAGTCGATGGCAAAACTGGAGGAAAAGTCTCAGTATTCAAAAGCAGAAAAAAACACAAATTCCACAGAATCAGCAATTTTGGGAAATCTTTTTGGGCTTCGAATTCTTTTCTGCCTTTTCAATCAAAATTCTGCAATTATTTCCAATTAACTTAGAATTAATTTACAATTTACTGGCAATCACTGTAAAAAGAATTCAACAAAAAATCATCTCAGTCATTTCTCGATCCATTATAAGAACTTTGCCAATTCCTTCATATTTATCCATTTCTAGATTTCATCATCTTATTCAATTTTGCTCAATTTCATCCAATTCTATTCAATTACTATATAAGCCTTTCAAAATCATAAATTAGAAAATACAATACAAACCAACAAGCCAAATCCAGAAACCAAAAAGTCAATTTACCTTCAACTTCTATTAATCCTTATTAATCTCGATCTATTTGAAACACTCAACCTCAAAATGTACTCCTCTAAATTCAATAGTTCCACTTTATCAGTTATAAAAAGATCTTCAAACTTGAAAGCTATCAGCCATCTCAATCAAACTTACAGAAATATTTCAATCTACAACAACTTGCTTAAAACTCTAACAAAAAACCCTACCCCAGTTTCACTTTATAATAATCTTAATAATAATCTTAACCATAAAAATCAATTTATTCGTTTTAATTCAACAGCTAATGATCCAAATCAAAAATCCTCTTCCTCCTCTCTACCTGCTAAAACTACCACTAAATCTAGTGAAAAATCAATTGAAAAAGTAAACCCAGAAAAGAAAAAAACAACAATTTGGCAAAAGATTAAACATGAAGCTAATCATTATTGGGATGGTACCAAATTACTAGGTTTAGAAATCAAAATCTCTTCAAAATTATTAATCAAGTCCTTAGCCGGTTATGAATTAAATAGAAGGGAAATGAAACAACTATCAAGAACAACTAATGATCTCATTAGAGTAGTTCCCTTTATGATGTTCATCATAATACCCTTTGCTGAATTACTATTGCCTGTTGCTTTGAAACTATTCCCAAATATGCTACCTTCAACCTACGAAAGCAAAAATGATAAAGAGAAAAAAGTTAAAAACTTGAGAAAAACTAGAACTATAGTAGCTGATTTAATCAAAACTTCAGTAACTGAAAAGGGTTTGAAAACTCTACCTAATTTATCTAACACTGAAACAAGAAAAAATTTCATTGATTTCTTTAATAACTTAAAATCAACCTCTGTTCAACCAACGAGAGAACAATTAGTCTTGGTTGCTAAATCCTTCAAAGATGATATCGTTTTGGATAATTTGTCAAGATCCCAATTAGTAGCGATGTCAAAATATATCAACTTACAGCCTTATGGTCCCGATCAAATGTTAAGATACAGAATTAGATATAAAATGTTACAGATCAAAAAAGATGATAGATCTATTGATTACGAAGGTATTGACTCTTTATCTGTGCCTGAATTGCAATCTGCTTGTTCTTCAAGAGGTATAAAAATCTATGGTGTCTCTCCCGGTAAATTAAAAGATGACTTGCAAATCTGGTTGACGATGAGATTGAGAGAAAAGATTCCTTCAACTTTATTGCTATTAGCCTCTGCTTACACCTATGGCGATATCAACTCAACAGAAACTCTTTATGATGCTCTTAAAGCTGTCCTAAGCTCAATTCCAGATGAATTAATCAATGAAGCTGCCTTGAGTATTGAACCTCAAAATGTTCCAAGTAAAGACAAGATAAAGGTTATTAAAGAACAAGAAGACTTGATTAAAACTGAAATACAACAAGAAAAAGATAGTGGTTTAATCATCCCAGTTAAGGATGACTTGAATTTAGATGATATCGATCCAAAAGTTAAATCACAGCCAGCTCAAAATCAAGAAACTGATAATGTCCAAAATGTTTCAAACTCCTCTGACTCAAAAGCAAATGATTCCTCTTCAACAGATTTCAATGTAGACGTTAACAAATCCAATAAAATCGACGAAACTAATCAAACAAAAATTAGTGAAAAAAAATAATCTTATACATAAATTATATTCCATTTGTTATCTCATTATATTATTATTATACTATTAATATATCCCACATATTAATATATAATATAAAATCAATTTATTTGCATTAAATTAATTGTCACTGGTTATCATTTTTTTTTTCCTTATTTATTCCTCTTCCCTTCTTTCCTTTTTTTCTCTTATTTTATTATTATTTATTACTATTCTATCGTTTTTTCTGTTCTTATTTTATCATTTTTCAAATCAATGCACAATTTAGAAAGTTTTTTTTTCAGAAAATAAAAAAAATTAAATATACAAAATAATCATAGAAAATGGGAAAAAAAAAATTAAAGACAATTTGAAAATTACATGTAAATACTTTTATACTTTATATTTTAACCTCTCTTTTTGTTATCTATAATTTAAAATTTTATTTATAATCTATTATCTTATTTCAGTATTATTTGAAAGAAATCAAAATTTTACATAATCTGTAATTTTTATCTATTGATGAGTGTAAAATCTCTCTATAACTACAGGTTTCAATTTTCGAAAAAATTTAGTAGAATTTTATGGTAAATTTATTATCTAGTCTATATATAAAGTGTATCTAATATCTAATACCAATTATAAATGTTAGTTAATTTTCCTTTTAATAACTATATTCAAAAGAAATCAATAATCAACTGGATCTACACTGTTTGTCAGAAATTTTGATGATTGTTATAGGAATGTTATCAGCATAGCATAATGCTCAGAGTGAGCTGAGTAAGTTTTTCATCAGTAACAGTAAAAATCCACAATTGAAAAAGAATCAAGCACTTACAATTAAATATTATTATACGTATATCTTCTTAAGGATGAAGAAGAGAAACAAAGAGGGTGAAAGAGGTAGTTTTTTTTTTCATTTTGCGCCTTTTCAAGCAAAATGGTTCCGGGTAACGAAAGCCGAGGTGGAAAACTTTTGTAGGTTTTTTTATCCGAAGAGAAATTGAAATATTTTCGTGATTTTTGGAAATCTTCATTTGATATATACAAATTTATAACATATATTTATATGAAAAAGCAGTATTATGACAGAGAAAAACATTAAGAGAGAAAAGAAAAAAAAAATGTAATAGTAGAATAAAATTGAAATAGAAAAAAAAAGCTGATAATGTTGAAAAAAAAAAAAATGAGTGTAAAATAAACCATTAAATTAAAATTTTATCATCAATTGGAAATTTAAAATCTTTTCATTTGTTATTTTGTTCTTGAATTGTCTTATCTAAGTAAATGAACGAGAGCCTGCACGAACAAATTCCAATACTTTCCAACCTTCGGTTTCTTTATCGTCCATATTTTCAGGTAATCTTGTAAATACGATAGCATAAGTTGACAATTGAATATTTGATTCAGTTCCAGCAGTGACTTCATTGGTTTTAATGTCTTTGAATAAATGAATTTCTTGAGCTCTGCAACCAACAACAAAACATGGGACATTTGCAGGAGGCAATAATTTTGCACTAACAATATCAACACCTCTGATATCCAACACTCTACCATCAGAGTATGAACCCTTTTCTTTATATTGTTTGGTTGATGCATTCCAAACGTTAAAGGGGGCTTCACTTAACCAAGTCTTTAAGACTTTTTCATCACCTTTAACATAGGCATCCAAAATTTCGGGTAAAACATATTCCCTAAGATTTTTTTGGAATTCTTCAATTTTAAACGTTGGATCCATTAGTCTAAAGCTTTTAATCACTCTTGCATTTTCATTTTCAGTGAAAAAGCCACTAATTTTTTCAAATATAGTTCTTACGATTGAGACTAAACCATTATCACTTTCATCCCATCTTAATCTTAAATCTGCTATAACTTTGCCGACTGGAGAAGTGATTTTAAAATTTTCCCATTTTTCACCAAATGTTGGTGTTGATACTTTATAATCAGTATTAACCAATGCGTTACCAACATCATCTTTTGATTTGATTGGTAAGTGTTTTTTACCTGATTTGAAATCCATTTCACGTTTTTCTCTACGATGTTTTTTATCAATGAAACCACCATAAGCAGATGAGTCACCATCATCGATAACTTCGGAGACATCTTTATAAATTTTAGTTTGTCTAACAGGTTCGATAGTGTCATCAATTGCCTTTGCAGTTTTAGAAACAACTTTTCTTGTAGTTTTTCCTGCTTCACTTTCCCATGCTTTTACAGCAGCATCACCAACGACTTCACCAGTTTTTTTAAGTGTTTTCCCAACAACTGTAGTGCCCTTTTGAGCCTTTTCTAGAGCTTCTCTTGCTTTTTTAAAGGCTTCAGACTCACTCATTCTACCGGTTTCATCTTGAAGAGCTTTTATATCATCCTTTAATTGCTCGTTTTTGGCCCATTCTTGTTTAAAAGTTTGAAAGAAAACACTAATTGGAGATTGAGGCGGAGCATTACTATTAGAATTGTGGGTTTTGTTTTGATTTTGATTTTGATTTTGTTGAGTATTTGATTTATCCTTTGTTGATTGATAAATTATAGAAGTATTGTGCAAAAATCTTTGAGATGAGATTATTGAAGTTGGTTTGGTTGATATAATTGAATTTCTGTATATTATTGGATTTAATCTGTTGTTAAGCAAAGACTTGGATGTTATTAAAGAAGATCGATACATTTCCACAGGATGATATAATACTGTTTAGTGATATTGAGCAATAATTATGGGGTTATTTATATGTATGTATAAGAACTATCTTTAATACTTTTTTGAGGATATCAACAAGAAAGTAAGTAAGTAACTATGTACAAATGAGATAATAAGATGAATAAAAGATAAAGCAGTGGTTTCTTCTATTCAACAAAGAGCTCAGTAGTTATAAATTGTTCTGATAGGTATCTTCGTTATTATTCTGATACTGAAATATCAAAACGACTGAAATTAGACTCAAGGTTGAAAAAAACCAGTGAAAAATTTCCGCAGCGGTCACAGGGCACGGATCAAAGGCTGCGGGCGCCGGATCTAGAAGGAAGAGAAGCAAGAGAAGCAAGAGCAGCACAAGCAGCATTCTCTGCTCTCTACCTCTTCTATTTCCTCGTCCTGCTTCTTGTCTTTCTCTTTTTGAACAACGGGGCAACGTTGGGTGCTTCTTTTCCTACAGTGGCAAGAGTGATCTTTCTATTAACTGTCAAATCCCAATTTGCCAACTCGTCCAAGCTCTTTGCACTGTCTTGCAAGACAAAGCTGGCATCTGGAGCACCATCGCCAGCAACATCCTCACTTCCATCTCCTTTTTTGTTTTCTCGCTCTCGAGTACTCTGCACTTCTTCCCATGCGCCAATCACAGCTTCTTTCACTTTTTCTTCATTGGCATGGCTTTTTGTTGAGCTCTTCAACTCCTTGTCGATTTTTATCTTGATGGCATTCTTATTCTCACTCTTCTCAATTCTACAAGTCTTTGGCTTGTTAATTTTGTGTTCTTTGATATTTTTCAGATGTAGATCCGAAATCAGTTTTTGAATATTTCTTTGGTGTTTATTCGACAACTCATGATTTCTTCTTTGCAATTTTGAATCATCCACAAACTAAATAAAAATGTTAGTAATAATTGCAAGAAATGTCTACCAATGCTACACAATCCACTTACAATCTTACAGTTTTTACACCAGTACTTCCCCATTGCTATTCTCTACTCACTCCATCTCATTTTTCCAATGCTTTCTTTTCTATTCTTCCTGCCGTTTATTTCCAATTCTTATCCGGAAGTCACATGCCTAGTGCTTCCAATGCTGTTTCTGCTGTTTCTGCTTCAAAAATGAAGATCCAAGTACAGATATGAATTGGAATAACGTCTAAATTAATGCTAGGCTTGATTAATGTCATATTTTAGTGATTTTAACTCTATTTTCATTTTGATTTTAACTTGAGACTCTTTTTAGTCTTTTTTGCTTCACAGACAAGACTTTAGTTGACGTTAATTGACTTCTCACTTGTTACCATCTCCTTATTCGCAATCATCGATTGTATATCATTAATTAGCAAATACTAGTAATTTATAACATCTAATTTACTAATTACTCATAATAAATATTGAAAATGGTTTCTGTCAAGGCTTTTATAATTGGTGCTACAGGTTTAGTTGGAAATGGTTTTTACAAAGAAGCTGACAAATCCAAAGTTTTCTCCAACATTTTTACTCTCACTCGTAGAGATTTATTAACAAAATCTTATTCAAACAAGACAACTTCGATTATTGAAAAGAATTCTGAAAATTGGGATAGTATAATTAAAGATACAATAACAAAAGAAAAAATTGATATCTTTTTCTCAGGTTTAGCTACAACTAAAAAAGAAGCGAATGGTTTTGACAATCAGTATAAGATTGATCATGATTTAAATTTACAATTGGCTAAAGTAGCCAAAGAGTCTGGTGTTGGGACTTATATTTTAATATCAAGTATGGGCGCAAATAAGGATTCATCTCTCTCTTATTTGAAAATGAAAGGTAAATTGGATGATGAAGTCATTGATTTGAAATTCCCAAGAACAATTATTATCAGACCTGGCGTCTTAGTGGGTCAAAGAGATAAAGGAAAAGATAAAGGTCTCTTTAACAATGTGGTATTGTTCATTGGTGAAAAGGTTCATGGAACGTTTTTAAATAATTTAATGTATCCCATCTATGATTACGAAATTGGCAAAATTGTCGTTGATTTAATTGAGAAAACTCCAATTCCAGCAGATGATGAGCCTGAAGTTACAATTCTCAATCCTACTCAACTCTCTGAAATTCTCAAGAATATCGAATCGAATAGATGAATGAAATCAAAACGCCGCTACTAAAAATGATGATAAATTGAAATGGATTGAAATTTAATCTCAATTTTATTTATTAAATCCTATAAATCTGAAAGTAGAGTAAGAAAATAAATAATAAAATGAAAATATAATTTAATAATATAATTTAATAATATAATTTAATAATATAATTTAATAATATAATTTAATAATATGATAGTGATAGTATAGTGATAATATAACTTTTTTTTTCTTTAATTAGCTTCTGAAATTGTAATACAACGAACATTTTCAGGTTTCTTCTTATAAAGATGGGGTTTTAACTCTTGAAATTCCAAAATTAGATAATTGGCCTAAATGTTTTCATCATCGATCGTTTCATCTTTTGACAAGGCAATTGTTCTTGAAGATGCACCAGTTAATCTTTCTTGACATTCATAATTACCTCTTTTTTCTTCCTTATGAGATTCAATTCCACCGGAGATAGTTATCTCATTTGCTTCTCTATCGGAGTATAAGTTGATTTTATCCTTTTCAGCACCTGAAATTGAGATGTACTATTGGTAATTTTTTTCGCTTTTAGTTAGAAAATATTAGTTTGTGATTGAAATTGAAATTAATGTTAATAATTGGTAGCTATAGTATTAGTATTGATGATAATGAACCGAGGAGTAGATGAAAATAATCGCAGTTTATATATCATTTTGAGCTGATGTTTTTTATGATTAATTGTGGTGATTATGATTAATTGTAGTGATTACAATTAATTGATTATTGTTTGATTATTGTTTAGTTATTGTTCTAAGATTATCTCAGAAAGATATTTCTGAAAAAACTAGAAATTTCGACGAAAATAGAAATTATAACAAAAGATTTCGTTGAATGACGATAATTATGCATGCAATGCGAAATATGTAGCAACTGGAAAGCATGTGATTAACACAGTTGTTATTTTTTTTATTTCTAGCGATGATCTTATAACTCGAAGATGTAGAATAATCAAAGCCTAGTTTGGTGGGTTAGTAATATTCAGAGATAATATGAATTCAAGAAAACAGAAGAAAATTCCCAATGTTCCTAAAGGATTCAATAGAAAAATTGATGGGTTAGTATGATTATTAATAAGTGATTTTAATTGAATTGAATTGAATTGAATTTACTTTACTTTACTTTACTTTACTTTAGTTTAACTTGTAACAAAATCAACAGACTTCTGATTACTAATTATTTTAATGATAATAAAAAAGAATGGGGATGATTTTGTTCAGTATTCCATTACTTATTATCACTAGTTATCCACTATATCAAAGATTTGTTTTAGGTATGGAACAGGGAGAGAGAAGAGGAGAACTTTTAGAAGATGGAGCTAAGAGATATTATAGTGAGGAAGAGATGAAACAAAACCGAGAAAACAAATGGTTTTAATACTAGTAATGCTTGTAAATCGGTTAAATTATCTTAAATTATCTTGTATATAATATAATATAATATAATATAATATAATATAATATAATATTGTGGTATAACGGTAGGATATTGTTGAGTGAATGAATGAATAATGATAGTAAGTGAGATATAGGATATAAAAGTTAATTTATAATAATTTTAATTAATTTGAATATAATAAAGATCATAAAATTTAAATATAATCTTTAATTTTCAGTCCGGTAAGTTTAATTAAATTTAATAATATGAAATATAAAAGATTTGATTGCGTCGACGCATTTTCATGTAGTTGAATGTTATTACACATGAATATTTTTCTTTTCTTGTTATTCTTTTGATGATCTTGGATGTTGACGTTTGTTTTTCTTTTTTTAGAAGTTATGAATTATGAATAAAAGCGATGAAATTTATAAAAAATAATACAAATAACCAAGCAGAATTAAGAAAGAATATTAAAATTTTGCGAATAAATGTTAAATCCAAAGAGTTGATGGGATTTTTCATTGACCATGGTAAATCAAGCAATTTATTATTATTCAAGGTAAGGTCATATTCAATAAAGAGAGTTGAAAAAGCAAAAGAATTGGAAAGTATGTTTTTTTGGACCCAAAGAAATCTTGCCCAGCACACTTGTGTTGGGAAAGGTGACGAGATTTGAGAGCATTGCAACTGTAAAGGATATATTTTTTTTATGATGGATATTTAAAAGAATTAAAACGAAATGTACTTTCTTTCGATTCAAACCGTTAAATAACGTAAATAAATACGATCCGGTTTAACTATGATGGAGGGATAAATGGCCAGAAGTTCGCTAATGCCAGTTAGAAGCCGAAGTGTGGGACGAAGACAGGCCCAGTGCAGTGAGAGCAGCACGCGCTCCGGACACACCCACAGCGCGTCCTGGCGGTCTTTGCAGTTGCCGCAGTTGCTGGAAAAGGAGACACTGCTGCCTCTGCGGCATTACCTGTGGTGGTTAGCGCTGATACTGATAACGATGGCAGCATTCAGAATTGAGGACAAAGAACAAAACAACTACACAGAAAATAGAGAATGTTCTGGTTCCACAGTGGAGCGCTGCGCAAAACGCGCAGCAGGGTCCAGAATTCGTTGTCAGGCACTGACGGTGTCCCGCTGCAGCGGGGAAGCGCCACGCAGCGTGGCGGTCATCGTTTTCAGAGTGGAGCCGCCGGGCGCCGGAGGCAGCAGTAGGAAGCAGCAGCAGAAGGACAAGCCAGAAGCGCGACGGGAGAAGAGGTCTGTGGGACGTGTGAAGGGCGTGGTGCGAGGAGAAGCGGGCCGATCTGGCGGTGCTGGCGGTGCTGGCGGAGGAGCTGGCAGGAGAGAAGATGCCGGCCGCTGCGGGAGAAGGATCATGGCGGCGAGCGTTTTGCGGCCAGCCAATGCGGGAGCTCCTTCAGGCTGTTAACGGCGTGGATGAGAAGCATCGGTTGAAACAGCAGAAGCAGGAACACAATCACCAGCGGAATCGTGCCTCTTCCATCTTCGTCTTCTTCTTCCAGCTGCTTTTTCTGCTGCCATTTTCTCGCTCCTTTTCCAGCTCCTTCCAGTTTGGTCACTACCACTGATACTGCTGATTTGCTCTGTTTCACTCACTCAAATAATTTTTGGCTTCACTAAATAATAATCAAGTGTCAACCACATTTTAAACCTCCTAAATTTGACAAAAAAACTCCAAAATATCCAGTGTCCTTATATTTTACAATTTATAATTTACAATTTACAAATTATATTGAGATATTAATATATCCAGATCACTCTTGCTATCTCGTTTTACTTTATTCCATCTATCGTTTTTTTTAATTCGTTTTTTTGCCCTTTAGGTTTCTTCAAACTTGTTTTCAAATTCTCATATTTTCTCATATTTCTCGTAATTCTTTCATCAAACAAAAGAATTTGGCTTCAAATGAATTATCAACATCTGCTTCATATTCAATAACTAAAGACTTTTTTCAAATCAAACTCTCTTGAATCAATTTTCATCCCATTTCCATCTCATTTCCATCATTTTTTCACTTGATTTCCTCTTACAACACCCTTTTAAAATCACAATCACAATTACAATCTCAATTAAAATTCCAATTTAAGTTACTTTCAGATCAACTTCCAATTCAACATTTTAACTGTCTATAATATTCTCTCCTTCTATCTTTATTATTTTGTTCTTGTTCTTGTTCTTCTTGTTTTGTTTTTCTTTCTTCTTTCTTTCCTTTGGCTTTTTAAAATCAAATCGTCGTCTAAATCGTTTCTTCTCTACTCCCCCCCCATCCTAATACTTAATAACTAATCTCTAATCTTTAATCTCAATGTCTGACGGCACAATAACTATCACTGAACCTCCTTTACTCTTATCCTCTCAGCTAGATAATTCCGATTCAACCATAGACTCTGCCTCAACTTTAAATATCGTTGATTCTTTGCTATTGTCTGATATTCTCAAAATTTGTCCCACCTTCTCCCTATATGACGAACTACTACTCATAAAGGAAATTCAAAAAGCTGGTCCTTTACTACACTACGATCTCGACAAAATCTACGACTCAATCTCAAATATCCTAAATTACCTCTCAGAAGTCCTCAAAATCTTTCAAGACCTAGAAACCATAACCAATGTCATCTCTCCAATAAACCAGTACTACAACAACATTGAATGGATCTACGAAGGCAGAAACGAAATCTTGAAAATTTGTAGAAATGTTGACTCAATCGATTCAGTAATATCCCAGTTTTTAAGTCTAATTCAAAACAAATTCGAATCATGTAATCATGAATCTGATGACATTAATCGTAATAACAATAACAATAACAATAACAATAACAATAATAATAATAATGATAATAATAACAACAACAATAACAACAATAACAACAATAACCAAAATATAATCGCCAACAACAACTCAATTTTAAATCACTTGTCTATCCCAAATAACAACATCGAACTGCACTTATCTCAAATCCAAGAAGAAGACTCAACCTCCATTTCCGAAGATGACACAAATATCTTATCTCATAAAAAATACAACTACAATAATAAACAAGCTCAAAATGACAACGATAACAATAGCAATAACGATGATGATGACAATGATTCAGATCAAACTAGATCCTTCTCCGTATCCTCCCTCTACAGCAACAACTCAATCAAAAGTCACCACAACTGCGAAAGAAAAAAAAAAGAATACCTACAAGTCTTGGACAAAATCGAACACTTTAGCGATCTAACTCTCCACGTTAAAAAATATCTAATTGTCTACAAAAAAAAGGTAGATATCTCAATCCAATTCAACGAACTATACTACCAAATCATTGACTCAATTAGCTATGAAGTTGAAAACTATCTCAAAGAATCCTTCAAAATTCATGAATTGAAATTTTCTCCAAATCACCAATACGATTTAAAATTTAGTTTGGAAATGTTAACCGAAAAGATTAAATTCATAACAGAACTAAACCATCAAGACTCAAATCACCAAGACTCAAATCACAACTCAAATCAATCCTCTCCGAAAATTTCACTTCCAAATTTATCATCAAAAGATAACAACAACAACAACAACAACAACAACGTCACAATTCAACCAAATTTTATCTTCAACTCAGCTAACATCACTGGGATATCCCCCATCACTGAATCTTACCCATCAAATATTTCAAACGGCTACAATATCGTCAATAACAATCACAACAATAACTTATTCACCTACGCAACTTTAAACTCCCCTACAAAAAACTTAAGATTACCTACTTTTGATGAAACTGATGAAGTCCTCTACAGCAACTTCATCGAACTAAAACTAAAACTCGACCCCTTAAAGATATCAATCGACTACATCCAACCAAGACTAGAAGAATACATCTCCATTGCAAAGGATATCTACCCTAGCTCAATCGGCATCTTAAAGGACAAATACGAAAAACTATTCGAAAGATGGGTCTTCCTACAAAATGATATTGACGATTTAAAACACGAATTAATAGATAAAAGATGGAACGAAATTTTCTCCTATCTAATCAACGAATGCTCTCACCTAATTTCTGACATCGAAAGAGAACTAAGTAAACTAGGTATACACATCAGTCTCAACTCTAATGACTTACCAAATGCAAAATTTGATAAATCCTTGGGAATCAAAATTAAGTCAATCCCCCAAATCGGTAAATATAAAATGACAATTCTAGAAAACACTCTAATCATCTTAAAACAAGCCATTGAGGAAAATCTCGTCAATAATCACGAAATCATAGACTGTTTTAATCAAACAAGAAAAAACTGGTCCGATTTTAAATTTTATTTTGCTTCTGAATTTTTAGATGAACTATTCAATACAGAAAAGGATATCGTTCTGAAAAAGCTGGAAAATAAATTATTTTTAATCTCAAAGGATGAATCGTCTCTGAGCCTTCGAGATATTGAAGAATTCATCTCAGATATCAGCTCCACAAACAGTGATGATTCGATCAATCAAAATCTAACCAACAGCACTCGCAATAAAACAATCGATCCCACTGATACATCTTCCGAAAATACTTCTCCTTCATCTTCTTTGGTAGCCACTAATGATTTAAAAGAAAATACACCATTAAAGAAAACATTTTCTCATCGCACTCGTCAAAGCTCTATTGATGAAGTAACTGGTCTAATTGGTTTCAGTTTAAGTGGAGGAAGCGCCAGTCATGTTCATGGCCATAATATAATATCAAACCCAACAACACCTAAAAAATCCAAATTTAATAACAGAAAATCAATAATTGGATCAGCGTTAGTTAGTAAATTAAATTTACATCCTGTTTTAGTACAAGGCACTCCAACTTCCCCCAAAAAGACAAAGGAAAATAACTCTAAACATAGAAAATCTAGAAGTGAAATTGTTAAAGTTCCCAGCTCAGCCTATGAAATGGATAGACACTATCTTTCAGATGGAGATACAAACGAAAGTAGCCTAATTAGAGAAGACATGTTGAGCATTTTACAGGACCAAAGTATGTCTCTCGATGTTCAAGACAAAATTCAAGATAAAATTCAAGAAAATGATGCACAGCAAGAAAAAGAAAAGGAAAAATATAAAAATAAAGATAAAGATATGCCAAATCAGAATCTAGTCAAGTCCCCTAATGAATACAGAATCACTCCATTGGTTGATAGATTGGGAACAAATCGAGTTAAAAGTGAAGACTCTAGAAATGACATTAAGATTTCCTTTGACAATAGCCCCAATAAAAATTCTAGAGAATCTCATATTTCTTCAAGATCTGGAACATCATCTGTAAGCAGTGTGAATTCTGATGAACATCCGGAATTTAAGAATCTTTCAATTATTGAAAGAACACGATTAAAAGCTCTAAAAAAATTAGAAAGTGGGAATGGATTTAATGAAGAAGAGAATCTTGTTAATAACCTTAACAGAATGTCCTTGGAAGATAACGATGCAAATAAAATATCATCCTTTAAAGGAATGTTGGATAATATCCCTGAAGTTGAAAATGATTTTAAGAAAACTTTGCCAAAGTCGTTTAAAAACTCTGCCAACGGTAGTGCAGTTTCAACACCAAAACGTCAACAAATCGGCAAAAGAGAGATAATGGAGAATTATTCCATGAAGCGTGATGAAACAACAACTAGAAATCCCATGAGAAGTTTAGTCGGAACTACAGCATCACTTTCACCCAGGGCAGTTAGAATTTTTTCAAATACAAATAATAATATTGGTAATATTGGGGAGGAGCATATTTCAAGAAGAATTAATGGTATTCCTCATAAAGATAATAAAATTTCGTTTGTTGGAAACTCTAAAATATTAAATAATGCTAGTGCAAATATAGTCGGGATTAATAATACTAGTAGAAGATCATCATTTACTTCTATGAAGTCAAGGCCAGCGTCAAAACGAAGTTCGTTGATTCCTACACCTATATCTCCATCAGCTCGTATTAGACCACCAGGTCCTCCGGCAATTTTCAGCTCCCCGGGCAAGAAATCGTTTTCCGATGGGTCATTTGCAGAATTTCAAGAATTTGCTCATGTTTTTGAAGATTGTGATAATGTTTTAAAAGTTAGACCTTCAAGATTAAGACTGCCAAATGCTTCAATAGAATCATTGGGTTTGAATAAGAAACCACGAGCTTCAAAAACATTCAGTGGATCAACACAAGAATTTCTATCTAATAGAAACAGTTCAAGTATCTCATTAAATTCAAGTGTTTCATCAGTTTCATCGGTTCGTAATAGTGCCAATAGTACTACCACTAATAGATTAAGTGGGATTAGAAACTCTTCAAGAACTGGATTAAAGACACCAAATAGATATCCTACTAGTTCTAACAGTAGGTCAATTAACACTTTATCGGTTGCTTCTTCTGTTAATACATATTATTCTGTATCATCTAAATAATTTTTTGGTCTCTATTTTTAATTATTATTATTTTTATTATTTTTATTGTTTTTATTGTTTTTATTTTTTTTATTTTTTTTTATTGTTGTTTTAGTTGTTTTTAACTGTTGTTATTTGTTACTACTTGTTATTATTGAATCTAATTCCTTGTTCATCATATTTTTAAAATTTTATATTAAACATTTTTTATCATTTATATTTTATTACCTTTTTACTTTTTTACTTTTTTTCTATTTATTTTTACAATGTGTTGTTATTTTATTATTCGTTATCGTTGAATCTTTTGCTTTTTTTCTGTAATTATATTTTTTTAGTGGCTAATAAAACATGGTTAGGGTTGATTCTACAAATTTCCAAAAAAAATATTGAAAATTAAATTTTTCTGTTATTTTAATTATTCTTATTTCTTATTGTTCTCGCTTTATATATTAACTAATATGGACATTCGTTTAAATGAATTGTAACCTGTAGGAAAGAAAAAATTGTTGCAACAAAACAACCATCTGGTATTAACAATATTTTTTATTTTTTTTTATTTATTCTATGACCGCGAACCAGCCATAAGGGACTCGAAGACCAATATGGTGACTATAACCGCTATGTAAAAACTATGAAAACCGATTTCTTAATTCTAAACAAACTGTAGGGAAACCTGTTTCCAGGAAGAAAACCTACACAAATCAGATTAGCAGGAAGCAGCGTTAAGACCTAAAATCCCATGTTTTTCCCAAGAAACAAATCAACATTTGAAGTCCCTCTTTTGTACCTAAGAGTCGCCTTAGTTGGATCGACCTTTCAAAACCAAATTTGAAAGAATCAATACCAGCAATTATTCTGGCATTCAGATTTTTTGAACATTCAAAAAGGTAGTGATATATTGTAGGGGAAGGGTTGTTGAAAGCACAAAATTTTTTATTTAGATTTCCAGCAACCCACTGAAAATCAGGTCCGAACACATGCCCACATCGCAATTGCGTAATTCCGCTGAACAGATGCTTAGGATACTTCTTCATTGGTACATATAGAAGATTCTTCTTAAAATTTAAGGATGGATCATTTCCACTTATAATATTGTTAAAAATGAGTTAATTGAGCTTGGGTTCATAGTATTTCGTATTAACAATATAAAAAAATATATTAATAAAGTACATAAAGTTTACTTTTTTCCAGGAGCTAACAAAATTCCGTGATAGTTTAGTGGCTAGAATTACCGCTTGTCGCGTGGTAGACCGGGGTTCAATTCCCCGTTGCGGAGTCTCTTTTTGTCTCACTGTTTTTTGTGTTTGAACCAGAAAATAGGTTTGGGAAGTTGTCATCGAGTGTTGTTTTGTATTAATCCAGAAGAGCTCATTTTCTGGCAGTAGAAGAAGCAGAATCTAAAAAACAGTTTAGATGATGCTGTGAACGAAAGTTGTGGTTGAAACACTGTTCTCAAAGCAACGTTAAAATCTGGGGTTGAATTGCTTTTTGATTGCTCATCTCTCACAGAATCGTCATTTAAACCTAATTGGATTCGTTAATCCCAAAAAGAATCGTTTTATTTATAATGGTACAAATCAAGCCTGTTTTCTTCAGCATAATAGAACAGTACAATCAATACAACTAAATTCTATATTTTTCTTTCTACTGATACTCAAACTGTGTTCAGCACATTATTTTTACGTTGCCATATTTTAGATCGATCTCACTGGATCTGTTTAATAATGAATATTAAAGGCCCCCTTTTGATTAATTTTCATGAAAGGAAAATATACAACAGAAAAAGCTTTAAAATATTTATATTATTGATCTTCACTTTTCTTGGAATATTCTATTTAATATACTCCACTTTATTTTCAATTTTTCCATCTCAAAATCATCACTCTTATTTGCCCTTTTTTTTCCACCCTTTCAGTTCTAATCATCATGGCACCTTTCATGGTAAAAGAGAATTCATTAAACAGAAAATCTTAGCCAAATTCTATAATAAATATTGCAATAAAAACTATGAATCGTATGTTGCTAAAAAGGACTATTTAGAAAAATCAAAGGAAATTTTTAAATTATGTTCGAATTCAAAAAATTCGTTTTATAACGATGATGATGATAAAAACTATTTAGGTACGACTGTCTTCAGTGAAAACATTTTTAACAAACAGCCTTATATCTCAAATGGTTATATTGGCTCAAGATTAACTAATTTAGGTCAGGGTTTTGCCTTTGATCAATCTTCTCCTGGAAATTATCAATATGAACAAAATCCTGATTCTTTTTCAAATGGTTGGCCATTATTTAATAAAAGATTCTCCGGCGCTTTTATTGCAGGCTTTTATAATCTACAGTATAGAACTCCAGGCGTTAACTTTCCTGAATTATTAGATATAGGTTATGAAAGTGTACTATCTGCTATTCCACAATTTACCACGCTAAATATCAAATACAATGATTTAATACTAAATCCAGAATTAACAAAACCAAACGAAATTTCAAATTATTCTCAAATTATGTCTTTAAATAACGCTATTGTTCAAACATCATTTATTTGGCAGGACGCCTTAAAGGTTTCCTTTGAGACTTTTGCTCATAGATCAATATCAACTTTAGCTTTGGTCTCTCTCAATATAACTAATTTAATCCATAATGAAACACATTTGGAAATCATTGACAATTTGAATTTCAATACCTCCCAGAGATGTGATTTGGAGGAATTAGGTTATAAAAAAAAGGAAAATTCCATCTATATGGTTGTAACTCCAAACAACTTACCTTATTCTTTTGCTTCAATCTATTCTTCATGGGATTACCAGCATACCATTGATATCACCAATCAAAAACACACAAAACTCAAAAAACCCAAGGTTAATTACTCAATTCAAAATAATCAATCAGTCAATAAAGTTCTTTACATTAATTTAAAGCCATATGAAAGTTTGTCTCTAAATAAATATGTTGGAATAGTTTCAAGTGATTATGAAAAATTAGATATATCTTCTGATTACGAAAGCTTACTAAAATCAACAAAAGAGCAACTAAATCAAATCAAAAAAAAGGTGTTCAATTATTCAAAATATATTTCGTTAAATTCTTTAAAAACTGGCAGATATTTTTTAAGAGAATCTCATATCGATAGTTGGAACAAAGTTTTAAATGGCATCAAAATTGAGGTTCCTTCTGATGGGCTATTAACATTGTCAGCGAGATCATCGTTGTTTCATTTGCTAGTCAATACAAGAGAAGACAGCAAGGGCGTTACATCAGCATTACCTGTATCCGGATTATCTTCAGACAGCTATGGCGGGATGGTTTTTTGGGACACCGATATTTGGATGATTCCCGGTCTATTGCCATTTGCACCAGAACATGCAAAGGCATTAACATACTATAGATATTTCACATTTGAACAAGCAAAGAGAAACGCCAAATATTACGATTCTCCTGGATCAGTTTATCCCTGGACTTCAGGAAGATTTGGAAATTGCACTGCTACAGGACCATGCGTCGATTATGAATATCATATCAACATTGCGATTTCGTTATCAATGTGGAAGGTGTTTTTATCGGGGGCTGGAGACTTGAATTATCTCGAAGAGGTTGCATGGCCTATCATTAAAAATTCAGCCAATTTTTTATCAGCATATGTGAAGTACAACGAAACATTGAAACAATATACCACCTTTAATTTAACGGATCCAGATGAGTATGCGGATTTCATCGATAATGGCGCTTATACAAATGCTGGAATTTCGACTTTGATGAAGTGGGCTTTATTAATTGCCTCAGAAAGTTTACTTAATAAGACCGAAGAGATTAATCCTAAATGGTTGAGTATTGTTGGTAATATGTATATCCCAAAGTCTGAATATAACATCACTTTAGAGTATGATGGGATGAACTCATCGGTGTTGATCAAACAGGCAGATGTTGTGTTAAGTACTTATCCATTGGAAGACTTTGATATCGATATTGAACAGGGGTTGAGGGATATGCATTACTATACCGAAAAACAGGCAGATGCTGGACCAGCAATGACATTTCCAGTTTTTTCAATAATTTCATCCAGATTATCCAAAAAGGGGTGCTCATCTCAAAGTTTTTTAAAGAAGTCATCGTATCCATATATTCGACTACCCTTTGGACAGTTTTCAGAACAAAGTAACGATGACTATTTGATCAATGGAGGAACACAGCCTGCGTTTCCATTTTTGACAGCTAATGGAGGGTTGATCCAAGCTATAACGTATGGGCTCCCAGGAATTAGATTTGGTTATATTATTAACCCAAATGGAGATTTTCAACGAGTTTTAAAATTTGATCCAATTTCGTTGCCAATATTACCTGAGGGAGTAATCATTAAAGGATTCAAGTATCTTGGACAATTGTTGGACATAATAATAACCAATGAAGAAGCGATAATATTGCATAATGGAGATTTGGATTCTAATATTGAAAACGGGGACACTATATTAATTGAAGTTGAAGAGAGAAATTTCAATAAAGGATTATATGAATTGAATTCAGGAGATGAATTCATTGTACCATTGTTTTTTCCAGAGAAAAACATCAATGGATCAATTTCTGAATGTTTTCCGATATTGAATTTAAGTGATGGTAAATATGGGGATGTTGCAAATTCTGCTAATGATGGAGATAATTCTACATCATGGCAGCCGATTAATGACCAAGAAGCGAAATTGATAATTGATTTAGAGAACTATTTGCAAATTCATAAGGTTATAATTAATTGGGGAAATCGACCAGCCGAATATTTGAACGTATCAATAATTGACGGAGAAATCAATGAAGAGATTGATGAAATACAAAGAGAATTTAAAGGAAAAAAGGAGAACGAATTTGAAGAAATTTTAGTTGAAATTAGCAGGAATGATAAATTAATCATTGAGAATTGTAAGATTAATATATCACATCCATATGACGCCGAAGAATTTGGCAAGGTGCAGTTGATGCCCGATAACATCACAGAGATTAACATAGAAGAGATGAGCATCCGTAGCAGATTCATTATAGTTGGAGTTAAAGGGAATTTGAATGGAGATTATGATCGACGAGGGTGCACTATTGCAGAAATATCTATTATTTAAAGTTGGACGAAAGAAAGAAAATGAAACGAATAGAAAGCCAAAGAAAAACAGCTGTGAAATAGAAACTAAAATCATCTGGAGATTCCGGAAATAGAGTGTGAAATTATCCAAATTCTAACCTTTCATAACCTCATCAATTTATTATTTTGCTGATTTGATAATCAACCAATTGCCAAATCTACCAATGTATTGTGTATGAATAGCGACCTATTGGTTTAGAGCGTCATAAAAACAAGCAGCTGAAATTGAAATCCCATGTTTGCTGTTGCTTATATTTCAAAATCGAGAAACCTGGCTTCTGTTTTGGTTATTGTTTTTTTCTTCTTTGTCACTATGTTTTGTTTTTTGTTATATGAATTCTTTGAGGAATTTTTCAAAAATAGGTTTAAGGTTATGCCAACAGCTCAAAATATGGAGCAACCATCAGAGTTCTTGGAGTAGCAAACTCGAGCAGAGATAAGAAAAGAAATAAAAAAACGCAGTTATTTTTAACAATTGATCCTATTAGTGCTGGAAGGTGTGTGAATTGGGACAAGCAAAAGCCGGACTGGAAGCAGAAACCTATTAGCGGTTCCAACCGGAGCAAAAGTAGCAGCAGAAACAACACCGGCTAAATCAGAGTCGGTTAATGCAGTTCCGGCAGCAGTGGTTCCATTGGGAAGCGAACCGTCGACCTCTGGCTCGTCTCCTTTGTCTCTGGCTGGTGGAAGGTGGTTGGCTGTAAGAAACAGGAATTGCAGCGGAAGGAGCTTTTGGGACTTTGGCTGCTGATTGGCCGGAGGCTGTTGCCTGTGATACCGGTGGAGTGCTGTAGGTGCCTTCGTTTGTGCCTAAGCTTTTTTTTTGCTTTAATTTTAGAAATGGTTCGCAGACCTAAAAGATGTGTATGCCAAGAACTCTGTTCAGAGTTTCCAGCAGCCAATCAAAGTGCGCGCAGGAAAAGGAATACGTCTTGGTCATCAGAAAAAGTAAGCATAACTATTAATAAATCTCCTGTTCACAAATTAACTGAACTGTTTGGGAGAAAATCTAAAAAAAACTAAGAATACCCAAGATCAAGCCCTCTCATTTTTGCTTGGGCTTATTGCTTTTTTCTTCCTACTCAACTTACGAGTATAGTGGTGTCTTAATTTAGCAATTTCTAAGAATCCTAAGGAGATCCTTCAGCTTCTGAACAGAAGTCTCTGGAAATTAGTCTGCTTATGATTTTTTGGCTTATATATTCAATGCCTTTAGAGAATGACTTTTCATCTGCAAAAAATCATATAAATTAATTGAATTCTCTTTCATCTTGCTCTGTGTTCATCCTTTTATCAGACAACCCTAATTCTCACATCTCTTTGGAAATCTGAATAGTCCATTCGTTATTCACAACTAATAAATTCAACCCTGGTCAATCGCTAATAACTTCAAAAATCCATAATCAAAAAGAAAAAAAAATACAAGCAAATACTTGCACAATTAGGTCCAACTGTTTAAATTCAATTGCCACAGTTTTTAGATCGATTTTTTCCAATTTTTCAAAATGCTTTTCAGCAAAAAAACTTTAGCTGCTTCCTTCTTATATCTTGCTTCCTTGGTTAAAGCAGATACTAGTTTCTCCCTCTCGGTTTATGCCCCACAAACTGACATTGATGGTGGCGCTGTTACTGTTGAATTGGAAGAAAAATACTTGGGCTTGAACCTTGGCCCTGCCTTTGATGGTACCTTGGTCTCAGGTTCGGGTTATGTGAAATGCAACAACTTTGAAGAAAAATATTTAAGTGTAGGTGCCAACTCAAGATTGGTCTGTGGTGACTCTCCCGCAGGTGGTTTTGGTATCTCTGATAAATACTTATCATACAATGGTGGTTCAACTTTTTATTTTGTTCTTCAGCAAGATTTAACTTATGAGTTATTCTTGAGCGGTAATTATTCTGCACCTGCTGCCATACAAAGAAGAGGTAGCTCTAATACTGTTGCTGCTAAACTTGAATTAAATATACAATCTCAATCTAGTTCTTCTGGTTCTCCTTCTGCATCTGTTTCTAATACTGATACTGTATCTAATACTGTTCCTTCCGGTTCTGCTTCTGTTTCTCACTCTGATTTGCCATCTGGTTATACCATTACCGTTATTACAACTGACTGCCCTGTCACTGAAACCATCACAATTACTTCTTGCAGCGAAGATAAATGTGTCACTGCTACCACCGAAACTGTTCACATTACTGAAACTGTTTACACTACTACTTGTCCAGTCTCTGACTTGACCAAAACTCACACACCATCTGAATCTAAAACTTATACCCCATCAAGTTCTGGATCTGCTAAACCATCCACTTTAACTGTTTCATTAACCACAACTGTTATTACCACTGATTGTCCTGTTACTGAAACCATCACTATCACTTCCTGCGATGATAACAAATGTGTCACTGGCACTACCGAAACTGTTCACACCACTCAAACTGTTTACACTACTACTTGTCCAGTCTCTGACTTGACCAAATCCATACCATCTCATGCACCATCAACCCTTACCTCTGAAACTACCGTTACTACTGATTCTCCAATCACTGAAACTTTAACTCTCACCTCTTGTGATGGAGATAAGTGTATTATTTCAACTCATGAGTCTACTTATACCACCAAGAGTATCTATACAAAGACCACTGAAGTTCCTGAAACTACAACTCCTTACACTGCTCCAACCAGTAAACCAATCACCTCAACCTATGTCACCCTCACAACCCAATCTGTTGTCACCACCTCTTATCCAGTTACCAAAGATATCACTTTAACCACCTGTGATGAAGAAAAATGTTCAACTACAGTTACAAAGACTTCTTATTCAACTGAAGAAACTTTAACTACCACCAGTGTAATTGTTACAAGCAAATCTGTTGAAGTTCCATCTACCACTGAAATCACTTACAGTAAAACATCTGTTATTACTACTTTACACCCAACCACAAGTGTTGTTACTTTAACTAAATGTGTTGATGAAGAATGTATTACAAGTGTTTCCAAGACTTCTTACATCACTGAAGAAACATTGACCACTACTCATTATAGTGTTTCAACTAAGCCAGTTGAAACTCCAGTCGAAAGCAAGACAGTCGAAACTTCAAAAGACATCACTATTCAAACCACACCAGCCACTAGTTCCCATGAAACCACTTTGATTACTTACTCAGTTTCCCAATCTGCCTCTAATCCAGTGACTGTTGAACAACAAACTATTAACATGGGTAACACTCTTTCCTCCGGTATCTTAGCTATTATTGCCGGTTTATCTGGTGTTTTATTCATTTAAACATTGTTTTTTTACATTTGTATTTTTATAATTCAATTTAAAAAATTGAAAAGGTAAACTAAACAAACTTTTATCAACTTCTTTTTTTTCATTTTATTTGATTTTATCATTTCTTCAAAGCCTAGTTTCTTCTGCATATTATTACTTTTGTGATTCTTAAAGTTCAATTTGCTGAATTTTTTTATAGTTCCTATTCAAACCTACATCAATTTATGGTTTCATGGTTGTTATTCATTAGGTAAAATTGATTTAAAAACAAGCAACAATATATACCATATAAAAACCATTTTGTTTTTGTTTATTTCACATTTTATTTTTTTTCAATAGTTAATATTTTGATTAGAAGAAATTATATTTCAAAATTTTAAATCTTTAACTTTTATGCATTTCTAATAAATTAATACAAGGTCTTTCTCAAAACAATACAATTTCAAATTCATAATGCAAAAATGGGTAGATTCAGAGCAGCAATTGAAATTCAGTAGTTGTTAAATTGCTAAAGTTAGCTGTAAATGTTAACTGATATCGAGCTGAGATTTGTTGATTAAAGAAGTTGCGCAAAGTAAATGAATCTCAATTACATGATGCGTTAAGACGCGCACAAATGCATGTTTGCGCTGATAAATGCAATATCCGCGCATAGTGGCCTTAGGTAATAATAAGAGATTGCCGTTGATGAGAAGAAAATCAGCCAATGAGAAGCGTGTGTTGGTTGAAGAAAGCGTTCTGTTCGGGTCAATTTATTTGCTTTCAGGAACATTTATTTCTTAACAGCATAGGGATGAAATTCTTAAGCAATGAAATTACAAGAAAATTAATTAAGTTATCTGTTTCATTTATTATTTGGCTGTTTTAATACAAATTTGCTAGAGATTGCTTTTAGTATCTACAAATGATATCCTCAGACTCCAGACATTTATTGGGAATTGCGATTTTTGTAATCAATAACATTAACGAAAAGAGATTTTGGACTTTGATTGAAATCAGAAGTTTAAATTAAGATTATTACAAATAAGATTTACACAATAATAAAATATTAGTAAAATAGTGAAATATTGAAATAGTGAAATAGTGAAATAGCGAAAAAATAAAATAATAAAATAATAAAATAATAAAATAATGAAATAGTAAAATAATAAATTATAAAGATGTTAAAATTTAGGATAAAAATAAAAATAAAAACTCAAAAATAAAGCTAACTAATAATTTAGTGATTTTGGCGATTTTATATCTTGATCCAGGTGGAAGATTACTTACTTTGTAGATGTGATAACTGAAATATTGTCTTGGTTTTAAATAGATTAATTTCTGTTGGATTCTAATTTAAGCTAGTTATCCCAGCAGCTTTGCTCATCAGATAAGTAATATATTGCTAATGCCAATTACTAATGGTCAATTCCCCAATGTTTACTTGGCTTGAGATTAATTGAAAGAAAAAAGATGTATCAATTATAAATTTGATCCGTAGATTGGCGGTGACGAGCTTTGACTTAAGAAACAAACAGGTTTATCAGCCACTAGCGCAAGAAGAGGATCAAAAGCACCAAGCTATTTTTAAAAGGAAAAAGCAATTTGGTCCTGGAAAAAAAGAAAACGTTATCAATCCATGAGGAAAGAAGTAAAAACAAAACAAAAAGTAAACTTCCCCACCAGGACTCGAACCTGGAATCTCTCGGTTCCTCATTAGATATTAAATCGTAGCCGAACGCCGTAACCATTGGGCCATGAGGAAAGAAGTTGCTGATGAAAATTTAAAGATAAAATATAATACCTAAATTTAATACTATTTTTTTTGGTTAGTTTTACTTAATTTGACTTTTATTACGATTGTTTTTATTAAGAATATCTTTTCAGGATATTAAGTTTTTATTATTAAATTAAAATAGCATTAAAATTTCATTGCTTTGGATTGTGATTTGAAAAATTGGGGTTAATCTTTTTAGTTTTGATTAACAAAGAAGCAACAAGAGCAGTTGTATGATATTATGCCATAAAGTTTGCATAATCACATATATCATCAAAAATAAATCACTGATAATCATTGGTAATCATTGAAAGAGCATATTATTGTAATAAGCAATAGGATTACGGCTGCGGGCTAAAGAAAATGAAGTTAAAATAGATTTTTAATATTGTTAGCATCGGTAATCTTTGAAATATCAGACAAAGGGCTGTTATTGTGTTGGAAAAGTAAAAGTAATTCACCAATATTGATAAAAAGTCTAATTAAATACTTGGGGCTTTTGTTGCGTTTGTTCTTTCAGAAAAAATGCAGAGGTTGTTTCTGACAGATTTGATAGATTTAATAACTTGATTGGATCCTATAAATATGAAAGTAATATTTTATCTTTTTTGATTGTCATTATTATTATTATTAGAAACAGCGGTTATTTATTTATATATTTATGATAATGTTTAAGTCACCAAGTTTTTGAATAATGTTTCATCATGTAGTATGATATTTTTTTATTCTGTAGAGCAGGAAAACAAACTGATAGCAATAATAACAGCCGAAATTACCAGCAAAAAGATATCGTAGAATTAAGGCAAGTCTGAGGATGAATAGGGGAAAGATAGTCTAAAAAATAACAAATCCTCAATAACAGTATTTTGATGAATTGAGGTGATGAGCAAAAGCAAAATTATTTGTATTTAGAGGATAAATTTAACGAGCAGCCAACATTGTTAATTGTTTTAATATGCTGATTTTGTTCAAGAACCCACATCTCTTATTATCGTTGCGATCTTTGTTGCATTGAGTGCTACTGGTATCCTTGTTAAAACGTTTTAACCAGAAAACTGTGCAAATAACACAGATTATTCCAAAGAATTGGAAATAGTGTTAGAATCAGTACCTGAAAACTGCTCATCAGAAAACAGACAACTGCAAGAGTATTAATATAGTTACGATCGCAAGCCTTCCTTTAATTATGCATTATAACCATCCCAATTTTTGGGAATCAAGCTCAGAGAAGAAAGCGAGAAAAGAGGAAACGAGAGAAAACAGCAGACAGAGAAAATAAAAACAGCAAGGAGAGAGAAAATAAAAACAGCAAGGAGAGAGAAAATAAAAACAACAAAAATATAGTGGGATAAGACAGGAATCTGACCAATTGCTCTTTCGAGCCAATTCTTTGCATTCCAAAAACTCTGCTTAGAGAAAACAGAACAACACACCCAGCTTGAGCCCTGACTCAAGCCCAGACCTAGCACCGGAAGCAAGGTGTCTCACTTCATGGTCTGCATGAACCAATCACAGCGCAGAATGTTTATGCGTCGAAGTTAAACGTCTCCGGCCCTTTAATGTCCGAGACCAAAAGCGTGCGTCTGTAATGTCGAACCCTAATTTTCTGTGGCTGCAGTGTCTGCGTTTTCGGGATCTTTCAAGAAGAAGATATATCGCACTCATTAGGAAAGTGTCCTGGTCTGTCCCAGCTGAGTTCTTGCTGTGCGAAATCAGCTCAGTTTGCCTGCGCTTAAAAATATTATAGCAGAGCATTGTGAACAGAAGGTGTGGAGGGTGTTTCGTCAGCTTTTGTCGACGAGCTTGGGAGCTTGTGAGCTTGGTGCAACTATTTTTAACTGCTGTGCACCACTATTTACTCAGTAATTCAGATAGAAAGCACCCACATAGTAGCTGTACTGAAGGTCTTACTTTTCACTAATTCGTTGCTTTGTAATCAGGTGTTCGACCTCCATTAGGAACACTTGATCCTTGTTCAAAACCTTTATTAAGTAGTGGTTCGCCAAACAACAGAACTGTTTCTTAATTCATTTTAAAATTTTATTTGTAAAGGATCTCAAAAAAAAAATGAAATGTGTAATTTAGAGTTTCAATTAACTTTTTGAGTTTATTTTTTTAAAATGAATGTTAATTTCAAGAAGATTATTATTATAAATCATTTAAGTTAAACTTTCAAAAATGGGTATTTAGCATAATTAATGTTATCTGTATTCATAATCACTTATATCAGATCTTAATGTTCAATAATCTTCTGTTCATCATCCACGAAATTCAATTAAACCATTTTATTGTCCTTTTGTAATATTTATTTCAATATGTTAATTTCTAGTTAAACATTATTTAAATTAGGAAAAGGGAAAATTTTGCTCAACGAAGCAATTTGATTTCCTTCATCTCAGATATTTATATAAATATCTTCCTTTCCCACCACCTATTTTTTATTATTCTCAAGCCACCACACAATTTCTATTCCAATCCTATACCACGATAGAAATGACAAACAAATATCATATATCCATTTTTTCGATAATCTTGCTTTTCAGTTCACTTATCAACGCTGAATTTGGACTTATTGCTCGTCATCCTGGTACAATACTTGAAGGTCGGGCATTAACTGTCAATGCAAATAGAAGAATTACATTCGGTTCTGGCCCTGCCTTTAGAGGCAATCAAGTGAATGGCTTCATATCTTGTGCTGACACCCCTGGTGAATACTTAGGCATTTCTGGTGGCCAAATAATTTGTGCACCAACTCCATTTCCAGGTTTTTCTATTCGAGTACCTCAAGGTTCTTCTTCTCCTTTCTTGTTTTTTAATGGCCAACTTCCTTTTTTCTTTCAACTTAATGATGGTGTTTGGGGCTTAAATGCTGGCGGTAACTATTCTCTTCCATCTTTACTTTTTAAGAGAGAAGAAGCTCCAATTGGTGTCAATTTAGAAGTAGTAGGTGATTATACTCCAATCACCTCATCATCAGATACACCAACTGGTTCCGATAAGCCAACGGATTCTGACAAACCAACAGATTCTGACAAACCAACAGATTCTGACAAACCAACAGATTCTGACAAACCAACAGATTCTGACAAACCAACAGATTC